TATATAATTATATATTAATAAATTATTATAATTAGCAATTATATTTAATCACATCATTTATAATATTAAAATGTTCAATAATAATTAATTTAAATATAATTCATTTCCACAATTCTAATAGCCATAATAAATGATAATATAATAACGAAATGCTATAATATAAAAAATTACAATAGAAGGAGACACCTATGAAAAATTTCAGCCACCAATTGGATAAGGATCAGAAGGTATTGTTTATAAGGGAAGAAATATTAAAACATAATAAATTGTAGCTATTAAAGAATACAAATTAATAAATCAAAATGAATTAAAAGCCATATAAGCAATTTAGAGAAACAATTTCAGTCATATTATTGGAATAAAAGGAGTATAGATACAATAAAATTCTTGTCCAATAATTGCAATGGAATTTGCTCATGGAGATTTCTTGTAATTTATGTAATCATAAGAATATCAAAAATTAACTTATAATGAAAAAAATTCATATTTTATTTAAGTAATTAAATAAAATGATATTTTAGATGGTATAAGGAGTTAAATAACTTCATTCAATAGAATTATTTCATAGAGATTTAAAACCTGAAAATTTTGTATACATTAAAGATTCTAATAATAAAATGACTATTAAATTGATTGACTTTGGATTAGTCAAAGAAACTGCTGATTAAATGAAAAAGACTATTTAGGCTGGAACAGTAGAGTATATGGCTCCTGAAGTGTTTGATTCTTAAAACAGTTTTTATGATAAGTCAGTTGATACATGGTCTTTGGGGATTATTTTGTATTAAATATTGGCTCAAGAGAATTTCTTTAAACGTATTTTGAAATCTATAATTTTAGATAAGGGAAAAAAAAATTTCCTTTAGATAAAGTAAAATGGATAAAATTTCATCGACGAGCGAATTCAGTATAATTATAAAATTTAACAAAAAGAAAAAGATTTAATTAAAAAAATGCTAAAAGTGAATTCATCCGAAAGAATATAATTAAAAGATGTATTAGGATCTTAAACTGTATTTTAATAATTATAAAAATAGAACAATCCTATTCCTCTTCCTCTACCTCAAAAAAAACCTTAAGATATATAACAATATAATGTCATAATTGATAGGAGACCTGATTAATAACGAAAAGAACAAGAGTAGAAATTGACAAAAGAAAAAGATTAATATGAATCTTTATTCATTATTGTAAAATAATAATCTAGTTAATAATCTCTTTAGATTAAAACAATTTCAGAACAAATTAAGTATTATTAAAGAATTAAACTATAATTTTAAGGAGAAGTGAAGATTTAAGATGTTATACAATAGCAATAAATAATAACATAAGATATTTAAGTATTAGAATAGTAAGAGAGGATGATATAATAATTTGATTAGTTACAATTAATTTCTCTTTATTAATAATATAATAGCAAACTTGAAGAACTTTAATAATCTTAAAATAGACTTAAAATTTTAATTGAAGAGGCAAATAAATGTATTTCATAAATCGAAAGATAATATGAAGATGAATATCAATAATAAATTGATAATTTAAATGATATTTTAAATGATTAATTAGATTAATTTAAACATTTATCTAAATATTAAAAATATGAAGATAAAATAAATTAAATAATTAATAAGATTGCAGATGAACCTGGTAAGTTGAATTTTCTAAAAATATTAATATCTTAAAGAACATTGGTAGCTTATTAATAATACAATCAAAATTAAGATTAAATTTAATAATTAATAAGTGATTTTTAGAAATAATATAATTAATTGCATGAATAAATTTACAATGATGAATAAATTGAAGAGAAAAATGGAGATAGATTAAACAATTAAAAATTATACAAGATTAATTGGATTTATTTAAATAGACAATGAATCAATTAAAAGAAAAAGTTAAAAGTTTGATTAATAATCAATATTGCAATGATGAATAAATTATGAATTTAATAAATAATAGATTGGGTAGGATAGAATAGACTATAATTGAATAATAAAAGTAATTTGATAAATTCAATGAATTTAATGAATTAAATTCTTTTGAAACTATTAATTAGTAAATAAACTAATTGGATGAATTTTAGAGAAAATTAAAGGAAGTTGAAAATAATGAAACAGAATAAGTAGATTAATTAAAGTAGATAATTTAAAAAATAGGAGCTTAAAACAAAAGTGAATAAGAAAAAGAAATTTTAAAGTTAAATAATCAATTATAGAATAGGTATAAAGAATTCTCAAAAGCTCTTTAATCAATAAAATTTTAATTTAATAGTATTGAATTTTATTAAAAAGTGAATGAGAAAAAAGAGAAACTTGAAAAATAATTGTAAGATGAAATAAAGATTTTAGAAGAATATTTAGAAATTTAAAATCTAAATACTTAGTTATTTAATGAAGTATTAAATGATATTAAAGCAAAAAAAGGGAATTATAAATAACAATCTGAAGAATAGCTCAAATAATTACAATAAACTAATAAATAAAAAGGTGATCGGTTAAATATTGTAACTAATAAAGTATATGAAAAATAAATAGAAATAAATTTTACCTAGATAGATGATAATTTAATTAAGAATTATGAATAATTAAAAATATAAGAAGAATAATTGCAAATAGAATTAAATTAAATAAATGATAAGATATCGAATTAATAATTAAATCCTTAGTAATTAAATGAATTAAAAGATTAAATTATTAAGGTATATTCTAACATAGATGAATTAAAGATGAAAATTCCAAAGGATATCGATGTATAATAGTACAACAAAAATTATCAATAAAATTTAGAATCATATGAAAAATTATATGCTTTACTTAATTATATAAAGTAATATCATTTAACAAGATATTATGAAAGAATCAAGGAAAATGAATAAAAATAAAAATAAAAATAATAAAATAAGGATGAAAATGATTACAAAAAATTATTTTATTCGAGACTAAATTAAGTTTAGAAAGAAAATACAAAAATAGAGATGGAAGCATAAGATATATTCTAAAGATATGAAAATGTTTTATTTAAAAGTTACAATAAGATGGCAATTGAAAGTATGGAAAAAGATTAAGAAGAAATAGAGAAACAGATTTAAATATAAAAAAATTTAATAAAATCAAGAGACTAAATAAAATTAAGATCTAAATTGAAAGATTAATCAATGATCAAAGAGATTATTAATGTCAAATAATATTATAAAATAACAGAGTTCACACAAATGATAATATTGAATATGATAAAAAAAAATATATAAACGATTCAATAAGGATAAATCAATCAATATTGATTTAATTTTGATTAATCATATAATTTTATATACATATTAAAATCATTATAATTCTTCTAAAATTTAGATTATTTTAAATAATCTAAAAATCTTATAAAATTTTTATTAACTTTTATTATTGTTCTTTAATATAAATTTGATATAGAGTAAATTCTTTTTTTGGTTTAGATTTAAATATTGATTATTAGCTTTTTCTTTGATTGTAAATAAAGCCATTATTTGTAAAAATAATATTTAATAATATAAAATTAAATTTATGTTATTATTCAATTTTTCTTATATTAATAATTTATACAACTAGATTTCAAAGGATAAAAGAAGAGTAAGCTTATGTAAATCCTTCAATTTATCCATACTTTACATTAACTAAATTATTTGAATCCTCAAGATTTTTAATAATATTTTAATTAATTAGTTGAAATAGTCATACAAATCATTCAAATATTTTTATTAATTTGTCCAAACATGGCAGTAAAATAACATATTTTTTAGATTCAAGATACCTCTCAAAATTAAAAAAATTATAATCTTAATTGATGATTCTGTAATTATTTAAAAATTCTATTTTTACAATTATATTTTCCATCTACTAGAGAGTATTTATGGATATATTATATATTCTAATTTTATATGAGTATTTACTTTTTCCTTAATTTTGTCTTAAAAAGAATTATTTTACAAAAAATAACTATTAAATTATTCAATAATTTATAAAGAATTTTATTCAAAAAAGATTGAAATTTGTAAGAATAGTTTTCATATAAATTAAGATAAATTCTAAATATATTTTTAATCAACCATCCTATAATTCATCAAACTAAAATTTTTTATTATTTTTTTCACTAGAGGTGATTTTAGAACTTGATTCATTCTTATCTTCTATTATAATTTATTCGTCTATCAAATGTTATTCTTAATTACATCTATTTTGATTCATTATTGTTGGTTAAGAATTATATCTATTGATATTGGTAACTATTTAAGTATTCATTTTTTTTTTATTGTTTCTTTGTGATAGTTTCATAAGAAATGCTGTAGTTTATTTGCTTATTTAATCATTTTTAATCTTTTCAATCTTTAATTAATCGCTTTTATATTGATCTATAAGATCACTAGCTTCTTTATTTTCATCAAATAAAAATAGCTATTGTTTCAAATCTAAAGTCATATTTTCTTTTCGTTCATCTTATTATGATTAAACTCTATTATTAATATCATTTTATAATTATTCATGATCGAAATCAATGCTTGAAGTATTATTTATATTATGCTTAGAAATTTTCTAATTGTGAGTTTCTTTAATGGAATCTTCATTAAAATGAAATGTGGTGGCTTTAGTATCTCGCATAACAATTGCTGTCTTTGAATATTATAAATCTTAATTTTCTTGATTATTTTACTATATATTGACATCTAATTTTGGAGGTGGCATATTTTTTTTCTTTATAATTGGAGATTCATTTAGTTTTTATAAAGGTGGTATTGTAGGTTAAGTAACAACTGGATTAAGTATTAATTTATTCAGTTGAATTTGAAAATATTTGTATGATTAATCTTGAATTTCCTTAAAGTGTTCAACTCCTAACTAAAAATGAATATGTAAGTAATCTACCATGTATAAATTAATTAAGTTTCTAAGTGCATCATCATTTGTGTATTCGCTCAAAACCAATATTATATCATTATCTAGGATTTGTTGAGCAAAATCTTTAGGTAGTTGTTTTCCTAACTCGTACAATTGATTTTTTACATACTTTAGGAATGACGCATAGCGGCCTTGGGACTAGAAGCTCTAAACTAAAAGTTAAGAATGAATATATACCAATTTAGAAAAGTATTCTGACATATAATATTAGGTATTATATTAAATATATAATGTTTTATGTAAATATATAAACTATAATTCTTAGATTTAGTTATTAAATAATAGAGATTAATATCAAATGTAGTTGTATATAAGATGTAATAATAATTTATTTAATTTAAGATATATTTAATAGGACTCAATTTTAATAATATTGACAATATACATAAAGGGGTCAATCACTGTCATTTTGTTAATTATTATTGAACATCCGCTCATAAACTTATTCATCATTGACCAATTTTCGTCTTACTTTTCCCTAAATATGTTTCAAGAATTCTTACAGTATGATCTAATGGATTAAATTTCGAGTAATGAGAACGACACTAACAAGCAGTTCTAGTAGGTATTTCGATGGACATCATTTTGAAAACTCTGTTCAGCTTTTTTTGTACACTAGTTTGGAACAATTCTTTATGTTATCGAACAAATTTTAAATATTTGTAATGCTCTTCATTTGTCCAATGTCCTAAAATTAGAATATAAAATAACCTCTACGGTTTTGAATTATCTAACTATTGGATTTTTTAACCTGTCGCACTGTCTCCACTTTCTACAAGAGTTTGTCTTAATTATCCTCATTATTATTAATCTCACTGAGATTTTAGGCATGTAAACCAGTTTAATTAATGAGATTGTCTTCCTGTTTAATGTAAGGAGAAAATGTGATTTTTGGCAATTTCATCTCGGTCTGTTCTGTATTCCAATTGATATAATTTGATTGTTAAATGTAATTCATATGATAAGATTCATTCTGTAGATACGGTTAAGGTGCCTAACATAATAACATAATCGTATTACCATATAGGTTGAGACTTAAGAATAGTAAGGGTTTTAGTTAGAGTAATACACTTATGGATTCATTAGAAAATCTGTCTTGTAGTTATAATTACGATACTTGATTGAAATTAGTAAGGGTAAGTACTGTATGAAAAGGGATTGGATTGCATGCTTTATTTTTGTTTAAAATTTAGTTAACTTGAATCATTTAATCGAGAATATATAGTGCAAAAGAAACAAGATTTTCTCATTAATAAAGTCAATATTACTTTACCCCCCTTAATTTGAACTTCATTCTCCTTAAAGAACTCTTATCGATATATTTATACAATTAAATCTGACAAAAATTTTATTAATCATTAAATAACCCAACACTCATCTACACACTACACTCATATAGTATCTCTACCAATTCGGTATATTGACTATCACTTCTTGAAATTGGTCTCCCTTCATTCCTCTACTTTCCCATTATAACCTCAGTAAAATTCAAATTCTTATTAATTATTCTAAATATTGATGTTCATGCTCTATTTTAAACTCTTTTGCTATTTTAATTAGGAATTTTTACTCATTCTCCAAAATTCTTCTTACATCTTTCATCATTATTTAAAGCATACTTAATTCTTAATTGTATTCTCTATTTTAGAATTCCATCTTTTTATTAATTTCATCTCTAAATTATAGGTGTTTCTTATAAGTAATTTCCTTCATTCATTAAATAATTAGCAGTCAGTATATATATTTTTAATTATATTAAAAAAAACTTATATAATGAAGTATCCAAATAAATAATAAATACAATAATTATTTAAACTTATGTCATTTCTATTTCGCAGTAAATTACTAAAGACATACCTACTCTCCATTTTCATTTCTCCATAATTCACTAACATCTTATTATCAATCACTCATAATCTTTGTCATATTTTCTTAATTTATAATAACCATTTAATACATTTCCATTTCAACTAAATTATTTCAGATACCATTTATATTTGCATTCCATTATTCAATATTATATTGATAATTAGAAAAATAAATATTTTGATTATTGGAGAACTTATGAATTAGAATCTAAAAATAATCAGAATTTATAATTCACAAAAATAATTCAAAAATTTAGTAGCTTTGATCTCATATTAAAGTGTGTGTATAATATAGAATCAAAATCTAAGTCATAAATTTAATAGTATTATAACTATAGAAGTATGAATTCAAAAATATAAAAGTTCCAAAAGAAAATTATAAGGAATCAAAAAAAATAATTTTTCTTAAATTTTTGCTTCTTTAAAAAATAAAATAATACATTCATTTTAATAGGTAATAAGTATATTTATTTATAAATACTTATTCATAAAATATATTCGTATGGTTATTAAAAAAGATGAAAACAAGTAATCTAGGTTTATTAAAAGAATTTATAAAGTGTAAAATGTAATTTATAATCGAATCATAAGCCAAATAACCAAATAACTTAACCTAAATTTGCTTAATGTTCTAAAACTAATTTATGGACAGCACTTAACAAAGATTGCAGAAAAATTTTAATGGCTTATTTGATGAAAGAAAATAACACTATAAAAAAATCAATTTGATAAAATATTTAATATGAAGTATAAAAATACAACCTATTTTAACTTATTATGTGCAGAAAGACATTATAATAAATCATTATAAGATGTTAAATTAAGGAAAATTTGATTATTAAATTTTTCACAACATCTTTATTTAATTTTTTAATGTTTTAGTTTGTAAATTTTCCAAATCTGCAGTTATTTAGAAAAAGAAATTTGAAAAACCAAAAATATTGAAATTAAAATTAAATGCTTACATTCTTATTTTAATAGCTAAGATTAATTTGCAATATGTTCTAAAAAGAGATTTAAATGAAAAAAAAGTAAGCATTCATATTATCGATATATTTTTTAAAGTCCATGATCGTAAACATAAATTAAATACTCCTTAAAAATTAACAAAAATAGAAAAATTTAACAAATCAGCTTTGATTGAGATTCAAACCTCAATAATAAAGTATATCCAAATTTTTTTTTGCTTTAATAAAGGCTCAATTTTTTTCATTCTATAGCATATTTAAAATATATTTATTTAATTAAAGAAGCAATTTTCTTAGAATTTAAAAATTCAACTGATATGTAATCATAGTCATCAATCAATTTTTAAGTTTTGATCTTGTGCAAATCCAAAGATTTGTTATAAAATTTTATGTATTACTTTTTAACATTGCGATTAAAAGCCTGAAAATTATGAAAAATACTTTAATAGATTCAGGTATTCAAGTTATTTATTTTGAGATAGTTTTTTTCATGAGCACTTGAAATTTTGTTTGGAGTGCCTTTATTTTACATAAAAAAAGAAGTGGAGTTTGGATTTCATAGTAGGGTAATTCTTTATAAGATAATCAATATTTTAATCTAAATCAAAAAAGAATTTATTTTATCTCAAATTTAAATTAAAGAACAATAATAAAAGTTAATAAAAATTGTTCAAGATATTTGAAATAATATCTAGAATATTTAAAATAATCTAAAATAATCAGAACAATTAAAAATTTTAATATGTATATAAAATTATATGATTAATCAAAATTAAATCAATATTGATTGATTTATCCTTATTGGTTCTTTTATATATTTTTTATCATATTGAATATTAGCATTTGTGCGAACTCTGTTATTTTATAATATTATTTGACATTAATAATCTCTTTTACCACTGATTAATCTTTCAATTTAGATCTTAATTTTACTGTATATTTTTATTTTAGAATATTTTCTACGATTTAAATCTGTTTCTCAATTTCTTCTTAATCTTTTTCTATACTTTCTATTGCCATCTTATTGTAACTTTTAAATAAAACATTTTCATATCTTTAGAATATATCTTATGCTTCCTTCTCTTTTTTTGTATTTTCTTCCTAAACTTAATTTAGTCTAGATTAAAATAATTTTTTGTAATCATTTTCATCCTTATATTATTATTTTTATTTTTATTCATTTTCTTTATTTTCCTTGATTCTTTCATAATATCTTGTTAAATGATATTACTTTATATAATTAAGTAAAGCATATAATTTTTCATATGATTCTAAATTTTATTGATAATTTTAGTTGTACTATTATACATCGTCATACTATGGAATTTTCATCTTTAATTCATCTATGTTAGAATATACCTTAAGAATATAATCTTTTAATTAATTTAATTACTAAGGATTTAATTATTAATTCGATATCTTATCATTTATTTAATTTAATTCTTTTTGCAATTATTCTTCCTACATTTTTAATTATTCATAGTTCTAAATTAAATTAAAATCTATTTAGATAAAATTTATTTCTTTTTATTTTTCAAATACTTTTTTAGTTACAATATTTAACCGATCACCTTTTTATTTATTAGTTTATTGTAATTATTTGAGCTATTCTTCAGATTGTTATTTATAATTCCCTTTTTTTGCTTTAATATCATTTAATACTTCATTAAATAACTAAGTATTTTGATTTTAATTTTCTAAATATTCTTCTAAATTTTTTATTTCCTCTTACAATTATTTTTCAAGTTTCTCTTTTTTCTCATTCACTTTTTTATAAAATTCAATACTATTAAATTAAAATTTTATTGATTAAAGAGCTTTTGAGAATTCTTTATACCTATTCTATAATTGATTATTTAACTTTAAAATTTCTTTTTCTTATTCACTTTTGTTTTAAGCTCCTATTTTTTAAATTGTCTACTTTAATTAGTCTACTTATTCTTTTACATTATTTTCAACTTCTTTTAATTTTCTCTAAAATTCTTCCAATTAGTTTATTTACTAATTAATAATTTCAAAAGAATTTAATTCATTAAATTCATTGAATTTATCAAATTACTTTTATTATTCAATTTTAGTGTTATCTATCAACACTAATGTATTATTTATTAAATTCTGAGTTTATTCATTATTGCAATATTGATTATTAATCAAATTTTTAACTTATTCTTTTTATTCATTCATTGTCTATTTAAATAAATCTAATTAATCTTGTATCATTTTTAATTTTTTAATTCTTTCTCCATTTTTCTATTCAATTTATTCATCATTGTAAATTTATTCATGCAATTATTTATATTATTTCTTAAAATCACTTATTGATTATTAAATTTAATCATAATTTTGATTGTATTATTAAAAAGCTACCTATGTTCTTTAAGATATTAATATTTTTAGAGAATTCAACTTACCAGATTCATCTGCAATTTTATTAATTATTTAATTTATTTTATCTTTATATTTTTAATTTTTAGATAAATATTTAAATTTATCTAATTATTCATTTAATTTGTGATCTAAATCATCAATTTATTATTGATATTCATCTTCATATTATCTTTCGATTTATGAAATGCATTTATTTGCCTCTTCAATTAAAATTTTAAGTCTATTTTAATATTATTAAAGTTCTTCAAGTTTGCTATTATATTATTAATAAAGAGGAATTAATTGTAATTAATCAAATTATTATATCATCCTCTCTTACTATTCTAATACTTAAATATCTTATGTTATTATTTATTGCTATTGTATAACATCTTAAATCTTCACTTCTCCTTAAATTTATAGTTTAATTCTTTAATAATACTTAATTTGTTCTGAAATTGTTTTAATTTAAAGAGATTATTAACTAGATTATTATTTTACAATAATGAATAAAGATTCATATTAATCTTTTTCTTTTTTTAATTTCTACTCTTGCTCCTTTCGCTACTGTTATGCCTTTTTCTACTCTTGCTCCTTTTACTACTCTTGTTCTTTTTTCTACTTTTGTTGATTTATCAAATTCTACTATTGTTATTAATTATATATTTCTTAATCTTTTACCTTTTATTCTAGTAAACTTTCTTCCTTTATAATTTTTTCCATTATTATCTTAAATTCTTATTCACATTCTTAAATCTCTTTTTCTAACTGAGTATCTAATCCTTCCACCTCCTCTTTTTTCTATGCTTATTATATTTATAATATTCTTTATTCATTTTTAATTTTTTTATCTTAAAATTTACCTAACTCTATATTAATATAAATTAACAATTATTATTTATTTTAATCCTCTATATTAATCTAATTTATCAATTTATATTTTTCTAAGAGATATTGAATGATAGTGTTAATTATACTTTACAATTACATCGATTTAATGATTAATAGTTATTTTCTTTCAATAAGTTTTTCTTTTTCTTCCTTTTCTTTTTCCAATTTTTTCCAAAAATTAACCTTTTCTTAAATTTCGCTTTCAAATTAATTTATAATTTATATTATTTATTAATCTAATTCTTATAATTTTTCTTCTGGAATATATTTTAGGCATTCTATTAATTTTTCCACTTCTTTTTTTTATTATTATTTATAATCATTCATTTCATTTTAAAAATTATTCTTTAACTAAATTATTAATATTTATTAATGGGATAAATTTAAGTCTTTCATTTTTTCAAAATAATTTTATAAAGTCTTCTATTTAATTAAATCCATTTCATTTGACATTTTATCTTCTAACTCTTATAGTTTTTATTTCAACATTTCATCAATTTTTAAATCTATTTCCTTTTCTTTTTCTATAAGCAAAATTTATATCAACTTTTCATACTCCTCTTTTTTTTTTATAAAATCCTTTTTCAATTTTTCACTTTCTGAACTGTCTTTAATTTCTTTCAGAGGTTTTAATTTTTATTTATATAATTTTTAATTCTCTGTTTTTATTTTTTCTATTTATTTTTACTTTGATTGATTCAATCCATTTATAGTTTCTATTTCTAAATAATTTTTGATATCGAATATAGTATTGGAAATTTTTTAGTCAGTATCTTAATGAAATTATTATGTTTATTCTTTAGATTATTATTCAGCATCAGGTTCTTCTTTATAAGCTTGTAATACATCTTTTAATTCTATTCTTTAAGTTGGTACTTTTTTTAACATCTTTTATATATAAACCTATTCTTTTTCTTAAGGGATATCCTTCTAAATTTGTTAATCAATACTATTTTATTAATAGTTTTGAATTCTAAAAAAAATTTCATCTTAAGTATTACCTAAGATTATAAATTTAAAATACCTTAAAAGAAAGTCTAATTAGTTAAAAGTTCATACCACATAGCTCCCAAAGACCATATATCAACAGATTTATCATAACAACTGTTTTAATTTCCCAAAACTTCTGGAGCCATATAATATGGTGTTCCAACTTTAAGAGTTTTTGCCATTTAATTTTAAGTTTCTTTGACTAATCCAAAGTCAATCAATTTAATAGTCATATTATTATTAGAATCTTTGATGTATACAAAATTTTCAGGTTTTAAATCTCTATGAAATAATCCTATTGAATGAAGTTATTCAACTCCTTATACCATCTAAAATATCATTTTATTTAATTACCTAAAGAAAATATGAATTTTTTTCATTATAAGTTAATTTTTGATATGCTGGTGATATCATAAATTAATAGAACTCTCCATGAGCAAATTCCATTGCAATAATTGGACAAGAATTTTATTGAATCTATACTCCTTTTATTCCAATAATATGACTGAAATTGTTTCTCTAAATTGCTTATATGGCTTTTAATTCATTTTGATTTATTAATTTGTATTCTTTAATAGCTACGATTTCTTATGTTTTAATATTTCTTCCCTTATAAACAATACCTTCTGATCCTTATCCAATTGGTGGCTGAAATTTTTCATAGGTGTCTCCTTCTATTGTAATTTTTTATATTATAGCATTTCGTTATTAAGTTTTGTTTTATAATGGCAATATCAATTGTGGAAATGGATTTTTAGAGTATCCTACTATTGGATTATTTTATATTGAAGGCTTTGTTTAGTTTTATACTGGCAATTAGAATTGTGGAAATGAATTTTTAATTTATCCTTCTATTGTATTATTCTATATGAAAAACTTTGGTTAGTTTTATACTGGCTATTAGACTTGTGGTTATTCATTCTCTTTAACCTAATTATTATTAGACATTTAATGTTTTAAATGATTTTATTAATACTCTTCACTAATCATTTGAGCATATTTATATATAAATTCTGTATTTCTATTAAAATTAAAATAAAAAAAATATATTATATACATTCAATAATATATTTATCATAGTTAATCTTTGTTTCCATAATCTTCTACTTTATTCTAATCGCAACTTGATTAATTATTAATTACATTAATTTCTTATTTAGCTATCTAATCACTATGTTATACTTATTATTTATGAATAGATGATTAGTCTTACTTTTATGGATCAATATTCTCACTATTATCTTATTATAAGTTTTGTAGATGTTTTTTAAACACTTCATCTGCTAATAATAAATCAATATTCTTTTTTAATATAGCTTGTAAATCATATTCGACATTTATTTGATCAATTCTTCTATAAAATAGAACATAGGCATTAGGAGTGACTATGCTATTTGTTTCTTTAGAGACAATTGAATCATCAAATTTGTACCAATCTCCATTATTTTTGCAAAATGCAGTATAGTGTCCACTTCCAGATTCTCCAATGTGATTGCAGATTGCATACAATTCATATAAATTATTATTTTCTAAATGTAAATAATAGAGAATACCTTTATGCAATACAAAATTACTCATATCTAGTTTTTCAGGATATAAAATATTGGTTTACAGTTTTGATTTAAACAATTTATATGAATTTTTAAATCTTTTTAGATGAAAAATTAGAATCTTAGAAGTTTTATATATTTACAATGTTTTATGAGCTTACACATGATCTTTACATCCACTACAATACCAAGTGTTATCTGCTTATAATTATTCTGGTTTAGTTGAATATTCTAAACAATGTTCTAAAGTATAAGCCTATTGTTATTTATTATTTTTTTGGTTTTTATCCCAGTTGAGATTAACAAAAGGAGCCTTATAATTTGGATCATAGATTTTTTGATATTCAGTATATATATCATCAATTTTTTCTCTACATGGTTTTAACCATATGATTTGGATTTCTGGTTGTAATAATTTATCTTCTCTTTAAAAACAATCACCAAATATTTTATCAACAAATTCAAGAGGACAATCATTACAATAAGCTTTATAGCAATAAGAACAATTGACTTAATACCTTTAATTTGATTTAAACATTATCTTCCAATATTTATCCAAAATATTTTATTGATAGATATCTTCTAAATTATCAGAATTAAGCCAGTTTTAATCAAATTCTGCAAAATTTTTAAGTACATTTTTGAAACAATCAAATAAAAACATATGGATTTCTTTATATTTATAATTTTAGGATAAGATAAAGTACATAGTAGGAGTGATATCTTTTTTCCAATTGTTCAAAGTTTATATTTAATTATGGATTAAAACATGTACTTATTATTCATTTGATATTATTTATTCTTAAACTGTTAGTTTTCTTAATTATAATTTTTTATCTTATTTTAATTACTTCTTAAGTAATTCTAATCTTTAATCCAAGAAAACTAAATTATTAAATAAATATACCTTCTTCAATTGAAAATGTAGAACTTAATGTTAGGATAATTTAATCCCATTCACAATTAAGCCATTCTTTTGATTTAAATTATAAAACTTCTTTTAATCTTAATTCTGGTTCATAATAATGAGTTACTGTTTTGCTTAGCCAAAGGTTTTCAGGATCAATTATATAAAATTCCAATACTTTTTTTTATTCTTATGGAATAGTTACATTAACCATTAAATAAGGATCAAATGTAATTGATATTTTTTAACATATTGGGCATTATAATTTTGATCTGTATTAACCATACAATTCATCAACAATTAATGAATCATTCCTTTTTTTAAAACAATCCCATTATTCTTAACTTACAATATCATCAGGTCTATTATTATTATCTGGAATTTCAACATATGGTTTTACTTTAATTCTATTTAAATCTTCATTAAGTAAATCAAGTGTTAATGTAATGAATTCTTGTGCATCATGTTGGGCATTTCCAGCAAAATTGGGTGATAATTTACCTACTAATTTCTTAAATTAAAATGGTGATATTGATGATTACTTATCAAACCAAAGCCTTTTTAATAGATAAGAAAATAGAGATGCAAATTCACCATTTGTGCCTAAGGCATTCTCTTAATTAATATCAAATTTAAATGAATTATCCAAAAAATACCTAGATATTTCTGGAGTATTTGATAAACATTATAAAGCACTATTCATATAACAAGTATTTCCTAAATTTCTTAATCCTGTTAATCCTTATTTTGATTAGGGATTTGGCAATAAATTAATAAGTATTTCATCTGTATCATTTTATTTTTCACATATTTAAATATGTTGATTTGAATGTTATTATAAACAGGATTCACTACAATATTTAACTTTTTTGCAAACACAATTAAATTTCAAATTTTAATAATTTGAACAATATATGCATTTTTCTTCTAATTCAAAGAGATTGTTTTATATTAAGAAGGTATTATGTATTTCTTTAGCATCCATTATTAAAATTTAATCTTTTTCAAAGTTGTAATCTTTGATTTACTTATTATCTGCAGGATTTAAGAATTCAATATCTGTAAATTCAATCAATTATTTTTTCTCTTTAAATTATTACAATAAAAATATCTTTAAATTTTCAAGATTCCAACTACTTCCTAATTTATATAGTCTGATATTGTCTTTTGTAACAAATCTAGCTGATGTACTAAATGCATAAATTTAATTCTTACACTGTTTTCAAAGTTTTACTCAGAATAGTTACAACCTCGCTAATTTATGCAATTGGTGAAATCTATTATTCACCTTCTATCATTGAGGTTTAGAGTTTCTACAAAGCCGAAGGGAATATGGGCACAAATTTGATGCACTTTAAATAAGCTTATATTTATCTTTATCCTTCATTGTTTAAATATGAATCTCTCTCAATTGTAAACTCAACTCTTTTTTTATTAAATCTAAATTCACATATATATATATACTCCTTCAGAAATTACCACATATGGTTATCAATAATTTAATAATCAATCCCTTCAACTAAATTAGGTTTTAATTAAATATTCCATGGATGAAGTTCAAAAGGATCATACTTTAAAACTTGTTTTGGTTTCTATCCTATATCAATATTGATATTGCCCAACTATATGGAATTATTTGGATCTCCTTCATATCCTACTTTCTTCTTCCAATTATTTAACCATCTTAAAATTAGAATGAATACTTAACTGTGATGAAATAAGAAAATATGATCCATTTTTTGAATGAAATTCTTATAGAAATTTCTCTTCCATCTTTTTATACTTTTAAACTTCATCACTAATCATTTTAAATGAATTTTAATTAATATTCAACTTTTGATAATCATATTATACATTAAAAATATATATTGAATATTTCAGAATTAATGATAATAATTACTATTCCTACCGTCTTAATTAATATTATTATATCTAAGTTATTTAGAACGATTCTCATTTGATTACAAAATCATACATTATCTTTAAATCTCACAATATTTAGACTATATTTAATAGAAAAAGTATTCCATTTATAAATATACACATTGAAATTAATAATAATAATGGAATCATCTCTTTACTTCAATTTAATATTTTATATTTTAATAGTCTCAATCGTATATTTTACTATATTTCAATGAATATATTTAAATTATATTAATGTTTATTAAAATAACCGATATTATATTTGGATAATTATCAATTGCCTTCAGATTCATCATCAGATGGTGTTTGTTAATTTTTGATTTAATCTGTATAATCTTCAATTTATTTGTTAATCTAGAGTACATTCTTTCTATTTCTTTCATATTACTTTTCCTTATAACTTGTAACCAATAATTTAATATCTCTCTCTATTGATGTTGTTATATTGGTATCCTAATTATTTAAATATCATTTTACTTTAGTATTAGCTTTAGATTATAAATTATCTTTGATATTACTGACTGTTCCTAATAGTGTTTCTTTATTTTCAAATAACTAAATAATAATAAAACTAATTAATATACAGTCTATAAATCTTCATCCCATTCACTTAAATCACTTCCTTATTATAAAAATATCTAGTATCTATCATATTCTAATTTAGCTATATCTGTTAATTTAGTTCCAAATTCTCTAATGAAATCTCCAATTTTTTTAAAACCATGATCACCTGAGACATAATCTGACATATCTTTTGTTATAAATCCTAACTTTCCATCAAAATCTCCTAAAGCTGCCTCTATGTCTACCATCAATTATAATTCTGTAGATAATAGATTATCCTTAAGTTTTTATGTTTCTTTTTCTAAATCTTCTAATTTTTATTTCCATCCTTCTTCATTTCTTTCTTTTGCTCTAAATGCTAATTTCTTTTAATGTTCAAATTTTTTAATTGTTAATATAGTTTCATTTTCACTTTTGATTTCTCTTGCTCTAACTGCTTATTCAAATTTCTATTTATTATAATAATTTTATTTACTTCAATTGATTATAATTTAGCAGTATTCTTTTAAATAACGTTTTTTTAAAGATTTTCTACAGTTTCTTTAATCTTTTCTTAAAATTTATTAATTTCTTCTTCAACTCCTTTCATAGTTTTAACTTTTTCTAATTCCTCATCTTAAATTAATTCATCACTTAATTTTTCTACTAAATCCATTCTTGCACTTTTTCTTTTAAATAATTCATCATTATTATTTTTTTCTTCTTATTCTTAATTTTACATCTATTTTAAAAAATCTTCTTAAGTTATTGCATCAGTTCTAAATTTTTCATCTGATTCTCTTATTTAATTTCTTTATGCTTCATCTATAAAGCTATAATCTAAATATCTTAGATTTGGTAATGAATTAATAATATGATTTTTATAATCTGGTTCTTTAGTAAATGGATTTCCTGCTACATTTAACACTTATAAATTCTTAAATTTCATTCCTTTTCCTTTGCTAAAATATTGTGTTACAATTTCAAAGGATGGTATTTTATTATTACCAATCGATAAAACATTTAGAGATTTGCAATTATCTAAACCTCCAACAGATGTTAATTAATTATTAAACATTGATAAGTCTTTTAGATTCACTAATTTGTCTAATCCCTCTATTTCTTTTATCAAATTAAATGATAAATCAAGCCAATGTAAATTGACTAAATGATCCAAATTCTCTATCTTTTAAATTATATTATTATCTAATTGTAACTTCTCCAATCTCTCTAAACCTTATAGATTTTCAATCTTCCAAATATCTAAATTAATATTATTATTATGATATACTTTTAAAAGACAATGACATTACACGTAAAGAATTTAACATAATTTAATCTCCCATTGTTATTTTGTTTTCTGCATTGTAATCCTTCACTGATTTACTTAGTCTTATATAATAATATTACATGATTAATATTTCATCAATAACAGTAGGCTCTATTGAAGCCTTATTATTTCGTTTATCAATCTTTGGAAGATGAGCACTTTGAAAGTTTAACATTAATATAAAAATATTATTTCAATTATTTAATTATAATTCTTAATTAAATCTCTAATTAACGTTGATTTATATAAATACATACATACATAAGTAAACAAGTACATAAATACATAAATTATAAAGAATTAAGATTAAAAAATGAATTTGCAATACTATTTGAAATTACTAATAAATATGAATATTAAATATAAATAATCCCATATAATTTATGTATAAAAAGTATTTCTATATATTTAATATAGTTTTATAGTATACTGACAATAATTATGTTCATTCTTCTTTTCCAATAGGAAAGGAAGTCATACAACCCCAGAAACCATCACAAACACTAGAGTATTGTTACATATTGTGTAACGTTAATTCTCTTAGTTATTCCCGTAATGATTGTCAAATTTAGAATGCTTTTCGTCAAAAATCAGCAAATCATGACGAATTAAAAGTACTCTAAATAGTTATTTTTTTGTATATTTTATTAATATAATTGAATTTATTTATAAATTTATATTCGATTAAAAGATAATTGAGTGATGAATATAATAATAATAATATGAATAAAATCTATTAATTTAAGAATTTTGATTAAATGTATAGTTTCATAAATTAATAAATTTTATGATTAAATACTTGTTTGTTTTAATATTACTTTATTTGACTTAAGCCAAGAGAATTAAGCAAAGCTATCTCATTAAATCACTTAAAGATTGGCATTACATATCAAAATTCGGAGCAGAAACAGGTGAAGTTTTCTATTCATTAACGTATATAAAAAATTACATAATAATATTAGTTTCCGAATCATTAATGCAGATGAAAATGATGAAAGAACAATTCCAATATAATATGAATTATTTTTAGATGAAGAATGGTAAAATGCAATAGAGAAGAGTGAATGTGATGTAAAAATAAAAGATTATAAAATTAGAGAAATAATGTTGCAAGAAGAAAGGAGACTATATGGATTCCAGTAAAAAGTGAATTTGAATTTAAGGGAAGTTTAACAGCAAAAGTTAGAGCACATCTATGGTATTTTGCATTTAGTGATTGTGAAAAATAATTAAGAAATTCATTTCCAGTTGAAAATAAAGTTAAATTAGAAGTGGAATTACATATAACAAATGTTGGAGGCACTGAATTTACATTAGAATAATTTGGAATTTTATAAATTATAGGTGTAATAGCCTTAATTGATGTAATTATGCTTATATATAATGGGAATTAAATATTAGAAAAATAAAGAAAATATGAGGAATTTAGTTTGCCATTATTTTTATTGGTTATCACTTTATTATTGGAAACATTTTCATATAGTTTTTTAACTATTCATTTATGGATATATAGTGAGAATGGGGCTGGATCATTATTATTATAAGTTATGTCTGTTATATTTTAAGTTGCATCATAATTTTCATTAACAATGATTTTGGTTATGTTGTCTTGGGGATGGTAAATAAATTTTAGTAAATTTGATAATTTTGAATTATTTTTACCAATATCTATATTGATAGGATTCTTTTAAATTACAATAGTTGGAGTAAGTTTTATAGATTATGATTCATATTATAAAGATCATTCATATGAAGGATGGGTTGGATGGTTAGCTGCATTAATATATATAGGAGAATTTATCTATTTTATGAATGGTTTAGTTGATACTTACAACAAATAGAATACAAAAATATAATAATTTATTTTATTATTGGGTTTGTATGGTGGAGTATATTTCATAAGTTTCCCAGTTTTGTAGACTGTAAATTTGGTAAATAATCATTTTATATTCTTAAGTTTACTGCCAGATATGTTAGATATAAAGTAATGGAGATAGGAACTATGTTATTTAGAACCTCTGCCATTTTGTTACTTACTAGATTGTTTACTTCAAAAAAATCAATCTTTGCATAGATTTCAATTGAGAATAAGAGTTTCTTAGATAGAAATAAGGATGAATGAGAATAATGTATATCTGTTTATTTATTAATTTTATTATATTTATAAATATGAGTAAAGACAAAAGGATTGAGTCATCCATGCTAACATTCTTTGTATAAGAGATGAACTAAAATTTTTGGGAGTAGACTTAAACAACAGAATTAGATGTATTGATTTACTTTTATTTAAGTCATAAGAATTCTTAATTGAACATGAATTTGTAAGAGAGGCTAGGAAAGAAGTTAAAGTTAAACATACTTTGCTTGTATTAGGAGAGGAATACTTATATAAGATCTCTCCAAAATAAAATTTAAAGCGAGTTCCTTTAAATATATTGCATTTTGACACAATTCCAAAATTACCAGAAGATCATATTTTGTAACTCAATTCTGAAAATGAATTATAAGGATTCAAATTAACTTATGCAAATAAGATACTTCAAGTATTCACTTCAAATTCTGTTGTTTTTTTATAATGGTAAGCTATTCTAAGACGAAAATGTCTACTTTCTTCATTTCATGAAAAATATCATGTTGAGAAAATAATAGGCAAAGGAAGTTTTGCTAAAGTTTATTTAGCTACTTCAAATGGATAATCATATGCAATAAAAGCATTTAGCAAATAATTCATTAATGAATAATAAAAAGTAGAATGTTTAATTTTTAAAATAGGGCAAAGAAAGTCTACTTAATGAAATGTAAGTTATGAGAGCTATAAAACATCCAAATATTGTATAATTATTAGAAGTACATGAAACATAAAATTCTATTTATTTTGTTTTAGAATTAGTTGTTGGAGGAGAATTACTTTAAAGAGTTAAAGAGAAAGGTAAATATTTATTATTATAAAAGGATTATTGAAATCTGATGATCTAATAAAAATTGCATTTAATTTATTAAGTGCTTTAGATCATTTACATTAAAAGAAAATATTCCATCGAGATTTAAAACCTGAAAATCTACTTTTTAAATCTAAAGATGATAATTACAATATCATGATTGCAGACTTTGGTTTAGCAGCCTTTTCTGATTAAGAATTAATATTTAAAAGATGTGGAACTCCAGGTTTTGTTGCTCCTGAAATCTTACTCTATATTGATGGAGGACCTATTTATGATACTAAATGTGATATTTTTAGTGCTGGTGTCATCTTATACATATTAATTGTATAAACTATCAAACTAATTAGACTGGTAAATAACCTTTCCCTGGTTAAGATCAAAAGGCCATTTTAAAAGCTAACAAAGCTTGTTAAATAGATTTTGGATTACCAGCTTTTTTAAAAACTCCAATAGAATTTTAAGATTTAGTAAAAAAGATGTTGTCTAGCAAAATTAATGATAGACCAAGTGCATAAGATGTAAGTATTGTTATATATTCTATTAAGTGCTTAAAACATAAATTATTTGCTAAAATATCTTAATAATTAAAATAAGATTAATAAGATTTTGAGGAATAACAATAATAGGTATTGAATAATTTGGCCAATTATGACATAGAATATACAATAGGTTTAAAAAATAATACTCAAAAGTAAAATATAATTAAATTAGTTCGGAGGATTAAGTAGGATCATAATAATTATAATGGAGAAAACCAGCTTATAATGGTAATGTTTAAACTGTTGAAACTTTAACAAATTGTTCTACTGTGTCTATCAAATAAATTGATGCTTAATCTACTTCTTAATCCTAATAATAAAAATAACCTCAATAATCTAAATTCAGTATTTTCAGTGCTAAATTATCAAGATAAAATAGTTTTGATGGAGGAACTGGTAATTATTATTATTATTATATATATATATAGATATGTTCAAAGATTGTGCATCTCCAGGGAGAAGTAAAATATCAAAAGAGAAGGATTTACATAAGATTGCATTGAAGAATTCATTTCGATTTTATTAGAAACCATAAATATAAGTGGAAGATAATCAAATCAATTAAGAAAAATCAGAGGTAAGTGAATTGATTAAAAGACATAATTCTAGTGAATTGATAAAAATGAATCGTACTGATCACGATATTTAATCTCCTAAAAAAGTCGAATGATATAAAATTATAAAAAACTTATATATATTTAATATTTAAATTCAATAATCTTACATTAAATTTTATCTATCCTTTAAATTTAATTAACCTTTTCCTTTTTCTTTCATTTCTTTAGCACATTTAATCTTCTATTTAACTTCTGCTACAGCTTTTTTCATTCCATTCTCCTCAAATGTTTTTAAACTCTTCTAAAAATAACTCAATGCATCTCTAAATTCTTAGACTAACAATAAAATTGTGCCTTTAATTTTTTAAATACATATATATATATACCAATAATTTTTTATGTCTTTGCTACTTAAACACTACCTTCTCCATATACTTTAACTTCTAAATCTTCAGTTTCATATAATTCACCAAGTGCTTCTTAATGTCTCTCTTATTTTAATTGAATTATTGCAATTTATCTTTTAATTTTAATAACTTTCTTATCTTAAGCAGTATATAATTCAATATATATTTATTTAACTTTTTATAAACAAGCTATTTGATCATCAATCTATTAAATTTTCTCATAATAAGTTGATAATTATTAATAAAGTTCTGCTACATATTCAGTTTTATGATAATTAATTTCTACTAATAAATCTATAGCATTTGTTTAACATTATATAGCATCTTTCCAATTTTCTTGACAAGCAAATATTTTTGCTTTTTCAATATATGAAATTGCACTTTATTCTGATTTATATCCATATTTTGCTTCAGTAATAGCAAATACTTTAGTAATACATTCTTCACTAGCATCATAATCTTTCATTTTACTAAAATATTATATATTATTTAATTTTACGTATGACAATTAGACATTAAAGTCAATGTTTAGATTGAATGTTCAGTTTCATCTCCATATATTTAACATTACGTTTCATAAGCCTTTTTTAATAAATCTAAAGATTCTTCATAACTATTGATTTCTAAATAACATTTTCCAAGTAATGTTAATATTATTGCATTATAACTTTTACTTTCTTATTCTTCATTATATAATTTTGCATTTTTCTTTAAAGCCAAAGTTAAATGATCAATAGCTTATTCATAACATTTATAATTTAGATATGCTTCACCTATATTTGTATGAGCTTTCACTAATTTGAATTATCCTTTGCCATGTGTGAATACCAGAATCTTTGATATTAAGTGATAATAATCAATACCTTGGCCAATGCCAATTAGTGCATTCTGATATTCAATATTTATTCTTCACTTTTATCTTTAGAATACTCATCTAACATTTTCATTTTTTCTTCTAAATCCTCTGATATTTTATCTTCAATTTATTTTTGTTGATCTGGTTAATAATTACCATAATTCTTGTCTTATTAGTATTTTTCCTTTTATGCTAATAAATTATCATAAATATTAATCTACAGTTATCAAATTGATTAGATTCCATCTGATCGACTTGATTAAATTAATCATAATCCTCTTCATTTTAATCTTAATCATCTTAGAAATTTCCATCGTCATCATCATATCCATCCTACATGTTTCTATTATATCTCTTGTATATTAAAAATAATAATTTAAATTAAACAAAAAACTCATATTGTATTATAATATATAAATATTCATACTTAACTTACTTCATCTAAATTTATTCATTAATTCTTTTAAAATAATATTTAGAATATACTCTATTATTGTATTAAATATTATCATATTTACTTAATTATTACAATATATAATATATTAACATAAAAATAATATTTTGGACAGTAAAACCCTGATCATTTTATTTACCAAATAAACTTTTTTTAATTATTCTTTAAGTATATATTAATATATGTAAAAATAAAGAAATATGATTTATGTACCAACTTAAATAGTTGAAATTACTAAAATTACAAAGACAAAAGGAGATCAAGAAGAAATTATATTACCAGAATCAGATTAAGAACATTATCCAATCTTTAATCCATAAAATGATTATAACATAAGACAATGTGATCAAAAAACCAAAAAAAAGAAGAAACATATTAGATTTAGCTTTTAAAATAGAGTGAGCAGTCGTTAATTAAATTCAAAACATAATTCTCCTACTAATTCTCCTCGTAAAAGTTCATATTCAATTTAATCTATTCTCAAGCCTTAATGCCTATCAATGTTTTATTAATCAAAAAAATGAAACTGAATTATTTGTGTTTTGAGATCTCTTTGTTTAAAATAAAAATAAATCTCTAATCATATTATTATAGTGTCAAATTTATCTTTAATTGACATAAATATTTTACAAATTCATCTTTAAATTTAATAGTTTATAGCAAATTAAACATGTCTTATATTATCATAATATAAGAATTATAATTTAAAGTAAAATAACTTATTTGATTAAGTATATAATATTAATACAATTTTTTGATATTATAGGATTAAATATATTAATTTAAATTTATGATATAATCTAATCTAGTTTGTATTTAAAATTCAACAAATATAATATAATTTCTGTCTATAAACGCTTCAAAAATTAGTATTTGTCCATTAGAAAATTAAATATCTATTGGAGGAAAATCCTGTCTATTGATTATGATGCAATTTAAATTAAATTTTGAAAGAGAAGAGATTTGAGAATTCATTTTAGAAATAAATTTCATAATTAAACTATTGCATTTTGATTTAAAAATTTGATTTATTTCAAAAGCTTAATCACTCCAATATATTTTATATGTCAATTAAACAGTAAAAATAGATGAGAAATAAATCTATGAATTTAGAACAATTGAGCATTAAAAAATATATTTTGAAAATGATCTATACTTTGTAAAAATCACTCTTATTTCAATTTATTATATTATTTATTGTAAGTACCAGAAAACAGAAAAATGAACAGCGTAAGAAGTTAATAAAGAATATCTGAATGTCCACTTTTATGTTATAAAGAATTCAGCCCTAGACTTAAAGGGCCCTTTTATTATCAAAGCTTACATAATGAATCAAGAAAGTTACTATCACCGTTTGGGAGTCAAAGAAAAAGCATGGATCCAAAATTAATGATTCATCTTAAACCTATATTGATTCCAGATTTAATGGGAAGAAGTGAAATTCAATCTTTGAAAATAAGATGTCCACTAATTTAAAGGAGTAATAGATCTTAAAGTTCAAATGAATAGATATATGGAATTTATGGGAGTAAATGGAAAAGGTTGATTTCTTAAGGGAAGTTTTATGTGAAACAAATTCGTCATTAAAAAATAATTTATAGATTCAAGATATATGTAAGAGCAGTTTAACTTATGTTAACATATTTTAAATTTAAAAGGGCTAGATAATAAAATATGAAAAGTAGTAAAAGAATATCAAAGGCAAGAATCTCTATTTTTAATATAAGAAAATAATCTGGTCAGTCAACTTTGATCCCACTTATTTAATAATACTAAGCAGAAATGTTATAAATGTAAAATTAAATATTGAATGTATCTACATCAGATGTACATAGTCCTCAATCTCAATGTTAAAAAAGAAAATAAAAAACACTTTCTTAAATAAGTTTCGATCATTTTCTTAAAAGACCCATATAATAATTCATAAAAAATAAGAATCTTTCTTCATATTCAGATCATAAATCAAATTAACCTACTAAAAGAACTTGTAAGACTGAATAAAGTCATAAAAGATTTGCAAGTCTTAGATAATTACATCGCAAATAGTAGATGAATTAAGCTTATTCATCTTAATAATGATACTAGTATTAATATTATATAAAACTTGATATATAAATCAAAAGAATTCTAAATACATTTTTTTTTGTAATTGATTTTATCTTGATTTTCCAAATAATTATTCTAAATTAGCTGTTGCATTAACAAAAATACTTCTTGGAGTAATTTTAGATAATTTCTTTAATTCTAACATATTAGCATTTTAATTAGCAATATTGAATACCATAAGATCAACTTAATTCTTTTCTAAAACTTATCTCAAACTGATTTCTTACTTTTCACTCATTTTTTTATTTACTAAAATATTTAATAAAATAATAAATACTCTCAGTAAAGATACAAATAAATTTATAACGTGTTCTAAAATCATTTTATTATGATTATTTTTCTTATTCAATTATATTACCGTAATTATTTTCATTTCTAACTAATTTAACATCATTATCTTCAAAATCAGAATTAGATTCACTAGTTACATTATCATATTAACAATCTTAACTAAAGATAATAAATTTTTATTAAATACCTAATATTTACATGTTAACTTTTATCTACTAAATTTTCTATAATCATACTTTTCCCTTCATCTTCCTCTGCTACTGGAGGTAGAGGTATTTTTTATTTATTATTTAAATCCATATTTTTCTTTTTCTCATAATCACTATCTTAAATTGTAATTTTATGTTCAAAGAAATTCTTAACTGCATATTTTAAAGCTTAGAATATCTTAGATTTTCCTCCAGGAGCAGTAATTGCCATGAATAATTACTTTGTCAATAAATCTTTATATGTTCCTTTTGGTTATAATGGAAAAGCTTCATGTAGAGAATTGTTGAATCCATACATACCAATTAAATCTTAAGGTTACAATATATGAAAGATTTTGGTACAAATACTATGAGACAAATTAATTTATTCAATTGTCATTTCTTTTGAATAATCAATCATGAAAACTATTTCATAAATATTGATAGATATTTAATTTCTGAATTATTAAATAGGCAAAGGAGATATATTAAAAAGATTAAATATTTTCTCTAAAACCATTAAACAAAAATCACGTACTTCAGGATCATAATATTCACCCAATTCTATAATTTATGTTAAGATTTCAGCACCAGTCTTAAAATTACCTTCAATTAATTCAAATATAGCTTATAATTACATAATTTTTGAGAGTAAGACTTCTTTAGGTACATTTTTGAACATGTCAACAAAATTATAATCTTATTCTGCTTAATTTTATTCTTAAGTAAAATTTTCATTAAGTTTATTATAATATTCTAATGCTTTTTTTTCAGATATTTTGAAATTACTCAAATCTCCAATTTATATATAACATAATGCCTTTTTAACATGAAGATTAATCAATCTTACAATATTACTTTATGTGAACATTTAATCTTTTTCTGCTGTTGCTTCAAAGTCATTAAATAATTTAAGAGTTTCAGGAATAAAGATTTCATTTTACATACAAATTGTAAACATGAATTATGCTAATTAAAATTATCTATTTAATAATTTTGCTTTAGCTAATTATTTCTTTTTCATCAACTCTGCTATCTTCTCTTCAATCATTTACAATTCTGTCATTCCTCCATTAGATTATCCAGAATCTCCTCTTACTCTTTCCTCTTAATCTTATCTATATTCATCATCTTTATATCTTTCATCTTATTGTATAATACTCTCTTTCAAATCCAATCTTTAACTGATAATACTACTTTAATTATATGAGTGACCACCTTAATATTTTACTCTATTATTTGATACATTTGGAGATAATTAAGGAGATACATGTTATGAATTATCAGGCTCTACTGAATTAATTGGTTATAAATGTTATTTACTTTCTGCAAATGAGATTCTACCACTTAATCTCTTTTTCTACATTGGTGTTTGAACAGAATTTGTTTATATTTAAGTAATTTTATTTTATGTACCAGTATTAAGTAATGCAACATGTGGTATATTGGTTTTTTATAATAATTAAGTAGTAGATTAATTTTTATTATGTTATTCTAATGGTCTACTCATAAGAGATTAAGAATTTAATTTATATTAACTTTCAACTTTCTTTTTTTTATTATCTTTCTTTTTCATTTATACACTTATCCAATTAATCTTCATTTATTCTTTAAATTTTTGTGCCAAAACTTTCAATCTTTATTTAAAATTTTAATATAGATTTGGTTCCTACAATGCTGATTACATTCCTAAACACCATTTTTTAAGTTCTTTGATTTCTATTAATTCTAATTTTGCAATATAAATAGCCTCTTCCATTTCATTTATTGCTTCAAATACTCTACCTCCTTTCATATGTAATATTCCAATATTATTAGCACATATACCAACTGCACTCATATTTCCTATTTCTTTTTTGTAAAAATCTTTTGCTTTACTTAATTCCATCAAAGCCAAAGCATCAGAATGTTTAGAATTAGAATATTTTTGATTTGAATATTTTATTGTTGTTACAAAAATATTCATAGTTTAAAATAAGGATTTAATCTCAAAAGAGTTAAAATAATCCTAATAATTTATTAATTCTTCTTCTTAATCCATATTTTATATATCTATACTATTCATAAACTCAGTTAAAACTTTAATTGGTTATTCAAATGATAAACCTATTCTAGTTGCTGTATACCAAACAAATAAAAATATTACTAATTTATATATATATATATATATTTACCAACAGATAGAACAATTATAACAATTAATACAATGATCTCTAAGATTCTGACATTATTTAATGATGTTCCTTCATAGAGTTCTTAAATTAAAGTTTATTCTTCAAAATAATGAACCAAAATAAATGAAGGCATAGTAAAATTGTTTTCTTCTGGTTCAATATACACATATCTTCTTCCATTTTCTGGGGCTGTTACTATAGAGACTTTCTTTGTTGAATAAGTATTAACCTTAGAAAATAATAAATAAAATTTATTTTAACCAAACGAATAAGTTAATGATGTTGAATTTTGAGTTTGATTCTAAACTAATTCTTTAGATTTATTTATTATTTATGGTGCTAAATCTTCATTTAAGGAATTATAAGATGATTAACTGAAATCTTTAGTTTTTACTATATATTTTATAATAGATTCTGAAATAGTCATATTACTTAAATCTTATGGAGCTAATGTAGTGAATTAATCATTTATAATAGCTGTAAATAATTAATGTTCATTTTCCCCTTAAATCTCATGTTATTAATAATGTCTTGTTATTAGATCTAATAAATATGAATTTGAAATCTTTGCTGTCAGAAAACATTGTCTAGTATCATCTTAAGAAATGATTTATGTTATTGTCAATGATGGATTTGATGTAAATTCATCATTATGATCATAAGACATTGTAAAATTTAATGTTGAGTCTAATTAGAATTCTTTCTTTGGTAACCAATCAGCTGTATTTATGTTCTTCAACAAATTTTATTATTATTTTGTGAATTATGGTATTCTCATTACTAAAGAATCTGTACAATGGACCATCAAAGATGCATAATTAATAGGTATTAATGTTGTATCAACTTCATTCGATTGAGATTCTAGTTATAGATCCTATGAAAGTGATCTTGTGTTGCTATTTTTAATATCATCATCTCAATACTTTATTATAATATCTGATAGTATAAGTGATTAAGTGATTTTATTCATCAAAAAGCTTAATTTAGGATTTTAGTTCTTAATGGTGTCTAACTTAGTAAAATTGGTATGACTCCAAGCAACTGTGTAATATTCTTCGGTTATTTCACCAGAAGAAAATGAGTATGGAGCAATTTACTTTGCATCCAAAGTCCTAGATAGACTCAAAATTATACCAGGATGAATAGTTTTAAAACTCGCCAAAACAATAATGTCTCAAATGTGCACTTACTCCAAATATTTAATTAAAATATGCTTAATATTGGATGTAGATTTCCTATCATCTTTCAATTATTTACTTGTTAGATGATATTCATCTCTATTTATAAACCATTTAGGTGTCTATTTATGTGAAATTCTAAGAGAGAATCCTAAAAACTTGGGATGCTCACAAAACCAAGCAATCCAACTTGCAACACTGCTAACATAAGAATCAAAATTATAGGAATCAATATAACAAGTAAAATCTAATTTTTTAGTTCCATAACTCACCTATTAATATTTAATGTAATATTAAAATAATGGAAATCAAGATAAACTGTTATTTATACATGTAATATTAATTTAAATTTTCTAAGTAGACAATCAAATCAATGGTAATTCTTAATTTCTTAAAAATATTAGAATACCCATTATAAATAGAACTATTAAATTTTAAATTCTTATCTAAAATTCATCATCATAACTACTACTACTATACAAATTTAATATATTTATTATAATTAATAATTTAATAGTATAAATATATATATTCTTAGTTTCACACAATTGTTTCAATTTAATTATTCAAACATTAAACAGAATTAATAAATTGAAACTGCAACTATTTATATGATAAACTATCTTTTACATTCTGATTCAAATAAAATAAATATTATAATATTTAGAATAAATTTAAATCAAAAATATATTGATATAAAATAATATGAATATGTCTCTATATTAAACATTTAAATATATATATATAGATTAATAAATACTAAATATAAAAAATTTATGTTTTTTCAATTTTATCTATAAATTTTAGATTGAAATATTTTCTCTTAATATTAAATATCATCTGGTTATTGATTCAGGAAAATGAATATATTGGTAAATTACAAATTTTTTATTAAAAATCATATTAACTAAATTATTAATATAAATGAGCATTTTCTAAATCTCTCTTTTATTATTATAAAATTATTATAAACCTATTTAATACTTATATGAAATGTGAATTCATCTATTAATTTAAATGGTTATTTATCAAATTTAAATTGCATTATAATAGCATTATGAGACATATGATATAATTTAATTAGATATTATAATTATAAGTTTTCAGATATTACTTAATTTGAATACAAATATTTTTAATACATCATATAAATATAAAAATTAAGATAATCTATTTTTAAATATGAAAATATATATACTAATTTATACTCTATATAATTAGGGAATAGTTTTGAATATTATTTATTTTAAAGGAGAGTATTATATTAATGAATAAAATATTTATTTAACAATAATCTAATATTAATGTTTTCAAATACATAATCACAATTCTAAAATCCTCAATAATCCTAATATGGTGGTTATAGTCAAACTATTCCGATAAGTAAGTGATATGAATATAGTAGTAAATTCATCAGCAGTAGGGAAACCTGTGTATCAACCTTAATAACCTTAACCAATGGAAACAGAATAAAAAATATACAGAGGACAGAATCAAGTTTCTGAAGTTTAAGTTCATAATCCAATGCCTATAAAATAAAATACATCATAAATAATTGTGTAGAATCAGTTTTAACAATAGTAAGGGAAATAAAATTAGAAATTGTCATATGTAATATATTTGAATTTAATTTGATTAGTTGATAGATTGGATAATGTACTTTTTACCAATAGCATTCATAATAATAATTTTGATTGTTATGTCATGCATGGTTGGTGCTAAGATAAAACATTTTAATCCTGAAGGTGCACATAACACATTATCAACATTAAAAATCAATTTAGAAAAGAATCCAATAGAAGATATAGTAGTAGGAAGGGAAACAGCATCACATGTTACAATGATTGAATATTTTAGACATAAGAATGTTGAATGTCCTAATGGTTATGAAACAGCTATAATAGGTAAATGGGATGGAGTTAAGTCTGGATGTTTATGTGAAAATGGAGAGATAAGTCATTCTGCTACTTGTTTTTATAAATCATCATGTAAAAGAGTGAAATCTCATGATTCTGTGGATATTAAGATATGGTAATCTAAGAGTTTTTGTATTAAAAAATATGAAGATTGGTAACATTTAAATGGAATTAATTGTGATGATGGTTATAAGAAATGTGGAAATATTTGTGTACCTATATCTAGAAGATGTCCTTTGTCTAATTTAGTGAAAGATAATAGTAGATAAAATGATGAACATGCAATAAAAATAGGGAATGATCATTTTATTAAGAAATTTGAGGATTCTGAATCAATTGTAGATTTATAATTGGTTCCTGGATTAGGTTAAAGTGAATCATCACCTTGTTTTAATAATGAATTAAATCCAAAGTTTTAATCTGAGAAATATTATCCATTTGCAAAGAGAGCAGAAAAAGGATGTGATTAATATTTAGATCTTTAAAATCATAGAATAAGTTTGAATACATTAGAAATTCATAAAGTTTATGAATAGAATGATTTAAATGATCTTTTAAATCAAATACCATTTTATTAAAGTTATATGAGTAATGAAGATACTTATGCATTTGAATTAATTAAAAGAATAAAAATAAATTCTATTTAGGAATGCTAGAAATTGAAACCAAATTAAGTAGAAAAGATTTCATCAAGTAGTAAAAGTATTTATCATACTGAAAAATATCTTTCATTTATAATATTATTGATTTCAGCAGTTGCTTTATTTTTAGTGCCAATACTTTATTTAATTAGAAATAGAGTATTATTAACAAATTTTATTTAGGTATTTGAATGGAAAGATATGACAGAATTCTAATAACCTAGATTCTTTTGTGGTAGTGCTGCTGTAATTGCTACACTTTGTATAATTTTGGGTGCAATATATTTATATCATATAAATGGAAATGTATATTTAATATATTATAATAATAGAATGGATTAAAAGAACATAATCATATTTTTTAGACATATTTAGAAAAGAATTGTTTTTCAGATCAAGGATTAATATTGGTATAATATATTTATATTCATTAATTTATAGGCAATTGATTAAGTTAATACTTTTGCAAAGAATGTATATCACACTACTTATAGTTATGTGGTATTTTCATTTTATGGAAGTATTTGTTTTTTTGTTATTTTGGCTTTATTGATGATTTATTAATTTTATACACATAAGAGTAATTTTGAAAATCCTTGGTAATACAGAATCCAGAAATAATATTATGAATTTCATTGAGATAATTATTAATTTTTTATATTTATTAATATTTATTAAATATTATGGAGTAAAATAAAAACATTTATCATCTCAAAAATACAATCAATAAAAATACTCATTACTTTCTCAAACCTAAAAATGCAGCCTTAAATTCCCTTTTGGATACTTATATATTATAGGATTATGGTGGTATTAATGTAAGTTATCAATTACCTAAAATACGTAATCTATCATAACAATAAATTTTGATGGATATTGAAAGCAAACGTAAACTCTCAGTTCAAAATATTCAAAAGTTATGTTCTTAAAGAAATCTCAATCGTTTAGTTCGATCTTAAACTATTGATGAGCCTGCTTATAGAAAAGCAACTGACATCATTGAATCTTGTGAAAAGATAATAACTGTTCAAAAGAAGAAAGAAATTGAATTCAAAGTTAAACAAACAAGAGAAGATGATGAATACAAAGCTATTCGTAAGGCTGATAAATTACATAAATTAATATAAGAACAAATATATTAATGCAATAAAGAAGATATAGAAAATACTAATAAAAAAGCTATTTTATATATTAAAGAAAACACTGTCACTATTGATAAAGATAAATTTATATAAAAATGTAATAGAGAAAGATTTTAGTTATAATAATTTCGAGAACGACCACGTAAAGAAAAAGAACATAAGAGATTTAGAACAAATTATCATTTATTAGATCTCTGATATGTTTTTTATTAATTTTGTAAATTTTAATTTATATATATTTTTTAATTTAATTTATATGTTTTATCAATTTTTTTAATCCAAAAACAATCCATCACTATCTCGTTTAAGTGCTGTAAGAACAACTGAAAGAACCTATGATGCATTACAAGTATCTGCTAATGTTTATAATAATCATGAAAGAATAATTACAGAACCATCAACAAATGATGGTTATTTAATAAAAAAATAAACATTTTGTTCTAGACATTAAAAGAATAAAATCTATATTTTTATTCATAATATTCAAAATACATTTAAAGAAGAAATTGAAAAAATTAAAGAAGAAAGTAAAATTAAATTAATTGATCCATAAATCCATATGTAATTTATATTTTTTATAATTCATTTAGTTAAGATATGTTATCAAATACTAAAGAAGATTTAGAATTTATTATCAATAAATTAAGAAAGATATTAATTAATAAATCTAAACGATCTATTAGTGTTGACATTATTTAAGAAATCAATCATTTTATAATCAAATTCAAAAATATAGGTATCAATACTATTTTATAATGTTTCAAGATATTAAAATCCTAATCACACTAACACTTGCTAAAATTGCCAAATACTATAATCTTTTATATTATTCTATTTCCCTTGCTAAGAATGCTAAAAGATTATCAGACTCAGAATCACTACTCAAATATAAACTTAAAGCATATAGCATATTATCATAATGTTTTCTTAAGCTAAGACTTAAATAAGCTAAAATATATATCACTAAATATTTGATGTGCAGTTGGAAACTAGGATAAGTAAATTCTGAATTCAAAGGTTATGAATAATTAGGAAAATATTATTATTATGAAGGCAATATCAAAATGGCTTAATTATTCCATAATAGAATGTTAAATGGTGAATCTTTGGTATTCATATGATATTAATTTAGAAATTTGATTCCTCTTTAAAAAGACTAGCTATTTCTAAATTTGAGTAAGGTTCTATTGGAAAGAATAAAAAAGATAATCACATTATTGATGAAAATAATTTAGATATTTCTTCAGATGATGAACCTTTTGAAATTATCTTCAATTAAGATTCAAATGATGTTAAATTAAATACAAATACAATAATGAATTCTTAAAGAAAAAAAAATAGACTACTAAATTTTTCAATAAGATCATAACCTTTATTTAATAAAACAAATATTAAAAAATCATAGCAAGAAATAAAAAATGCTAATCTTTATATTAGGTATCATTATTTACATAAATAAAGATCTCCAAAATAATAGAATGTTAATTCATTGTTTACAGAATAAGGCAATTTAGATTTATAAAAACTCAAAAATCTACCTCATTCACATCTAAAATTAGGAGAACTTAAAACTCCTGTTATGTTAAATCATTTAAGTCCAAATAGATGTTTAGCTAATTACCAATCTTTAGAATTGAATAAATCACCATAATCTAATAGGAAGGCTGAAGAAGTTGAACTGCTTTTTGATGTAGGAGATATTCATAAAATGTCTAAAATTCTTAATAAAATAATCACTATTCTTACTAAAATAGATGAATGGCTTTATATGCAGAATGAATTATAATGATAATATGATTATATATTACATAAATTATTTAAAATATTAATAAGTCACTTACCTCTAATATGAGTAATAAAAAGTAAGAGTAACCCTTAGGAAATGCTTAAAATAGATAAAGAGGTGATTAAAAATAAATCACATTTTTCAAATCTAAATTATCTGGATTGTCACCATTGAATAAATTCAGTCCTTTCAAAGAATCTAGCACTTATTAGCTATTCAAATAGAATTATGCCTCTGTTGATTTCACATAACAAAAGTATCAAGTTAAAATTTCAAAGACAGCCCTTATTCAAATCAATTAAATAAAGATCTAAGCATAAAGAACTTGCATCTTATGATTCCTAGAGAAGTCCTCATAAATCTCCAAATACTAGCAATTAGTAATTTTATCTTAATTTTGAAGCTCTTCAAGATAAACTACTTAGAAGAAAGACTATAACTCTAGAATTTAGTAAGTAAAGAGATAGGAATAGTAAGTGAATTATAGTTAATTTTAGGAAAATACCATATGATTCATTGAAATCTTAGAACATATATATAGAGAGTTAAAAATCAATATCTAATGCATTAAAGCAATATTAGAAACCAGAGGATATGTAAAATATTATAATATTAAATAGGAAATTGATTATTGGATTAAAAAGTTTAATTAAGAAAGAGAAATAGGTAATTTTAAATGATGTTGATTAAGTGATCAAACAAACAGATAAATATTAATCTAAAATCATAGAGATTGTATTTTATTAAGTTATATATATTAGACAAATGAATAAGAAGAATTAAAGTAACAATATCAAAAAATGACTCAAGATGAACATTTAAGTATGGAAAAATATGGTGAAACTATTTGTAAATACAATAAAGCAATATAATTATTACATGAATTATAAATTGATTACGATTCACTATTACCAGAATTATGTATAAACTTATGAAATTGATATTTAGAGAATGATTAAACTGAAGAATCCTTAAAAAAAGTATAATAAGAAGAGAATAAGGATGAAACAATTTTATTACAATAGTTTATAATAAAAAAACTAGTTAATAAAATAGAAGAATCCAAATCACTTAATCAATAACTAATTTCAAAGATAAAATAATGATAATCTAAGGCATTTTCAATTAAAAGAGTTGTAAATATATTATAAATTCAATTATTTTCATTTAATTATAATTATGCAATAATCATAAACAATTCTCAACTATTTGAATGGTAATTATTTACTCACAAGTAGTATGGAAAATCAAATAGTTACCTTAGAATTTGATTCAAAATATTATAGTCCTTGCTTTTACTTTTTAAATTATTAATTATTGAATCATCTTAATAGTACAAGGTAATATTTATAATACATAATAGACCACTTTTGATAATTGATTTAGAATTCAATTTTAGATAACAATTGAAGAACATCTATTCTAGTATTGAATTTTAATAGTTAAATGGATTTAAGAAATATGTGAATAATATTTATTTCATTAACAAAGAAGATTCTTTAAATAATGTCTTAAAATAAATTGTTGTAGATAACATTAAGACTCTAGAAGTCTTGATTTCTGGAATAGAATTAGCTGATCAATCAATTTTCAATATGATTAAAGAAATATTCAAATAACCTTTAAGATCTTAAATTAGTATATTAATCCCTAAAGACTTTAAACATAGAGAATTAAAAACTATTTTAAATATATCAAATTGTAGAATGATAATTGAATAATAGTTGGAGACTGATGAAAAATTATAAAAGAATGAAAAGGAATTTAAAATCTATAATTTATTAGTTACCATGGTTTTAAAAAAGTCAAATGGACATTCCTTTTTAAAAAATTATATAATTGATGGTAAAGAATTGTTGAAAACTAAATTAAAAATTAATAAAATAAAAAAAGAGATTAAAAAGGATGAGTAATTAGATGTAACTAAGAAAATAGGTGCTACATTCAATTTAAATTTGAGTTAGGAATAAAAATTAATGAAAAATGAAATTGATAATTAAATAAATCCTTACAAAGAAATTATTACTTAAGAAAATACTCCATTAATTTATTAAAATGAAGGAGATGAAAAAAGAATAATTTTAGATGATGAATAAGAAGATTTTGAAGAAGTAGAAGAATATGAAGGATGAAATGTTATTTTAATTTAATTTATATAAATCTTATTGATCTAATAATAATTATATTTAATAAGATATATATCTATCAAAAATTGAATAAAATTACTATTCATTAAAGCAATTTTATAAAAATATTAAATTAAACAGACTTTTTATCATAAAATCAAGCCTATCATGTAAAAGACACCTATAAATTATACATGTGCAGGTAATAAAGTCTATTGAATATAGATTTATTATAAAAGTAAACCTAATTTGATAATCCCAAAATTGGGATTTAGATTGATAAAGAAAACTCTTATGCTGTATTATAAAAGAAAAAGCAACTTTAAAATAGGGAAACAGGCAATTAATTTTAATAAAAGCCAGATTTGAGATCAAATAGTGGTTTATAGAAATCATCCTCACTCTAATAATTTTATAGAGCTTCATCCACAAATGATAAAAATTCTCATAAAAACTATAAAAATACATATGCAAATTTAAAAGACATGAAAAATTAATCATATAATTAATAGCTTTAATAAAGTAGTTATTAATAGCGCCACATTTCCTCAAAATAAGTTAAAGAAAACAATACTAAATAAACAGAATAAATTAATAATAATTAATTGAAAGTAAACTCACTTGAAAATTATGAAGAGAAGAAACTTAACTTAAAATTAATAAAAAATTGTTTAGAAAAATAAAAAAATCTGAAATCAAAAGATTGTTCAGAATTTAACTATCAATAAATTTTAGAAAATAAAACAGATAAATAAAAATAATAAGGTTTATTAGCTAAATACTTTAATATTTAAGGAAATGAATTTAATTATGATAATAAATAAACAAAAGATGTAAAACAAATTTATAATATTTATACTTAAATCAAAGATATGAAAAATTATTATACAAATTCATTAAAATAGACTCAAGAAAAGAAAAGAGTATAACTTTAAGATTTTGTCACTTAATTAACTGGAAATAGTATCAAGGTTACATAAAAATTATAAATGAATAGTACTCTAATCAAATCTGATAGATAATAATAGAATGATATCAAATCAACTCATTTAAATAAAATAAGTGTGACTTAACCTAGTGAACCTGTAATAATAATCATATTTATTATAATTAGTTTCTATATTATATATCATCTATTATATAATCATTAAGAATAAAGGATTCAAATAAATATGATGAGAAAATAAGGGATCACTTTTAATAAACCTATTAAGTAAAATAGAAATTTATAAAAGGGATTATTATTTGCAAATTAACTTAATTTGATTTTTGATGAAGATAAAATAGTTAATCTTCCAAGATCTAATAATTTAAAAACTATTGTATTTGATTTAGATGAAACATTGATTCATTGTAATGAAAGTGCTTAGATTCCTGGAGATGTCATACTTCCTATTACATTTCCAAATGGCGAAACTGTTCAAGCTTCTATAAATATTAGGCCTTATGCTTAGAAAGTACTTTAGACACTCTCTAAACATTTTGAAATCATTATTTTTACAGCTTCACATTCAAGTTATGCCAATATTGTGATTGATTATTTAGATCCTAAAAGATAATGGATATCTCATAGACTTTTCAGAGAAAATTGTATATAGAGTTCTGAAGGGGGAGCATATGTGAAAGATTTAAGGTAAAAGAATAAGTATTTTTAGAGTATTAGGAAATAGGAAATTATCAAATGTACTTTTGATAGATAATGCTTCTTATTCTTTTAGTTAATAGATTGAGAATGGTGTGCCAATTATTTCATTTTATGATAATTATGATGATTAGGAGTTATTATATTTACAAAATTATTTGTTAAGTTTTAGATATGAGAAAGATGTAAGAGATTTAAATTAAAGAATGTTAAAATTAAATTAATTTATAAATTATTAAAATTTATAGGAACTATTATAAAGTTTATTTGGAATGTACATTTGATAGATGTTATTATGAATGTTGATAATTTGTGAATGATCATACATTGTTTATTTTATATAAAATTGATACAAATGCATAATAATTATAATTTTATTATTTTCATAAAATTTTTAGTTAACGAACATACACAATTTAAAAATGATGAATGTTTCAAAATGTAGTAAATGTTTAAAAGTACCAGATGATATACTAATGTTAACATGTAATCATGATTTATGTTTATTATGTGCAGCTAAGTCATTTTCATAATAACAATCTAAAAGAAATAAAAAAGTAAAATATACTTTTTGTAATTGAATAGTTTTTTGTTTGTGATATTTGTTCATCTAATACAGAATTAGATGCTAACAGTATTTATGAATTAGAAAAATTACATTTAACTACTGTTTTATAGGATAAATCAAATCGTAAAACTGTCCAATAATCAAAATCCAATATATCAATTGAAAAATAAGTTAAACCTCGTTCATAAACTAGATAAGATAATAAAGAAAATGCAAAAGATAAATCTATTAAATAAACTGCTTAAACAATAGAAGCTAGAGTTTCTATACATTAATCTTAAAGGAAAATGAGTAAATAACAGAGTGAAAATTCATTCATTTATCATTAAAAAGGAATGTGTGTTGATCATCCTGATGAAGAAGTCTCATACTATTGTTTTGATTGCAATAGTAAATGTATTTGTCCTGAATGCATCATACATGGAATTCACAAGAATCATGAAGTTAAGACAATTAAGAAATCATATCCAATTGTGAGAAAATAGTTAGAAGAACAATTAGAATAAAATAATCAATGTATAATCTAAGTAGAAAACTAAAAGTAAGAATTAGAACAGAAATAAATATAATAATAAGCCATATAAGATCATTTAAGATTACAAATAGCTTAAGAATTTTAAGTATCTATTTCATATTAATACTTATAGACTTTACATTAATTATTAAATAGTAAATAAAATGAATTATTAGAAAAAGTAGATAATTTACCTACAATAATAGAATAGTAAGAAGGATATATAAACAGATTAAATGAAGTTTAATGCAAATTATAAAATTTTACTGAGAAAATTAATGATATGATAGATTCCAAAGATGAATGTGGTTTACTTAATTATTATGGATCAATTTATGGTTAAACAACACCATAAATACCTCCACTTCCAAATATTAAAGATGTACAACTATCAAATTAAATATTTTCATAAATTAATGATGTTAAAAAGTTAATTGGAGGTATGGATATTGATTGTAATTAATGATATTACTCCATCAATTAAATTATATCATAATCTTCCTTTCAAAATAGTTGGTCCAACTATCTCACCTATCCTATTAAGCAATTCTGTCTCATTATATTATTTCATATAAGCTAATATGTCTGTTTCATCTAATAATTTTATTGGTAATCTCTTAACAATCTTTAATTCTTATAATCCTTCTATTAAACATTATAAAATGTAATGTCTTTGCCAATCAACATATTTCAAACATGAGGATATCAATATGATTAATTATTTTAATAATTATTCATCTGGTGATAAAATGGAGATTTACTTAAAACACATAGTAATTCCAAGTAATGTTTAAGATTGATGTTTACTGACAACCTTATCTTTACCTCCTTGAGCTTCTAAACTTTTTTATAAATGATTTTATGCCTCTTCTGTATTAGGTACAACTCCAACAAAATCTTAATATGCCATTTCTTTATCCTTAACTACCTAAACTTTTTATTGTAAATTTTTTATTAAATCAGTATGATCTTTGAACAATGCCAATATTTTTGCACAAAACTCTTTACATTCTAAAGGAACATCACTTAAATGGAATAAGCAATTATCAACGATCTATTATTGATATTACATAACTTCATTCATATTTAATCTAATTATGTGATACATTAAACTAAATCCAGCCTATCTTACTATAGGATCAGTTTCAAATAAAGTACAATTCTAAGCTGCCTTCAATATTTCCTTTTATGGCAATAAATTTGGTGTTTATTTTAAAAATAAAATGAATGTTTAAAGTGTTGATAGTCCACTACTCCTGATTTAATAATATCTACTTGTTGTACAATTATAATTATATATGAGACATTCTTTGAGAAATCTATCTCTTATTATTGTAATGAGACCCAAAATAGGAGGACCTCCAACTGAAGGAAAATGCTCTTAAGCAATATTTGCAGCTACTTCCATCAAATTATCAGTATGACAATTGTTTAGTAAAGGTATCATAAAGCAATCTTTATTTTTTGGATTCAGAATTTAATATTCTTTAAGTGCTTACATTCTCACTTCAAGTGATTCATCCATTAATCCTTATTAAATAGTTGAAATAATAATGCTATTATAAAGATTGCCTTCATAAAATTAAAAGAGATGATGAACAAATTTCTATGCATAAAGTCTTACATATTTATTCTAGTGTCTAGCTATCCTTTGAATAATCTCAATTACTTCAATAACTTTGTCAACATTGTATTTATATTATAAAAATAATTCCATTGATCCTAATAAACCTTAAATGTAGTATTCTTTTTTGTTTGTAAAATAATATTTATTCATAAACATTGGTTCCATTACCTTAATCTTATTTTGTATGTCTGGAAAAGACTCTTTGAGAAGTGTTTATGCAAATTTATAGCTTTGATTATAAATAATAAAGGTATCATCCCAAATTATGATATTAATCAACAAATCTAAAACTTAAGTGCTTAATTCTTAGAAATTGTGTTTAGTAACTAATTTAGATATAATTTATATTGTTAGTTCTTAAATTCGATTGTCTTAATGTTACAATAATTGTAATAAAGAATTTTATAATACTTCTAGTACTCTGTCTTCAGCATCTGCTATAAACTTAGATTCTAATAATAAAATTACATTGAAAATTGTCATAGCATTTAAAATTGTTTAATCACTTTCATAAAGAGACTTTGCCTTTTCAAATAATTCCTCTTTGGATAGATTACTTGTTCTAAGGTCTTCGATATAAGAGTTGATATTTGTTAATTTATTGTCCATTTAATATAAATTAACAAAGAAAAAGAAATTTAAAAATGCAATAAAGTTTTAAGCAAATTATGTCAATAGAAATTGATAAGATTGCCAATTACAAAAATATGTTAAATATTTAAGTGATTTATATTAATTTTATACCATTCATGAGTTTAACTTAATTTATTCTAGTTATGTATCAATATGGGTTTATTTTAGCAAATAAAAATAGTGTTTTGATCACTGTACCTATCATGAATATTTTCTTAAATTTGATATTTGCAATCCCTTAGATCTCATACACTCATTGAAGTAATTTTCTACTATATACAAAACTAAAATAATATCTTTCAAACCTTCTTTTAATTATTCTATTTAATTGAAAATCTAATTTATTTTAACAAATTTTAAGTTTATAATAAATCCATTTTGATACAAATAATTTAATTAAAGATTCGTTTCTAATTGAATATTATCTTATTTCCTAATCAGAAATATCTATAAATGATATCTAATTAGTAATTCGTGTTATAATTTATAATAAGTATTAGTAAAGTATTGGTAAAAGTCTTAGTTTAAGAATTATGATTATGAGTATGTTTTTAGCTATTTTAGAAATTTATATACAAATAAAAGAGTTATCTTACCATTAACCTACCTATCTACATAAAATATTTAGATAAAATCATATTTTTACTTATTAAATCTATACTGAAGATTTGATCTAATTAATGTTTATAATATTTAATATATTTATTATTATTTAATCACAATTTTATAATGTTCACTATATATACTCGATTATATTATTATTTAAATATAAGTAATAAGGCTAAACAAATGAGAAAATCCTATCATACTATGTTTATGTTGATATTAGAAATATGTATTCAACATATAATTAGAATTAGTACTTAAAATAGATATTAGACTTAAAGAAATAATAATAAAAAATAGCACGTTAACAACGATTAATTTTAATGAAACTGTAAGTTATAAAGGTTTTAATCATATTTAAACATAAACATATATAAATCAAATAGATGTTAATGAACATCATTCAATATCTAGGTTTATTTATGCCTAGAATACCACTTATAGTTATTTTATTCTTATTAGCTGCAACCAGACCAATTCTTTTTTATCCTGGTTTTAATATACCAATCACAAAATTGGCAATCATTTAACTACTCATATCGCTATCATCAATTGAACAACAACTATCATCTAATTCATTAGTAACCTTTAAACTCCACATCGTTAGATCAGTTGATTGTGAATTTAGAATTATTTTATTTTCCATTAAGTTATTTATTTAATTTAAAATCGCTGAAGCAATCTATATTTCAATTCACAAATAAACTTATTTCTGCAGTTATAGAGAATTATTTAATAATGCGTCACAATAATTGAAAAATATAAAAACACAATATTGAAAAATATTTCATTAATAAATTATAAATGGGAAATAGTTAATAAAAAGAATGTTAAGAAGAAGAATAATTAGCATAACATTAAAAATTAAAATAAAAGATGCTATATAGAGTAATTAAAAGTCATGAAAGATTGCTTAAAAATTAAGTATTTTGTTTAGGGATTACATTTTTTCTGATACTTTTGGCTTTGATGAATTCTGTATTATTATTGTTGTATGATGATGAAAATTGATTTTATTTATTGAATAATTCTTAAAACCATAAATTTAAAGATAGATTAGTTTAGCCTTTAATATAATCAAATTTTATCAATTAAATAATGATGATAATAGCACCAGAATTGATTTATCATGAAATCAACATGCCTTCCTTAACCTGAAATTTATATATATATTTTAATAATATTTTTTTTTATGAGTTCTAATGGTAGTGCATTGAAAGGATCAGGTAAATATATTAATAATAAATCTAATAGCCCCTGATTTAGCAAAATAATTATTGGCCTAAAAATTAGCATAATAAATAGTAAATCAGATAGTCTCAGATGATGTTATAGATGATAAAATTGAAGAAGAAGAAAATCAAAATAAAGAGCCTACTTGTTGTCAAATGTTTTGTGCTCCATTTACATTGAAATATTATTAACCATTCTTTAATGATTTGACAACAAAAGTAATAGCATAAAAACTATGGGCATCCTTTTTCCCATTTAAAGCAACTTTCTTTGAGATTTAAGATGGTAAAGCAGATTTATATGGACCTATTTGGATTTATGCTACTTTAGTATTTGCAGTAGCTGCTGCAGGTAACATTTCAGGTTATTTGGCAACTCCAAGTAATATTGCATTCCATTATAATTTTGATTTTATACCAACTGCATCATCTTTATTATTTGGAATAGCATTTCTAGTACCATTTGCAATATATATGGTTATGAAAATGCTTGGAGGCAGACATCTTCATTTAACATCAGTAATATGTATATATGCTTATGCTTAAACATGCATAATACCTGTGTGTATAGTATGTTCTATACCGAATCCTTAATTACAATGGGGAGCATTGATATATGCAATGATTAATTCATCTTTATTTTTGATTGTGAATTATTGGGGGTATGTATATATATATATAAATAACTGTTAGAGAATTGGAAAAGAATATATAGGCTAAGAAACATATTGTTATTTGGTTGATTGCTGGATGTTAAGTGGTGTTGTTATTATTATTCAAGATGTATTTCTTCTTGTATGTATATACAAATCCTTATACTGGATCAAGATTTGATTAACTCACAAAGATTGTAAATGAATATAAGTAATTTAGGATCATAACGAGCACTTCTTTTTGCATCATAATAAACATTGAGAATATTAAATTATTTATAATATTATCATTTAACCGAATGTCTTCAAAAGATAAACAAAGTGTTAAGAGTGATAAATCTAAAGACAAGAAGAAGAAATCTACTAAATTAGACAAGAAGGATTCAAAGATTCTACCTCCACCTGATAATGATTAATAACAACTTATTGCAAGAGTAATTAGTAGAAGTGGAGATAAGGAAAGCAAAAATTTGGGTATTACAAATAATTAACTTAGCCAATTGTGATGATGATCCTTAAATGCAAACATTTAATAATAATGGTAATTTCTAAACTAACAATTCGTTGTAATAACATAATTAATTTGAAAATTATCCTACAGTCAATAAGAATAATAATCAATTCAGAACAAATAAATTTATGAATGATCAAAATACTCAATAATATTAAGATCATTAATATTCAAAAAGTCCATTATAATATCAAGATCAATATTATTCACCAAGTTATACATAACCCTATTATCCAAATCAATAATTTACACAATAAGCTACTTTTGATTATAGATATGAAAGACTCAAAGAATAAGTTAATTAGAGTTTGTTACCCAAAAGATAAGAAATTCTGGAACAAGTCTAAAAGGTTATTGCTATTAATGATAAATTAGATAGATAACAGAATTGATGAAATCAAATATTAATCCTAAAAAATAGAGAACATTACCAGAGAAGAATGTGAATACATTATAGATAAATTAAAAAGTGCTGAAAGTCAAAAATTACAAATGTTATATCATGATAAAAATGAATTACTCAGGTAAAAATAATCATTTATTTATAGAGATATTGATTAAATTGAAACTCTCTAATAAAGAATATCATAATTATAAGAATTCAATTCTCAAAAGAATTTAGATTTATTTGAAAATATAGAAAGATTAAGTAGAAAAAGAATTAAAAAATAAATTGATATATATCCAGATGATTTACCTTAAGATTTGATTCAATTTAGATAATTGTAATAATAAAATTAGATGCTTCAAAAATTAATGGATTTTAAAAATGAAATTATATGGAAATTATTTAGTGATTCTTAAATAGAAAATAAGAGAATTAGAGAAGAATTAGAAAAATAAGCTAATTAAGAATTTTAAGAATGGTACAACATTGTAGATTAATATTAATAAGAATTAAATAGATATAAATTATAATGTACATTTTGTGGAATCAATTTTGATTATTAATTGATTAATTCTGATTGCAATTAAAATCTATAAGATGCAAGTAATATATTAATTAATTATAAAGAAATCTAATTCGATTGTGAATAGATTCCACCTGAATAATTCATAGGTACTCGAAGACACTTTTTTAGTAAAAATAGATAAATGTAATAATCTTAAATTTAAATGGAAGACAATAAAGTATGATAAAAAACAATATATATATATATATAAAGATCAATTTTTATATTTGATTTCTCTGCAATCTAAAACAACATTTTCATCAAAACCTCCAAATATTCTATCTGTTTCTTATTGAAGTGTTGTCTAATATACAGGTAATTAAGGTTCCCTTTAAGAAACAGCACTTTATGGTGTAACATAATGACCAGAAAATTGATCTTCATATAATTTAATATCTGTAGTTCTTCTTTTTGAACTGAAACCATCATTTATAAAATCACTCTATACTTATTACCAACTATCCATTAAATATTATTAAATACTATTAAGGATTATTTTATAGATTCCCATCTAATGTTATTTCATCACTTTCTGTATAATCATCTTGTCTCCTTATAATCTTTTGAACAAGTAAATTTGAGTATGATTACCAAGTTTTAAATAAGATTAAAACATTCAAATAATCATGAAGAATGTTGAAATTAGATTTAAATTATAAAGTATGCTAACTAATATTACTTCTCTATTAACTTTTATTTCTTCTATAATATAGTAATCGAATTTGCATTTCTTTATTAAATTATTTCATATTTTAAATGGACTCTTAAGATCCATCTTTAAACACTTCATCATGATAACAACGTCTAAATAATTAATATAGTAATTGATTATATTGAATATATCCACAAGCATCACTATTTAATTATAAAAGTATACCATCTCAAATTTAATTTAGATGCTAATTTTGCTGCATCCCATAAATTATCATCTTTTCCTCCACCTAATGGTTATCCAATATCAAGTAAAAAACGACAAAGAAATTTATAATGCATACTTTAACCATTAGTTTCAGCTGAATATTTACACCAAGCTGTTTTTATTTTATCGATTTCTTCAACATATGTTTAAATCATTGAATTTTATACTTAGAAAAATTCTTCAAATTGTTCTATCAAACCTAAAATAAACAAATTCAAAAGAACATAATTAGAAAATAGCATAAATGTAATGAAATATAATTAATTGAAATCTGAACCACAACAATCAGGATTTTCTGGACATAATGGATTATGATGCATTGTATCTGTCATAATAGTTCTAAAATCATCTCCTGATGCACATTTAAAAAGTGCCAATAAAGCATATTCAAAATTAGTAAAATTAATAAGATCATCTATTACTGCTCCTTCAATAATTTTACCAAATAATTAACATCCAATCAATGCATATATAATCATTGTAATTATTAGAATAGATATGAGTTTAGCTAAAAATGGAAGAGCAAAACCCATTACTCTTATTAATCTTGATAAATTTGTTAATCCTTAAAATATTACAAGTAAACGTAATTATCTAGTCATAAATGCTACTCTTATCATTTAATAATATGGAGTGAACACATTTGATTAAAAATAATATATAACCCAATCATTTTATAAATCTGCTATTAAATCACAAAGAGATATGATAATTAAAAATGTATAATATCTTCTCCAATTATTGTCAAAATATCTATTTATACCTAATGACATAAATAATAATGCAATCCATAATGCATAAAATAATATAATAAATCTTTAAATAATATTTATTTGTCTAATATATTCAACATCCATATCATATTAATATTATAATTAACAGATTAAATCTATTAATAAAATTAGAAACATAAATTTCTAAAAAAGAGAATTATTAACAATAAAAGAGGCAAATCTTCTTAATATCTTAGTAGGTGGAGTTGAAAAAACAGGAGTATCTTTAAGTATAATTGGAGCTATTTCTGTAAATTCTCTTTAAAATTTAGTTGCATCTTACATTTCAATCTTTTGTTAATTAAATCTTAATTTAGAAAAGAGTGTACCAGTAAAGAAACTCAAAAAGAACATTGATCCTACAAAACAAAATGATATAAAATATGCATATGTTGATATATAAGTAGCAAATGGAGATGGTCCATATCTACTTTATCTACTATTTTCAGCTACTTACATGATTTCTCCCCAACCATCAAATGTTGATACTACAAATAATGTTGGTAATGCAATAGTAATATTATCAAAATTATGTTTAAAATTAATCCATTATCTTTCAGTTTCTATACATTCTCTTTCATTAATATAGAATTACATTTTATCATCACAAAATCCAAATTAACTTTCATATAAAATTATACCAAATACTCCAAACATTATCCATACTGAAACTAAAGTTAATAATATCTTTAACATATCTAAAAGTGATTAAGCTAAAGCAGCTCTTATTTTATCTAACCATTTAATTCTATACATAAGTTTCATTGGTCTAAAATGACCTAAAAATAAACAAATATTAATTATTGGATTATGTTTATAACTATCAATAAAGAATCCAAGTAAATAAATTAAATCAATTAATTACCATGAATAATTTATATGTGATCCTTTATCCATACATAAACCTTTTGCAATTATACATATTATATCTTCTATGAACATAAATACATTTAAAATCATCAATAATATATATGGATATTAACTTTTCTCTTATTCATAATCATGATATGTTCTAATAATCATTACAATAATAGATGAAATCAAAACTAAATTAGTAAACCAATAAAAAGCTTAAGATGAACAGAAATTACAACAAATAATTCTTATTTTACTAGTTTTTTCAAATAAATAGAGAGATGTTTCACATTGAATATCTTAAAATAATTTAGGATTTGATTTCATTATTTATTTATTTAATTACTCTAATATAATTACATTATTATACTTAAAGATCGTAATAAACTTTCCATTAAATCAAGTTTTACTTTTGGTTATTCTTTCTCTTCCAATTCACAAATTTGAACTTATGATGGAAAATATTATGATTTAATTTTTAAATTTCTTGTAGAATCTAATTCAGTATTTAATGCTTCCTCATCTCTTGCAGATGTCATTTGATTTTCTAACATTTATTTATCACTTTAATCTACTTCATCTTTTTCATCTAGATATCTACCAAATCCATCAAGCAATATAGCTAAAACCAATCCATAAGTTAAATAATTCAAAATTATAACCATAGAATATGAATATATGATAGCAGCAACAGTACTTATCTCTGTTCCTAATACAAATACTCCATACCAATCATCATTTGTCATTATATTAAATATTGTCATAATTGCTTTCAATAAATTATCAAATGAATGTAATTAACCCAAAAAATAATTTTAATCAAACTTACTTGCATATAGATCCATTCCAATCATTGCATATATTGTTATAATTATAAACATAAATATAGTTAAATATATGTATTGCTTAAATGTTATAGATGCAATCTTACCTATTAATACTGCCATTTAATTGTATTTTAAACATCTATAAAATAGAATACATTTAGTTCCTCTTATCAATCTTAAATATTATTCTGTTAAATTTAAATAATCACTAAAACTAAATTCTATAAAACTTGCAATCATTATTATTGCTTATAATACATTTTCTTTACTTGAAAAGAATCGTTATAATGGATATGTAAACATTTATAAACTAATTTCTATCAACAAAAAAACTGTTGATATATCTTCACATTTTGATATAATTATTGGATTTGCTATTCCATACAAAGATAAGAAAATAAAATTTATCAAGATTATTAAATCAAAAAATAATTAAGTAATCTAATTATCTATTATTATAAGAGTGTATCTTCTCATTATCAATAATTTTCCACCTATTGTTGGCATCCATATTAATTAATTGAAATTATTTAAACTATTAAAAATTTCTTCAAACATCTACATACGATCTGGATTCATTAATAAAACATTATTTCCTGACCAATTTTTTGTTTTTATTATTTTTTACTCTCTTTCTTTCTAAAAAATCTATTAATATATTTCTTCATTTGAATCTAATTGTAATTTTACTTTAGGTATTTTCATATTGATTTTTTCTTGAATCTATTCATAATTTATATAATATCCTTAAATAAACACATATCTTTTTCCTTTACTAATATGTTCAAATGGTAATTTTTATTCAACTCTCGTTCTCATATTAATTATAGATTTTAAATCATTATTTCTTCTCTTTATTTAGAGAGAGGGCACATCAAGACTTTCATCCTTTTTACTTAAAGTCTTTTAAATAGTTATTCTTCTAGTACTCTTATGGATTGGATATCTAGATATTGAATAATCTGATTATTGTCTAGTTGTTTATTTTAAGTTCTTCTTAGATAACAAATGTTGATAATACATTTATATTTTTTCCTTATGTCCAATTCTAACAAATTAGCCTATAAATACCTTTTCTTCTAAACAAAGACATCTTTTAAACTGTTAAATTTCTATTCAACATGATAATTTACAGAATTGTTCAATTAAGTAAAATTGTATTCTATTAATTTCAATAATATTGAAATTTCAATAGGATCATCAGAATATAAATTAATATTTACTAAACTTTATTCTTTTTTAAGTTCCTTAAACTTAGGCAATAGTTAATTTTTAAGTGAAAAATTCTTGAACTTATTCCATATAGAACCTTAATTAAGTTTCTACAGTAAATATTTAATTCAAATACCATTTATGCTTCATCTAAAATCTTTTTTTATTTTGATGATAATAATCTTAACTATTGATTTGTTTTCTCAGGTCTAAAATTATCTTCAATTAATTCATTCAAAGGCTTCGTAGTATTTATCAAATGTCTATGTGTCTTTAAAACAGAATAAAAACCAATGTAACGTAAAAAAGATAAATCAAAATAAGAAATAACATCCTTACTTAAAAACATCTCTTATCTTTATAAACTATGATCATTTTTCTATTTAGATAACTTCTCAAATTCTTCACATTCTTATGTTGCTTCTGAATAGTGAATTTTCAATACTGCAATAATCAAATTAATAGAAAAAAATCCACATACAAAAATTATTAATAAATAATAAATCCATATCCATGGATGAAATATTCTCATTGTAAAAAACATAACCCAACTCCAATCATCCATTGTTATTGTTCTTAAAATCTAACCAAAAGAAAAAAATATATTATTAAATGATGTAGGTAATTTAGGAGTTTCTGTTGAAATCATACATTGCATTCCTTCTGGACAAATATTTTAATAACATTAGATCCAATCATCAACTGGATCTCCTTCTATTGGTTAACATCTATAATTAAATAGTCCTTAAAATAAGGAGACTCCAATTATTGAAAAAAATAAAGCAGATATTAAAAGAATGAATAATGCTTCAGCTAAAAATACTAATGATTTTTTTAAAGCTATTAACATATATTTCAATCTTAATAAAACATCTCCTAAATATATAAAAATTGTTATTATTCTAAGTGGAGTTGGATCAAATGGAATAGAATTAGGGTAAAAATAATGTAAAAAGCTAATTAATGTACATAATAAATTAAAAATATCTTCTTTACTGTATAAAAAATGTATAGTAGGATATATACCTCCTGCAGCTAAAATTCTAATACATATTTCAATAGCAAAACAATAAAATATAAATTGTTTATACTTCTCATTTGTAATTGGAGGATTTGAATTACTTAATGTAAATAGAGTGAGATTACAAATAATACAAATACCATTAATAAATTTGAATTGGTAACTATCTACAATTTTCTAGAAATACATAGGTATACATAAGCAACAATAAACTATAAATTTTCTTAATTACAGGAAATTAAGATGATCATTATAATTCTAGACTAAACTAATTTAAATACTTTTAATTCATGTTTTAACCTTTCTAAACCATGTAGAGGTGTCAATACAACATAATAAGGATCTTCAAATGGATTACGTTCTTTATGCTTTTAATATTTCTTCAAAATTCTTGGATCAAGATCTTCACAAAAATATTCCACATCTTCTATATGCTATGCTTCTAATTCTTCTATTTAATCTTAAATTGGAAAATTATCATGTCTTCTATCGAGTAATTGATCTTGAGAATTAACTTCACTCATAGAACTTGAATCACCAAAACATTTCTTTATATTCCTTAAAATATGCTTTTTAGGTCCTTTCAAACTATTATAATCAGATGAATTATGTGTCTATTGTTCATTTTATTCGAGTGTTAATAAAAAGCCTTCTTTAAAACTCAAATTAGGTACTGCAATTTTGTCTTCTAAAGGATCAGGCTTTTCATCAACATTATTATACTCACTAGAATCTGAGGAATTTTCATCTTTGTTTTCATAAGGTTGAAAATTTTTTAAACTCTTCAAAGTACTTTATTATATATTATGTTTGAGACTCTTCATCTCTTTTAAAAACCTTGTTGGGCTTCTTTTCATCATTTGATTCGAGATTGTGAATCGATAACTCTTCTATTTTTTAAATTCCTATTATTTTGCAGAGGCCCTTTGCTACTATGAGGATTCTCTAAGAAGCATTTTTTACGTAAAAAAAATAATATAAAATTATTCAAATTACATGAAATAAGCTACTAACATATTTTCAATTAACAACAACAAATTGCTATCATTTATAATAGATTACTAATAACAGAAAATCAATAAATATAAAATTAACAGTTTTCTAATTGTCTCCAAATTTTCATTTAATCTATAGAATTAAATTTACAAAAAAAAAATGAAATACATATATGCTGTATAATTAAATATGATGAAATTATATTAAATTATATCAAAATTTATTAATATTTGAGTTTTATTAATCTATTGTTATAAATTTAGAATGTTTTGATGATATAATATATTTTTTAGATAAATAAATAAATAGTAGAATTAAGAAATTAAAATATAAGTACTGACAACATTATAAAAGTTTCATCTTTAATAAATAGAACTTATTATTATAGTTTTAATATTGAATTGTAAATAATATAAAGTAAGAAGTCTCAACAAAATTTTATTGAAAATTAATTAACAATTTATAATAATTATAATTATTTCCCGCTTAATTATGGAAGTAGAATCAAATATAGATATGTCATTTATTTTACAGAAATTGAAATTGAACGCTGAAAAGAAATTCAATAATGAGAGAACTGGATTTGAAATTTAATAAACCTCTAAATTTTATTTGCCTCCTAGAAATAAAAGCATTAAAGCATAATATTCTCACATATATTATATGCGTTATATAAGCTTAGCTAAACGGTTTTAAACTAATAGTAATGATTCTTAATTCATTGAATTGATATAAAAAATTTAGAATTAATAAGGATCAATAAAAGCAATTGGAACTATATTCAAAGAGATGAAATTAAAACCATATTATTTCTCTTAGAATTCAAACAAAGCAAAACAAGGTAAAATACATATGCTTATATTAAAGGTTATGTGTCTAATGAGGATGTATGCTATTTAGAAGATAAATCAGGAAGAGTTAAATTACAAATTCATAATGCGAAACTCTGTCTTCCAAATAAAAAAGATAAAATAATTAATGTCTGGGATCTAGTGACAGGAATTACATTAATGATTGAAGGATAGATTATTGCAAATAATGTTGTGAAAGTTGAAAGATTATATTTACCTACACTTCCTGAAACACCTATGTTGAAGCCAATAAATTCAACTTCATATCTCTGTTTAATTTCTGGTTTAAATTATAATTCATCAGAAAGCACTACAAAATATAGACATATGATTGATTATATGTAAGGTAATCTTTATAGTGGGGAAGGAAGTGAAGTAAAAATTTAACAATAATAATTTAGATTCCATATAATATATCTTAAGTAATAATTCTTGGGAATTTATATTCTAAACTAGATGAAGCAATTGATTTATAGATAACAAATCCTTAATAAGATTTCAAGGGTTTATATAACAAATTATAGTTAAATATAAAAGGAGTTGATGAATTAATTAGTTAATTAATATCAGTTACTCCAGTTGCTGTAATGCCAGGAGTAAATGAACCAGTTTCTTAGATGTTACCTTAAACACCACTACATAAATCACATTTTCCAGAAACTCTTGATAAAACAAATTAACTTATATTCTTAACAAATCCAACAGAATTTACATTAGGAGATTTAAAAGTACTTGGAACAAGTGGATAAAATATCTAAGATATTAAAAAATGTTCTTTAATAAATGATTAATAAGATGTAGATTTATTGGAAATGACATTATATTATGGACATATTGCTCCAACTGCACCAGATACTTTGATGTTTTAAAATTAATTAAATTATTTAGATCATACCCATAGTAATTATAGGATCCATTTGTTTTATAAGAATTACCTAATATTTACTTTGCAGGAAACATGTCAAAGTATGGAACAAAGATGGTTGCAGATAATGTTAGAATTGTTAGTGTGCCAGCATTTTCTGAAACTGGAATAATATGCTTAATTAATTTAAATACTTTAGAATGTTTTCCTATTCATATATAATGAAAACCATTTATATATATATATTTAATATCAAATTTTAATTTTTTTCTTGCTTTAACACAATAATTTAGTTTCTAATTATTCTAATTATTCATGAATCATTTCATGAATTTTCAAATAATTATATTATCTATATTTATTCCATTAATGTAATGATTTCAACTCTTTTTTACTTGTTTTTAAACCTTATAATATTACTAAGATTTTTGTTGCACAATTTTCTTTTTAAATCCATGATAATCCAAAATCAAATATATTGTAAAAATTAATTATAAACTAATGGATTATTTATAATATATACCTTTACATCCTACAAAAGAGTTGATTTTTCTCTTTAAGTTTCAAGTTTAATAAATGGTAAATTATTGTGTCCTGTTAAATCAGAATAAACATTCTAATCTAAATATTATTGAATGAAATCAGTAAGTTATGTTGAATTCTTTTATAATTAGATTTATTTCCACATATATTCCAAAGATCTAAAAGATCCTGTTCTTGCCAAGTTATACATTTAATCTAAATTGTTAATTCGTATAATATTCTATCTTTTTATACCAGAATATATATCTAGAACTTTTGCTTATAATTCAGATTATGATGGGAAATGTGTTAATTTAATTATTTATGCTTCTTCTGAAATTTCAAATTTAACTTTTTATTATTTTAATTTATTTATTAATTAAATTGGTGTCATCACAGATCCTTTAAGTAAATCATCAACTTAACATTTATAACCATTTAAACTACCTGATTTCTTACCATAAATTTAGACATTCTAAGAGATTTCATCATCTTCTGGTAATTATGATAAAATTAATTCAACTGGAACTGCAACTTAAATTTCTAACCATTTCTCTTTTTCTAATTCTTATAGAAATTGTTAAATTTATTTTTTACTAAAATCATAATTTAAAGATGATTCATTTAATAGTATTTTTTTTATTTTTGTATCAGACTATTCTGAATTTTATAAATGTAACCATTTTTTAGTTAACCAATAAGTAATATCATTTTCATCTTTTGATATTAAATCATTTGTATAAACACATTCCTACATAAAAATAGCCAAATTTTCTATTTAAATAAAATTTGAACATAATTCTGCTCTTTAAGTAAAATAATAGTCATCACATAAAAATATATGAGAATTGGCTTCTTTATTTAATTCTGTTATATCCAAAATGTAAGTTTCAATATTTAAGGGTAAATATAAGTGAACAGAAAGGTATACAAAATTTTTTAATCCTTCTGGCAATTAGAATCCACTTGGTAATACAATAATATCAATATTTTAAGAAGCAAAATCATAATAACTAGCTTATCTTTAGTTTTCTGGTTTTTTCTAATGAATCGAATTACTCTTAAATCCATTTTATTAAAGAGTAAATTACACTGATTCTACTGCACTGACATTATGGCAAAAGACAGCTATACCTGTCTTTCTATAAAGTCTTTAACTTCTTAATAAAGAGATCAATGATTTAATAGGACTCTCATCTTTTGAACATGTGATTTATGGTTTTGGACTGAATGATCTAAATATATTGATAATTGAATTTACTCTCGATATGTTAGATATGTTCTATTAAAGGGTTGCAATTATCGAATATCCTAAATAAAGACACTTTAAGTTATAGGTAATAGAATATGGATAAATTCAGCATTGGCTTTTTATATATATTTAGTAAGGTCTGCTTAAACTTTGCCTATTTCTAAAAAAGATAAATAGTAATTAGATTGATCTAATAAGAGTAATTTAATATCTAGATTTGATAAATCAATAAAATTAGCTTATTCTGGATGTACAATTAATAATTTAATATTTCTACTTGATATATTTTTAACAATGAATTCAATTTAATGATTAGGTACTTCAGGATTTATAGCTGCCCATGAAATGACATCTTATATTCTTCTTAATTTTTCTTTAAGCAATACATAATTATATGAGATTATGACCACCAAACCATCTACTAAAATAGAGAGTAATTAAAATAAAATTGATCGTTAAATTGTATTTAAATTTAATGAGCAAATAATATTATTTGTAGTATTTCTACATAAGAAATCAATTGGATCTGTAATTAAATCTTCAATTTCTAATTATTTAATAGCATCCTACAATTTTCTATCATAACCTTCCGTAATTGGAGTCTTAATTTGTTCATAATTATTATTTTCTTTAAATGGTGTCATATTAAAAGAGATTATCTTTTTGACTTCTTCACTAACTAAAAAAGGAATAGAGCTTTGTTTCTTTTATTATTTAGGTGTAAATGAATAACCAGAATCAATAGAATCGTTCATATTTAAATAATTAATAATAATGAATTAAAATAGAGAGTGTTAACATCATGAAAAGGTTACAGAATTATTTTGTGAAACATGCAAAGACTTAGTTTGTAATGATTGTGTTAGTTATGGTCCACATCAAACTAAGAATCATAAAATAATTAGTTTCAAAGATGCCTATACAATAAGATAGGCATTCATTAAGGATAGAATTGAAACTGCCATGAAAAATAAGAAAGAGAATCTATTAGATTAATTAGAGAAGATAGAAACTAGAATGAAATATATAACAGAAGTAAAGGCCACTATTGTTAAAGATATACATATGGAATTTGAAGGAGGTATTTTAAAGAGATTGAATGATTAATCTGGTACATTAACAGCTGTACTACAGAAAGACATTGCTTGGTTATAAAAACATTTGAATTCAATTGATGATTTTATTCATACTTTTGAATATTTAGCAATGGATCAGAATGTGTTACCTTTACTATTCATGTCAAAAACATTAACTCAATAAACTATGAAATTACTTAGCATCATAATTAAAAGTAATACAATAATTATTATTATATTAGCTGAAATAACATCTCATCCATCTGATTTACCTAGAGAATTGTTTGATCTCAGAACTAAAATCTAAAATTCAGAAATTCTCTAACAATAAATTGAATTCAAAAAGTAAGTTATTTGGAAATGTCGATAAGAGAAAATCTAATCCTTATAGAATATTAAAGAAGAATTTTTTATCAAAATTGAAGATGAAATATATGATTGGGTAAGATTACTTAAAAAAGTTGTCAATACTTTAGATAGTTTATGTATGATATGTACATTTTGTGGATGTTTTATTGATGTAGTGAATGAACAATGTGCACTCAATATTAAACCATATGAAGAAGTTTAATTTGATTGTAAATATTAATCTTATTAAAAAAGTTACTGGATTTACAAATGAATAACCTAAAAGGAAAGTCTTTGGAACTTGTTAGCATTTCTTTGGTTATCCAAGAGATGAATATTTAATTTTGAGAAAAGATAAATATGCTAATTTTGGAGATTATTAGGAATAAAGAAGAGCTGCAAAGGAAGTTTATTTCAAAGTTTTTAGATCACTATGTATATTAATATCAATATAAATTAAGGGTTTTCTATAATAGATCTAAAGGCAAGGAGATATTTGAAATAATTGGATTTATAAGCTATTTTCAAAAAATATGACCCTGATAATAAAGGATGGTTGTCTATAGTCAAATTCAAATATCTTATGCATTAAGAATTGGGTATGTCTGTATAAGAAATTGAGAAACTTGTCATTTATTTTAGAGATGAAAAGGAAGATAAAGTAATTATATAAATATATTTGAATAAAGGTCAATTATGAATACTTTTTAGGAATTGATTGGTATTTAGAAGAATTATAAAGATTAGAAGAATAAGTGAAAACAGAATCTGTTAAATATGCTAAATTATATAATAGGAGAGTTAGAGCTAAGACAACCTCTCCTCCTTAAAGATAAGAAGCTAAAATTGTAGAAAAACCATAATAATAATCTACTATTTATAGTAGTTTTACTCGTTTTTCATAAGCTGTTGAAAAATAACCTGTTCCATAACCTGTTTAATATGAATAGCCTCGTTTTGGATTTGTAGATAGAGATAATTCTCATGCTCAATCTCTGAATAAATAGTATCCTCAAAAAAACAACTTTGAATTTTAAGCAGAATCAAGTTTAAAGAGTAAATAAAAATCATCTTCTTTATAACCTAAGAGAGTTTAATTTGAAGAGAAATAAGGTTATTAAAGATTTAAGGAATCAGCATAAATAAGTGGAAATTATGCTTAAAAATATTATAATTGAAGATTGGATTAATTGACTTATTTGATTATTATTATAATTAAATTCAAAATGGATAACTATAAAAAATATCTCTTTGATGAAAAATTTCAAGAACCTTAACCTCGTAATACTTATTCATTCTAAGCTCAAGAGAGTTAAGAAGAATAACCAATGGAATCAAATTTTGATGATGAATACAAAAAAGATTTTCTTCAAAATCAAATAAAAAACATTAGAGAAAAATTGATTATGATGGGTTTTCCAAGTTTAGGTGATTTATATAGCAATTCTAATTCTGAAGTTGATCTTACTGTCAAAGTGTAAAAATAATTTAAATCATTATATATTAGATTAGTAGCTATAATTAAATAAAGAAGAGAGGACATGGATTTTAAAAATACATATCATGAAAGAATTAATAAAATTGAAGCAGAAAAACAATAACTCACTTCAAATTTTGATAGATTATCAAATAATAGAAAAATTCTTGAATAAGAAAATACTACTTTATAAGCCAAAATAAAGAGTTCAGAAAAGGTTTAAAAAGAATAAATGTATGTCTATTTAAATATAAATTAGTAATAAATTAGTGCTGGAAAGAGAAGATCTATAAAAATAGTTATCAAAATTATAAAGTAGATCGACTTAATTTGAACATGAATTGAAGTAAAGGGATTTAGAAATTTAAAAACTTAAAGATCATATTAAAAAATAATAGGCTTCAAAAAATTATAAAAATAGTTTAGAAATAACTTAACCTATTGAATAAGGGGGTCCAAGTGTTTTTGCAGCAAATGGAGAATACGAATTTAGTTAATTGGTTATGAAAAAATGGGAAGAAGTTAATAATAAATTATTAAGAGAAAATGAATAATTAAGGGAAAATTTAGTTAAGATTCATAATGAATTAGGGGAGATACTTTAAATTAGAAGAGATGTGTATATTAAAAGAAGAAAAATAGATTTTGGAGATGAAAATATTCCATCAGAATTAGATAATCCTTAACAAAATATGCATTAATTTAAAAGTGATTTATTTAAGGTTCCTTTAGAAACTAATGGTAAATAAGCAATACAAATGTTACAAGAGAATCTATTAACATTTAGAGAACTAATGAAAAAGTTTGATTAATAATATGAGATTTAATTGAATGAAGATGAAATTGAAATTGAAGCAGAAGGTGGGAAAGTTAAAGCATGTAAAAATTTAACTGAATTATTTAAAAATTACAATTATATTTTTGATGCTTAAGATAAAATGATTAGTTAAATTATTAATAAGAGTTAAAATTTAAAAAAAATAGATGAATTAAACTTTAATTTAAATAGATTCAATAGAGTATTAGATGATAAATAGATTGATGATGTTAAAAAGTATTTATAAGACTAGAAAAAGTATTTAGATGAATCTAAAAATGAGATGGATATGATAAAAAAACAGTTTTAACATTAATTAAAAAAAAGGGATGAAGAAAAATAAATAATTTAAGTATTATAATTTATAAAAATAATTAGATGAAAAGATAGATGCTTGAAGAAACTAATGAGAAATTCAAAGAGAATATCAGAATGTTAGAAAATGCAAGTAGATAAGCATTATAATAACTTAATTAAGATAATAATTGATTTAATATTTTTAGTTTTAGATATTTATTATATGTTTTTAATGAATCTTTTATGATTTATAGATAATTATTAGAAAGGATGCAATATATGTATAGATATAAAAAAATTGAAAACAGCTTTGTTTATAAAAATATAAAATTATATAACTAATTTGTTTGAAAATATTAACTAGCAATTACTATTAAATTATTATTTATAATTCTCTATGAACTTATTACATCAGCCAAGGAATAATAAAAAACGTCTAACAATTTCAAAAGAATTGGCTTAGAGAAAGTAGAGCATTATTTAACATATTTAATGTATTTTAATTGATTTTTATATTATTAGCTGGGGCTCAATTAGTTAAATAAGACTCGTCTTCCAAACTGAATAAATAAGAGAAATAAAATAGAAAAGCATCTATAGATTCATCACTTCATTCACATTCTTCATTCTATGTTCTAAAAAAGTTAAATATACAAATAAAATAGAAATTAAATTGAAAAAGAATTAGAGGAGTATGATGAATATTAATTGAATTCCTCTGAGTATTCAGAATAATCCATTCCAACAATTCAATATGTTAGATAAGAATCTAAAAAAGAGTCTAATTAGTTAATGGAAATATATAATGATAAGAACCATTAATTTAAAGTTGACTTTGATGATGACATTCAAGAAAATTAACAGCGTGAAAAACTTTCCAAATATCTAGAATTATTTGCATTAGAATAAGATGATCATCCAGAAAATGAAGTAGCATATTCAAAAATAGTAAAAAGATATGAAAAATACTATTAACGCAATCCATTTTAGGATCCATTTTATATATAATTAGTAATATTAAAAGGAACAAAGAGATTATTTTATGAATTAAAAGTAAATTTATATTTAATAATTTAAGAAATATTAAGATAACATAAAATTTTTAAAATTTAGAAAAATTGTTGTTTTTTTATCACTGATATTTCCAATTTTAGCAAGTGATATGATGAATACTAGAATATATAAAATATTGATGACTATATTGATTTTATTCAATGTCTTCCTTTTTATTGTAGTAAAAACAGAACATAGAGAAGATACATTTGAAATAGAACAAGTTGTTACAATATTATTTATAATTGAAATAACAATAAGAATTTTAGTTTCTGGATTCTTTTTTACAAAAAATGCATTTTTTCTTAGAATGTAAGATATTTATGATTTTACATTAATATTTGCTACTACAATAAATCTTTATTATCCAGAAATATTCATTATTGATATTTCACCATTAAGAATGATTACATTATTATTTTATTTAGGAGATATATTCAATGATTTATAAGTTATGCTAAAAGCATTAAAATAATCTATAAAATTTCTAATTGAAGCATTGATGATAGTAGGACTATTTTCTCTATTTTTTGCAATATGTGGTGTATTCCTATTTTAAGGTTTATTTAATTATAGATGTGAATATGATAATGGAGATGAAACAGATGGATGGATTTAATGTCATTAAAATTCTTGTTATGAAGAAGGTATGACATGTAAATTTACATCTGAAACTCCAAAAATGCCAACCTCATTTAATAATGTTATATATTCATATGGTTAGATTTTAAGAACAATAACAATGGATGATTGGAGTTGGGTAATGTTTTTTACAATGAGAATATTTCATCCATGGATATGGATTTATTATTTATTAATCATATTTGTAGGTGGATTTTTTGGATTCAATCTAGTTATTGCAGTTCTTAAAACACATTATGCAGAGGCTGCAGAGGAAAGTGCTAAGAAATAAGAAGAGGAAGAGATTAATAAATTGATAAAAGACAATTAAGAACATCCAGAAAGAGAACTAATTAATGTATTTGATGTAGCATTTTTAAGATACATTGGATTTTTTTCAACTATCCAAAAGTATCGAGAATGCTATGAAAGTAAGATTATAATGACTTCACATTTGGAATCAGAATCATAAATGAATAAAACCATATCAGAAGCTAGAACATTATCAGCTGCTTAGAAAAAACTAAGTGGCCAACATGTATATATATATTATTATATATAAATTAGAGTTTTGAGAATTAAAGTTTATTTAAAAAGATATAATAATTTACAACAAAGAACTTTTTACTTAGAAAATTTAGATTGTTAAAATATTAATAATTAAAAATTAATATAAAGAATTATTCAGAAGATCCTATAGAATTAGAGATTCTATAAAAATTATAAAATACATCATATTCATGTTTGTAGTCATAAGTTAATTATTAAATGGAATAACATTTTACAAGTTAAAATGATGTTTTATTAAAATTTATGTAATTAAACAAAATATTATTAGTTAAATAGATTTGGCTTTACAAGAAGAAAAAAAATTTAATCCTGAGAAATTAAGGAAAATAAAATTTAAATAATAATATCCTAATTGGTCTAATTAGGTTAAATTAATAAAGAAATAAGCTTAATAATAAAAATAATTACAAAGAAGCTATTTTCCTTTAAAAAAATAGAAAAATAAATGGAATATAAATTTTAAAAAAGATGAAGATAAAGAATAAGATGAAACAAGTAAAAATACATATGAAATGTATGAAAAATCTCCATAAAATTATGATAATTTAAATTTATAAAAAAAGATTTCATAAAAGAAAAAATAGAAAAAATTTGCTAAGATTATAGATGGTTAAGTTTTAATATTTGTTTAAGGATATTATTTAACTTATGATGAAATAAAAGATAAAATCAATTTAAAGATTCCAATAATAAAAAATCATTTTACTAGTAATTAATTTAAATACAGAAAATTAAGAGAAAAAGAATTATAGATGGGTAAAATAATAAAAAAAAGTAATTGGTCAGGAAAGGATGTATTAATATTAAATACAAAAAATCTTGAATATTTCAATCTCATTTTTGTATAATTAAATTAAAGAGATGTTTTAATATGGATGAAAGGATTAAAAGGTAAAATCCTTAATTTAACTAAATATACTAATATCATTATTACAAGTACAACAAGTAGAGTCTTTTTTGATTTAATAATATTCATAAATTTTACATTCCTTTCACTTTGGAATATTGCTAATTCTAATACTATCCATTAGATTGAAAATGTTTCAACAGTTATACTTTCAATTGAATTATTATTAAGAATTACTTCAATAAAAATAAAAGATTTTACTAGCAATGCAAATTATATGTTTTAAGCAGCAATAGTAATTATAAATATAATTGAATTTACTATGAAAGATTTATTAAATGATTTTGATGAATAAAATTTAAGATTAATAAGAGGAACAAAATGTTTATTATTTTATAGATGTTTAAAATATAATGCTATGGCTGTTAGAATTGGACATATAGCATCTATGACATTTAAATAATATATTTATTTAACATTTCTTATGTTTTTGGTTATTTTTATGTATGCATTAGTTGGTATGGAAATGTTTGCAGGAGAATTTGATTAAACTGATACATTAGGTTAATTACATTCATATGATAATATATTCAAAGCATTTATGACTATTTTTAATATTATGACTAATGATGATTGGTATGGAGTTTATGTTATGGGAGGTTAATTAAATTATACATTTGCAGTAATTTATTCATATTCTATGGTCATTATATTAAATTATTTAACATATGGTTTATTTATGGCTGTTTTATTGGATGGATTTGGAAAATATTTGAATTAATCAAATGAAAATGCACCTTTATTTAATAATGAATAACATGCTGAAATAACATAGAATTCAAATGAAGAATTAGAAAAACAAGTATAATAAACTATTCTAAGTCCAATAGGATCTTAAACTCATATTATTTTGGAAAATAATTAAACAAAATCTAAAGTTGATTTGATTACCAATTTTTTCAAATCTATCAGTAATATTTATAATTAATTAGTTAGAATAATTGAATAAAGAATTATTGAATAGAACCCCTAAATTATATACTGGAATTGAATGTTAAAGTTCTCTATATATATTTGATAAAGAAAATATTATAAGAATAATTTGTACTAAAATTGCCACAGCAAATATTTATATATATTTTATGGATTTAATATTGTATGCTTCACTTATAACTTTTATAATGAATACCTATTATGATTATGAAGAAAGTTCAAATAATATATGCGATATTATTTAATTAATAATAAATATATAGATGTCAATTGATATTTTAATAAATGTAATAGCTAAGGGATTATTTTTGGATAAAGGATCATATTTTATTTCAGTATGGCAAATTTTGGATATTATTTATATGATATCTCATTTTATAACATTTGGTACTACAGAATATGCACAAATTTTAGATTTCTTTTTATATTTTGGATATCTAAGACCTATGAAATTATTATTTCGTATTAGTTGGTTGACATAACTAAGAATAGCACTTGGATATTCTTTAGTAGATATCACAAATGTATTAATTACTATGTTGTCTGTTTGGATTATGTTTGGAGTTTATGGTATAATACTTTATGAAGGTTCATTTGGTTTCTGTGATGATAAAATGAATTTTGAGATTAGTTATGATTAATGTATAAAAGAGAATAGACATTGGATTAATTATAAGCATAATTTTGATAATATTACAGTTGCTATTCCAACTCTATTTGTTACATCAACATTAGATGGATGGGGTGAAATTTATTAAGTAGCAGAAAATAGTTAATTACCTAGTATAGGACCATAACCATTCAATAGTTATATATATACTTACTTTTTCTTTATCATTTTTGTATTTATAGGATCAATGTTCTTTTTAAGTTTATTTACAGGAGTTTTGTATTCAAATTTGAAATAGAATCAATAGAAGATAGAAATGACAGATATTACTCAATCTTAAAAAGAATTTCAAGAAATTTCATCCATAATTATTAAGGATTTTCCAATATTTAGTTCACCTCCTACAAATGGTATTAGAAAATTAGCATCAGATATAACTAATAATTCTTACCTTTTGATTTTCATGTATCTCTTACTTATATTAGATCTAATAATTCTATTATTATTTGAATCAGATATGAGTGAAAATTACTTTAGAGCAGTGAATAATGTACATAATGCTTTGACTATAATTTATGCTATTTGGATTATATTATTATTTTTGGCTTTGGGAATAGGGAGATTTTTCGATAACTATTGGAGAAGATTTTATTTCTTTTTGATTCTCGTGTCAATAATTGACTTTATAGCTGATTATTCAATTGATTGGATAATGATCTATTATAGATCAAATCCTTATGATAAAGCTTATTAAATATTAAGGATTTTCTTCTCTCTTAGAAGTTTAAGAGTAATACTTATATTCCAAGGATTAATAAATTTATAAAGATTAATGAGAGTAATGGTCTTTGCATTACCATTTTTAGGTAAAATATTTACAATATTAATGATTGCTATGCTTATTTTTGCTTTGATTGGTTGTTAATTATATGGTTAAATAGATAGTGGAGCAGTGATGGATGATTAAATTAATTTCTAGAATGTTGCTTAAGCATTATTAGCTTTATTCAAATGTGCTTCAGGTGATGATTGGAGAACAATAATGACAGATACTATGTAACATAATCCTCTTTGTCTCGATGATCCAAAATATTGTGGAAGTGTACACAATTAATATTTCTTTTTTCTTTTTATGCTTTTGTCTAATTATGTATTACTTAATCTTTTTGTACTTGGATTAATTGAATAATTTGAATAATTCTTTTAATTATAAAATTCCTTAATTTAAACTTATGTTGAAAATATAGATAAAATTAAAACAGTATGGTGTAAATACTCCTCTGATACTTAAGGATAAGCTATGAATTATAAGTTTTTATGTAAATTTCTTTTGGATATTGGTAAACCTTTAGGAGGAGGGAAGGAAGAGAATTTATGGGATGTAGCCAAATTAGCTTCAAGTTTCAAATTATAATGGTAATTTTACTTTTATTAATAATAGTGATCATTATGGTTTTATCTAATATAATCAATTAATATATGAATTATTTAGAAGACGTTTTGTTAATGAAGTTTTTAAAGAAGGGTCTGAGAATTCTATTATCAAAATTAAATAATTCAATAAAGAAATGCAATTAAGACTAATGTATTATAGAAAAAATAGATTATTGGAGAGATCAAACATAAGTCCAAATAAATAACTTAGAGCTAATTTTAATATTTTACATGATTATTTAACTGTTTTGATATTATTCAAAACTTGGGAGTCCTATTCAAAATTAATCTTTTAAAAGATTTGTAGATAAGGGAACTTTTCAGACAGTGATGAAATTTCAATTTAAAATGATAAAAAGAACAAACAAAAGTATTTATTTTTAGTTATAAATTTAGTTTTAATAATTTTGAATTTGATGATGACTTTTCTGAATCTGATAATATGACACAATAATAGATGAATAATTAAATATCCTAATAATTTAACAATTCATTAAATCAAAATTTGATTATGCAAAATAGCAATAGTATCTAAAGTGGTTCAAAGAATCATATAATTGGAAGTCTCAAAAATACAAGTTCAAGAAGAGTTTAAAGTTTTAGAATTAAAAAGAAGGGAAATCAAAAAATCAATATTAATTCATTAGAGCCTCAAAGTAATCAAGAACTTAAACATTATAATACACTAAAAAGTCAATAATAGATTGATTAAGAGGAAAAATTACCTTATTATAAAAATCAATTTGATTTATCTTTATAAAGTGACTATAAAGAAGGTACATTATTAAATGCCAAAAAAAATTATTGAGATGAATACTTAATATTTTGTTTATATTTAAAGTTTATTATAAAGTCAAACAATTTTATGAAATCTAACTGAGACAGAAACCCAAACAGCATAAATATCTTCTGGATATATTTCCATTTTCACTCGGACAGCATGATATGTTTGATCTCCTCTTGCAGTTAGTACTTCTCCACCAACAGGAGATGTTTTAATATCTTCCAACATCTTTTAAATATTCATATGATTAAAACAAATTGGAAAACTCATAAATGTATGTCCTTCTGGTATATAACTTCTAATAGCAGATTGAAATTCAAATTATGCAAATTACAATCCTATATTATATATTTATTAATATATACCTGTAATCTTTTCAGTTTCATAATTAGCCAAAGCTATTTACATTATGCTTCCTAATTTTTCATCATATCTAGTTGCCAAATTAATAACTAATTATTTTTATATTAATACTTTTTCTATAACTTCCTATGGCTTCTCTAAGTTATAATTCTAATTTTGGTTCCAATTCATCAGCATGTATTGTTTATCTCAATAGATTAAGTTAGAAATTTTATGGTTTTAATAATTAAATTTCTATTGGATCAATAGCCTTCCATTTTGTATAATCTTCAATATTTAGATCAGTTCTTAATACAGAATCATTTTCTTAAATATTTGCATAAAAACACTTATTATTAAAAATACACCCAATTCTTTTATATAATTATGGAACCTATTTTAATTCATTATCTTAATAATACCTTAGGATCATTTAATTCAAATTTATGACCTGTTAAAGGTTCCCAAAAATTATAAGCATATTCTGCTTATTTTTAATTAGGTTTTTTTGGTTTCTATAATCTTGTCATTACCCATCCATGAGGTCTATCAGTTGTAGAACCAAATACAACAAATGCATCTAAATTAAACCCAAGAAAGAATGAGCACAATAATAAACAATGATCCTCAAAATCTCCACCTTTTAAAGCTAAAAATGTTGGGAATCTATGCCAAACTTCTAATCTATCACCTGATGGACCTCTATCTGAAGTTTTCATGGGTATTAAACTTACAAATCTGGCAGCATGATTTGGACTCATAATACCTCTTACACTTTATAATTCTCTTATAAAGGTACATGATGGTCTCCATATTCCATCTTAAGATTCTGAATATAATTTAATTGGTCTAACAGATAATTTAAGTTCTTTAAAATCATTCCACCAAGCATTGCCATAAGTATGAAATCTATCAGATATTTAATTAATAACAGATTTCTCTTTAGAAAGTTATGAAACTACTATGTTTTCTGGAAGCAATACTAAACCAGTTTTTGGTAATAATTCCAAATGAATTTACAATATACCTACATGATTTTTTCTTTCATTTTACATTTTTGTATTATAAGTAGTTGGAAGTTCTATGTTTAATGAAATATTTCCATAACATAATAAAAACCTCCATTCTATTAATTTTTATGAAAATAACTTTCTTTATCCATTTTAAATTTAAATTACACTTAATTCAATTGGATGATCTAATTTACTTAAAGTCAACAAATCTACATTTGCCTTTTAGGTTTCAGTTCTCAAATCAAATAAAAATAATTCATTAAATTCAGGTTCTACTGAGGCATCAACTATAGCAGATACAAATCTTTAACCACAAAAACTTAAATATAGCTACAATTTTGAATTTTCTGGTTCAATAAAATCCAAGAAAGCTCTTCCTTTATAAATACGTAAACTAACTGACCGATAATTAATACGATCTGGATCTATAAATGTAAGCTTAATATTCTCATTTGATCATACTTGTTTATTTTATTTATTAAATTCATCTATTTCATCTAAATGTTTGATATCCAATATGAGATTATCAATAAGGTTTGTTTCTCTAAGTAATTTAGTCAATTTTTCATTATCCAAATCATCAATTTGAATTTTTTCACTTTCTATTTTTTTCTTTAACTTATCAAATACTTCACCTTTATCAAAATAATTGTTGATTAGTTATCGAATTTTAGTTATTTGTTCTTTAGAATACATATTTAAATAAATTAATTAATGGACATATAAGACGCTTCTAGAGTTGTTTACATTTGTGGAAGTAAGTTACTTATATTAAATTTAGAGTGTGGAAAGGATGTTTAACTTGAAGCCAAAGACATTGTCAGATGTTAATGTGGTTACAGAATTCTATATAAAAAAAGAAAGGCAGATCCTAAGAATCCCCCTTAGTATGAAGCAATCTGAAATTATTAAAATTTATCTATGCCAATATACACTTCTAATCAACTAAAACTTAATTGTTTGTCCTCTTTAAAAAAACTTAAATGCAACTAAAATTTTAGTAAAATTGGTTAGCTTTATTTAAGCATTAAATATAAGGATTATACTAAATTTAACACTCTAATTTTCATATCAATTGCAGTATAAGTAATTTTAATCATTAAATATCACTCTTTATAAATTATCTGAGTAAAGAGAAATGATTATAAATATCTTTGTTTACGTATTAATGCAATAAGAAATTTAAGCATTTCTCCTTGTTCCTAAGGATTCTGATTTTACAATCAAAAATATACCTTTTGGTGTTGTATCCAAAACAGATGGCAATCCCTTTCCAGCTACTATTATAGGTATTTCCTATTGACTAATTTAATTAGGTGATTCTGTGATCAATTTGGCTAAACTTGAAGAATTGGGATATTTTAATGGACCTCTATTTTCCACTTTAGGATCAAAAGTCTTTGATAATGGAAACTTAAATAAATTTGTTTCTCTCTCTAGACCATATTGGAAAGAAGCCAGATCTTAGATCCAATCTTTATTTTCATGTGGAAGTTAATTAGAAAATAATTAAGAAGTCTTATCATAGGTTATTACACCTGTTCAAGATAGTAAATAATTTATATGATGTAGCCAAAAATCATTTACCAATTACAATTGGAGAATACACTGATTTTTATTCTTCTAAGAATCATGCTTTTAATATGGGATCTATTATAAGAGGACCTGATAATGCTATGCAACCAAATTGGTACTATTTACCTGTAGGATATCATGGAAGAAGATCATCAATTGTTATTGATGGCACAGATATTAGAAGACCTTGGGGATAAGTGAAAGCTCCAACAGCTGAAAAACCATCTTTTACCAAATGCAAAAGATTAGATTATGAATTAGAAATTGGTGCAGTTATTGGAGGTGCTTCAAATAATTTAGGAGAACCAATTAAAGTAAATCAAGCTGAAGATAGAGTTTTTGGATTTGTAATTTTAAATGATTGGTCAGCCAGAGATGTTTAAGTGTGGGAGTATGTACCTTTAGGTCCATTTGGAGCCAAAAATTTTGCATCAACTATATCCCCATGGATTGTTACAATTGAAGCTTTAGAGCCACATCGTATTTAATTACCAGAATAAGATCCAGAACCTTTTATTTATTTGAAAGAGAAAAAGTAATAAAAAATTGATAATTAGTCATACATCATTTGATATTAGATTGGAAGTACTTATAGGAACAGAAAAGAGTCCTGAATTAGAGCATTTTACTACAAGCAATTTCAAATATATGTATTGGAGTGTGAATTAATAAATTGCTCATCATTCTATTACTGGATGCAACATTTAACCAGGAGATCTTTTTGGATCAGGAACTATATCAGGAACAACAAAAGATGGAAGAGGATGTTTAATGGAATATACATGGAATGGAAAAGAGCCTTTAGTTTTGAAATCAGGAGAACAAAGATTATTTTTAGAGGATGGTGATGTTCTTGAAATGAGAGGATATGCAGGAGAAGGAGAGTAAGAATTATTTATATTTTTTAGAAATCGTGTTGGTTTTGGTAGATGCAAAGGAAAAATTATACCTGCATTAGATGAGGATTATTTCTAATCATGAAAAAGTTAATTATTATCAATATTAAAAATTTATATTAAAAAAATGGGCAAAAAGACAACATTACTCTTTAAGTTAGTGAGTTCAGCTGGCACTGGGTTTTATTATTATGGAGAGAAAAGCACAAAGTAATTGGAGCATTATTAAAATAAGGAAAGTGGGCTCTAAATTGATTTTAAGAAAGTATGATCCATTAGTAAACCAATATGTTATATTTACAGAGTCTAAATTAGCATCAGGAAAGAAAAAGTGATTTGATAAGACATATGCAATATATATATATAATTTTAATTTTAAACTTATTTAAAGAAATGCTATTAATTTTTTTATTTCATCATTTTCTATTTTATTATCTTCCAACATTCATATATATGTACAAATGTTTATACATAATTTTCTCTACTCACAAGTCCAATATTTTCAGATTCTAAGATATCATAAGAAATATTAAAAAATCTTCCACAATTAATTTAAAATCAATTACAAAGTAAGCAAACCCAAAATTTAAGGCTGAATTTATTAATTTTATATAGATTGTTGATACTATCACTTTAGTATCGTTCTAATTTAATAGGAACTTAAAGTTTAGGCAAAGATATGCTTAAATATTTTTAAGACTTCATCAATGAATTCAATAAGATAAATTATGTTTCCAAGTTCTTCCGAGAACATTCTTTATACTGTTATAAATATTCTTAGAAGAAGCTCAAAATTATTTTAATCAAAAATTATATTATATTCTTCCATGAGTTCAAGTTACTAACAAAAACACAGAAATCTCTTGTAAGCCTACATAAATGCTGTTTAATTTGAAGAAGAAACTTAGCAGTTGTCACAAAATATAAATTCAAGCTAAAATTTCTTTGATTATTCTAAGAAGTATAATACATCTTTATTTAGAATTAAAACGATCGATAAGTTTTTGAGGGATCTTCAAGGCCTGAAGTAAATGCCTTTCTATAAAATTGAATAAACTAGATGAGTTTATATGTTTATATTTTTTAAAAGTTGATATATATTTGAGAATTTCATCAAAATCTTAAAATAAAAATAGAAAACAAAAGGATTTGAGGATATGAAATGAATAAAATCGCTTCAATTCTAAAAATAATATATAAATACATATTTAAAATTTAGATAAAATTTGTTTATATAAGTTTTAATCAATATACTGTGTTTAATAAAATTCATAATTTTTTTTATGTAGCGCTTTATGGTCTTACCATTCTACCAGAACTAGAGGAAGGATCATCTATAAATTAGAAATACGTTAAATACTTGCTTTATTTTGATTAAGCATTGGGTATTTAAATCCAACAGTAGTTCCAACATATTTTTAATTATCTGCAGTGTAATTGACTTAATTTGGATCTAAATTTAAGAATGATATTTACTTAATTCATATACTTCAGAATTTTCATAAATTAAATCTTTTGGTCTTAAATCTCCTCTTACTAATTTAGCTTAATTCAAATCTTAGCTTTTCTATAATCAAATATAATTATTACATCTACAGTTTTTGTTAATTTAGTTTTTCCTGAACATACTAAACATCTCTAGGTAACAACTCTATGATTTCCAGTTAAGATACTAACAGTTTCTTATTGATTAACACTAAAAATATATAAATGAAACTATACTAAAGCAAAGTTTATAGATAGTTTGAGAATTCTTCTAATTCTTTCATTCCTTTAGCTAAGATACCATAATTTTCAGCCATGGTTTTATATTTTTCTTCTAAAGCTGTGAATTTAGCTTTTGTGTCTTCTTCATTTGCTTTTCTAAATATTATATAAATTATTAGATACTCTGCAAGCTATTTCTATAAATCAGTATTATCATTAGATGTCATTTATTTCATATATTTTCTCATTTTTTTATCAAGATCTTGTAACCCTTCCATTTTCTTTTTCAAATCAGCAATATCATTTAAGAGATTTCTGATAAACATTTCAAAAGACATATTTTCTCCACAAGCTTAGCCAATAATCTGTAATATTCTTGCTCTTAATAAACTCATAGGTTATGATATCTCTTTATCAATAATAGATATAATATCTTCTTTGGATAATTATTATTATTAAGGAGCCTATTTTAAAAGGTTTAATTGTTATAGGAATCTTTGTTCATTTACATCTATTTTTCTTTTTAATTCATTTTCTAATAGTCTTAATTTGTTTTCTTAATCTGTATAATCACTTTTTAATCTTTTAATATCAGCTTCTAATGCACAAACTTTATGAGGATCAATATCACTTTTTCCTCCTTTAGTTTATCCATCAAAATTTTCAGTTTTAATTTTTAATTCTTCTATATCTTTTCTATTTTATTCTCCTCTATATTAACAATCAGCAATTTTATCATCCATTTACTTAATTTATGGTATTAATTTTTCTAATTATAAAATATTATCCATTTTTCTAGATAATTCTCCAACTTTATTTTATAAATCAACTGTTCTATCACTTAATATTTGTTTAGTTTAATCAAATTTTTCAAGAGGTGTATATTTCTATTAGATTGTATCATTCATTTCTTTCAATTATATTCTTAATGTTTTAAAATTATCTTAATTTCTTTCATCATTATATTAAAATTTTGCTTTTAATTCAGCCATTTCATTTTAAATTCCCTTAATACCTTCATCTTTCTATTTAGCAATATCTCTCATTACTCTATCATAAACACCTTAACAAGATGTTTCAACAAATTTATCATTAATTCTTTACTATAATAACTTTTCACAATCACTTATTTTCCATAATGTTTTTTTCTCTAATTCATTAATACTTTATTGTAACTGATTTTAATTTTAAGTTGCTGATCTTTCTTGATCCTAAAATCTTTTAGTTAGTTTCTTATTTAAATCATCAATTTGATCTGATAATTTAGTTTTTTGCTCTTTCAAACCCTTATCTAAATCATCTTTCAATGCTCGTTTCATAAGATCAGCCTCTAATTTATTAAGTTTAGCTTCCCAATCTTTACTTCTTTTAAATAGATAAGCCATTCCTTAACTGAATACTCGCTCTTTATTGATTACCATACAAATGGCATTCTCTATTTGATCTGATCCATTTTCAGCCAATGGTTTCTCCAACTAAAAAGAAACTTATTATTCAAATTCTTGATCACGAAGAGACATTGATCTAGCTGTTCTTTATAAATAGGCTTCATACTATTACTATAATTATAAAATTATACATCTTGTAATTTCAGTACTTGATTCAATTAGATTTATAAATTATTCAGATAAGAAGAATGTCCATTAACTGTGTTAGTAACTTTCTCCAAATAACTTTTAAGTTATTCAGCTCTTAAATCAACTTGAAAAAGTGTCTCTTCTAATAATAGAGTTGCTGCTTGTTATGCTTTCATTAATTTACAAAATTTATAATAAATTAACTTATATATTAATCATGTCTTTATAATATTGTTCCTTCTTTTATATGTAATTAAATCCACTGTACATTTTGTAGCATGAACTTATCTTATTATTTAAGCTGGATACAAAACATAATACAAAAACTATGTAATAATTCTTATTTTATTTTTATCTTGATTAATATTGACATTATCAAAATTACATTTAGGATTGTAATGGATAAAATTCTTAGGTGAATCTAATTCCAGCTTTGTGATTAATGGTGTTTCTATATTTTTCTTTATATAGAAATCTAATGTCTCTAATAAATGTAAATCTATTCCTCCAATTTATTTTAAATAATCATATCTAATCTACATCTATTTCAATTATGAAAATATGCTAAAATAGTTAGTGCTTGCTCTGAACGATTAAAATGCATTTATAATAAATTGAGGATATGATTTATTAATCAAAACTACTTTACGAACCAATTATTAAAATTTCTTTTTATTTAACTAATTGTCTTTTATTCCCAACTTGATATTTTTATAACAATCCAAATTATTGATTCTTATTTGATCATCTATTTTCTCTGGTAAATCATATAAACGAACAATATCACTATTTTACTATTAAATAATAAATGCATTTTTCTCTAGTGATTATTTCATATCTTTTCCATATTAATTGATCCTACCTCTCTTTCGAAAGGCAAATGCTCTTGTTTATTATTTATCAATTGTCAATTATTTAATTATTTTTTCTCTGTCTGCTACATAATGAACTTAAGGACAATCCTTTGAATAATGTTAATTTGATTTGCAAATATAACAACTCCTTGGGAATATACTAGTTTCATTCCCATTAAATATCAAATAATCCTTTATTTAACAATATATTTCATAATCAGCTGGATATTTTGTTAAAATTTTCAAGAACTTTTTTTATGATAAAGTCATAACCAATGAAAATCCATGACTTTTATATGTTTCTGGTTTATCACAATCTAATAAAAAGGATATTAAGCCTAGTGTTGTGCCTTTAGAAAAAGATGCAAGTTTCATATTGCACTTTCTATCTCCATATAAATCTATTTTTCCTTATTCAATATAAACCAATTAATTTTTCTGAGCTACCAATGTTTCAGGAGGCAAAATCTTTCTTTTTAAAGATTTTATAAGTTCTGCCTTAAATGCTGCAGTAAATCTATATCTAAATAAAGCACATTAATTTAATATTATAGAATTAGATTCCTATACTAATTTATTTTTTAGCATTTCAGACAATTAATTTATTATAAAATCTACATCCTAAGCATCTTACTCTTTGTCTAATTACCAAAAATAATTCAAGTATTATCTTACTTCATTTTATAAATTAAATGGTATTTATTTTCTCTACATAAATGAGTTTATAATTCTTAGCTTCTTTCTCTTATCTTCCCCATACTCAGTAATTTATTAAACAATCATTCCAACTGTATTAATACTATATGGAAGCTAAAGACTTGAACAAACTATGAAAAAACAACAAACTATTTTCTCCAGATTACTTTATGGAGTCACATCACCATATCCAACTGTAAAAATAGTAACAGCTGAAAAATATACAGAATACACATATTGAACAGTCCAATCTTCATCTACTATTTTTTCCATCCAACTTGTACCATATACTCTATGACTGTATTCTCCTATCTATTATTATATATAAATTTATATTTTACATAAAACCAAAAGCAAGAAAAAAAATGAACTATAAAAAAAAGTGCACCAATTAGTTTTATTAATTATAATATCGAAGATGCTTTCTTATTCAGATTTAATCCTTCTTCATAATAAATCAAACATTCCTATATTGTATTATAATGAACCAAGAATGTTATTAATGTTAGATATATCTTATAATCCTTTATTTTAGTTTGAATTTCTTCATTCTGACTTAAAATAAGATATATCATTATTTAAATTGTAGATATCCATTCTAATCCATAGCACTTCAAAAAATTATGTTTTACTATTTTTTTTCGTTCAGTTACTAAAATTCCTTCTGTATAATATGAAGTATTGAGTCCTACTAATAAATCTCCAAATAAGATCAACAGAAATACAAATGACTAAATATAATAGACATCAAACATAAATGAGTATTTATTCCATACTACATCAAGTGGTATTAAAAATAAAAAGTACAAACGAGATACTAAAGATGCTAAATCCCAAACTATTTTAATTGGAGATTCTGGCTTAAATAATTCAATCCTACTCAACCATAAGATTAAATTCCCAAAAGAAGAAGCAACTAAATCCTTCATCTTTTCCTAAAATTTCATTTTTAATTCCATCTCCATATGAGTTGAAAGTAATTTAAAGTTCAAGTTAAATCCATTTTATTATTTTGATGCTGCATTATCTCCTACATAATCTATAAATTCATTCGATATTGAACTATTTTCCTCCACTTTTTTCTTTAGAGCATTTACAAATCTTCTAACATATACATACTTTCTTTCTTATTTTGCCGATGGACTTTTAAATGAATCTGAAAATAAATAATGACCTCCACTTTTTTGCTTTTTTAATTAGCCTATATTTTGATTTTATTCTGAAATGAATTAAGTTCTATATTTTGAATTTTTACCTTCTTAAATCATTAAAATCCTTAATATGAATTAAAATTAATGAGTCAATAACAATAAAAAAAAAGATTTCAATGTTTAATTTATTATACAAATTATATTAACAAAAAATAAAAAAGTTTTTCTACTGATTAGATATTGTTAATTAGATAGATTAGTATTCTCATTCATTTTAATATAAAATCATAAGAAAATCAAGTTATATTAATTTTTATTTCATCTTTTAATCGATAATCTTTCTTGTTTAATATTAAAATTAATTAATTAATTAAAATATTTTAATATATGAATAAAACCGACTGTTTTGATTTAATAATATATAAATTAAGAATACAAATAGTTAATACATAATTTAATGTCATCTCACAATATTATCTGCCGAAAAACAAACAACTGGTTTTCTTTTATTCATTAATAAAAAAATTCCAACTTAAGATAGATTAAATTGTTTAATTATATCGCCAGGATATTAAAAATACTAGATAAACTTTTTTAATATATTTAAATTTTCAAGAAAATTTTTTTATTTTACAACTGAAAAATTATCTTTCCTAAAATAAAATTTATATGCTTTAGGACTTTCAAAATCTAAATCGTCTATATACTATTTATTTGATAACTTTTAAATTATCAATGACATATCAACATGATATTTGTCAAATTATTTGTTATCAAATTAACTTATATTTTTACATCTTTATTCTAAAATTTATAAAGTCAAACTAACCTACCTTTATTCAATCTATTTTTCATATTAAACATATGTTTATATTAAAAAATAAGGATAGATTTTATTTATTGATATCAATTTATTAACAAGACGTTAAAACTTCTTTTTAATTAATTTTTAATTTTGATCTTAAATTGAAAAATATCTTTCTCTCTTATTTTATGGAGTTTGATGATTTATATGCTAAAATGAAGTTGTTTATTTAATATTACGCTTTTATTGCTAATCTTCATCAATATTATACATATGATCAAATCTATATAATTAAAATAATATTGGTTCATCTTTTTAAATTAATAAAGCACATTACTCAAGCCTTTTTTTATTTAAAATTAAAGCATTAACTTTCTTTTTCGCTCTATCAAATGGTTTCCTTGATTATTATTAAGGATATAAATGTTTCTTAATGATGAATTCCTTATTCGGAACAAACTTAATTAAAGGACATTCGATTAATTTATGAGATTACTTCCCACATGAAAAACAAGTAACAGTGAAATACTGATCATCTTAATAAAATATCATTTTATCTCTCACAGCAAAAAATAATTCTTAATCTTCTGGATGCTCCTATAATATTTTAAGAAAGTTTCTTCGCTTTAAAATCATAGCCTTTGTAAATCCAACACTTTTATATGTCTCTAAAGACTCAGTACCCATTATAAAGTTCTTAATACCAATTGAAGCTCCCTTATTAACAATCCCTAAATTAATCTTTCTACCTTATTGTAAACAAATTTAGATTGAACCATCCTCTATATAATAGAGTAAAATATCATTAGCTGATTTTAAATCCTATTCTGGAGTTAGAAGTACTTCCTCTACTTCCTTAATTAATTACCTTTTAAATTATTCACTAAAAGGTATTTTAAATAATGTGCACTGATCAAATATTTTCTAATGGGCTTCAGTTATTAATTATTATCTCAGAAATTCAGATAAGGAATCAATTATTTCCTTTTCTTCTTCAGATTAAGATATAACTTTGTTTTCCCAATAATAAGTTAAGTATTATCTGATTTTCATTTACAAACCAGAAGACATAGAACTCTTATTCATATAAGAATTGATAATCCTTAACTTCCTTTTTCTTTCTTCTGAAAATGTAGAAATTTCTTTAATAATATTTCCAACAGTATTAACACTATAAGGAAGTTGAATACTTGATATCATAATTAAGACAATAGTAACAATCTTCTCAATACTAGATTATGGTGTCACATCTCCATAACCAACAGTGAATATTGTTACAGCTGTATAATAGAAAGCCTATAAGTATTAGGTGTTCCATTACTATTCATACATGTTAGTTGCCATAATCCAACTCTTTCCTTCATAATTTTCCATGCTATATCTTCCAATCTAAGTTATTTTATTAAAAATTACCCAAAACCAAAAGCACGAAAATAAATGAATCACATAAAATAAAAAGGCTATCAATTTGAATAAAGCAAATACAGAGGATGTTTTCTTTGAGATATTCAATCCTTCTTCATAATTTGTTGCATAATTTATTATAGTTTTGTGATGAACTAGAAATATCAACAATCCCACATTTATTATATTATTTTCAATATCAAGTGAAATATGAACAAATCTATCAGTTATGAAATAAATTAGCAACTATAGCACTGATAACCACTATAAACCATATGTATTATATAAACTGTTTTTAACAATCTAAACTCTTGATGTTACTGCCTCTCCATTTGAAAAATATACTGTATTTAAACTTATTAGCAAATCAAAAATTAAAATAAGCAGAAACAGTATTGAAATGTATTTAAAATCATGGAATATAAATTACTAATTAACCCAAGCTAAATCAATAGGGATTATATATAAAAAATACAATCTTGCAGTAACAGCTACTATATCCCAAATCACTTTAATATATTAACCAGGATGTATTAATGGTAATTTTTCAAGTTTATTCATTAATACTTCTTATAGATTCTAAAAAAACTTTAATTGTTTCTCATTAAGTTAAGAAAATGTTGATGATTTTCTTTAAAAAAAAATCTCATCTGATGACCCTTAATCTCCAATTAAAGACAAATGAAAGTTTTTTATTTTTTTTGTTTTTCGTACTAAATCCAACATATTTTCAATAAACTTCTTCACAAAATCATTCTTTTTTTCATAATTGAAAGGCTTTTTTCCATTTGTTTAAAAGAAATACAAATCTGCATAAAATGGAGATGATTTTTGAAATATTGATTTACTACTGTTAATATTAGCACTTAACAAATTTGATTCATTTTATTCAGACAACAATTTTGCCTCAAATCCTTATACAAATGTATTTTTTTGTTTCATATTTTATTTTATATTTATAATAATCTTTACTTTCTGAAACTAAAATGCGATATTTCAATTAATTTTGAATCTATCTATCTAAATAAAATACTAAATATCTTTTAATGTAACAAAATCAATTGCAAAAACTTTTATATTTCTAACTATTGATTTTTTATAACTTAAAATTTACTATAATAATACAAATATGGATCAATACTAATATAAATGCATAAAACAAATCAATAACTAAAGAATTTATTAATTTAATATTTTAATTATATAAATATTTACAAAAGTAATTTAAATTAAACCTTTGTTCTTTATATAATTTAACTTTTAAATTCTTATTTTTAAGGATTAGGTCTTCTATCATATTATATATTTACTTTAATTTAATTCAATAATGTTAAAGTGATGAAACATATATATTATGAAAGTCTATTGATATTTTAAAAGATAAAAATTTTAATTAAAATGTTGTTATAATCTTTAAGTTATTAAATTATTATAATAAGAATTATTAATTAAATTATTGCTAATCTAGAGTCTTTATAATATTTAATTAAATAATCAATTATTTCTATGACTTAACACCAAAATTTCTAGATAGCATTATTAATTAAGACATTTTTTGATTAAATCTACTGAAAATACGTATTATTCTTAATAGTAAAAGCTTATGAATTGAACTACAATATAAAACGAAATTTTTAAATTGTTTCGAAAATATCAAATAATACTATATAACTGTATAATTTTATAAATTTTAATAATTTGGCTTTTGTTTTTAGATTAAAAAATGGTCTTTCTTAATAAATAAACTTAGTCTACCATCAGATAAATATTCAGAAGAGATAAGATAGGAAATTGAATGCAGAGAATCTGATAAACCATTTGAAAAATATTATTTATTAATTCATGTTGATAATAGAAATTCAATTAATTATGATGAATTAATAATTAAATATATCTAATCTAAATATCCTCAATAATACTATTAATAATTAATATATGATAAAAATTAATAAAAAATATCATATAATGAATTAGTTAATTATTATGATGAATATGTTATATTAATTAAATGGATATGATAGATATTAGAGAAAGGATGTGATTAACTGAATAAGTTTTTAATATATTTGATTATATCATAAATTTTAATTATAATGGTGGTTGAAGAGTTTATAAATGAAATTTATAAAAATATATATGATTTCTAAGTAATTAATAGTGTTTGTAATAGAACGTGTTTATTAAATAATTTAATGATTAAGAATTACGGAGATAGATATCATCTTATTGACAAAAAGGCTTTGGAAGATAGGAAATTAGATAAAAATTAACTAGAAGAATTTGTAAAATCATCAGGGATAATCGATATAGGGAAAAATTACAATATTGTTTCAATTATTGGGAGTCAAAGTACAGGCAAAAGTACATTACTTAATTACCTTTTTGGAACAAAATTTGATGTCTAAAATAGGTAATAAAGTGTAGGTTAAACAACAGTTGGTATTTGGGTTTCTAAAGATGTCTAAAATAATGTTGTAGTATTAGATGTTGAAGGATCAGATTCTGTGGAGAGAAAATCAGGAGAGAATGTAAGTGATCCTATTTAATACGTAGATGGTTGAAAATCAAACAGCATTAATGGCATTAGCTATGTCACATTGTTTTATTATTAATGTTTTTGTTAATGCTTTAGGTTAACATACAAGTTGTTAATTATCCATCATCAAAATCATTATGCAATAGAATTTAAAGCTATTTTAATAAGACACTGTTAAGCACATAATTTTTGTTGTTAGAGATTGGGATGAAGATTCAAATTATGAAGAGGCTTCTCGTAGATTGAATGGTTATTTATTGAACATATGGAATGAGATTCCAAAAGTAATAATTTAACCTATAATTAATAGCCTGATCATTATAAAGAGACAGATTTTCATGAATTATTTAGTGTTTAAGTATTTACATTAGCATATTACAAAATGAAAAAAGAATTTGGTGAATAAACAAGTGAGCTTCATTCAAAATTAGCTAATTAAAAAGATCCTAATTTTATTTTTAAAAATTTTGATTATGAGAAAAATGTAAGATGGTCAGATATGCCATAATATTTATCAAATATTTGGGAGGTTATTTCAAATAATAAAGACCTTAATTTACCAAATGAGAAGATTCTAATTTCTAATATGAGATGTTAATAAATTAAATTAGAGGCATTGGAACGTGTTAAATAGTTAAATGAAGTATAATTAAATATAATAAAAATATAGGATTTATCAAATAGAGTAAAAGAATAATTTGTTGATAATTTTGGTTAATAATGTTAAACAATATTGAGTTTAGCTAAAAAAATATATGATACTGATGCTAGAGATTATCATGTTGAAGTGTATAAAGAGAAAGAAAAAGAATTAAAAGATGAATTGATTAATAAATTCTTTACTTTCTTTTAAAGATAAACAGAATAACTTAAACAATATTATATGAATATATTATCAGAGAATTTTGAGAAATTAAAGAGAGAAAGTATTTAATTTAATGATTAAAAATTAGGTATTTATAATTTACCTGATAAATTAAACGAATTAGATTTGTTAAAGATGAAATTCGAAGAATCATTAACAAAATCTGTAATTGAAGTAGGATTATGGTAAGAAGAGGACCATATTAAATTCTTTAATTAATAATTCGATAATCATTTAAAGTCATTTGTAGAAGCCTAATTAGCAACATTTAAATAATAATTAGATAATATAATAAAATCAGAATGTGATAAGATTGTGAGTTCATAAGTCTTAAATATCTCACCAAAATTTTGGTTATAAATTGAAATTGATTATTATCAAATGATTTCAGATAAATATTAAAAATATGATGTTTTATTAACAGGATTGAGGGTTTAATAAAAATAAATTGATGATTATTTGAATAAATTTGAAGAAGATAGTTTTCATAATCTAAAATAAGTAATTTCAGTTGCAAGTGGTAGATTTAAAGATTAATTATTTCAATAATTCAAAGCATAATTTGTTAGAGCTCCTGATGGATAACCTAGAAATTGGTAAAAATTAACTGAAGAAGAAATCTTTCATTTCTATACAGAAGCTAGAGATAAAGTATTTTCATTATTGGATTTATTGAGAATTAGAAAAATTAAATACATAAAATAATCAGCTAACTTTAAATAAAAAGCTAAAACTCTTTTAATACCATCAGGTTAGAAAATATAATATTAAATATCCTCAGATACTGATTCTGATGATGTTGTACTTAATGAAGTTTTTTATACATAAGTGAAAATGCAATTAGCAGAAGATATTGATGTCTAATATTAAGATGCTATTCAAAAACATGTAAATTTAAATATGCATTCATTTCTTAGAAACAAGATTTCCTTTAAAATATTCCAAAGCCATTTTGGTTTTTATTATTATTCTTTATGTATGATGATGTCTTAAGATGGATGGGTAATCCATTGTTCCTCTATCCAATCTTGATAATCTTATGTTTTGTTGGATTTTGTATTGCTATTGGTAAATTATCAATATTCTATTTTATTAGGTCTACATAGTTTACCTAAACTAGCATTTTAATGGGTCTTTAAAACTTTGAATTAAGCTGTGGTTCCATTAATATTTGGAGGTATTTCAAAATTAAAAGGAAGTTGAATGATTATTTTAATAATCTATAATAAATATATTAAATGTTAACTAAAAGTGCAAAAGGCAACTAATTACATCAAACAATCACTACAGTATCAATAACATAATAAAATCTAGATAAATTATAGATCAATAATCAATTCAGAGAAGAGATAAGATGACATACCTTAATATATGAATGGAAGATGTAAAATAAAACTACGCAAAGAAAAGAACTAATTACCTTATTTAAATATAAGAGAACCTTCTTTACCAACATTGAAATCACCTGTTAATAAGTAATAACAACTAAACAGCATGAGTTGGATTTCATTAATTTAAGTCTAAAATAGACCAAGAGATAAGTCTATTTCTATTGCAAATGAAACATATTTTTAAAGAACTAGATAAGTTAGTTTTATAGATAATCTTCTTAAATAACTAAATAAAAATAACAGATAATCTTGAATTTTTGATTAATACATATGACTTTGTAAAATAGTGTTTTTGTTTAATGTACATAATTTTTATATCCATTTTAATTATTTTTAATATTTCTATATGAATAGACTACTATATCTATTTTTATGAAATTCTTCTTTTAACTAATCAAATAGTAATAATTAATATAAATCATAATTAGATATAAAATAATAAACATTTTTTATTTTCCATCATTTTTTTGGAGAAGGAGAACCAATATTTTCATTTTCCTCTTGTTAAAGTTTATCTAAAAATCTTTCAAAATCCTTCATTCTAATTTTAACAGTTGAAATACTAGATGTTGATCTTTAAGTCATAGATCTATGTGATAGAAGCTTTGAAATTCAAAATTTATTTATACAGATAATAAACTGCTATTTCTTTTTATTGATTTTTTATTTTCTGCTCTAAATAGTTATCTAAATGTTTCAAAATCCAAACTTTCATTTTAAACTTCTAATTATTCCAATAATTCATCAATATCAAAATTCAAATCGAATTCAATTGATAATATTTCAATTATTTTATTTTTATGTACATATCCACTTGCATCAGGTTCACCTCCCAATGCTACAAATGCATCAACTACAATCATTGTGTAATCACTTACTAAATTCACTATATTATATTTATTCTTCATTTTCCTTAATTTTACTTTCAAAATCTTTACAAACTCTGGCAATATATAATAAAGTTTAAAAATCAAGTTTTGTTGTATTTCTGTCTTCAATTTCTTTGAATATTTTCTCTTTACAATTTTGATTTATTTAAAAGCCAAATTCTTATTTAAGAAATATCAAATACCTTTTAATAAATCCATCATATCATGATAAGTTAAGAATCCAACCTTATTATAATCTATACGTTTAAACATTTTCAATAGAGAATCAATTTCATTCTTTTGTAAATCACAAGTTGTTGTATATTTAAGTAAAGAATTATAATCTATCTAAATGCTTTTGATATTGCTCTAATTGATTTTTTAAGATGCTTATTGTTCAACAACCTATAAACTATTCACATTATTATCCATTTCAAAAAACCAAAATTTTATATTATAAAAACATTCAATCTAAAATGACTTAGCTCAAATATTTAGATCATCAATATTTTGATTAAAATATCAATTAATCAATCTTCATTGATTGAGAATTAAATTTACATCAATTTAAGGTAGAATAATAATTTTATAATTAATGTATCTAATAAATTTAATCTAATTTCCATATAAATATCATCATTATTATGAATATAATTATAAGTGATAATATTATATATTATTGAATATTTTGGATATATTAAAATATTTAAATATGAATTTAAGAAAGATAATAAGTCATAAACCCTAAAGTAAATGATAGATGATACAAAATTAATTAATAAAAGAATCTTTATTAGTAAAAATATAGAATTAATTTAGTTTATAGAGTTTATAACATATCAATTAATTTATATAAAAATCAGATCAATATATTTTAATAATTGAATCAATAATACTCTAAAATTTAGAATTAAGAAGAGCTAAAATTCTCTTTTAAGTACTTTTGAACTTCAATCATTTTATTAAATTTACCTGCTTTTATGAAAAAAAATGAAAGAATTATTTAAAGGACAACTATAATACTATCATATATATATGATTCAATAGTAAATACAAGTTTTTTCAAACCAATATATGCATATAAAATTAAACAGAATAAACTATTTCAACAAAAAGAAACAAAGAGAATAATCTAAAAATGCCTTATTTCTATAATTAGAAAATCATGCAAGTAATAAATAATTTCAACAATAAATTTGACACTATAATATATAATTGACTTTCTTCAACTCAACTTTTTTAATAATTCTTATGCCTTTTTGTCTTTTACTTCTCTTTATTTAATAATTTTCTTCTTCTATTAATCAAATTAATCTGGATTCACCATATATGATGATACAATTCCAGCTAATATGGTAGCCACTATGTATGCAACAAGTGAATACAATATCAAGCCCCAGAAACTATTAATTGCTGGGAAGTATGCAAAAATATTCATTTAATTATTTTTTTTTTTCAATAAATATATAAGTCTAATGAAATTTAATTAAATAAAAATCAATAAGATGTTTTTGGATTTTATAAGCATTAATATTTATATTAATTACAAAACTATTCAAAAAAAATATGTTCTTATGTTTATTAATTTTTGTTTAATTACAGAATTATCCAGTTTGTTTTCGGGAATCATCAATATCAAATATTTATATTAATTAATTTCTACACTTGATTCTCTAATTAAATAGGCATTTATTATGAATAAAAATAGCATTAAACTAAAAATAAGAATATAATTACATTGATCCTAAAACATAGTAATATGTTAATAATTTATCAATAATTAATTAACTTGCTTTTTAATTTCCATCTATTAATAATTCCTAACTTTAATCAATTATTTATTAAATATCTATAACATATTAAATAAAAATGTTAACAAATAATCTTTAGCTGATAGTTTATTTTAATAATTCTAAATCAGTTTCAAATAGTCCATTTAACTTTTCTGATTCAAATTCACTTATAGAAAATTAATAAATATTTTATATCATTCCATTTATTCCTTCTTTTAATAATTATGCATAAGATTCATTTTAAAATTATCTTACAATACAAAATTGTAAATCATATATTTAACAATAATCTGAATTAAAAGAGTCTAAAATTTAATTGATTGAAGATTAATCAATAAAATCATATTAAACTATAGATTCAGTAATATCTAAAATAATAGTTGGTAATTAATCAATAATTTTAAAATACTCTTAAATAATTAAGAATTATTCTGTTTTATTTCTAAAATTATTAATTAATGGTTCTGTTTTAATAATTTATCCTAATGTTATACTTGAATCAACCTTTTATTAGAATAATAAAAATTATTAATTTACAGTTACTGATGGTATATAAGAATCAAATAAATTTAAGAGTAGAATAAATCCACCAACAAAAAAGACAATAAAAAATATTAAAATTAATGCTTCAATAAATATTAAAAAAGTCTCTTGAAATGATTTTTCCATATTATTTGATCCAGATTTTCTTTTATTTTTTGTTGGTGAGATCTCTTTAATAAATTAATTTTATTTATGATTCCACAAATCATAAAAATTATATTATTTCCATTATTAAGTTTTCCAACTATCAATAATTATTGTTAAAGTAGCTATCTATTCAACTATTTCTTCTTAAGATAATCTTTAAAGTAATGTAACCAATTTTGATTTTAAACTTGATTTAGCTGATACAACTTTAAAAATAAATGTAAATATGGTTATAATCATCAATAAACCAGTAATTAGAATTACTATAAAAACATCACTCAATTTAATATTTGAAAATTATTAAATAAAGTCTTCTGAGTATATTAGAAATTTATAGATAGTATAGAATATTTATTCTTAAATATAAAAAGGTGTTTATCTGGCAATTTCAAAATCATATGTAATATTACTAAGAATACTATTTCTTAAGAATGATAATTAATTTTCTTATAAACGATTAAAATAAGTGAAGCATTTCTCAAAATTGGAATCATTTGCAAATTCATCAAGATATATACAACTCTATCTTTCAAGATCTAATGAATCATCTATTATTGTTTAATAAGATTGAGAAAGACTTTAATTTAATGAATTTTACAAATACGGACTTAAAGTATAAATCCCTAATCCCTATAAATAAGTATTTTATAATAATTGATAATTAGAAACAATTATATTATTTAAAGTTTATATAGATTAAAGTTCTTCTATTTATTATTTAAATTCTGTAAATTAGTTCTAAACTAACATTGTATTTATGATAATATAAATTAAAATTAAAATTTCCAAAATCCATGTTAATGTCTTTGCATTTGCCAATAATCTAATATTATTACTAGCATCTACTATTTCTCTTATTAAATCAATTTAAAGAGAACTTACTTTTTAAGTATGCTACTTATGATCATTCTAATCAATATCTTTAGATGTCTAAAATGATTTTGATATATAATCTGCATTATCATTTTCACCTTTATTTTCATTTACAAATTCCTAAATTGGATCTTATTTAAATCTTGAAATTTCTACCATATCTCTTTCTAATTGATTTAAAATATCATAATCCTTATTAACTTATTCTTGAACCGATAATTAAGGTAAAACAAATTCAGTTTTTTACATAGATCCTCTAAATGATTATTATCCAGATAGTAATTATCTATGTGTTTATCTTTATGTCAAAATGAAAGGAGATTTTGATTAATTTTGACTAAAATTCATCTATTTTGATGAGTTTTTGTCTTAAATGCCATCATAATCTATTTCTGGATCATCAAATAACAACTTTTCAACAAGTAACTGTTAGTGAAGATTATTAAATATTTATATTTCTCTGATTTAATGTCCTTCTGATGATATTTTGTCAGACTCTTGCTAATCTAATTATTATGAAATTGTTAATGATAAGGTTTTTGCACCAGACTTATTTTAAGAAGTAGAAATCAAAGTAGTAGCTACATCAGACAATCTGTAATCTTAAATTTATAATAAAAAATAAATCTTATTGTAAATTTTGGTCATCTAAATATTATAGGCCATTTCAATTTTTTATTTGATTTCACTAAATTTATAGGTTGTTCTATTATTTAGAATTAGAAAGAATTTATCTTAAAAATCAGGATCCAACAAATTGACTTAGATATTATCTATTTCATATTCATTATTTGCTTCTTCATGATTTGTTTTATGATTTATTAATTTCATTTAATTTATTATATACTAAGTTTGAACTATGCATTCATTATTATTGTTTGGAAACTCCCAAAAAGATCTAATATTTATTAATTAGTAATTCTATGAACTCTAAATATTTTCTTATAACAATTTTAATTATTGAGGTATTTAAGGGATATAATGAAGAATGTGGCCTCCTTTTTCTACAATATCTTAGATTCTATAATGTTTTTAATTATTTTCAGATATCATATCCCCCATAAAATTAAATATTTTTTAAGTTATTCCCATTATGATACCATCCTAATCAAAAACAATATATTCAAAATATTAAGAATATTGTGTTATTATAGCATATAATGTTATATCATCCATTCTCAAAGGATTATAAAGATGAAGATAACCTGGTAATATAAAATTCTTAGGAGTTTTCAAAAAGATTAATGATCCAGTTTGCATTAATTTAGATTTTCCATTTTCTAAAAATTTGTTTATTAATTCATCATGTAAGGAAGCAATATAATCTGGCATAAAATCATATATGTATTTATAATTTCCTACTGCTTCTAAAGGACATGAAAAAAATTGAGAAGCTTACTCTTTATTGTAGTTCAATAATTAACCTTAATCATGGATTAAACTTGTTTAAATAATCATAGATCTATCTAAGTTATGTATGTTTTACTTTACTTGTAAGTAGAATTTGATTATTAATTGTGAATTCATTAAACTATTTATCATATCTCAATAAATCATCTACTATTTTTTCTATTTCTATTGCCTAATTTATTGTTATATTATTACTTTTTTTGTATTAACCATGATGATTCCAAAGTATAATTGTAAAATTCTTAAGGTCAATATGTCAGAATACTATTAACCCATAATAGTATTATTTTCTAAATCATATTCTTATTGTATCATTTTTTTACATTCAGAAATAGCTTTTACATAAGGTATGATTTTATTTTATTATCTTGATTGAGATGAAAATCCAAGTCTTAGATACTCTAATAAACCAAGTTTCTATTTTAATGTTGATTCTAAAAAGGATAAACTTTCAACACTTTTATATTATGCTAAAAGGAATCCAGTAATTGTTAATCTTGGGATTTCTGTTTTTTTTGCTTATGCATCTTATATTCGTTTTATTTGTGTATTGATTTCTTTAGTAATTACATTGAGATATGCTTTAGTTAGTATGCTATCACATTTATATTGAGAATGAAATTAAATCAATGATTTTAATGGATATAGTTATGAGGAATAGTTACATTGTATTTTAACTATTAATGAATTCTTTTATTTTTTATTTGATAATAGTAATTGAATTAATTGATCCATAGATTAAGTTTTAATATTTGATTAACTTGTTAATAATAAAGCTTTTTAGATAAGTGTTTGTTAACTTTAAAATTTATTATATAATAAGCTTTCAATTAATTAACATTTTTATAGAGTGATATTGTGATCAAGTAAATATTAATCATATAATCTTCTTTGAATATTGATTGTGAAATAGATTGAAAATGTTAGTATTGTAAGTACATATATAATTGATATATTGAATTGAAAACATAAGATCAGATTAATCATAATTACCTAATAAATTAAATAAAATGCAGAATTGTTATTTAGTATACTCTTTAAAAAGAAAATCTTTGATAAGTATTTAATTATAAATAATATTACACAAACTTCTGTTGATATTTCAGCAAGTAAAATTGCCAATACTGTAATAATTTCATAAAATATATCAACAAGAATATTTTAATGGTAAATAATACCTGTAAAATCAATTAATTATGTTTATTTACAAATTGACATCCATAATAGTTATTAAATATACATAATCATATTACAAATTGTTAATATGTATATTTTTATACTTGGGTAATTATTAATTTAATAAAATATGGTATTCCAAGTTGGAAGAATCAATATTTTATGCTAGATTTTAATTAATAATACAAGCATATACTAACAATTTTGATAATGTTTAAAAAATGTCACAATTATAACACAAACAATATTTATTAATAGATGTACAACAGCCAAATATATAAGCATCTATTAGTTATCAATTATGATTAGATAATTCGTTATAATAAACTATGAGATAATATTAAAAATCTTTCTAATGTTAAGTTATTAAAATACTTTGTGTCCGTGTTTAAGCCAGAAATTAATTATAATTCCTAAAGACCACTAATTATCAGCAAAATTCTTATGGTTAGCATTAAAAGTTCTTTATGCTACTTATGTAATGATTATGTAAATGAAATGTATCCTTCTAAAAGAGTGAATACCTATTTTCGCATCATTCTCATTTTAAATTTTATAATAATTTTTATATTAATATACTAAATGATAATGTTTATATAATAAGATAAATGATAATACATTTTCTAGTTATAATTATATATCTATTTGTAATTTATCATTCATATTTACTACTACCATACCAATCCCTATTAATATATGTAATCTAAAAACATTTCTTTTAATTTTATTATTTAAATCTATAAAAGAACTTAAACTTTAATTATATTACTTATCTTAAATCAATTATACACTTATAAACATTATTTTAATTGGTAAATAATTCTTAATTGATTCTTAAATGGCTAAATCTTTGAATTTATTATTAATTATTCAAAATGATGATGAGATCAACATAATATCTTTTATTATAAAGACAGATTCTGCAAAATTTATTTAAATTATTGAGTTAATTTAAAATAGGAAATGACAATTAACTAACTTACACTCATTCATTAATTTTATTATATTAATTAATATAATGATAAGTCGAGACACTGGATTCTAGGATCTGGAGAGTGGAATTTAGAGTAATAATTTATCATCAGGACAATTGGTTGATTTGGAATAACATAGCCCAAATAATGGATAATAATTGGATCCAACTTTAGAGTTTTCTTAATTATAATAACTTGAAGCTCTAAGAATGAAAAGAGATATTTTTGATAATAAAAATAAGCAAGCATTAAATTTAGGAAATAAATCAGATATAAATGAAGAAGATTGTTTAATAAGTAATTTAAGGTAAGTTAGTTTGATATAATAGTGGAAAAAGAAGTGAACCATAAGGGTCCATCAGTTCTATAAATTGCAACTAATAGAGATAGAAGCCTTTGACTACAAAAACACCTTAACATAAGTCAAATAAAACTATTTAGTTCTAATAAAAATTTGAGTAAGATGATTTTGTAATTGCATCTCCAATTAACGAAGGTACTAATATTTTAAGAATAAAATCTGATGCCAAAATAGCAAAATATTAAACATTTGTATAAAAATTAGAAGAAGAACAAGAGTAAAATGAGAAATCAAAGAGAGCATAAATACTACGTGATACAGTAAAACAATAATCTTTAGTTTTGAGAGGAAAGAGTAGAGAAATGAAAACAGGGTATTAATATTAAGTAATTATAAAGACTAAATGAAGTTTGGTCACAGAAAGCTTTAATAATTATTAGATTAGTATCTCGTTTTATTTAATAATTAAAGACTAAAACAGAAAGAATTAAATTTAGACTAATAACTTAAAGAATATTTGAAGTAATTTGTGATAATAGTGCAAATTTTTAATATATGTTAATAAATAGATTAATTAAACAGAAACCAAGTTTAGGATTAATAATATTTCATCACTTTTAAAGTCGAGCTCTAATATTATTAAATGCAATAGAATCAATAAATGACTTTTTTAGTAAATATGTAAAAGTGATAAAACCTGATAGTTTATTTAAGATAGTCTGGGATATTATACTATTATTATTTATTGTAGTTAACATTTTTTATATTCCAATATACATAAGTTTTGATGTTAGATCATCTGGATTATTTGAATGGATATTTGATTTATTACCTTCATGGGTTTTTATTGCAGAGATTATATTAAATTTTAATACAGCATATTATGATAAAGGTTTAATGCATGAAGATAGAAAATAAATAATGAAACATTATGTAAAAGGTAATTTTTTTTGGGACATAATTGTTGTGATCCCATTTTTGATTTCTTATTTGGACATCCCATTTGTAAGATACACATTATTATTGAGACTTACTCGATTATCACCATTAATGACAAGTATTGAAGAAGTCCTGAATTTAGAAGTATTTCATTATATCTATAATAATAATAGGATAGTCTTTAAATATTTTTAGATTTACTGAAGTTAATCTTCTTTCTGTTATTAACTGGACATTTTTGTGGTTGTGCATGGCATTGGGTTGCAATAATTGAATATCAAGATTATGGATAAGAAATAACATGGCTTACTCATTATGAACCTAATGCTATGAACTATGAATGGTTTGATAGATATATTATATCCTTATATTGGAGTGTTATCACTACTGTTACTGTAGGTTATGGTGATATTGTACCTGTTACTACAGTGGAGAGAGTGTTTGTTATTGTAGTAACTTTGTTGATTTGCGGAGTGTTTGGTTATTGTTTATCTAATATTGGAAACATATTTAAATAAATAACAGATAAGAAAGCTATCTATAAATAAAGAATTAGAGAAATCAATTAACATATTAGAAAGAGAGGTCTAAGTTATAATCTGTAATTAAAAGTAGAATAAACATTTAAATTTTTTAGGTTAAAAAGTATTTTGAATATTTCCTAAAAGTTAAGTAGGAGGAGGATCAACATGCAGAATAATTTATAGAACAATTAACTAAACATTTAAGAGAAGAAGTCTTAATTGATATTTATAGTAAGACACTAAAACAATCAAGATTTTTAAGGGAAAATTTTAGTGAAGAAATTTTGAATCGATTATGTTAGATAGTAAAAGAAACTAAATTGTACCCAGAATAAGTACTTTTTTAAAGGAATGATTCTCCTAAAGCATTATGGTTTGTTTTGTCTGGAGCAGTTGAGTATGTTGCTGATCATTAAAGTATATTAAATCATTATATACTCTAGATGAAGATGAACATTATTATACTGAAACATTCTTAAAGAAATTAACTCAAGGGTACTATATATGAAATTATGTATTATTAGAGCAGTTATTGGTGAAAGAGAATTCATATCTCAAACTCCATATGAATATAATGCTAGAGCTACTAAATTTACTTAATTATTAGTTGTAGAGTATATATATCAATATTATTGATTAGTTATTAACAATTCTATTTAATTTTATAAGAAAATAATGATGAATTTGAGAAGTATTGTTTAGCAAAAGATAATCTATTATTTAATAGTAATTATAAAGCATTTGGATAAATTTGTGAAATTTGTGGATGGACTCATAGATTTATTTAGTAAATCTTATATATTATGATTTAGATGTCCTTTTGTGTTTTTATAACCTAATAAAAATAAAATAGCAAGTTCCTTTGTTTCAACTAAGACAAATAAAAGATTATCATTTCCATATAGATCACTCCCTAAAACAAATTGGAGAAATAATATACCTGAAATATAAGAAGCTGCATTAGGCTACATTGTACTAAATAACATTATACCAGAGAAGTACTTATTTTATTATCATTCAAGAGAAATAAATGATAACTATCTTATTAATTTGGGGTTTGAATTAAATGAAAGGGATGAAGAACCTTCAAAAATTATACCCAATAAAAAAAACTCATTGTCCAAAGATCAAAAAATATTATCTCAATATGAAAATACACCTTAATAATAACCTATATAATAACCATCTATTTAAACTGTTTTGTAAGATTAAAAATCATAAAATTAAACAGCAATATTTCATAAAGATGGTTAAAAAATTAATATGACAAATGTAACTTTTTATTTAAAATTTATAGGAAAGCATTATTGAATGGGATTAAGGTAGTTAATTAAAGAAAAGCATGAATAGAATCAAATTCTAAGGACTTGACAGAGGAAGAACACTTTAATCAATTAAAGGGAAATACCACTAAAATAATGGAGGAGTTGATATTTTAGAAGAATCAATGATCTAAGAAGAAGTCAAAATTTAAAATACTAATATTGGATCATAAAATTATATACATAATAAACTTAAAATGGTTAAAAGTAAACATAATAACTAAAATAATATTGGAATTAGAAAAGTATCTTGGCTTGAATTTGATAGTGGAACTAGTCAATATTAAGGTTTTTATAATATTTTTAAATATTTTTAGATGGGAAAGCTGTCTAATAAACATTTAATAAATAAATTAGCAAAGGAAGTGAAACCAACTTTGATTAACCTCCATCAATTAATTAATAAGAAAATGATATCATTTAAAGAATTGAGGCCAGAGAAAATAGCATAAAATCAAAAAAGACAAATAATAAGTATGAGATATCCATATTTTAGTATTGATATAACAAGAAAGAAAAAAAGAAGAAAAACTACTTAACTATTATAATTCTTTTAAGGTATGGATGGTGGAGACATTAAATCAACAAAAAAAGTAGATAAAGGTATTTTAGGAAATGATGTATACAGTTCTAGTGTATATACTACTGGAGGACCAAGTAATACTGCTTTAATGGAATCTAATAATAAAGATAATAATGCAGATAATAATAGTGTTCATGTTGCTCATTCATTTGATGGCATTTAAAAAAGAATCTAAGATATAGTTCATGTTCATTTTGAAATGGATTTGGATAGATTTAAATCATCTAAATTTTATTTTCCAGATTATAATTTAGAGGCTGTATTATAAAAAATTACAATATATTATGAGAAATTGAATGATAAAAAGAATGATTTTGATTCAAGGGAAATGAAAAGAACAAAAACTAATATGACTTTATTTGATAGAATCAGATAAGCAAAAAATTAAAATCTTAGAGGAAGTTTTATGGATAAATCACTATAAGAAAATGATTGAAAATATTAAATCCCACTTTGTAAACATAATTTATTTATTTATTGATTATATATAAATTATAATCTAATCTATAGGAAATGACTTAAATATTGAATTATAATTAATAATCATTTTCTAATTTAAGAATATTCTCTGTAACATACCTATTTATTTCTAATATTTTAGATTATTTAAATAAAAATAAATATATTTTATAGATTTTCCATACTGGTAAATTTAACATATTTAGTTTTTCTTCCAAAACTTTAAACAAATTATTTGATTTTATATAAGTCATATCAATAACAATATTTATTAAAGAAAATCTCTCATTTTTTTCTTAATTATTTGTCCAAATTTAATCATTTATTAATTTTAATATAATTTAACTAAAATCTCAATCTATGTTATTTTGAACATATCTTATAGACTATTAATGATTTAAGGAGTGAATTATAATTAAATTAAGACCAGTCTTTAAAATTTCCTGGCTTCATTTTGGAATTTTAGAATCATGATTTACTCAAAATTAGTTAAGAGTTTTTTAGAATATAAACTTAATATATGGTATGAATAGACTTTTATTAATACATAAAGATTGATAAAGAAATTGTATTGAAATAAACAATTATGTGAAAAAATAGTAGCATCTATCTAATTTAAAATTTGAATCAACACTTATATATAGATATATTCTTGTAAACTATAGAAAAAATGATTGAAAAATTATAAATTATTATAATTAAATGGGATGTCTATAATCAAAGAAAGCATTAAAAGAATCTTAAGCAAAACTAAAACCAGAAAGTCCTCAGTAATACGATCCTAATAGTATTTTATAAATTATATTTAGAGAAAGAGACATAATATTAAGTTATTGTAAATGGAATATTTTTTGATGCACTCAATCCAGATGAGTGATTCTTCCCTTTCATGTAGATTCTCAAAAATTGATTGATATATTTTATCGATTTAACAAACCACAAATAAAATCTGAAGCTTTCTTTAGTTTTTCTCTGTCAATACCTGTTTCGATTCCTAAATAATTCAAAGAATTAATGACAGTTTCTGTAGCCACATTTCCACTTGGCTTACCTGCATAAGGACATCCACCTAATCCTGAAACAGATGAATCAACAACTTCAATACCATGCTATATTATTTATTGTCATAATTAAATTACTTCCAAAGCAACCAGTATATTTGGAATTGCCCTATCATAGGTATCATGAAAATGAACAGCCAATTTTTTAAAGTCGAATTACGAAAGAGCTTACATTAAATTTTTCGTCTTCTCTGGAGTCCCAACTCCTATTGTATCTCCCAAAGAAACTTCATAACAACCTAAATATATTCATTTAACTTTTGAATACCCATTTCAAATAATTTTTAAGTCACTTCTGCTACTTTTAATGGATCAATATCCCCTTCATATGGACATCCCATTACACATGATACATATCCTCTTATTTTAATTCCATTTTATTAGGCTTTTATTACAACATCATTAAATCTTTTTAGTGAATCAGCCTATACTTATTAAATAATTCTTACTATAGAGCAGTTTATATTTTTTTATGAAAATGCTTCAGAAGCTGCTCCAAATACAGCTATTTCTTTAACTCCAACCTTTAATGCTTAATCTAATCCAGTTATATTGGGAACTAATACAGGATAACTCACATTTGGAAATTTTTCAATTTTTGAATAAACTTCAGAAGCATCTCCCATTTATGGTACCCATTTCTTTGATACAAAACTAGTTGTCTCTATTGCTTAAAAGCCACATTAAGATAATCTTAAAATTGAATTGGATTAATACAGATTTATGAATTTTACTTTATCTTCACTTTGTACAATTGTCTTTTCATTTTATAATCCATCTCTTGGTCCCATCTCTACAATTTTCACTTTTTTAGGTAACCTTGTATTCTTGTACTTTTGAAGTTATGACAATAAATTATTCACTCTACTCATAAATAAAATGATGGCTTAATTATAACAGAAATTATTAGAAATAATAGAAAATCTCATTAACAATCCAATATCACTAGAATTCATAGATCCTTATGATGATGAAGATTATAATAAAGTGATCTTGAATAAAATGGATTTGTACATTAAAATCTTATTCTTAGAACAACTATCAAAAAAAAGCTTGAGTCTAATAAATATATTAATCATAATGAATTCTTTAAAGATCTAGATTTAGTATGGAAGAATTGCTAGACATATAACTAAAAGGGTAAATTTACTAACTATTGAAAATAATTATAGGATCGATAATTTCTAAATAATCAATATATTTAGAATAACAATGCAAGAGTTTATAGAAAGTCATTGAAGATGATTTTAATTTAGGAAAGAAAAAAAAAAGGCAAAATTAAGAAAGGCTGCCTATATAATAATAATCTTTTGATTTTAGATAAAAGTAATATAATTATCATAGTATTTTAGAAATAAACCAAGTAATGAAGCTTCCCGCCTTAAGTTTTGCCATTAAATCAAAAATTTAGAACAAGAACAATTAATAAAAATAGTAAACTATTTAGCTGAATTCCAACCAGAATGCCTTTCTCGAGAAGAAGATAAATTAGTTATTGATGTAAAAAAATTAGATTCAAAAGCATGCGAACAAATAAATTTGCTTTGATTATTAAACAACAATATTATATTATATGTATAATAATCTAAAATGATTAATATTTATCACATTATTCTTTAAGAATTCATTCATATTAATTTATTTTGAAAACTCATCATAATAATTTAGTATCACTATTATATATCAATTAGAATCCACCTATTTTCTTTTTAGTTTTATTTTAATTATCTACAACTACTTTAACAATATCTTCTAACATTTTAGGTATAATTTATGCAGTGACAGGAGTTGTTGTATCACTAGAAGGTGACATATTAACTTCTATTAACCAAGAATTAAATTAATCATCAATCATAAAATCGTATCCATAAACTTCAAATGAACGTTTCCTATTTTTTAATTGATCACTACAACATCTTAAACTATTAATAACAATTTCCTTAAATTTTGGTTGTATTTTTTCTGCAAAGACATCCCAACCAAACTCTTCTATTAAATACTATTAAAAATCATCTTAAGTCCACATATTACCTTTAATTTCTGACTTATGAAATTTTTATGAATATTTTGCAATAGCATTGTTGGTAAGATGGGCAAATCTATTATGAAACTAATCAATATCAAATTCTTCAGCTGAAAACCTCACATAACACTCATTATAGAAATATATTTTTAATGGTACTAATTCAGTTACTAATATCCATTATCTTATATCAAATTTACGATTTTTAATAATCAAAGGGTTTTCTATATACTTCATAGCAACATAATTCATAGTTTCCTTATTTACATTATCCAAAATTTGATATAAATCATCTAGACATCTGATACCTCTACCTCTTGAGGAGTATTCAGGTTTAACAATCCAAATATTTCTTGTTCCTTATAGAGAATTTTAAGGATTTTTACTTAATTATTTAAGTAATTCTTTAATTTAAGGAACATACTTTTATACAAATTAAACACCTTCATAATCTTCATATCCATTTAGTTTTAATTATTATTCTAAATAATCCTATATTAATATTTCTTTAGGTTTTTCAGGGTCTTTTGAAAGAACAATCCATTCTCCAGGATGAATAAATGGAAATTCATCTTTAAGAATGCTTTTGACCATGTTACTTAAAGATTTATTAACTCGATTCATAACAACTAAACAAAGTCTAATTTTAAATCTTTATCTATAAGATAATTAATTAATAATGAAAGGTTGTTATTTTTCTTCTTTATTTCTAATAGTATTATTTTATTCATCTAGTTTGATATTATTATTTTAATATAATTCTTGTTTTAATGTAATATTATTATTTTAGTCATCTACTTAATTATTATTATTATTATTATTATTATTATTATTATTATTATTATTATTATTATTATTATTATTATTATTATTATTATTATTATTATTATTATTATTATTATATTATTCATCATCTTCAGGTTCAGTAATCGTTTTATTTTAAGTTTAATTTGAAACACTTTGATCAAAATCTAATAATATACTATGGATTTTTGATATTTTGAAATCTTCAATAAAGTCTGAAAAATCAACTAAATCACCAAGATCGTAACATCTAGGAAAGAATGATTCCCAATTATTGATGCATCTGATATTTCTGGCCAATCCATATTTTGAACATAAACATTAATTACAATCAAAATGGTTAATTTATTGAAATTCCATCAGATTAATAAAATCATCACTTCTTAAACTACAAGTCCATTTTAAATCAAAGAATGGACTATAAGCATCTTCATTTTCTGCCCAATTTCTTTCTAGCAATGCATCTCTAAGTGCATGATATCCACTAGTTATTATAAATACCTTTTGATTTGGTGCTACATTATTTTTTCTTTTCCATGTTGGATAATCTTATATTCCTCTTGCACTTATTTTTTTCTTTTTAGGGGTTTCATCTTCTTCATCATATTCAAATTCTTTTTAACTATTTTTTATAGCTACAGATTTCTTTTTTGGAGTGTATTTTAATAATTCAAGTTAAATTTACACTTTCAAATATTTATAATTTTATACATAGCATTTTAAATGTGCTTCTATACTTGTAACGAACTTTATTACTTAAAAATTTCTTAATTTTTTAAAGATGTTCTTCTGGATTCTCCTTAGATTGAGTAGAACCTCTTATTAATTTTAAATCATCTTTCACTATTTTATCAAAATAATATTCTTTTTTTCCCATCAAAACCAATAATTGAATTAAATTGTATCGCAGTAAATTTAGATCCTCATTCTTTTATTAAGGCTCATCTATCAATGGTGCTAATTTCTTTTATGTTGTTAAAGCTCTTTATTACATTTATGGTTCATCAATGTTATCTTCCAATTTCTTTAAAGTTCTTAATTATCCCCTTATAGGCTCTTTTGATTTTGATTTTATAATCTATCCTTTAGATTTCATTGATTAAAACAATTTAACATTAAAATTAATGCTAGCTTTATTCCCCTAAATATTGAAATATGATGCACGATTATCTAACATTTATTAATTAGTATAATTTTATAAAAATCAATAATTTCAATTATGTTCCCCTAATCTCCTAGGAATAAGATATTTATTGACAATATATTAATTATTAATTACAATAGAAGGAGTGTAGCTTCTTATTCTTTTACTCCCTTTTTTTGGAGTTGAGATCATGCTTAATTTTTTTGTTAGAACTCCTATCTATTAATTGTGTTCTCCAATATACTTTAAAGTATAGAATCCTTTTGTGGTTTCCACAGTATTAGAAGCTTATTACAAAGGTGAACAAATCCATCTGCTATAAGTAGCTCTAAATTCATTAGTATTTAGTCTACAACCAGCAGCTGATTGACTTTATCTAGATACATCATTCATTTTTGGAGTTTCCATATAGAATTATTTTCCTCTCTCATTAAAATTATTTAGCTTTAATTTAGGCTCATTTGCAGATGGCCATCTAATCCTAGGCTATACATTACGAATCAATGGGCTTATTGGTTTGGACTCTTCAAATGAAAATTCAATTTTAATAGGTCTTTATTCATGGCTTGTATTACAGAATCGATGATTGTAAAACCCTTTAGTAGTAACCTGGTTAATATATATGAATTTATTTACTTACAAGGCTGTTATACATTTTATATATTATTATAAAAATAGTAATATTTAAATTGAATGAATTTAGTTATTTGAAACAAATATTATGAAAATAAATTTGAAAATTAAAATATATATTTATTGGTATTCGGTTCATATCATACTCAAATATTTATCTATTAATAGGCTTAAATTGATCTTCGTTTTCTCTCTTTAACAAGTTCTTATGTAGCAGTCCATAAGATTTTAATCTTTTTGGATTATTCATCATTGTCTTATAATGCTTTAGGTAATTTTTCATTAATAATTTTGATAACTTCTTAGATTTCTGCTTCTTTAAACTAAATGAATTAAATACAATCTTTACCTCAACTTATTCAAAGAAGTAGAAATATTTATTCAAAATTTAAATAAAAACATATACAAACTTTGGATTATTGCCTATACTTTGATTAGCTATTTTAATAGCTTTCTTAAAACATTCTTGAACTCTCTAAGCATTTTTAATATTTTCATTAAAGAACATATGAGCAGCATTCATGACACCAATTGCTTGTTCATTCTTCTTTAATAATTTAGCAGCTTATTAAGTAGCATTTCCAGCAAGAGTATCAAAGTTTTCACCACTAATACAATTTAATTTAGCAAAGGTGGACATAATTTAATTCAATAATACCACCTTCACATTAGAATCTCCAATTTCATCTTAAAATATAGTGATAACTTATGTTCCTATATCATATGAGAATTCATCAAATTCTTTAGCCTAATCTACAGTATTGATGCATAATAAAAAGTTTAAGTTAAGTTTCAAGGCTAATTCAGGAAAATGTCCTTGTAATACATCTATTAATCCTCTTATTTATTCAAATAACAAATTATATGATGTTTCTTCTAAAATGAATAAATTAAACATATTACATGTTTATGGTCCTCCTTATGTGGCTATCAATTATAATAATCTAAATAATGCAAAAATAGCTGCAGGATAAGTATATTTTTATCTGTTGATTTCTCCTTATTGGAATCTAGCTATAAATTATTATAAGATAGTATTATGAATAGCTAAATCTGCATTTTAGACTAAATGAACAGTTCTAGCCACTAATTATTATTCTTCTTCAAATTCATTTTCTGGAATTTCAACATAATCATTCTATGTAATTAAAAGTGGTTAAATAAATTTGAGTAATTCTCCAGTGATTTTTAAATCATCAATTACTTGATTCAAATTTATAACAGCTTAACATATTTTAATAGCAACTTATCTTCTTTTTTAGAATGGAAGATGTTTCATAAGATTTGGATATTCATTCATTGTAAGAATGGATAAACTCATGGTATCCAAAGGCATAGCAAGAAACTTAACAATATTTTTTTAACATTCTTCTGTAAAATCAGTTTCATTTTATCTTTCACATAATCTACAACAAGATTTAAGTATATCATTAACATATTCTGAATTTGATGGATAACATCTTAATGTAAAATTAAGGAAAGCCACTTATAAATCTAATAAATTTTTAAATTCAATTTGACTATTAGAATCTAACATCTAAAATATTATTATATTTGTTACTTTATCAATATTTTATTTAAACATACTATATATATCTACTTCTGAATTAAATGTACCCATATCATTATTTAATGCAAAATCAGCTAATCTACCCATTAGATTAATGAATATATTTTTTATATCAACTGTTGGTTCTAATTGTGTTGTACAAACCTTCAATAATTCTTAAAGTGTTTGCAAATGGTATTCATCTGGAAATGCTTATATTGTGCAATCCATTAAATATGTTTAGGATATAGGATCTTTACTACTTGTGATAATATCAATAATTTTTGGTAAGACTTTTGTTTTATAAGTATCTAATGAAACACCTTCTAAATTGCTTAATCTAGTAACATTCTCTCCTATTGTTACTTTGAGATCTAATCTTTCTCTTTCTCTCTTTGATTTGTCTTTTGAACCCTACATTCTAATCCATAATTTATTCATCTCTGATAAGTTTCTTATAATGATTTCAATAGCATCATCAATATTTCCTCCTGTACCTTCATATTCAGAGCCAGTGTCTGGAAGTCTGTCTTTGCATAATTTCAAGAAATAATATCTAATAAACAATCCTCTCAATGGATGTTGAATGGCCTAGAATAATACTTGTAATTACCTTAATACACTCTAATAAGTCAAGGAGGATCACTTTGGCTCCAATTTCATGAGTTTATATAAACACAGATCCGACAGTGATTAGTAGATATAAACGTGGAATGACGTATGTGGCATGTTAAACAGATTCATATAAGTCTGGCATCTTTCTTCCTCTTCTATATTCTTCTTTGAAGTAATTCTCCAATATACGCATCTCATCAAAGACCTACATAAACAAGATGTAATAATTTCTTGGACTTAGAAGAGATGTTTTCAATTCACTCAACATAGCTGAAGAATATCTCAATGCATCTTTTAATTGAGCCTTTTCTAATGAAGCTCTCATAAAATAAGCTTGTTCTTTGACAACTTTACGAGCATCTTCCAAATACTTTTCTTGATCTTCTTCCATATTATTTATCAAAAGAATTTAATTTTTAATAAATCTCTTGACCAATATTTCTTACTTAAAATACACATCAAAGATTTATTGTATATAATATAAAACTTGATTATTCTATAAAGAATAAATATTTTATTCAAAATAGATTGAATATTTGACAATTAAGTTTCATATTAAGAACTGTCTTTGATTATCATATTAATTTTAATTGATTAATAATTTAAGAATATCTTGGAAGGAACATCCATTAGAACCATAAAAATCAAATTATTTTAACAAGAAAAATACAAAATCATAAATGCATTTGAATTTTGTGATTAACTTTTATCTGTTTATTTCTTATTATTTTTGTTTCAAAATGATGTTTATTAGCCAAACTATTTATTATTATGATTTCTCTATGGTATTTTATATTGAAATTGGATTATAATAATTACTTTAAATTAGAAGTACATGTCTATTCAATGCCATTCTGTTCAAAAAAATATTAAATTTTCAGGGAAACAAACAAACCTAATTTAAGCTCAGCTCAAAGGTGATATCATCAGAAATTTTTAATAGGTTTTATGCTTTACTATCATAGTGTGCAATCATATCTACTCCTTTATCCGGCAAATCTTTAAGCGTGATTTGCTCTCCAGAAACTCAAAAACTAAATGAAAAAATACAAGAAGAGCTTAGTCAATTAGATGATGTATCCACCTCTCACTTTACTTAGTTGTTTAAGAGAGAGGAGGATAAGATGTAATACTAAGTTTAAACTATATAGTTTTTTGAAAGTAAAATATTTTAAACTATAAGGTCAAGAATCTTAGATGCTTGAAGCTATATTAAACTATAAGAGACAATGTTGGGATATCATTCTACCAATTAATGAGTTAATATCAGAGTAGAATTGTCAAGGATTTTGGATCCTTAAAATTATTGTAATCATTATTATTAACATTTTAAAGACTAAAAAGTATATAGAACTTAACAATTATGATAATTCAAAGGAACTTGTTAAATTTTTTTTGAAACTATTAAATAGAAATCTTCATATAAATCATGGTATTCTATATTGTAATCACATATAGATGATATTGTACAATAACTAGATGGAGGTATTCAAATTAATCCTTATTGTTTATTTAAGAAAACTTCAATTAGAACATCTATCTCTAATCTTCTTACCAACTTAATCTTTGAACATAAAATCTCAAATCGCCTTTAAATTTTCCAAACTCTTTTTCGAGATTTTGAAAACAAAGATCTAGAATCCCTTAAAAGATAAACCAATTTAGATTTTTAGTTCAAATATCTAAAAGAGAAATTAATAAACAAATTATTAAGAATTAACAAATGAGAAATTTTTAGTTTATATATAAAATTTTGAAATCTATATAATAATATTTTTTATTTATTTTTTAAATATTCCATAAAATTTATTAAAGAAATTTTAATATTAATATCTTATTAAATTAACATTATAAAGTTAATATTTAATTAAATTATCTCAAGTCTTAATGGGGGCGAGAATGAAGATGTCATTAAATGGATAAATGACCAGAGTAAGTCAAATAGGATTAGGAAGAGGAAGTCAAATAGGATCCTCAATAGATAATAAAGTAACTTCAATCATAAAAGAAGCCATATAGAATGTAGATAGGAAGAATGAATCCAATTAAGTAAGTTAAAGTTATAATTAGATTTAAACTATAGAAAAAATTCAATTGAAATAATAAAAAGAAACTTAGGATTAGTAATAAATGGAATAAAAGGAAGAAGTCTAATAAGAATAAGAATAATAATAATAATAATAATAATAATAATCAAATTAAGATAAAAAGAAATAGAATCCAGAGAAATCTAATGCAATAGCAAGAAAAAAAATAAAAAAGATTAATAAAGATTGAATTATTAAATAAATTAAAAGATTTATTATTAATATAAAATTGTTATTATTATTCACATAACATTATATTTTTCTTTATAGTTTTTTGGTTAAGTTCTTTTATGCTTTCTTTATAAAAATGAAACATAATCTTAAATTTTTTTAATTACATAAATGGATCCAAAAATATATATTGTAATTGCTATAGTTTTGACTATATTCAAAAAAGCATCCCAATAAGGAGTCTCTTAATAAAATGGATCTTATTCATCTAGAACCAAATCATCACAAAATTTATTCACTTTTTTATAAATATAATCATACAATTTTAAAGCTCTAGAACAGAAAAATTAATATATAGGTTAGCAAATTTCAAACATTTTTGTATTCTTATATTTCTTGGCAATGCTTATAAACTATTACTGCCATGAGATTTTAAACAATTAGTGAATTCACATATATAATTTAAAATAATAATAGTTTCTTGTAGTTTGTCATCAAAGTGTTTATTATATTAATGTATTTAAAGATAGGATGAGTTTTTAAATGTTTTATTACAATATTCACATTTTGTCCCGTACCTTAGGCTTTATATTTCATCTAATTCCTTATATTCTTTCAGATCAATTAAATTCATATTCAGAGATAGATTATACTTTTCTAAATAATAATTGATTTATTATTAGGTTCTAATGGCCCTACCAATAGAGACTAAACCTTATAAGGAATTAGTGCCTGCAATCAAGATAGATATTATTAGTAACATAAAAATAATATAAAAATGTTGGCAAATATTGTAGTTTCTAGATAAATCTTAACATCTAGAATCTGTTCTATTGCCCATTAATATTACATGATTACATATATATATATATTATACTTTATTATTAATTTATACATATCATATACAATCACTTAAATTGTTTTGCTAAGGTTAATAAAATATCGATTTCAATAAATTTAATATTAAATATTTCTTTGAAATCAGAATCAAATTAATAGTAATAAGCAGATGGTTTTTGAAGATTGAACTATTTTAATAATTCTTATTCTTTAGCTTAAATATCTTGAAATTCATTTTTTTATTTCAATTCCCTATAAGCCTTTTTATTTTAAGCTTATTAGTTTACAACGATTTTTTTTGAAATGATGGTAGTTGATTTATTTGCAAGTCTTAAGGCATTTAATTTGATTTGATCTTGAATCTAAAATTAAATAAATATAATTACAGGATGAATATCAGCCTTTAATAATGTTCTACATATATCAGTACAATTTTAAACTTGTTTCTGATCTAGAAAATAGGCTGCATAAATAAATTGCATCTCTGTTTTATATATTTCACATATAGAATTTAAACTTATGATTTTATTTGATAAATTCAAGAACTATAATGCTAATTTAGTATATTTATTTGAAAATAAGTGTTAAGACAACAACAATAATATTTTTACATCTCTTATTGTTAATTCATTCAATTATATCAAATTATATTAAATCCATAAATCTTCTAAACCATTAATATCTTATGTATTCTATCTTAAACATTTATAACATTTAATTAGATTATCAATAATGATATCATTCTTTTCTGTAGATTAATCAAACAAATAATAAATAGCCGCTATATTATAATAATTAGTAACTATTTTATTCTGAATAAATACATTATAAATCTGGATAAAGTTGAGCTGTTGTCTTTAATAATTCTACACTTTATGCTACACAATCAGAGGTTGAGAATATGTTACCAATCTTAGTTTATCATATAAAATTTACAGCTAAACAATTCATTATTTTTGCCTAAACTGGTAATGATAATTCAGAGTATTGATTCTGTTTCTTCATTTATTTAATTTTCCAGTGTATTTCATTAATATTAGTATAAGAAATTAGTTAATAATACAAAGTTCTTATTTCTATTGAATATTTTACAAATAAGTATGATATGTTTTTTCATTTATGTATTTCGATTGTAACATAGCATTTTGAATGCTGATTTCTGCATCTTAGTAATTTCTATCGTATAATTATAAAATGGATTAATAGTGCAATAATTTTATATATTCCTTTGAACGTAAAGGAAAAACTTGATCTTAGAAAAGTATTTTATTAATTTGTTATTAGGCAACATTGAAGTTTTTATTCAAAATCAGATCGATCAATTCTTTTACCGAATTAGAAAATGAGAATTTTATATGATAATAATTCATTCACAATTAATTTTACTAAATAATTCAAATAGTATTTCAAAATGAATATTATCTAAACAAATACTACTTCTATTCTTTAATTAATCCTTTATTTTCAACTACACTAATTCCAATTATGACTTCTCCATAGAATTTCTGATTAATAATAAATTATGTTTTTTAGAATTTTTTTCTATAATTTATTTATAATAGATTAAATTTTATATTCTATAAGGCTATTTTTCTTTGATTTCAAACAGTTTTAGTAACTTGATGAAACCATTTATTAGATAAGATCTGATAAGCCAGTGTATTTGATTCTATTTAAATGAACTAAATTTAGATGACAGTGAAATAAATATTCACTATATAACAAAGAATCTTAATTTAGTAATTTTGTTGGCTTTTAATTTCTTTAGGATTAAATATGTAGATTATAATTTTAATAATATTTTTTTAAAAGATATCAGTGTTCTTAAGCATTCTTCAAGTTATTCAAAAGAATTTAATATCTATTAAATAAAAATTACAATGATCAAATTTAAAGAAGTTAAATTAAGTGAAGTATAACTATAAATTTAGCCCTATATCTATATGATATGCAATAAACTGGCTAAAAAGAATCATTTGAAATCTGAAGCAACCAGGCTATGAAATACTCTATTAGAATGGTAATTTTTATATTTTTATAATAGTTTTCTATTATTTATGTCTAAGATTGTATATTATCTTAATTTTTATAAATATATATATGTCAATATGAAGGTTCCTTAAATAGAGACTAATTTAAGATTGTAATCTCAAAATATGATTTTTATTAAAAGAGCTCGTATAGTAATTAGATAAGAAGTAAGAAATGAATTTATTCTGGTATAATAATAAATAAGAATAAATTTGGTCTATGTGATATACATTGAATTTTATTTGATAGTTAAATCCCAAAAATGTAAATAAGAAATAGAAATTATTTCAAAAAAAATGAAACATTTTCTTAAATTATAAGTGCAAATTCTTAACCAATCATTTAACGTAATTTCTTTGATTACTCTAATGAAGGTTTACTGAAGGATAATAACTGATCATCTATTCATATCAAGAATCAATATTTACTCACTTTTCTAATATAATATTTCTTATAAACAAATTTTTGAAAAATGATTAAATTTTATTTAAAAAATATTAAATGGTGAACGTACCAAAGAATAGAAAAACCTACTGCAGAAAATGTGGAAGTCATTAAAGTTGCAAAGTCTCTTAATATAAAAAGAGCAAGGAAAGTCCATTTGCTTAAGGTAGAAGAAGGTACGACATGAAGTAAGCTGGTTATGGTGGCTAAACAAAGCCAATTTTCAGAAAGAAAGCAAAGACCACAAAAAAGGTGGCATTAAAGTATTAATATTGTACGAGAATAGGCTTGAATGTGTCAAGTGCAAATTAAAATGGTTAAAAGTTATTAAGAGATGTAAGACTATTGTCTTTGTCGATGCTAATTAGCTCAAAAAACAATAAGAAGCAAAGAAGAATGCTAAATGAGATAATCATAGTATAATAAGAAATATATTAAGTATTTTATTAAAGAATTTATATTCATTAAGCTTTGTTAAATTTTACTCAAATTTCCACTTATATATATAAATTATATTTAATATTTATTAATCTCTCAAAAAGGCTTTTAATATCCTTATTGAGGATAACCTGGATAACCAGGCTGTTAGGGTGGGTATCCCGGTTATGGAGGATATCCTGGTTGTGGTGGATATCCTGGTTATTAAGGTGGATAACCTTATTAAGCAGGATATGGTTACGCTGGATAACCTGGTTATTAAGGTGGATATCCTGGTTAAGGTGGATAGCCTGGTTATGGGGGATATCCTGGTTATTAAGGTGGATATCCTGGTTATTAAGGTGGATATCCTGGTTATTATGGTGGATATCCTGGTTAAGGTGGATAAGGTTAAGGAGGATATCCTTATTGTGGATATCCAGGATAACCAGGCTATTAAGGTGGATAATTTGGTTATGGAGGATATTGAGGTTATTATGGATAAGGTTGGTTTGGTGGATAATATGGTTGTTAATATCCAGGCATAATTGTAGGTTAAATACCACCATCAGGAAAGAAGGATACTTCAATCAATACTTATCCAGCTGATTTACCCTATAAAAAATAAGAACTTCATGTACTTTATAATTTAAATGGACCCATTCAGTTCCATTAGGTTTTGTTAAGAAATTCTATAGAGCTAAAGATCCTTAGCCAATTAAATCATTTTTGCTAACTTCATCTTTATCCCAAATTTCAATATCAGCAATGAGTTCTGAAGTTCTACGAAATGAAAGAGAATCACTCCATGATGGGTACTTGCCACCATCTGTATGTGATCTAGTTCTTTGAGTTTATCCACCAACTCTAACTAAACAAAATGGATCCATCCTTCCAAAAGATTCAGTATCATGAGTTAATTTTGCACTCAAAGGTTTTATTAATAAAGTTCCAGACATTATTTAAATTAATGAAAATCATAAATCATAAATCAAATTCAAAGTTGTTAGCATACCATAAAATTTTTTTAATAGTATCTTAATTCTTCAATACTCTCTAGTATATCATCTAATGCTCTATGATTCAATTTCTTCTAAGGTTAGTGATTACAAACAATAGGATTTAAGTTCTTACATAACAATTTTATAGAAGAGACATCTACAATACGATAATGCAGGAATTAATCCAATTAAGGCATATTTTTCATTACAAATAATCTATCCATATAAACTGAATTTCCTGCCAAAGGTAGCACTTTTGGAGGTATATTATTTTAATTTAAAAATTTGAGTATTTATTCCTATGCTTAATTCACCGTCACAGTAGAATTCAAGGATTCTTCATATAATCCTGAAGCTTTATGAGTAGTGGTACACCATTAATCCATTCCATCTAAGACTTATTTATCTGCATGAATAACAATATGTGGTCCTTTAATTATAGTCTCTAATTTGTAATCAGTCAGAATACAAGCACATTCTATAATTTGATCTTTGAAAACATTTAAGCCTGTCATTTCCATATCCAACCAAAACTTTGTTGATAATTGTAAAATTTACTAAAGCATGTTTTAAAGGAGATTTATTGCTTATACTTTGCATTTAACTTAATTTAAAATATTAAATTAAATTATATTTTGATGATATTTTCTACATATATTCAGATATCAAATCATTAATACCCTTTAAAGTTGTTGTTTGCTTGTAAGTTGGTTAGTAATTTCAATTCTACAGCCTTTCTAGACTTTTTATATTTTCCAACATAAACCATACAATTAAATTAAAATCTAAGTTAAGTCATTTAAATACCTAATCAAAGATCCTTATTTGCAAGTTTTCAAGACTTCTTTTGTAACACCAGCCTTTTGTAAGTCATCTAAATGTACAAAAATATCTGATTTATCTTCATCCATAACTATAAATCCATAATTTTTTTATTCATCAAAAAACTTTAATCTCCCTGTATAAATTGGATTTGCAATTTATTTTTTTGGATCAATTTATTACTATTTATTCAAAGATGGACAACTTATGGCTGAATTCAATTCTAGACGGGGAAATAGATCAAAATCATCACTATCATAGTTTATCTGTTCTTATTTCTAATAATAAAGATTTTATTAAGCAAATTGTTAATCTTATTGATTAATAGGTGTCTAGCTTTTCTTTTATTCTTCTAAAAATTCATTCTTAATTAAATTAGAGTTTATTTAATTTAAAGAAGGAAATTAATAATCATCTTAAAGAAATGATTCAGTTTTTGTTTATGAAAAAAACACTAAATATTATTAAAGATTGAAATACATGCTTTTTCTTAATGAATTGATTGTATCTAAGTGAATATCTATGATTATTTTTAATCTCTCTAAAAATCAAACATCTAATGTTCTGATAATGACTTTTTATGTCTTCTAATAATAGATTTCTATTAATCTTTTTCTGGAGTCATATTAATTATTGGTATTGTATTCTAAAAATGAATGTAAATATATACATCTTCAAATAATTCATCAAATGTGTAAAAACTTTCTTATTCCTTATTATCAATTTGAGATAACATTTTTTCCATTGCTATTAAACTTGTCATTTAGAGTGTTTTAACAAGTGCAATATAACCAGTAATAGATGGATTATAACAAAATATATTTATTGTTCTAGCAAATTTCTATGGGACATAAACATTGCAAAATAACTAATACTTTTAGTTTGTATAATATTCTTTAATTTTTGTTTTCATTATTGTAGCATATAATGATAAGTATTACTAATTTGAATGAAATTTTTACTTTAACATTAAATGATTAACTTTCTATGATATTTAAAGTTAATTCATATCTTTATAACAATTTTGGTAATTCTGAATCTGATTTATAGAGTTCTTTGGCTGTTTTTAATAGATGGTCTTTGATTTATGGATCTGGACTATGATAATTAGCAATGGAGAGTGTATCCAATATATGCATGCCTGATGAACTAGAAATGAGTCAAATTTTAATACCGGTTTCTCCTTTATAAATAAGTGAATGTAAATGGTTATCATTCAATACTTATTTCTATTGTAATATCATTATTTAAATTATTTATATATTTTATTATTCACATTTCTTCTAAATCATCATCTTCATCATCATCATCATCTAAATCTTTTGTTCCACTCATTAGAATGTTATTAGTTCTTATAGATCGATATGATTAATTTTAACTATTAAGTTTTTAACTAAATCTACTTTATCTTAATGAAATATTATTATTTTATTTTTTTAATTCAGAATGTTTCTCAACAATCATTTCTCTCATATTTTAATCTAATTAAGATAATTATCTAGTCAATTCTTTATTTTCCTTTTTTAATCTATTCACTCTTTTCTACCAATCAACTTCATTATTTTCTAATTAATCTATTGTCATTTTAAGATTATTGCATTCTGTTAATAATGATCTTTTTTCATGTTATAAAGAATTAACTTGAGCTTAAACTTTATTAAATTTTTATTCTAGATCATCCATCTATTTTTCTGATAATTCAACCATTTTTTCAATCATAAACTCATTTTATTTTTATTCAACTTTATTATCATCTATCAATTATTTTAATCTTTAATTTTCTTATTGAAAATATTGTAAATCTTAATTTGTTCTATCTAAATGTTAAATTGCAGCTTAAAGTTACTATTGTAATTAAGATATCTATAAATTAGATTGAATTTACTTCATAGTCTGCTTATTGTAATTATTCATTCAATTAAATATTATTAATCTTCATTCTTTCTAATTCATTAGAAACATTTGAACTTTTAATATAATTTTATTTCTTACTTTTATTTCTCCATAACTGGCATTTCAGGTAATATCTTTCCTAATTGACTTTCAAATTACTTTGATAAATTATATAATTGATCATTATCGGCTTCTAATTTTAATTTATCTAATTTCAATTAATTATTATCTTATTATTATTATTTTATATCTTTTTTATATTATTGTAATTTATTCTTGTATTTATTTTATAATTTATCTAATTCTTATTTCAAATGACCATTTTCAGTTTCTAATTTAGTTCTAAATTTTGAATATTTATTTTCTAATTATGCTAAATCTTTCAATATATCATCATTTTTCTTAACCTTTACTTATACTTAATCTTAAATCTCTTTATTTCTATTCTTCTCTTCTTCTATTCTATTTTATTGATCTTCTACAACAATATTTAAAGTTCTTATATTTTCTTCTAATTAATTTACTTAATCATCTCTGTTTCTTAATTCTCTAGTTAAATATTCTAATTCTTCATATAATTTTTTATTTCTTTCCTATTCTTATTTTATTAACTTCATAAAATCATCTTCTCTTTTCTCATAATGTTTAATATTCTTAATCTCATTTTCCTTAATTACTTCAATATCTTATTCTAAACTTCTTATTTTAGCTTTCAACATTTAATTATCCTCTATTGCATATCTTAATTATTGATTCAGCTCACGTTATTCTTCAGAGCTTTATGGATAAAAATTATCTTTTGATTTGGCAGTTAAATACATAAATAATAATTAAATAATCTAAAATAACAAAAAATTGTATTTATCATTTTCTTTATTTGTAATAGATCTAATATAGATTCTTTTACATCCATTCTTAATCTACTATCCCTATTTCTATCAAAATATTGTTCAATCACTATTACTTTATCATTTTATTTGAAATTTGTTACAGCTCTCATTTCTGAATTGGCATATAATCATATTAATGATCTTTTATAATATTAATACTCTTTGAAAATATGTGATTCTTATTCATTAGAATATTAATTTATAATATTTATATTTTAAATTAAATCATAGAATTCTGTTTAGCAATTGCATATTGAACTTTGATAAAATCTATTTTTATATATCTCTATCAAATGATTAGATAAATTTGAAGATATATTAATAATTAATTTAAATATATATTTATTTTTAATATATATTGATTTAGAATATATATTATTTCAAATAACTTTAAATATTTAAAGATAATGAGTACTTAATTTTTTGTAATTTATAAAATGTATTGAATTAATATAAATCATGGATAAATTAATAATAGATTTATTAATAACTGAATTTTTATAATGATATCTATTATATATTAATAGAAAGTTCTTGAAGTTTGAAATCCATAAAGATTAAAAAGAAGAGATTATTTTAAGATTAATAACAATTTTTAATATATGATTTTATCAGATATCTTCTTAAAGAATTTGAACAACATTTCTGATAAAATAACAATAAAATATTACCTTATAATATATTTGACTGAACTTAATTGAAACTCTTTGGCATTTGTTAGTGCATAGCCAATTAGATATCGACCTGGTGGTAACTCTTTCATTTGTGTGAAAACTCTTCCTAAATTTTCGATAGATTGAATAACAGTAATAATAGGGCCTAAATTTGAAATGGGTAAATTTAGTTTTGTAACTTCTATATAAAATTAAACCTACTATTTTTCCATAGTAATCTCTTAATCTAAATAACTATTTAGTAATTGCAACCTAGCATTTGAATAATAGTCTAGAAACAAATCTTATATAAAAACTGAATATAGTTCATATTTTTTATTTTTTTCAACTTCCATAATTTCCTTTTCTTAAGCCCATTTTGCTAAAAATAAAGCTTCTTATTATTTAATGTTTTCAATAGCATCTTATAGTTAATTGCCTTTATATTAAACAGCAACAAAGAAAGAATCCTCTAAGTATTAATCAGATTATTTGATGATATTATATAAGATATTGAACTATTTAATTAATTGTAATTAGGATGATGTCAATTAAATAATTTTACATCTCTCTAATTAAGGTTCACAAGTATTTGTGTAATCAAATTAAGCATTATCAATTTTTTTTAATTTCATTTAATTATTATTATCATTTACCATTTATAAATAGATATCAGATTTATATTATTCAATACAGTTCTATAATTATTAATTAAAGTAATTAATTAGATCAACTTATTTAGAATGCAAAATATTAGAAACTTTGATAACTAAAGCATCACCATTATTATTTTAATCTATTTATTAAAGTTCGAATCCATAGATATCTAATAAACCCCTGACATTTGTATTTGATTTGAAAGTTTCAATCTTACAATTGAATTTTTAACCAACTTTGAAATTAATATTGACATTGTCAATAATATAATAGAAAGAATGATTTACATAACTATCTAACATTTCAATGATAATATTCTTGATTTCCTTTTAATTATTTGGTACCTTAATATAAAAGCTTAAATTTTTATCCACCTTATGAACTTTAACCTCATGTGGTAAATTGTAATTTTAAGCTAAAAACTAATCAAAATCATTTGGATCAAAAATATTGTTAACTAATTACAATGTACCTTTTCTATTAAAAAAGATTAATTTGAATCCGTTTTCTTCACTACTAATTAAATAGTCTTTTACAATAGAATCTTAACATATTTTGATTCTCTATTCTAGAATAGATCTTAAGATTTAAGTTACTTTATTTTCATTCTCAGGTCTCCCAAATATATAAAATGATTTACGAACTAATTTAATTCACTTTTAATTTACATAATTTATTTATTTTCTTTATTCTATTTTGAATATTGGTTCCATATTTCTTATCTATTTAGGATGCTAAATCAATAACCTTTATTTGACTCCATAATTCAAATTTGCAATTAAATTACTCTTTGACTAGAGTTTCGACCTCATCTGCATTAAATGAAATTTCATCCAATTCAAATGGAAAATGAATAATAGAATTCTTTGAAAGTGCACTCTAAACAAATTCAGTAAGGTTAATACAATTTTAAGAACTTAACCTTAGTTCTATTAATTAATTCTACTCCAAATATTCTATTGAACAATTATGAGTTTTTTAAAATGAATCTTTATAACATGAGAACCAAATTGCCTATAAATCTGTAATACGAAGATTTGAAAAATTAAGAAGCTTATTGAGTTCTTACATAATATAATCTGCTTTGTTACGAGGCATCCATGCTAAAACATAGCTGTTAGGTAATTATATTGAAATATCACCTCTATATCCTGCATTATCTGCTAATTCCTTTTGAAGCTTTATAAACTTATCTTTAACCATAATACAAAGACCATCAAATTGATTTGTCAATTCTTTGTATTCTTAACTTTTAATCATTTTTATGTAAAGATGATAATTATAAATAAGTTTAGTATCCTTCATAAGAAAATGTAATTCATAATCTGAAGTTCCTATCTTTTCAGCTTCAGAAACAGCCTATTTTAGAAGTAAATTATTGGAGGCTTCAAAAAAAATGAACTTCTAATCAAAGCGTACCTTAACTTTATATTTAAGTTTGATGGGATCAAACTTCTTTACATATATCATCCATAAGACTTTTTCAGCAGGAAGATTGATTAACTATTTTTCAATAATCATTTTATTATTTGGACAATTTCTTTCATATTCAAATAACATAAAATTAATACCTGTTTATTTTTAGAAAAATTATATTGAGAATGATTAAAGTATACATTAACTTTTAGATAATACTAAATCAAACAGTATTTAAAATAATTAACAATTGGAGAATTATAAAATAAATTATTTATGTTTTAAGAATAAGATAGCAAACAATCCTATCTAATAAAATAGCCGTTATAAAAAACTTGGGTATTGTGGTTGGCTTTAGGTTTGGCTTGCTTTTTACTTTTTGGAGATGCATATGCATTTGATAATCCAATGGCCTTGCAATCCACAATACAAAATGAGATGAATTTGAATAATGTTCAATTTAATATGCTTTATTCTATCTATTCTGCTCCAAATATCATTTTACCATTCTTTGGAGGAATCTTAATTGATAAAATTGGAGTGAGAGTTAGCATACTCATTTTTTCATCCATTTTGATATTAGGTTAAACAATAGTTGTAATTGGAGGATATACATTATCATATGGTACTATGTTAGCAGGAAGATGTATATTTGGAATTGGATCTGAGAGTTTGAATGCTGCTTAAGCTGCAATAATGTCATAGTGGTTTTAAGGAGGATAAGTGAGTTTAGCATTAGGATTATGTTTATCAATTCCTAAATTAGGTAGTGCAATGAATAGTTTGGTTAGTCCAATAATTTAAGCTAATCATGGTAATTTAGGATTTACTTTTTTGATTGGTTTATTTATTGTAATATTTTCATGGGGATGTGGTTTAGCACTAATATATTTAGATAAAAAGAATGAAGAATTAATGGATATTTGGAAATAACATAATCCTTAATAAGAAAAGAAGGAAGAGAAAAAAGGAGAATTATAGATCAACATAAATTAATTTTAAGTAAATAAGATGATAATTTTATATTCTTATAAATTAAAATTAATATATTTCTATTGTAATGCAATAAGAAATGAGTTTATAATTAAAAAAGAGTGAAACTACTGATAGTGAACGTTCAGAATCTTTACTTAATGAAGATGATGATGATGATGATGATGAAAATGATAATGATAATGAAGATGAATAAGAAAATGTTCATGATGCTAAAGAGGAAATAAAGTTATCAGATTTAAAACATTTAGATGGTTCATATTGGATATTATCATGCATTATTATGTTAAGTGAAGCATTGTTTGTTCCTTTCTTAGATAATGGAAATGCATTCTTTTAAATTAAATTTGGATTTAGTTAATAATCTGCTGGTGTTTTACTAACTATTCCTTATGTATTTGCAGCTTGTGTAACTCCATTTGTTGGAATTTATAGTGATAAAATTAGATAAAGATCTCTTTTAATTGTATTAACTACAGTCATATTTATAATTACTCATTTATGCTTGTTACTCATATATTGTGATGTAATTATGTTTTCTATTATGTTTAGACTGCTTGTGGAGTTTCAGCATTACCATTACTTTCATTAGGAATTTGTTATTCATTTTATTCTGCTATATTGATTCCCTCTATTCCTCTTGTGGTAAAGGCTTAAATGATAGGTATTAAAGTATCTATAATTAAGGTACTGCATTTGGATTGTTAGGAGTTATGTAAAATACTGCCTTGGCTTTATTTCCATTGATAACTGGCAGTATTTATAATAGTCATCTCATAAATGAATAAGGTGAATTAGATCCTTTTTAAGGGTAATTATAATTAATGTAACTTTAGGTATGTATATCAATCTTATTTTTTTGTTGGAGTAAGTTGTTTTAATTTTGTAATTGCAATAAGTCTTTATTTGTTTGATAAAAATGGAAGCAAAAAGTTAAGTAGATTTAAGTCAAAGAGTAAATGAATGTTTATAGTGTGTTATTTTCAATAATAAATTTAATATGAGTAATCGAAATAGGAGTTTGGCAGAAAGAAAAAACTCGAAAAGTAAATGTAAGACTGCGATCTCTTAAAGAAAAAACTCAGATTGTGAAGATTATAATTTCTATTAAGAATTCTAGTTATTCTATCCCTAAGCTTAGGAAATAAAGTTTACTAAATTTGAATATATGAAAGAGTTCTTTAATTTAGGCATCAATGAATTTCCCTCTGATTAAGAAATCTAACGTATATAACAAGAGATTCTAACAACTAGTGGCTGGAATTCAAATCTTAAGAAGAATTGGACACTTAACGAAAAGAAAGTACTTATTTGGCTTGTTGGAAAATTGAGTATTTTAAGAAATGAAGACATTAGAGATTTATCATAAGAATTGTTTGAAGAGATATCAAGGATGATATGTAGAAGAGATAGAGATCAATGCAAATAGAAATGGTCTCAAATGTAAAAGATTGCGCTACAATAATAACCATTTAAGCCAGAAGAAGATAAAAAATTATATGAGATCATTCTATAATATTAATAAGTTGATATGGGTTAGAAATGGAGTTAGATTGCATAAGAATTAAATTAACATTCAAATATATATAGATCAAGTAAATAATGCAGAGAAAGATGGCTTAATCATTTGAATCCAAAAATTTCTAAGTAAATTATATATATTCATTTCTATTTAAGATAACCTTGGAAAGATGAAGAAGACATACTATTATTGAATCTTGTTAAAGAATAAGGAAGAAGATGGGCAGAAATATCTAAAATTATGGATGGAAAGAGAAGTGAGAATAATCTAAAAAATCGATTTAATAGTTTAATTAAAAGAGAAAAAGACTTGCCAGTCATGTATATATACTTTATTAAAACTATTATAGATAAACTTAAAATGGATCAGCTACTAATTTGGATGATTTATTGTCAGGTTGCACTGGACCTGAAATAACTGACTTATAACGATAAGCAATTGATGCATTATTATCTAAATTAAAGTGGAGAAATGCCGAAAGTTAAAATAAAAATACAAGGAAAAAATCAATAGAACTCAATGAAAATATAGATGATTAAGTAAAGCCACAATTTTAATAGCGAACTTAGATTACAGCCTAATACACAATAGGAAATATAGAATCAGAATCAAATATTATGGAATTAACTCCTTGTTTAGTTAATGTGACTAAAAACATTATTTATTTCTGCACTTAAGATATCTTAATATAGTATTTGGGTTATCATTAATAGTAATAGCAATAATTTAAAGATCAATTTGATAAAATTAAGAATGAATTATGTACTTTTGATGTAGGCTTTTAAAATTTCAAATCCACTCTTAGTATGATAGAAGAAATCGAAGAGCCTCTGAAAAGTTAATCAAACTTTTAACCAAATGATTTAGATGGATTCTTTAATTTAGAAACACCAGAAACAATATCCAAACCAATATATATGAATTCCCTTGATATGATCACGAATTCTGCTATAAAATATTTGTAGCGTTGGAAAACTGAATGTTAATTCAAAGATCGGCGCAGATCAAGCATACAAATACCGAGATCTCTTCCGAATTTGATATAAATTTAATAATGAAAAAGAGTTTGATATTATTATTAATAATACCTCTAATTTTATTCAAATGAAATCATTGTAAGCAAACATATCATTGAATAAAAAGGTTTTATATTTAATTAGGACATATTATTAGATCAATTATCATCTTATTATTACTTCCACATTATGGTTATTCATTTTTTTAGAAACTATTATTTTAATATAAAATATGGGTTGTATTATTCAACTATTAAAATTTATCAAATAATTAATCAAATTTCCTTATGATGAAAGTATAGTTGTAGATTCATTATGCAGAATTCTATTGTCTTGCCATAAGAATTTATAAAATATCTATTTAAATTGATTGCTCTAAATATCTAAATATTATTTAGTAATGTAAAATTATAAATCTAAAATTGTCAACTATCTTTCATAATACTAGTAAAAATAACATTGGATTTTATTATTCATAAGTTTTTTTAATTAAAATAAATAATTAAAAAATACATTTCAATAGTAAATCTTAGACTGAATTAATATTAATAGTATTACTATTTAATATTAATACTAAAATGGGCAATCAAAATAATCATATTGATTTTTTTAATTTTTATATATATATATATATGTATTAAAAAGATCATTCAACCTAATTTAATGTTCAAAAATAATATATAAAATGCAGAGTAGATGCCAAATCTTGCAGCAATTCCATACACTATAACTGATGAAAATTTAAGTAACTATAAGTATATTATTATTATGATATACCTTTCTTACATAAACCATTACCATATGCCATATTACTGATAATACTCCCAATAATATACAATATTGCCATTCTACAATGGAACTTGTTATCATCATAACAAGAAATGCAAAATGTAAACCAACAAATAAAGATGTAATCCATCCAGATGGAAGTGTTTTGATCATAAAATCTAATAGGTTTAATTATATAATTGATATACTTCTCCAATAATACTCTTCCAATATTCCCAAACCAATAACAAATAATGTCATAAATAATACCATATATGAAGTATTTGATTCATCAAAATATGATTTATAGATTCTCGTGTTTTATGCAGAGAGAAATAAAATTGTAAGGGTAAAAAAAGAAATAAAGGTTATTATAGTAGACAAAATCAATAATTAGGTATTCTCCTTTTTGAAAATAAATTCACCCTCATTATTTTATTTATTATACCTGCCATGTAAAATTCTAATACTCTTTTTCCTTGTGCCATAAAAAATATGTAAAAGTATATCACCAGAATTATTATTATCATGTATGTTAACAAACATAATAGTGCCGAGGTTGTTATAGATAAAGCTATTCATTATGATAATTTCAAACTTATCCATGGAATAGCTATCATTCCTAACATTGCCAATTCTAGATAAACTTATTGACAAACTGATAGTCCTAAAGGAGGTACATCATCTACTGGATTTGTGACTGTCGCTAAATCATAACTAAGGTTCATTGTTTAACTGTAAAAAATATTTTATATTAATGATTTTATTTGATCACATAATAATCATGATGCTATTGTTACTTCGTATTAATTAAGTTTTAAACAATGTAGTTAAAAACGAAATCCATTAAATATTTTCTAATAAAATTGTAAAAACAAAAAAAATGTCTCTTCATTCCTCATTCGGCTACGATAGTCTTCGCTCAGTCATTTTTGCCAAAGCTATTAAAAAGTGTGAATGTACTTATTCAACGTTAATATTTATAGAAATTTAAAACGAGTATTATTCATCAGAAAGTTGTTCTGATATTAAGAGTAGCATCTCTTCTGATTCAGAAAAGCAAATCTTTGATAGGTACTATAACAATTAATATTATTTCTAGAGAATTTGCTTCAGAATCAGCTGAATCAAAAACTGTCTTCAATAATCAATAATCTTCTCTCTCTTAGTTTAATACTCAACAATGAATATAAATATATAAACAATATATACAAAAATACATAATCATTTATTACTACTCTTTAACTCTTCAATTATGGATATAAACAATTTTAGAATCATATTATTCTATTCTCTTTTAACAAAAACAGTTATAGAATAACTATGACGATTAAATTTAGAATAATCTGATCAAATTCAATGTAGAATGTTAAATAAAAAATCAATAATTATTTCTATCCATATTTAATTAAATTAAGACCTTTTAATAAGATAAATTCTTAATAATTATTATTATATAAATTCTTTCATATAAAACATTTTCTATTTATTAAGGCAATTCATTTACAACTAATAAAAATATAATCATTTTTGTAAATTGTATTTCAAATTTTAAAATATATTTTATATCTGTTTTAATATATTTCTATATTATTCTATATTGTTCCACTATTAAACACATCTGATTTTTGTTGTCACAGTCTTCTTATATTTTACAATTATTAAATATTATTTATAAATTCTTAGTTTACTTATTAGAATATATATTAATTGTTACCATATTAGAAATAATATGATTTAAGTATTAATCTTTCTTAAAAAATTAGAATTTGAAAATGGATATAATTTGTTATATCTTTTAATAAATTACTAGTCAATAGAAATCTAATCATTGTATTTTCATATAGTAAATAACTAAATCAAATTAAAATAAGTTTTTCAGAGATTTCAGAAAAATAATTTTAAATATTTCAATAATTAATTAGAATATTCTATTAAATATATTTTGTATTTATATCTTAATCTGCTAATAATACTTATATTTAGAAAATGATAACATTACAAATCACAATAAATATTAATCTAAATTAATTAATAGATTTGCGATGTTGTATTCTAAGAATATATTGGATAAATTATAAATTTTACGCTATCTCCTAATGTAAAAAGTATTAAAAGTTAAAGGTTGCCTGACTTGAATTTATATAAATATTTGCTAATATCTCTAAAAAATGATGTATTATTAAAACTAATTAAAATTGATAGCAAATAAGCATAATATATTTTAGTCTATGATATATAATTTTATCATAGACTAAAAATTAATACAATTTTTGCATTCGAATATTTAAAAACATTCTAAAGTCAATTTAAAAACAAATATTATTATTTAGCAAATTTGTGCTGATTAGTAATGTATGGTATGGTTTTTAGTTTTTAAAAGAGTCAAACAGGAATTATAGTTAAAAATATTTGCTATCTTAATATATAAATATCTATTTGTATGTTAAAATTAGATTTTTTTTTTAATTAGCAAAAGGTTAATTTAAAAAAAACATCAAATTTATATTAATAAATACATCACTAAAATGTTGTTTGTAATTTCTAATATCAAATAATAAATATAAGGATAAGAAGAAAGTTAATAAAATAAGGATTACCTGATATTCAAAATAATTTAAAAATAACAATAATATAATATTTATATAATTAAAAACTCTTTCAATTACCATAGATGTTTACTTGTTTATCAAAACTGCAACTGTATATATTTTTATTATATTCGGCAAATCTAAAATAATATATTAAATTACTTTATAGCAGTCACAATATCTCTATGGCTTTCGAATTTGAAGAATTCTTATTACTTTTTGATGTCAAACAAGTGTATATTTTTATTTTCACCTACAGCTAAATAAGCTCCTGATGTGTCATATGAAATACTGCCTAAAAATAATATTGAATTAAATAAAACTTATATTTTAACATTGAAACAATTTTTAGAATTAACCAGGATTTCTTAAATCCCATAATAACACTTCAGTCTTTGAAACTGATGCCAAATTAACTCCATTCTCAGAGAATGCAACCTGATTTATAGATCCCTAATAATACTATTTTTATTTACTTCTTATCCTTCAAATTGGGCAACCAATTAGCCAGATGTAATTTTCCAAATTTTTATCTATGAATTATCTTATCCAATTGCTAATAACAATCCATCTGGATGTATAGCAAGTGATGTAAATTAGCATTATCCTTCAAAATCAGTTACTTTACTTATTTATAATCCAGATCTCAAATCATAAAATAATAAAAGGCCTTCAGAAGTCACTATAACAGCAATGTAACCAATAGGATGAATTGCTAAACCAGTGATATTCTATCCTACCTTTATAGTAGAAGTGATTTATCCCTAATTAGTTTCAGTATTAAATTAATAAATGACTAAATCTCCATCTGAAGTAGATGTGAGAAATCTTAGATGTTCATCAAAGGTGAAAAATTTGATTGTATTAATTTTTTGATTATTCTATTGATTCTAATACAATAAAGATTCAGAACGATAAAGTGAAACTAAACCAGCTTAGCCACCTACTAGTACATAATTTGCTTAGATATCTATTGAAATTCCACCTTAAGTTTAAGTGTGTTATTACTTGATTTCATAATTTGATAAAATCTAAAATATTGAATTAGAGTACTTGAGGACTAGGAAATTAATCAAAATATGATTATTGTTTTCTCAAAACTTTTCTTTGACTTGTTAATTTCAATGCTGTTTATTCTATTTCAGATACATAATTTGCTGATAATTTTTCAGGAATATTATTAGTTTCTACTTCTACTTTATGATTTAATTTATTTTGTAATTGCGCTAATTCAATTCTTGCTTAATCTCTCTCTTTTATTAATTTTGCTATCACACGACATGCAGCATCATGTTAATATAAAGCATGTGTTAATTCATGTCTTACTTATTCTAAATGCTATTTCAATTAAAATTATTCCAACAATAAAGCATCCCATTCATTTTATAAAAGAGAAAGCAATGAAGGTATTGAAGTAGCTGTCACAGGTCTGGGTTTTTATACTTTGGCTACTTTGACCTTTATATTAAAAATTATAATAATACTTCAATCAGATCATCTTAATTCAAAGGTCTTCCTGTTATTGGACATGTACCTGTGCTTTCAATATGTTTTTCTATTAATCTCTTTTCGTATATATGTCCACTAACTTTAGATATTACTGGTGTTTCTATTAATTCACCAGATAATGCACAAGTTTACCAGGATTACATATATATTTATGATATTAATATATTTGAATATTTAATAAACTTATGTTAATCATCATTATTATTTTGTAATTTCTGTCTTAAGATTATCAAATGAATCTACTGGAACATATTATGCAAGTGTATAATATTTTCCTTTACCATCATCTTCTTCCTTCTTCTTTCTTTGTAATCTAACCCTAATCCTTCTTGGTAAATTACGAATTCCTCTTGCCCAAATAGCCTCATTTAATTATGGATCAACTCTCACATCATCTGTTAACATGTTTTTTTAAGCTAAACAATCCCTTCACTTTTTACCAAATCTAATAATGTGACTCACTGCTCTAGGTGCCTTTCTCTTAAAAGTCTCCTTGTGAACAGCTTTATGAATATTAATAGTATAGTCTCTGCTCACTTCACCTAAAGGATTAGGCTTTCCTTTTTCTTTCTTTCCCATTAATTAAAATCTTTAAAAATTAATTTTAAAAAAGTAAGTAATCATAATATATATTTACTATTCTAGATATTTGATCTGCCAAACCATCTTGTAGATTGATTAACTGACATTATTGAACAATTTCTAGATTTTGTATTTTTGTTTTCACTCACAAATTGATTCACCTTTTCAATGTAATTAATACTTATTTTAAAATTGATTGTAAATATATATTCTTTCTTCTTAAAACACCATTTAATGAAGTATTTGGTTTAACCCTTTAAGAAATTAAAGGTTATTCTTAAAATATAATAGACTGTTAATTTTGTTATTCTAACATTATCAGTTAAATTGGATAAAGCTTTTATTTATTTTCTTGCCTTTTACTCATACTTTTTTATCCAGAATAACTAGAATTTATTCTCAATTTTTTTTCTTTCATTAACTCAGTCTATTTAGTCCTTTAACTTGATTTCTAATTCAGTGTTTAGAAATTTAATTTAGTAAACTATTGAACATATTGTGGTTTCAGAATATCTCCAAAATCTGATGAAGTATTAATTTCCCAACCTTAGACAATGTCTTAAACTTTATACATTAAAAAAAATTATGTACATAATTTAATAATTTTTAAGTATCAAAAGAATTAAGATATATAATCCCAATAATATTTCTATTGATAATTTAGAGAATAGAGAAATTATGGATCTTAAATATTTTAGAAATATTATTATTCTGGTAAACTTCAGTACAAATTACAAAATTTAGATGCTTGAAAGATAATATTCTTAACAAAAAGAGATATGTCAGTTTATTTTTGAAAAGAGTACTTTTAAATCTTCTTAAATGTAATTCTTATTCTAGCATAAATACTTTTTTTTAAAGTAAAATTCTTTCTAATGATATATTTTTTATTTTTTGAGAAAATTACAAATAAAATATCAATAAATAATGAGGGATATCCTAACCACTTATTGATATTTATTTTAATCCTGTATAAAATTTTATTACTTCTCTTAATTTACATGATACTCCACTTAGCCAATTTTATCTTAATAAAACAAGGGCTAATTAATCATAAAGTTAAACAAAATATATGATATAATTTTTATCATTCCTATTAATTACTCCAACAAAGTTATATAGTTTGATAAACATATTATTAGTTATCATTATATTAATATTTGCATAAAGTAAGTTGATATAAATAGTAGAGGATTATATTAATGAATAAATATTGAAAGATTATTATCACTTATAAGAAAAATAAGTTTGAATTGGTCTTATAGTAGAATATTGGATAGTTTCTTTTAAAAGTATTTTATATAAAAAAAGATATTAATTTATGGTTTACAAAATCAGAAATAAGTCATTCTTCTGGACAAGAGCAGGATGGAAAAATAATTGGCATCCTAAGAATTTTAATGCTCCTAGACCATCAAGCTCAGAATTCACCATTGGTATTAGATGTCGTTATGATCATAATTCATTTTTGAGAGGCAATGAAATAAATTTTATTTATTAGCTTATCATTCATATAGAAAGATCTCTAGACACTGTAAATAGTATTTCTTCGGTAACAAAGAATTGGAGGAATTATTTTAGATGGGTTTGAGAACATTTTTCATTGTACCACACATTGCTGAATGTCAAGTGACTCAAATTAAACATGGTGGTGAAAGAAGAATGGTAGATTAAATTGATAGAGATTTTGAATTAGTATCTTACAATTCTCATCCATATTAATTGTTTACATACACAATTTGGAATTAATATTTAGCAAATCAATAAGAAGCTTATGAATAAAGAAAGAATGGTGGTAAAGCTATTGAAGATTAAGTTATTGATCATATTAGGTATATATTTTAAATATTATTTTATTAAGTGAATTGGTAAAGGATGAAAAGGCTAAATTAGGAGCTGGAAAATAATTGAGTATTGAAAGAACAGCAGAAATTGTTATGAATGTGATGAGATAATTAAGAGCAGCTTAATAAAGACCCAATCTTAATAATAGGTAAAGATTTATTACTTATAGGATAGACGTGCAGATGGAGAATTTGATGATTTCCTTGAATAAAGAAGACCATTCACAGCTCCAAATAACTAATCAGCTACTCATTGAGCTGATTATATTAAAAACAATATATAACAACTTATTAATTATATTATTTATGTATTATTTCAATATTGTAAAGCTTCCTAAGCATAAAATTTAACATCTCTATCATTATCATCAATTAATTCATTTATTGCTCTACTTTACTATTAAATTTATACTATTTTATTTGATTTAATGTTCCTTAATGATCAATCTTTTTTGATAATGATTTTGCCACCTTTATACTAACAAATCTAATATTTGGAACATTATCTTTCATACACTTCTATACAATAGGCCATAATTTATCTTAAATCATAGGTCCATCAGCAACTAATCCAATTTATTAAATAGCATATAAAGCATTCATTCTATACAAGAATCCAGTATCTTTATTGAGAGTCTCTAAGCATTTAGACAAAAAGCTTCCCAATGCCCAATCAATTTTATAAGTTTAAATTAGATCATTTAATCTACTCAATCCTATAGTTCTAACTTCAGCTGCTCTATCCTTCAAAAACATAACATAGACAGGTTCTAATTATTTCACAAATAGGTCTGTATTTTTAATTGTTCTAAGATGATAAATCAGAAATACAAAGCAAGTTGAATGACTGTTTATATGATTTCCTTTCTAACTCTCCATTTTGGATCTTCCATACATTTTTTCAAATGAGGAATAAATTAACCTAATGCATCAGGACCTAAAGCAGCAGCAAATACCCCAACTGATTATGCTGCATTCTTTCTAACATCTTAATTATCATCACTCATTAATTCAATTAGATAAGATTATAATTTGCTTTAACTATTATCTCTAGGTAAAATAGTAGCAATTTATCCAATAACTAAACAAGCATTTTCTAATAATTATAAAAATAATAAATATACATTTCACTTAAGCAAAAGCATCCTTTGCTAATAATTATAATAATGGAATTATAAGATTTAATTTCTCTGGAGATACGAACTTAATAAATTTTGCCAAACTTTTAACAGCTATTACTCTAACATCACTTTCAGGATCTTTTAATAAATTTGAAAAGATCTAAATTAATGAAGAATCTGCAATTTCTTTACCCACAGCTTCAGCTAACTTAATATTTTTGAATAATAATATACTTCTGCAAATATCTTTGACAATGCTAATCTTACTCTCCATGATTTATCTTCTGCTGATGATATTATCAATGGTAAAATATTTGTTTTGTTTTCATTAATATTAAGAATTTTAGCAATATTCATTATACTTTCCATACATAATAATCTAACTTAATCCTATTCATCTTAACATAATTGTTTCAAAACAGTTATCAAAACTTCTAGAACATGATTTTTATCCATGTATTATGCAATTTCACCAATTTTAGTAGCCACAGCTCTTCGAACCATTGGTGTTTCTTCACTACATAACTCAGTGAATTTTCTTAAAAAGTTAAATCTAAATTTATTACTATCTAAGTTTTTCTTTCTAATTTCCAGATCTAGCATACATTGGACACATTAAGCTAACAGCAGAAACTCTACAAGTAAAATTGGCTTCATTTGATGCTAGTTTTAAAATCTATTAATCTTTTATAATTATTACCATTGGGACTATTGTGTTAGCAATTTCATTATCTCCTAAAAAGCCACACACAATAATAATTGATTTAACAGCTTATTCTCTCACAACAGTCTCATCATATCCAGCTAATTGTTCCAAAATCGGCAATAAACATATCGATTATTATGGAATTATTTGTCTAAATAAACCTATTCAAATACGCAATGTAGCCTAATTCTTCTGCCATAGCAAATAAGACTTCATCATCTTCTTTTTTCATTAATGCTGCAAATTTTATTATCATATAATTACTTTCAAAATATGGTAAAAGTACAGACTTTATTTTATCTGTTCCTAAAAGTGTTGCAATAACTCTAACTCTGTGCATCGCATTGACTTTTAGATACACTTCCTCATTTTCCATGTCTTCCTTGAAGATGTCCATTGGATTATCACCCATATTTGATTGATTTAAATCTTTAATTATATATTATATTTTTATAGATTCAATTTACATATTCTGTTAATCCCATGTCTGCAGCTTCTTACAATGCTTTACTTAACATATCCTAAACAAAAGTCTAGTCTGATTTTAAAGACAAAGATTTATGATAATAATGTATACTCTTGCTTAGACTATTTGGTAACTCACTCAAATGATATGAAAATGCCAATCCAAAAAATATTTATGGAGAAACTGAATTTAACTATTTAATATTTAATTTAATTACCTATATGCACTTTTCAAATATTTATATTGCATTTTTATAATCTCTTTATTTTCTAAAAGTATGTCCTAAATTTTAAAGTGCAGATTCCCTAATCTTATGATTTGAATTTTGACAAAATACTAAAGCATTCATGAAATACTATATTTGCATAATATTTTACATCTTTAGCTTCGTTATATTTCTTTTATTTATAAGCAATTACACCCAATTCATTTTGAATCATGGGATCAGTTGGATTAATATCTTTAGCTTATTATAAAGACAATATTGCAGTCTATAAATTATTTGTTCTCAAATATTCCATTCCAATATAAACATGTGCTTAATAACAACCTGGAAATTAACGAGTTATAGATCTATAAATTGACATTGCTTAATCTGATTCATCTTGAATAGCATAAGAATGTGCTAACCCTATCCAACTATATATAAGATGTTAATCTAATTAAATAGATTTCTAAAACTATTTCCTAGCTACTTCATATTTTTTTGTTGAGAAATAATATACTCCTACAACAAACCAACTCAAAGCATTTTATGCATAATTCTCTATCAAATTATGTGCACAAAAATATAATTCTGCTATTTAATCTAATTCCAATAAGCATGATACATATGTTGGTATTACATCAAAATATAATGGATCTTATTTTATTGCTTTTAATGACCAATCATATGCAGATGCAATATCATAACTATAATAAGCTTTTTTTGCTTTAACATTCAATATATCAATATTATTTCTTTTCTCTAATGCTACATATACTAAATCGTTTTGAATTGGAATTTCCTCTTTTCTTATGTATGGACTTCTTATAGGTGATGGTTTCATTTATTGAATCTCTAATTTATCCAATATCTACAATTATTAAGCTATCTTTCTTTTCTCTTCTTACAAGTGATCTGCTATCTTCTGATTGCCAATATCACAATTTATTGTCTTACTTATATAATAGTCTTTTAACCAACCTTAATCTGAATTTAATTAAATTTATTGAATCAAATTTTCCTTCTCATCAGTTGAAATTAAATATGAATCTACTAATTTCTAAAATACTCTAACATTTGTTGGAGTCTTCTATAAACATTCATAATAATTTGAAACTGCCAATTATTTATTCTCTAATGCTTCATAACATTATCCTCTTATCCAATCACTTTATGATGTAGTTTCTTCTTGCAATATCTCTATTCCTAATTCATATTGCTTATTTGCATATAAAGCTCTAGCAGCTAATACTGCAAAATCTCCTTAAATAAGTTTGTGCTTTAAAAACAAATTATATACTCCTGAATATTCTGCATTTCCAAAATGACACTAAAATTATTATAGTAAGTAATATTACAATTCCAAGCATAAATACCAAATATGCCTATATATTTTAATCTTGATTTAGGCATAATAATTTCTCAGCAAAAAAGATAGCTTATTTGTATTATCCCTAAAGATAACTACTAATTCCCAATTAATATATATTCATAAATGATGGATTATTTAACAATTGATTTGCAAATATTGAATTTGATGATGGATTAAAATAAGGAATTTGAACTTCATAATACATATTTGAGTATTTCTAAGGTTCACTTGATTATCTGATTATTTTTGATGTCTTTTTTTGAATTGACATTTAACAATTATGTTAAAAATTTGAATTTTTATATTATGCTAATTCTAATTATCTTTACTAATTTTTATTTTTCTTAGGAATAAAATTTATGGTCATTCTATATCAACTTTAATTATAATGTTTTAGTTATTCAAATTGAAATTACACTCTAAGATATTACAATATCTATAATTAGTTTAGGTTTCTATATCGTCCTGGAATCTCATAATAAACATTATTTAAATTTTAATAATTGCTAATGTATACTGTTAAATACAATTTGAGAAATTATGCGTATAGAAATGATAATTGCTTCAATAATCCCTTATATTAAATTTTAGACTCTCTATAGATAATACTTAATTCTAATATATAAATGATTTATAAAAATTAAAGTTCAAAGATTTCTAAGTAGATGATCAAAATAATTTCTTCTCATTGTATTAGAAGTTTATTCTATTGGATTATAATTTTTATTAGTGGATATCAATATTTATAATCTAGTATTTATAACTTTTTATAATTGCTAATAATTATTTTTATATATTTGTAAAATATTTATTTATTTCTTAGGGTCATATAAAACCATAAATTCAATGAATATATCGTTGTCGGCCATACTAAGCCTAAAGCACCGGATCCCATTCGAACTCCGAAGTTAAGCGGCTTAAGGCGAGGTTAGTACTAAGGTGGGGGACCGCTTGGGAAGTCCTCGTGTTGACAACCCTTTTTTTATTTTATAGCTATAAAAATTTAATTAAATTTATCAAAATTATTAAAATTAAAAAATAATCTATGTATATTTTTACTAATTTATTATCATTCTAAATTTTTAGTTTATGAATATATAAAATGAAATTAAGAAAACAAATTTGATTAGTGTTTTGATTATTCATTGGCATACTTCTTTTGACTATAATCTTAATTTTATGGATAAATAATTAGAATATATATTTTTTTAAGTTTAGAGACATTATTGTAATAATTCTTATTTGATTTTTCAGAATATGAGGAATTAAATGGAAATCAATAATAATATCAAATATCTTGCACTTAAAATTCTTAAAATAAAAAATAAAATCAAATTGTTTTATATAATGAATAAAATCAAGATGATTTTTATTGATTTTGATCAATAGCCATTTAATAAAGTTAAATAAAGATAGAAAATAAGAAAATAAATAGTATTTTCCATATTTTATATGAATAAATCAATTATCAATATTTGATGGATAAACAATTCAATTCTTTGAAAAATGATACTATAGATTAAATTCATATGAAAGTAGATATATATCATGAACAAAGTTTAATTATTTTGATAAAATTAAATATGTATAATTAAAGATAATTTAGAATTTTTTCGAACGACATTCCAAAAAGTTCTTATATGTTCATATGAATATATTGTTGGAAGCTAGAAAAAATAATTTTATTTAATGAATAATCCACAACTTTATAGACATGAATAAAACAATTCCATGTCAGAATCGATACTAAACACCTTAAGAAAATATTGTGAGCTTTCTTTAGAATAAAGGAAAGATCTAGAATGTTTTACTCAAATCCAACATTTCATAAATAAGTAAGAGGATTATCAGGATACTGATTCCTCTAATGCTTCTAGTGCTTCTGAGACTTCAAATACTGTTTAAATAGAAGGAAGTGAACAACAATAAATATGCATAAAAATGTTTGATATAATAAGATAAATGAAAAGAGCAGTAAAATAGTCTTAAAAATTATGTTCAACCAAGATCAAAAAATTAAATAAAGTAATTGAAAAGAGAAATAAAGAAATTAATATGATTAAAATTAGACTTGGTCTGTTATGAATAAAACTATTACTATATAGTTAATTAAATGTAAAATACATTTATATAAATTAATCACTTCTCTAATTCAAAATTAATTATGAATTCATTAATATCTTAATTATCGTCTTCTGTTTTTAACTTAAATTACTATAATAACAATTTTATACCAATTATTTAAGTGATCTTTAGTTAAATTTTTCTTTTGAAGAAAGGTTCTTAATCTACATAGATTATGTTTCAATTAATTTGAATAATTTCTCAACAACCTTTTCAGGATCAACCTATTAACCAGAATCATTTGAAAATAATCTTTTTCTTATTAAATTTATGCTATTTTAATCTTTTTTTAGCATTTCTGTTACTTTTTCAGAAGTAATGACCTCTTTTAAAATTTAGTGTTCATCTTCTTATTTAAACTATATATATTGATAATAATAATTAATTTACATTTCTTTATTGTTTTTTTAAATCTTTTTCTCTATTTTAATATCCCAAAATTACACTTGATTAATTATCAATATATTTGACTAATCTATCATAGATTTTATCGGGATCAAATTTAAGATTGACTTCTTCAGGGAAATATTTCCTTTATAATAAATTTGCACTAACAATGACTTTCCTTAGATATGCTTATAGTTTTTCATTTGATGAAATTTATATCATTTTTTCTAAATTAGATAACATTTCTATAGGATCAACCAAATTTGCTCTTGGTCCATCATCCATTTTATCAGGTAATAGAGCTTTTGCTTTTGTAGTCCAATTACAATAAACATTCATAATTTTTTTAAATAATGTCATGTACATTTCTTTATATTATTCAAGTTCTTTGTTTGGTTAATCTTAATTTTAATTTTGATTAGATGATTATTAAACTTTATACATAGATAAATCTTAAATTTTAGCTTCAAACTCTCTTTTTTATTATTATAGAGATTTTTCAAGAAATCTTTTATCTTCCTCTAAATCTGCTGATTTTTTTGTTAATGTTAAAACAGTATTTTCAAAATATTCATATCTATCAATAATCTTTTCAGCTGAAAAATCTACAAATTTTTTAGTCATAATTCTATATTCAGGTAAAAACTTTTCTAAATCTACACTAACTCTTTTAATATCATCTAATTGAACTTTTGATTATTTTAATTCTTTTTATAATTGTTAATTTTTAAAATTAAGACTTTCATTGGATGATTGTAATTCAAATATTTTATTTTTTGCCATTTCTAATTAATCTTTAAGTTCAGAACTATGTTTAATTAAATTAATACTTCTCTCTTATAAATTTATCAACTTAATTTAACATCTATAAACTAATCCCATGTAATAATGCTTTAGATTCAGCAAGTATTTTATCTTTAGCAACGTTTTGAATCATTTGATGTAGTGTTTATTCAGCTCTTTATTTAATATCCATAATATTTTTTCTTCTAGGATTCATTGTTGCTATTTCAGAAGCATTTTTAACAAGTCCATCTATTATTTTCCTTGGTTAAAAACTTTGAGTTTTGAGCATTAATTTCCGTTACAAATTTTAGGATGTTACTTTGGTTTTGGTATTTAATGCACTCTTATGTAAATGAAAATATTATTTACATTAACTTATTGTTTTAGTTCGTCATCTAAAGCTTCTGGTTTTGTGTATATATAATTGCCAAAGGCATCAAAAACTATGCGATGAAAGTTCTTTCTGAATTAATCATATTCATCAACATTTATCTTTAACTCCTTATCAAAATAATCTTCAGGACCATCTATTTCAGCTTAATCATTCTTAACTCTCAAATTACAAGTCCCAACTTCTGATTTACTAATCCCTTCAACTCTTTTCCTTTCTTATAATTTTTTTAAGCTTCTAGGTGTAAGACTGGTAGGATTTGTATATCTATTGTTTTTAATAGATGTATCAAGACCATCTTCAGAAGGTTAAGACATCCTAATCTCTAAGATCAAATAGTACAATATTTATTTTGTGTGAGTCAGTGCAGTTTATGGTCTAGTATACGATGTCTAAGCTGATTAAGGAGTTTTTGTTACAGAATTATGCATTATAATAATAAAAATTATCAAAGAACTCAATATTTTTGTGTGATTCTAACAAAATCATTCAAAAAACTTTATGTTTCAATATTTATATAATTAGGTATTCTATTCTTATATTATATACTATATAACATATACTTAGATGATGATTGTCTTATTAAATATAAAGGTTTTTTAAAACAAAATAATTTTTGGAAATTTGGAGATATAATATTAAAAATATGTATTCACTTCCTGGAAGCAAATAACGTATATTATTACCTCAAAGACATAAGACTATTTGTTTCAAACCTGAGGTCTAAGTAACTTAGAAACTGAAACATTCAAAGGCTCTTCACCCATTTCATTAGAAGTTGAAGCCTATCTCATCGAAATGCTTGGAATATGCCCTTTCAACTAGGTAGGATAGTTTAAACTATTATAAGTTCAAGTGAATCAGAAGGTGAATGTGAGAACAATAAAAGTTGTCATTGTAGAGATTGTGGACATTAATCCTAGAAAATGAAACAAATGAAAAAGAAATATCGACGTTTTAGTCCTGTAATGCATGGAATAATGAGAGAAAGGAGAAATAAACTTAAACAAAAATTTAAAAATGCAGTTTATGTTATTATGTGGATGCAAAAATTAGTAATCTAAAGAAAGAAAAAACCTGTGATTATTAAAAAGATAGTGAGAATGAAGACTAAATTATTTGAAGCTCCTCCAGAACAACCATAATAAGACTAATAGATTATTTATCTTGAAGTATAATCTTAATTCTATGTGTAAAGCCTATCCAACCAGTGCAAGTTTAAATGATTGATTTTAAACACAAGCAGAGATAATCAATTGTTAACTATCTCAATAATAAATTACATGATTAAGAACCCCATTCTAATAAATATCAGTTATCGCTTCCTAAAATAAGATATTAAAATAATCTCTCCAGTAGCCATTCTAGATTACTATTAAAACCTTTGAAAACCTAAAATGATGAAGTCCTTACTCCATAAAGAAATAATCTACAATCTATCATACATAAGGCTACTCCTCCACAACAATCTTCAAGTTCACCTTATTTAAAATAACCCCCTATGACAACAAGAACAAGATATTTATAAAATAGACTTTACCTATCTGGGAGATATTGATTTTGTGAATAGTCTACACTATGTAAATTGCATATATATGTTATAAGTAATTATTTCTATATTATATTTCTTTTAATTAAATAATACAAGTTAAAATTTATTAGAAAATAATATAATATGTATATATAATTGTTTTGTTAAAATCAAATATAATGTAATTCACTTACTTGTAATAATAAATCAATTAATTTTTAATACCACAAAAATTATTATTATAATTATTTTGAAATATTCTTAATAATATATTTAATAACCATAATTATTATATATATATGAAAAAATTAAATAATAATAAATATAGATGCCAATTTTAGGAATTTATATTTAAACTTTAATTAATATAATAATCTCAATTATTTTTTTCTTTAATTTTTTTATAAACATTGTCTTAGTATTTAATTTGCTTTTTAATTTCTTTATATCTATTACATAGTAAAAACAAAATAAAGGACAGTATTAATAATAGTAAGACTAAAATAATCCCTAAAATTATAACAGCTTCATAATCTGCCTTGTTGGTTTCATACTATTTTCATAACTCTAATTAGAGTACCTACAAATTCATTGAGAAATCTACCAATATTCCTTCCTTAGAAGTAATATATCTATTATATAAAATAAAAGCAGGAGTAATAAGTATTTCAGGTTATTATATTTTAACTCTGTATAGAAAATTGGAAATGGTTAAATTTTAAAATCCATCACAAATAAGAAATGGTAATTAGGATTGATTTCCATTAATATTTTATTCAAGATGGGAAGTGACAATCTATTAACATTTATATTCATCATCTTCAATAAAGATGTTTTCCTTAAAGCAATCTTAATAATTTAATTTTAAAACAGCCACACAATGATATTCATAAGAGGATGAATCTGGAATATAAAGTAATGTATAAGGATGATTAGCATATATACTTAGATTAAATTTTAAGTCCCCAAATTAATAATTTGTTGTGAATTATTTAATGATTGATAAATGAACTACTGCTTATTCTTATTTTTTAATGGAATATGATTATGATATGAGTGTTGTTTGAGCAACATAAAATAGTATGTATATAATCATTATACAATAAAGTATAAATTTGATTGAATATTATTTATAATATTAAATAACTGATAATGTTTAGTAAGAATAGATAGGAATAATTGAGAACATTCATGGCTGAAAATCAGGATCCAGTAATTTTAACAAGTATGCTTCAATAATTGAATTATTGTGTTGATAAATGTTCATAAGAATTAACATAAGGAAATAATGAAATAAAAAATATATAAGTGGAAAAGAAGGTTAAGAGTGAGAGAACAAAAAGGGCTGTTAGTTAAGATAATACATGTTATAATCCTCTATGGTTGATAAATAAAGATAAGAGAAGAATTGTTGAACGACATAATTAAGAATTTAATACATTTTTACCTTAAGTAAAAAGATTAATTTGAATTTGAGAGTTTGTTTGGAATGAAAAAGACAAGGAGATAGAATAACCAAATTAAAGATTGAAACCTTTGGCTCCAATAAAAGGAACTATCAATAGACCAAGGATATTATTACCAAAAGAGATACGTAAAAACCCATTGAATTAAAGGAAAAGAATTTATGAAAGTTTGATTTATAAAGAAGGTCTATGCAATTTGATAAATAAAGGATTAATTGATAAACATATTGATGTGAGTCCAGCTTTTGAATTTAGTTTGATGCTTATGTGATAAAACGGATATGCATTATTAATTTTAATGAAAATAGTATTATTACTATGCATGATGATGGCTGTCTCTTTTGCAATTTCATCTAAATTAAGTCATACTAAGAAGTTGGAAGAACTGCGTGGTAGCAAATTGGGCATGACAATTTTAAATTTAGTGAATCTTCATTCTTCAGTATAGGGACCCATTTCTGAATTAATAGAAGCAATAGAAGAGTTAGTAATATTAATAATAATAATAGATAGTTGATATCAATACTAATATTGATGAAGTTGAATACAAATTTTAAGTACGTACAAATGAACATAATTCTTATGTTGCTTAAGTTGGATAATAATTATAAGATTCTGAATAAGATATTGCTAGAATGATAGATGTTATTGATAATTTATTAATTCCAAGAAGAGATCAAATAAGAAATAAAATTGAATCACTTATTGAATATGATGAATTTAATAGAAAAAACGTAGATGAAACTACATTACTTAGAGAATAAGAACATGAAGCATATATTTAATAAATAGAAGAAGATAATGATGCACTTGATGCTATAGATGATGCCATTAATTTAGTAAGTTCTTTATCAAATCCATCTTTATTATAAATTAAGAATATCAAATTTACATTAAAAAGATTATCATCTAAATAATGGAATCGTGTTCATTAAGGACCTATGGTATAAGCTTTACTTTAAATTGCATTAAATTAAAATTTTAGTGATTAAGGAATATTGAAACAAATAGTAGATGCATTAAATGAATTTAGAAATTAAGTTGTTGATGCTATGAATTCATTAACTAAATAAGAATAAGTTAATATTTAAGAATTTGAAGAAAAATTAGAATAATTAGATGATGAACATAGAGAATTCTAAAGATAAATTAATCAAGCTTAAGTTGAATTAGATGCCACAAATTGTATTTTTATTATTTTTATATAAATATAGAAAAATTAGAAGATTGCAATCAATTCCTTATTTAAAGATAGGCTGACAGATTATAATATAAATCTTAATTGGATTTAGAAAATGAAACCTATGCAGTTGATACTGACATTTATACTTAAACTGTTAATGAACTTCAAAGAGAATTGCCTATTGCAGAATAAGGATTATCGCTAATAAAATCAGCCGATTTTTCTGATATTAAGATATGAATCATAATAAATAATTATTTATTTAATAATGAAAAACAAAATAAAAAAATAACCACCTTAATATGCCCTCAAATTAACAAAATTAAATTAACCTCTTGATTCCAAAAATCTAAAAGTACTCAATCTTTAAGGATTATAATTATAACAATTTGATATCAAAGTGGAAAATCTATTAACTCTTATTTTAGATTTTAACAATCTTAGAAATTTAGACATCATTTCTTAATTTCCTAATTTAAACACTTTGTCCATAACTAATAATTAAATAGAAGAATTCAATGTCCCTTCAAGTATTATACTTAATATTATCAAGCTCTTAGGATATTAAATATATCAAATAATCTCTTAAAGACTATCCATCTAAAATAATTATAGTAATTAGATGCTAGTTCCAATTAATTATAATTCATTTAATAAGATTAATAAAATAATCTCATATAGTTAAAATTAGATTGGTTAAGAATAATAAATTAAAATGATGTATGGGAGCATTTAACAATAAAATAGTTTGCAAATTAATAATAAATTACTTTTAGATAATTTTTAGACAAAGCAATTGAATTATAAATACAATATGGATTCAAAAAAGAACAAAATTATTTCAATCAAAAAATTATTCATACATCTATGATCTAAAATGATAAGTATTATTTTGATTTAATCTTACCCTATTATAAAGAAAATCGACATTTCTTTGATAATTCTGAAACTCCTTTATGTTTAGCTATTAAAAAACTAAAAATGAATTTTATTGCAGATCTTATGAGTAATATTCCCATCAAATATGAAATTGATGCATTTCATGAATCCATAAAATAAGGACAAATTTCATTAGTAAAACAATTTTTAGAGTTGGGAATTGATTGTAATGGTTTTAGTTAAAAAGGATTAACTCCATTAACCAATGCTGTCTTGAATATTACTTAAATGAATATGGAAATGATAATTCATTTACTTCTTTAAAGTTAAGCTAATCCAAATAAATTAAATTTAAATGGATAATCATTAGTATAAATGTGTATTATTAAATCAAATCTTACTGCTCTTAGATTCATAATCAATTTAAATAAAAAAAAATAAACTAAATTAAAATTTAAAATGAACATTAAAAATACTAATGGAGATTATCCTTTACATTTAGCTGTAAATAGTGTTAGCATTCTTTATTTTTTGCTTAACAATCAAATTGGAAATCCTTTATAAGTTAACTATTAAAATCTTACAGCTAAATAAATGCCATTCTCTTAAAATAGACCACTTATTTATAAATTATTACAAAAAGAAGAAAGAGTATAAGTAGCAAAGTAATTAGCTAAAAATGATATGAGATTTAGAATTTTGAATAAATGTTAAAATACATAAAAAGATTATAGTAGTGACAGTTCTTGTCCTGAATTATCTGAAGATGAAATGCCTAATAAACCAAAAATTAATAGAAAATATATAACTGAAATTGATGAATTAAGTGAAGATATAAGATAATTATCTGAAGATGAAGAATGCTAACATAATTGTAGTTCAGAATCAGAAATATAATATCCAAAAGATAATCTAAAATCCCTTAAATTAGTTTAATTAAATCATTAAAATTATCAACTTTTTAAATTTGATTAACATGTTAGATAAAAGAGTATATTAATTAATAAAATTAATAAGAAAAGATTAAATGCAGATTAGTTTAATTATTATTCAAGACAAGGATAAAATTTTAAAGAAAAAATTAATTCTTTAATTTGTTTAAGATAAGAATTATTGCTACTTGGATAGATAAGAGAATATTCAGATTTAATTTGTTCTGATTTTGCATCATATATGAGTAAACTCAATTAAACTATATTCAATTTAGAATCAGACTTTCAAAAGGATTCACTTAAAGATTATATGAATTTTTAATAAGTTTAATTTTTAATATGAGTTACTTTAGTGATATCAATATTAATTATTTTATGTAGAGTTTATAAGTTTCAATTGTTGATAAATACCCTGATAGAGTGTATGAATATTGCAAATTATTCTTAGCCCAATTTTACTTGAAATAACAGATAAATCTAAAATTCGCTTTTCAGATGGATCAAAATTCAAAAAGTATTTGATAAGTAAATCAGATCATTTTTATCATTTTTTTTAAATACTTAGAAACTCTTTAAAATTGTCAAAGTAAGAAGCAATCTATCTATTTGTGAACAATACAGGATTGATCAAACCTGGTAATTATAATTTCATATTCAGAAAGTTAAGTTGGAGAAATCTATTCAAAACATCATAGCAATGATGGTTTTTTGAGAATCATTTTAAGTGAATATGCTACATTTGGACATTGTTGATCATCAATTATTATTTCTAAATAATTTTTATTATTTTATTAAAAATTTTATACATATATAGAGAATGTAAAATTCTATTTTTTAAATGAATTCAAAATTTAACATGTCTATATATATATACACCTTAATTGTTTTATTAAATAGTATTTAATTTTGTAATGTATAATTTAAAGCTTTTCTATATTATTTTTATTTCAAAATTATTAATAAACCCATTTAGTATTTACAAAATAAATTTAATAAATAAATTAAAGATGATTAAATATTTAAATATATCAATATCGTGACTACATATTAATATAGAAATTTAAGTGATTCATCTAATAAATAATTTTAATAATTTTGCTAATTAGACAAACGGTATTAGTTTACTTTAAAATAGAATTAAGTAAATAAATAAGTCTATTCTTCGTTATATTTTTTGCATAGTCAATTAATAAAAATAGCAAGAAAAATAAATAAACTTTTTTTAGATAATTGTTTTATTAATATTGATTAAGTTAAAATAAGTAGAACACTCTATTTAATCTATTATTAATATATGTAGAATATAAAAATAATTTACTGCAAATAATATCTAGAATAAATAATTTTAGTATGTGAAATAAAACTAAAAATGTAATGAAATCAACAAATATTATTATACTGTTAGATGAATTGAATTATAATGATATTTTTTTATATACTATATTATATTATATTATATTTGTTAATAATGGAAAACTAACATCCATTCATAGTACTTCTATTAGGAGACTGTAATACTGGGAAATCAACAATAGTAGGAAGATATTTAGAGAACAAATTAGTTGAACCATAACCAACAGTTGGAGTAGTTAAGAGAGAAAGTCAAATAGAAATTGGTAATAGTAATTAGAAAGCTTAAGTAATTAGTTATCTAATTAGATCTATGATACATCTGGGAATGATAAATTTCGAGCTTAAGTTTTAGCTGAATTTAAGAATTCATCAGCAGTTGTATTGGTTTATGATATAACTGATTATTAAAGCTTTTAAAATATATAGACATTGCAGAAAGGTATTTAGTAGATTGATTCTGAATTAGAGGTGGCAAGATAGAATCCAAATATAGATTATTGGATAGTTGTAGGAAATAAGTTAGATTTGAAAGAGTAAAGAAAAGTTCATATGGAGGAAGGAAAGAAGTTTGCTTCATAGATTGGAGCTAGATTTATTGAATGTTCAGCTTAATAACCAAGCAATATCAATTTAATATTCTTAACTATTTAACAATGGACATAGATTAATATTTAACCGAAATATGTTCCAGAATAAACTCAAAGATTATTAGAGAAATTGAATAATGATGAATCATAAAAGTAATTATTGACTTCTACTTCAAAAAATAATTAAACTAAATTCAAAAATAAGAATACAAGTTTTTCAATAATTTAGAATAATACAAATAATATAGTTTCATAGTCATTTGATGATTAATAAAATTCATTTAATGTAGATAGCATGTAAGATTATTTTGCATAATAATAAAAGAAAGTAGATTTATAGACTTAAAAAGTAAATTAATGATATTATTAAGTTAGCTGATGTTATTGTAGAGGAAACATAAGAAAATATAATTTAATAATTGAAATAACAAACATTGACAATTTCAAATTCTAAACCATTAATTATTCTTGAAGAGACAAGTTCTTAATAATAATAAGAGAGAATTGAAGATAAAATATCAATGATGAAAAGAAAACATAAATAATTAGATAAGTTAAGGAAAGAAATAGCATAAAATTTATTACTTGTTTAAGAATAAAGGAAGAAGTTAACAACAGATTAAGTTATAGAGAACACTTAAACATAAAAATTAGAAAGAGAATTACAAAAAAGATTATTGAGTGTTGAAAGAAATATGGATTTCTTGAAAACTGATATCATTTTATCATAAAAAACTTAGAAGTTTAGTACAAATAAAAATAATTTTCTATCAAATGACTAAACATAAATTATTAAATAACATATTAATTAAATACAAAATCCAGAACATATTAAAGAGTAGAATGAATAAATAGCAAAAATTAAAACTGAAAGAAAGAAATTAGAAGAATCAAGAAATAATAGATATAAATAATATGTTGATAATTTAGAATCTCTATTAAAATAAGAAAAAGAAATTAGACTTAAAAATGAATAAGATTTAATTAATAAGAGAAAAGATAAAGCAATGTAAAAAATAGCATCAATGGATAAAATAAGATAAGAGAGATCATAATAAATGATAAAATAAAATGAATAAGTTAAATAAATTATAGGAACAACACCTTTACATGTTAAATTAGAAAATGTATTCTAAGAGAAGATAAATAATTCATAATTAGAAGAACATAAATTAAAATTGAAATAAATTAGAGATCTACATTAACCTATTAGAATGAATGAATTAAAATAATGGGAAGAAAATTATGAAAAAAGAAGAAAATCATAAGAGGATATAAGAAATTAAAAAATATAAAAAAATAATCAAATATCTTATCATGCATCATATGAATCTTCTGTTTATAAATTAATTAAAGAAGAATAATCTAAATAATTAAAAGAAAAAGAATAAACACTTAAAGAGTAATAATCAAAACAATAAGTTAAATAGGAATTTATAAATAAACTTAAAGATTATCTACCTTCTATTAGTCCAGAGAAATAATAAGAATTGGAATAGATAATTAATAAAGCACATCATAAAATCAACTTTTATGAATTTATAGAAATGACTAAAAAAGTAAAATTAAAAGGAGTATTTTTTGATAAAGAAGGAAAGATATTAGAAAGAAGTGTTGATGTAAAATTCTTATATACATAAGATAGGAAGAATATTATGAGAAAATAAAAGAAAATGAAAAGAATGAAGAATAAAATGCTAGAGTTATAGGAAATAAATATTTAAATGATATTAGAAAGATTGTCAAAAAACCTAGTTAACATTAAAGTGTTGATAATTTATAAAGTTAATCTAATCCAGAATAAGGTTATTAATAAGCAGTTAGAAATCCAAAATAAAATAAATTAAATGAAATTAAATCTCATTGGAAATTAAAACCTAAATTAACTTTTGAAGAAACTGATCTTGAAAAAATTATTGATGGAAATGAAGGTATTATTTTTTTTAATATTAAAGTTACTGGATTTTCAAATCATCATGTAATGCAAGAGGCAAATAAATTAGCATCTGAAGCAGTTAGAAAAATGTAGATTATTGAAGCTAAGGGAAAAGGGAAAGAATGTTTTAAAGATATAGAATCAGCAGATAAATTATTAATTAATTCCATCAAGGTTTATATTAGAAATTATATTATTTATTAGGCTAAGCTTACTTTAATGGAGAAAGAACTAAAGTCTGAAAATAGAGGATAAGAAATATCTACTAATTAGAAAAGAGGAAGAAGTAATACTAAATAGAATTCCTGAAACTATTTTTCATATTCATTAAAACTCATTAAAATTTTACTATTCATCACATTAAAGCTCTAATGCTTAACGGTTTTCCATTTGCATTTAATCATATGTCTAAATCAACTATTTGATTTAATAACTCTTTTCAGTTTCAAAATTTAAACAAATTCTCTTATTTATTTAAATACCAAAATTATTAGGTAATGGATTGAAAATATAAATTCCCAAATTCTTTTATAATGAACTAATTTAATCTATTTCTTCATAATCAAGTTCTAGGATTTCAAGTTGGGAATTAAGTTATTTGAGAAATGTAATACATTTATAATTTATACATAAATAAAATGATGACCATGTACGACAATCATCAATAGTATAAGACGAAGAAAATTTATTTTGTTTTTTCTTTTCTTACCAATAATGTTTACTTAATTCATATAAATACATTAAAGTCTCCTTATCACTTTAAACTTTAAAATTAGTAACACCAAAGAATTTTGTAGATTTTAAAATATCCAAAAAGATTAACATAGCATAATGAGCTTCAGATTTAAGAGTGATCAAATGTTCTGAAACATCTGATTCTGTAATTTAATGATTCTATTCATCTTGAATTGTAATTTTTTCATTTTCTTAATTTTATTTTTAATTTTAATTTTCTTTTTTTAAATCTTCCATATATTCATTTGTAATTAATGTATAGAAATTATCAAATATTGTTGGTAAGAAGTTTACCCATGTTTCTTATTGAATATATTTAAATATTTAATGAGGAATAAGCTAAGAGAATATATAATATTAATACTTACTTTTTTTATTTCATTAAATGGAATATTGTTTTTATCTATCTTTTTAAATTTATTTAAAATTAGATATAATGCTGCACAAATAACATGGTTCTTCTATTCTAATATCAATCTTTAATTGGTAATATCATCAAATAATTAATAACTAACTAATGTCAATCTGACTAAATCACACTTACAAAATTCTGTTTCATCTTCACAATTTACATATAAATATTTTCTCAATTATAATAATTTCTAATTGTATTAAGGTTAATTTTATGCTTTCTTGAATAAACCTTTAGTTTCATCTGTTTTGATCAATAAATTCCATAATTTTTCATCTTTATCTAATGGCTTTATCATCAAATCATCAATAAGATACAATTTAAAATCATATGAATATTAAAGTTAAATATCAGCTGCAACTTCATCTCTTAGTTATTCAGCATCTGTTTCCCTACAAATTTGATATTCCTATTCAATTGGTTTGAAATTTTGAAATATTTAAACTTTTATTTTTACTAATTATTGATTGCCCTCTCCAGAAACAATCATTGATCCTTATCTTGAATTACATCTTGTATCTGCAGCAAGTAATTATGAAGCAGATACTTTACGACTATTTATCATACTTGAGGCTCTCAATCCTTTAACATTTTACTTTTATTCTTATGGTTGTTCTTAAATTTCAGATTGTTATTACTATTCTTCAGTCTTTGTGGCTGTCTATTACATCTATCTAATTAAATCACCCATAGGTTTAACAGGACCTCTTGGAGTACTAACTTAAGTTTAAATAGTTGTAACATTGGATTAATCAAACTTTCTGAAACTTTATTATTTATAGCTATTCTCTATGAATGTAGTTTAAGGTTTTTTATTTGCTCTAAAATTCAATATAGATAGATTATTAGATTCTCTTTCTTTTTCTTCTTTAAGTTTTCTTAATAGACTATAAAAGTTTTCATGAAGGCCAAGTTAATTAAGGATTTATTTTTAATATTAATTATCTGTTTTAAAGTCTTTAGAATTTAGAAGTTATAATAAAAATTCAGTCATTAAAAGTTTTCTTCTCTAAACTTAATAATAAAATTAGTTACATCAACTACAAGAGCTTCATTTCTATCAAAATAAGTATTTTCTTTGATATCTGGAATTTTAATATTGGGGAACTTGGATTTGACAAATTCTAAGGTTGTTTTGAATTAACTAAATCTTAAATAAATTTATTAAGTAATGATATTATTAATTACAATTTCAAAGACATATCTAGTAAATTTTTTATTAGAATTATCAAGTAATTCCTAAGTTCCTTATATTTAAACAGTGACAACAAAATTTTATTGATTATTCTATTCATCTTAAGGCATATTAACTGGTTAGATTTCTTAAATCAATTTATTTCTTCTATCTTTTTTATCTTAAAGTTATTGTATTATTTAATTTATAAAATCTATTTATTCTTTTAAATCTTTTTCACAATCTTGACTCTAAACAACAAAGGTTACATGATTATCTGATCCATTGATTTAATACAAATACTTATAATTATACATTTCAGCCATTTTATTACATTAACTAAGATGATTAAGAGTAATATATGTTCTAAATACTTAACCTTATTTAATTTAATCTCTTTCTGTAATTAAAATAAGATCAGAGAAAAAATAAACAATAACAGGTCTAACTTCACTTTCAACTGTAAAATACATTTAAAGTGATTCTTCTTTTAAAAATTATCTATTCAATTCCAAAATTTTTACATGTTTTCCATATTATTATTATAATTCAAAAATTTATTATTTTGATAATAAATTATCCATTGCTTTATTATTTTAATTAGCAACAGTTTCAAATTCATGAAGAATTTTTTAAAATTTTGGATAATCAACACTTTCTTAATTTAGATTTTTGATATAATCTTTAAATAATAGAACATATTTTGGAATTCTTTAAACTGGTAATATTAAGTAATAATTTTCTAAAGTTTTACCAAGATTTTTCTTATCTGCTTAATCTAAAAATGATTTATATTATTTATTATTATGTCTAAGATTAGTTTACAATTTAATTGCATTTGCATAATTAATTAAATAATCTTAGTATATTTTAAAAAAGTTAGCATGTGATAATAATTATTTGATGGCATTTTAATATTCTTAATGATAATCTTTTTAGAGATCTTTAAAGATAGTAAGTGTTTCTTATGATAGCATATAGATAGATTATATATTAGAAAATAGTCCTTTGATTTCACTTGATGAAAGAATACCTTTTGAATCAGATAAAGGTTTCAAATATGAATTAATCATTGTTTTGAGTGCTGTACAATAAATTTCTTCAGTAGCAAGTAACTCATTTAATACTTATTTTCTATATTTGTATTTATGAGATTTTTTTAAAGGTGCTAATCTTTTCTTAACTAAATAGGTTCTTATTTTGGATTATATATAAACAATTTGTTGTAAATTATCACGTTATATTTATTAAGGTTATTAATTTTCTTCTAAAATTGATCTTGCTTCTTTGACTGTAGCACTTATTCTACCTATTTTATCTTCATCATCTTAAAAGTTTGACATTGATAATTTAACTTTATGTGAAGTTCTGGTACTCTTATTGATAGATGTATTTTAAACAATTTGATTTAATTTGTGTTTTGTTGAAGTATAATTTGAATTGATAGGTAGAAATGATTCTTTATTAATTTGTGATGGTTGTGTTTCTAGAAAGAATATAAAATTTAATATTACTTAGATATTAATATTAAAAGATTTAAAACATATTTGGTTTAGTTTTCTTTTGTTTATTGGTAGTGTGATCTGAAGGGTTCATAATTTTTGTATTTTAATAAACTATTTTATTTTGAGAATACAAAAATTTGAGTTATTTGTAAATATTTATTATTATAAAAATGAGTAATTTTGAATCTCAAAATGCAATTGAAGAAATGAGAAACACCATAGGAAAATAAGAAAATTTATAGAATATTTATAAGGAAGTAGTTAGTCCTTCTGAATATTCTAATTAAAGGTTGCTTTATAATGCAATTACTATAGTTATTTTTCGCCTAGTCATAGTTAAATGGTAGTTGATAGAGATAAAGTATTGATCAATAAATATAGTAATCTACTTACAACTCAACCTATGGGGTAATTTATTATTTGAACATAGAATGACTTAAGTATGGAAAAGTAATGGTTTAATAATAATCACAATAATTATACGATTTTTATATACGTTAAAGTTATAGACAGAATCTATGAAATACAAACTTTTAAATAAGAGAATATTTGCTATGATTTAGGATTTATCTTCAGATTACTTAAACATAGTACGTTATCGCAATAATAAATATTAAATTAAAGGAAGGTCAGAATTAAGAGTTCATTATTCCCTCTTTAAAAAGTAATTTAGAGCTTTACTTGATTATTATGGAAGATTTGTACCAATCTTCTAACCTGATCAAAAATTAATTATATATTATGAACTTTGTCTCATAGTATCTATAATGGCGAATTTATTTTACGTTCCTATAAACATTAGTTTTCTAAATTAAGGAGTATCAATTCCATTTGACACTATACCTACAATCTTATAATTGATATGGATATTTATTTCATTCAATCTATCATTTTATGAAGACTAAACATTATAGAAAAATAGAATAAATATAGCTAGTAATTATTTAAAGAGTCAATTTACCTTAGATTTCATAATTGTTTTTACTCTTTATTTTTAAATATTATATGGTTATTTTATCCCTTTAATCTCTTTTGTATTAAGAATTCCTAAATTAATAAGATTATTGGATCAATTTGAATATAATACTAATTTTAAAGAGAATTTAGCAGCCATAATTGATTTAATGAAATTAATAGTAATGCTTATATTTATAATTCATTGTTGTGCATGTAGTTGGCATTTCTTGGGAGTATATGAAAAAGAATATTATATTATTGGAAAGAATTGGTTAGACTATTACGATATTAGTCATTAGAGTTGGATTGAACAGTAAAATAATAAAATTTAATTAGAGATACATTGCATCTTTATATTTTAGTGTCATTACCACTCTGACTGTTGGATATGGTGACATCACTCCTTAATCAACTTATGAATAATTATTTGTTATTTTTGTAGCTATGAGTCTATGTGGAATGTTGGGATACACTATAACTAATATTGGAGAAATATATAGATCCATGAATGAAAAGAAGAGATAATATAAGACTTAAATGAAAGCTATTGAATAAATTATTAGATAAAGAAATCTTAATGATAAACTATCAATCAAAGTGAGAAAATATTATTAACATTTATTTCAATAAGAATAGTAAGAGAATTCTTAAGGAGAATTATTACTTACTAAATTAACTCGTAATTTAGAAGAAGAAGTCATGATTGATACTTATAAAACTACTTTATTAAATTCATATTTATTAAGATAATTTAAAGAATCTACTATTGAATAATTGTGTACAAAAGTTAGAGTTTAAAAATTATAACCTGGTGTTGAACTTATTAAAGCATAATAATTTGCTGATCAATTAATATTTCTATTAAGTGGTGAATTAACATTATTAGGACATAATTCAAGATAACCTATCATACTTAAATAACTTACTTAAGGTACTGTAATTGGAGAATAAGAATTTACTGAATAAGGATTCTATGATTATATTGTACTAAGTTAAGGATATAGTAAGATAGCTACTATTTCTAGAAATGCATTCTATGAAATTTTATAATATGATAGATAAGAATTTGAAAAGATGTGTAAAATTAGAGATTAATATAAATTTAGTGTTAAGAAAAGAAATGTTATTGGAAGAACTTGTGAAATCTGTGGATGGACACATGGATATATGTAATGTCCTATGACATTTTATTAAGTGGATAAAATGAAATTACTAACTAAATATAGATAGAATAATGAATAAGAAAGAAAATATCTTAATGATTTTAGGAGAATTCATAAATATAATACCTTATCTTAATTACAAACTGCATAAAATGCTTGTCTGGATTTCATGATTAGCTAGAAAATACTAGATGAAATGTATCAAATTTTATTAAGCTTTTCTATAGACCAAATTAAGAATTAAATGATGATAGTAACTACAAGTTGAAATTGAATATTCATGATGCTGATTCCTAACATTTAGACTCTAGTAAATCTCTATAAGATGATACCAAAGGAAATTAAGCTAATATCTAAAAATCACCTATTAAAAATACTACTACTAAGTTTCAGTTCTTCTCTAAATAAATTGATTAACAACGAGATCAACTCTAACATCCCTTATTTCAAAGAAAAAATATCAAAAAGCATTCCCTTATCATTGATAATCCTAATAATACTAAGAAAGAAGATGACTTAAAGAATTACATAGAAGAACTTATTTAAAAATTAAGTGTAAATTAAAAAGAAAAAGAAAGGGAAAAATCAGTTATCTCAACCCAAAATAAAATTCTAACCTATAATCCAGATTTAGAGTTTGAGGTAATGTAATCTTATAAATATTATTTTCCTCATTTTAACATTGACAATATTATTGATAGAGTTAATGTAACTTATGAAAAATTCATGTAACAAAACAAAAAAAATCCAATAAGAATTTTTGTTAATCGAAGAAAATTAAAGAGGAGAATAATAATTAAAGAATGATTCATTTGAAACTTAAATTAAAATTATATATATATATATATATAGATATATTATTAATGATATTGATTAATCAAATATAACAAGGAAAATAATATTAAAAGATCTTATAATGCTTATCTAAAAAGAAAATTGATATGAAGAAATTCTATTATGAAAATTCAATTAAATAACATTAAAATAAAATCTGTAATTTAGCCATTTCAAACATAAATACAAAATATAAACCAAAATAGTCACAAAAAATGAAAACTATTGGTTAACTTTAGCATATTCATAAATTGAAAATGATTATCTAAATTTATGATTCAAAGTTTATGATTTTTATATTCTATCTCATTATCCTTATGAAAATTACCATTCTATGTAAATTGATTTAAGTTTGGATGATTATAATTCAAGTCATTCGAATATAAGAATCATTATTGTTTCCAAATCTATTAAAATTATCACTTATTTTAAATCAAGCTTATTAATTTAAATCCGAAAGAAGCTATGATGAAAAGAAATTCAAAATGAAGATTCAATCAAACACTATCATGATTATTCCAATAATTTAAAATTAAAAGATTATCTTCAATGAGTTGAATGAAAAATTATATATTTGTTGTATAGATTTGAAAGTCTCTTAGCCCTTCTATTTATCTTTTAGAAGAGAAGGCATTCAATTACTAATATCAACAACAACTGAATGACATATTATTATATAATATACACTAACATACTGGATGAGCTCAAATTCCTCTTTTTGATTTTATTAAAATTAATAATGAAAAGAACAAAAGAAACAATATTCAGACAACATCCTGACTGGTAATAAAGACAAGGAATCAGTGGTCTTAAGGAATTCGATGGCGAAGATCTATGTATGCTTTGTCATTTTATGTTCGTTAGAATATGATGCTCGAAATAAATATAATAAAGAGTAACAGAAGCAATGGATTTAAGAACAAATTGAAGAAAAGAAAAGAAAATAAGAATAAGAGAAGGCTGAAGAAATGGCTTATGCATAACAAACTTTAGAAATCAATAGATTTAGAGGAATGCTGTAAGATAATTTTGCAGCCAGAAAAACTGATATTGGAGTTGCTACTAAATAAACTAATTTATAATTTGTATTGAATTAATTCTAAATTTATAGGCTAAAGAAAAGAAAGACAAAGAAGAAAGAGATAAATAAGAAAGACTATAATATGAGAAGAATGAAAGAGATTTATTACTTGAACGTGGACGCAAACAACCCTATAATGGATGATACAATGATTTTATTATCAAAAGTCAAACTTTATATTACAAATTCTATAGTAATTGTTGTGTAATTATTTATGCATAAATTTTATTATTCATTCATTTTATATTATTAATGCGTTGACATTAAATCAAAATGAGAATAATTTAATAATTAAGATAATTAATATGAAAGATTCCACTATTAACTTCTTATTGAATTCTTAACAAATTTATGAAATTTGTAAAGAATTAAAAGACATTAATTCTAAAATCTTTATACTTCTTATGTAAAATAAAATCATATGATTTTTCTATTCTATCCTAAATTCAAAAAGTATTTTATAATTTTAATATGTATAATCTATCAAAAACTGATATGGATTAGGTTACGTTGTATAATTTGAGTTTATATATTATACAATCAAAATTTTTAAACGCTTACACTGAATTTCAATTAATACTTTAAAAGAAAGATCACATTCTCATTAATTTGATTTCAATATTGATATAAAAAGGATTAAAACCCAATATAGTGGTTTGATTAATCAAGATTCCTTAAATAGATAATAGAAGATCGAATACTCAATAAATCTATTAACGAAAATTAAAAAATAATTATTAAATTTATAACAGACCACAATAAAAAATGAAGCGAGTTTCGCCAAAAATAATAGCTAATTTTAATACAGATCCACGTTCATCATAATAATCTTGTCATGTATCTAAATCTAAGCCATTACTATCAACTAATACCCTTTAATAATAAAATTCAAGTAGTTTAATTCAATCCTTAAATGGATTATGTAAGTACTTTAATCACAAAGAATAAAATAAATAAATCTCTTATCATGCACCAAAAAGTATTGAAAGATCATCTGCTTCATTATCAACAAGGGAAATTATAGCTACCAATATTTAAAATCCTAGTCCGCTTTTAGTAAAGTAACTGTTATATGGTAAAAATAATCAAAAGGAAAATTTAAATTCTAAAACAAGTATGAATAGAAATAACTCAAAATAAATACCTCATTTAAGTATTAATTAAGATCAGAAATTGGTCAAAGGTAATGATAGTAGTCATAAAAAATGTATGGATAAATTTGATAAGAGTGATAAATCTATTAATGGATCAATACAATATTAGGAAAATTGGAAAATGAAATATGATGATTTATAATAAAATTTATATGAAAGAATTCAATAATTAGAAATTGAATTGGAAAACATGGAAAAAGATAAGAAAAATGATTAAATACATTCTAATTAATAAACAAATGAATATATTGAAAAATTACAAAATATTGTATCTGAAAAGGATTAAATTATTTATGAAAAAGAATAAAAAAATGAAAAATTATAATAAATTATTGATATTTAACAAATAGAAATATAGAAATATAAGAATGGAATGTATAAAATAATTAATGTTAATGAAATTCAAAGATTATAGTAAATAGATTAAAAATTTTAATAAATCAAAGGATATTTACCATTACTCAATAATAGTCTTAGAAATATTTAGTAATTATTTGATTTTGCTTAATCAGAATAATAAATTAATAATTTATCTCTATCATCCTTCTCTATAGTTGAAATGATTAATGAATTTAATTAAGTTATTGAAGAGAGTGCTTAAAAGTCATTTAAAAAATTAAACTAAAAAGAATTATAATTTTCTTGAGTAATAAATCCTAGGCCTATCAGGTATACTGAATAGGAAGAGAAACCAATGATTTCAAGTAATTTAAACAATATTTGATTATTTAATTTAACTATCTTATAAATTGGAAGGATTATTATTACAATAGATTTATGAAATTCTCTTTGATATTAACTGATTAAATTTATAGTATAAAATTTTATAATACAAATGGACTTGCATGAATACAAAGAAAATTATTATGATGCAAATATTATGAAAAGAAGAAGAGTGCAAGATAAAGTAATGAATACTCCAATTTTGGAAGTCTTTATGGATATTTGTAAAAAATTAGATTATGTAATGAAAATTAATTTAAAATGAGACATCAAAAGAATATTTATAGATGGTGATACCAATTAATGAATCAAGAGAAGTACTTTAAAATACAGATTAAATTATCATATTGAATTATTTAAAATAGATAGCTATTTATTTGATAAAATCAAAATTAGAATTAGAAGATAAATTGTGCTCTTTTGGGGATAGTAAGTAATTTGAAATTGAATTATAAAAAATGGAAGCAGATATAAGATAACATATAAGAGTTCAATAATAACTATAAATTTTATTAGAATAAGCTTAATAAAAGCTAAATGAATTTGAATCTGAAAAATTTACATCAGAATAATTTATAACTGAATTAAAAAAAAGTCTTAATAATAAGGAAATGGAATTGATGACAATTAAGAATGAACTTTAAGATATAAAATATAAAGGAAATCAAAAGGCTCCATATTAGGCAACAAAAACAGAACCTATTTAATCTTCATTGGATCATTTAGAAAATTTATAACTCTTTACATTAGTAGATAATTCACCAAACAAAAATAATTTTAATTAAGTTTAGGCAGCCATTCGTAAAGGTAGAAATCAGCAATTAAGTAAAGAACCAGAAAAACCTAAAGGGGATAACACTCCTTAATTGAGTAAATGTTGTTCCATACTGAAAGAATCATAACATCAAGATTCACCAGATAAAATATCAAGAAAATATTCATAGCCTAATTATATGGAGATTAATGCTCTGAGATTATTAATCAAAAAACCTTGGTATACCTATTGATTGATTTTTAAAGTCCTTTGAATTAAAGAAATGAACCTTAGACTTTTAGAAGTATTAGTTAAGAGACTTCACGTATCCCTAAAAAATGTTGATTTATAAAAGATTTATTTTTAATATTAACATTAATGAATTCTATAAAATCTGAAATACTTTTTGCAGGATTCAATTAAGATTCAAGTAAAAAATACAAAAATCATATAGGTATGTTTTGTATTGGAACTGATACAGGATTTAGAGTTTGTAATGCATTAAATTCAACTGAGAAATTTTAAAGAGATTTGAAAGGAGGTATTGGTCATGTAGAAATGTTATACAGAAGCAATATTTTGGCATTAGTTGGAGGTGGTTTATAACCTAAATATCCTGATAATAAAGTGATCATATGGGATGATCGTAACAATGCTATATTTCTATTTAGATCTTGTTAAATGTATTGGCGAAATGAGTTTTAGAACTAAGATAAAAAATGTTAAATTAAAAAATGATAGAGTTGTTGTTGTTCTTGAGAAAAAGATATTTGTTTATAATTTTACAGATTTGAAACTACTTGATTAAATCGAAACATGTCCTAATCCAAGAGGTATTTTACTCAAATTACAATAAGGAATTTGCACTATTAATACAGAGGGAGATCATACAATATTGGCTACATTAGAAAAATCAGTAGGGAAGGTTTTTGTAAACAATTATGATGCTAACAAAGCTTATTGTATAGAAGCACATGTTTCTCCAATTTCATATCTTTAATTGAATTCAACAGGGACAAAATTGGCTACATCTAGTGAAAAAGGCACTGTAATTCGTATATATGATACAAATACTGGGTATGTTGAATATATTAAAAAATAGATAAATTTCATAAGAACTTCGTAGAGGTAATGATTATGCCACAATAACATGTTTAGCCTTTGATTTTAGATCATAATGGTTAGGTTGTGCTTCTGATTAAGGAACTATACACATTTTTGCAGTCAATTAAGATGGCTTATAATAAGAATTATAAAATTAAAATTAAGTTTCTTAAAATCCAAAGAGTAAATTTGAATTTTTAAAGGGATTCATACCAATATTGGGATCTGAATGGAGTTTTGCTCAATTTAGAGTTCTTGATACAAAATGCAAAGTGTCATTTATACCAGATGAATATCAATTGATAGTAATTTCATATGAAGGGAAGTATTACAAGGCATAGTTTGATCCTTAAAAAGGAGGAGAATGCATTAAAGTGGAAGAGAAATACTTGATTAGTGAAAAAGTTTGATTTAATATGTTAAATAACTCATAAACAAATTAAATTCTTATATCAAAAATATTTGTAGCTTAATGTCATCAAGATTATGAATTAGCTACAAATATTTTGGAATAGTTAACAGGAAATTTAATTGATAGTTTAAATATGTTCAATAAACATCCTAAAATACACAAAATACTATAAGACAACTTCGAAATATTCCCTGAAAATTATTTAGTTTAACCACAATAAATGGATGAAGGTATTGAATAATATCATAAATATTTGGAATAAATTTGCAATTAGACAAGTAAAGAGGGTAAATGATTGAATAATTATGTAGAGAAGAAAACAAAGAATAAGAATCCCTGGACTGATGAAGAAAGAAGATTATTTAAATAAGCAATAAAAGAAGGATCATCAAAAGATTGGAAAGCTATGGCAGCAATCATAAAAACACGATCCCCTCCTTAAGTTCGTTCTTACTACTAAAAGTATATGAAAAAGAAAAGATAAAAATTAAAATCAGAAAACAAAAATGAATGAATAAATATATATATATATATATATCAATAGAATATATATATTATTAAATAGAAGACTAATGCAATCGAGTAGCAAGAATGACAACCATCATTTTCCCATTTGCATTCTGAGTTTTCTACTACATAGCTAAAACTGAGACATTATGTTGCATATGTAGCTTTATTACATGTTTATTGATGACAAGAATTGAGATCTTGACTCCAAAAACATCTTGGATGATTCTAACATTCCAATTTCACTCCAAAATCATTACAATTATATTCAATGCATCCTGAATGAGAAGGATAACATTGTTATTAACTTAATTTATTAAAACTTGGACATTCATCTATACTATAATCGCTACAAATTTTGGTCTTACATTCATCATCTTCCCATTTACATAGTTATGTTTAGCATGAATTAACATTTGTAATATCTTCACAATTCTCTAAAGCAATACAAGAATCTCCGTTTTCTCCATTTAAAACGCATTCACTCTGTTTTGTTCCAACAACTTAAATAGCACCAACACAATATTCTAAATTATAATCTTTGCACATTCTCTAATCAGCATCTGATACACATATTTTTGATTAATAATCCCACCGGCAATCTATTTCCTAACAATTTTCTTCGTTAGAATCAACCTTATCATTTTCTTACAATTCTTCACAACCTTTCAATTCTTTACAAAATCCTATCGTAATGTCCCAATAGCATCTTAATTTTCCAGCAAAATAAGAGCAATCCTCACTTGATCTTTCAAGACAATTTATTTCTTCACAAATACCAGATTTTAATTCAAAATAACATCCTCTTGCATCTCTACATAAATCTTCAAAATATATCTCGTTGCATTAACATTTCTTTGCCATGGAAATATAGAGAAAAAACACCATACAAAATAATAATACAATCATTTTTATAATTTAATCAATATCCTATCACAATAGAAAATTTATAAAATTTCAACATATTGTCATGATATTTCACTGGAAGTAATATATCTTTAATAATTATATGATTCTTATATAAATTTATAAAAAGATTCTTTTTAATTCATAAAATATATATTTTTTATTGATAAAATACTATTAACATAATCAATATATTAAACAAAAGATAATAAATTACTTATAAGATTATTTTTAAATGATCTTATAAGGTTAATTATTATCATTAAATTCATTTATGTTGATATAATTTTTAATAAAGCTAAGTATATCTGATGATATTTATTATAGAATTCTTATTGCAACTATTAATTAACCAAGAATATAACACAAAATTAATGATTTAATATAAAATTAAAGGAAGACTTTAATATTTTTAAACAAAAATTAGTTATTGGTTCAATGATAAATTTAATTTATTTTAATTCTATTTATTACCTATTTAATAATTTTAATTAAATCAGACTTTTAGAATTATTGATCAAAGTTATTTCTGCTTAAGATTTTTACAATAATTACTGTATAATAATTAATTTAAATATTAAATCAAAATGTGAGGTTTTAATGTCTCATAAATTGTGAATTTATTTAAAATAAAGAAATGGAATTTATTGATATATAATGAAGAAATAATAGTGAAGATAAATTTTAAATTTAGAAATATTAACAAAATAAATATATATATTTAAAGATATTATCAAATTTCATGCAATTTTAAGATCAAATTTTAAATGGATTAAAAGAATGTTTATGTTTAATGATTAAAACTTATAAATACATTTAATTTATTTCTTATAAAAATTCAATTTGCCAAAAAAATAATTAAATAAAATGCTCATTAAAGAATTATTTGTTTTACTTCAAATATTTACAATAAAGTTCTTGATACCTCTTTTAACCACCTGCTGTAATAATTATTTAACAAATATTTAACCCATTCCAATATTATTCCGAAACCCTATTTTTAAATATCAATTTGATTTATAATTTTCTAAATAATTTTGAAATGATCTACTTACATCATTCTAGACTAATTAAAATTTTTTAAGAGGCTGAATTCTTATCAAATTCAGTAATAAAAATAATTATTAAATAACTTTATTCCAACTGAATAATAAAACCATATAAGTTGTTCTAAAGTAATTTAAAACAAAAATGAAATAATAATTAGTCAACTAATTTTTCACAAATATGAATAATAATAAGCATTTTGTATAGAGTAATGGATCTATTACAACTACTGCCCCAAACAAACATAAAAAGAATGGTAGTTCAACAATCATAACAGGAAATAAATATTTAGTATATACAAAGCATTCTTCCAGAATATTCAAAGACTCTTCATTTAAACTTCCCTTCTTGACAGCAGTTATTAAATCTTAGGATACTCTTAAAACAGCTATTGAAAGAACAAATAAAATAAATGCAAATATAGGAGATTTTCGCATATCACAAATACATCATAGAAATAAAACTGAAATTATACTACTTTAAAATAATTTAATCGATTCTAAATAAGAGGAAATCAAAGAGTATTTAGATTAGGATCAAAAGGAAGAATAAACTCAAATATATATAGTTTAAAATAAAATTGAACATATAAATTAATAATCTCTTACGATATCTCATTAGAGTGAATAATTTAAATTTTAAACAAAAGTAAAATTAATAGAAGTATTAGGTGAGGCATATGACTTTTCATACACTAATTAAAATATCTCAAAAATTAATAAAATTAAAATTAATTCATCTATTAATGAAATTGAATCATTGAATCAAAAAAGTTACTATCTTATTAGAAAAATTAAATAATTGCTTTGTACTTATCGAGAAAAATAAACATCTATTGATCTTGAAATTAAAAAGAAAAAAGGGATCATTAATTTAACAGATCGAGCATTTACATAAACTTTAAGTAATATGTCTGATGAAAGAACTCCAAAAATTAGTGATTCAAAATTTAATTAACAATTGAGTACTATTGCACAAAAGAAATCAAAAGGATATTATAACTATAGTGTTTAAGAGACAGAATCCCTTACTCCTTTAAAAACCATATTAGAAGCTATAAAAGAATAAAAAAATGATTAAAAGGAAATTAAAGAGAAAAGTATGGCTGAACTCTAATAAAAAACTTAATAAATTTCAAATAAGAATTTAACTATTACAATTATATATGAGGAGAATGAAAAACGAATAGAATTTCAGCTGCCTAATTATATAAATGATAATACTCAGTAAAATCAAGATTAAATAAAAATTTAGGAAAAAAAATAATCGAATATCTATTCTTTGGTTACTAAATAAATGCTTCAAAGGTAAATGATATTATAATATATTTTAGCAAATTTGCTTTGAGACTAATTAAAAAGTTTGGAGATAAAGTCATTTAGACTCAAAAAGATAATGTTACAATAGAGAATTTCAATTCCTTTAAAGCATCTCAATTTACAAGATATTATCTATAAAATCATATCTAAAAATGTTTAGAAACTAAAATAGAAAAGAATGACCTTCAAACTAATAAAAATTAAATATTCGACTATCTTGTATGGCAGGAAACCTAACATGAGATGCTTAATAAAAATTCAGAATTTGTAGTAATAAATTAATTTCATAATTAAATCAATGTAAATGTTTGTTTAAAATAAGAAAAGTACAATTAAAATACAACACTAAATTAAAAACAATTTCTATAAAGGCCTTTCTAAAATATTTTAAAGTGAAAATAGCTTTCTAAGTTCTTCTGAATCATAATTAGATTTAAGTGATATTGAAATGTAAACCCACTTTAAACTTAATCACATATATTATATTTAAGATTTAGTTTCAGTAAATGATTTAAACAAAGCTAAATTAAGATTAATTATCAATACTGTAGATGATGAAACCAAAAATAGGTTTCTTCATGATAAATTAATGAAATTTCCAGAAATCCTGAATGAAATATATCAAAATTAAGAAGTTCTGGAAGGGGAATGTAAATTTATTATTTAAATAGAGAATTTTATTTGATAAATAAATTAGAATATTAATTGTCTTCAAGAGATTAAACCATAATCACTAATTAATTCTCAAAATAATTTAGTTTTATTTAACTTGGTTTATTTGAAGATGATATTAATTACAAAATTAGTTCCTAAGAGAAGAATTATATTGAGTAGTGTAAAATTATGAAAAATCTAGACTCATTTAATACTAAAGATAAATATAAAAATGAACCAACTTCCAATCTAAATATACCTTCTAAATCAAAAAGCAGACTTCCTTCACCGACAAGATCTCTATAAAATTAGACTTAATATAAAAACATATAAAAGGAATCAAATCTAATAATAAATAAAGGATAAATATTAAAGAAACATTCATTACAAAAAAACTTATTGACCATTCAAAAATTGGCTTCCTCCAAAAATATCATTACATAAAGTTCCAAAACCTTATAAACTTAAATGAATACCAATACAAATATTCATGAATAAAAATCTTAATAGTTTTAGAACATACAAAATGAAATCGGAATTTAATTTAATAAATAATCCTAAAGATAAATTAAAATACATTAACACTTTAACACAGAAACATCTATGTAACCTTTTTCATTGTTATTTCGAAATATGTTATTATAAGAAAGCTCTTAAAATGAGAAATCAAATATTGAAAAAGTCTTCTCTCTAATTTAAGATCATAGACTATTAGACATAAAAGATTTACTTCTCCATGATCACAATATCAATATAGATACTCAGGATTAAAATGGCAATACATTTTTAATATGTGCAGCTAAAACTGGGTCATAAGATATAATTAAATTTTTATTACGTCAAGGAGCAGATATTTCATTTAAAAATGTATAATTAATATCCTATTAAATTAGAATTCTAATTTAGATGCTATTTAAATGGCTATAACTCATTATCATTATTAAGCAGCAGATGAAATAAATCAATTTGGTAGATCAAATTCTTACAAATTTTGACTGTAAATAATTAATATTTATCATATTAAATTTAAATTCTTAATGTATTCTTAAGTATTATATTAAATTTTAATATTTTATCCATTAACAATTTTTTTATTGTTTGTTAATTTTAATATTTATTTAAAATTAATCAATCTCTTTAAAATTTACCATCAAACCATTCACCTATTTTCTCTTGATCCTACTATTTTAATGTACCAGCCCCATGCATATTTCCTTCTTTCCAATATCCTTTATAATATGACCCATCCTAAAATTACATTTCACCATAACTATCTTTTCTTCCATTTTTATATTTTCCTAATACTAAATGTTAGTCCTACCTACATATCTTTTGCCATCTGGCCAAATAAATTCTCCTTTTCCATTCATTTTCCCTTATAACCAACTCCCTTTATATTTACGACCATCAACCCACACATATAAACCTTCACCTTAAATTTAATTGTCTACAAATTCTCCTTCATAATAAGATCCATCAGTAAAAATGTATTTCCCTCTTCCTTCTTTTTTACCTTTAGTAAATTCCCCTTCATACCATGCTCCATCCGGCCAAACTTCTTTGCCTTTTCCATTCTATAAATCTTGTTTCCATTCCCCTTAATAATATGCTCCATCATTATGATAAAATATTCCTTACCCTTCTGCCTAATCTTATTACCAGAACCCTTCATACATATCTCCATTTTGATGTATCATTCTTCCATGTCCATTTGCTTTATCATTTTTCCATTCACCTTCATATAAACTACCTGATGGCCAATATTATATTCCATAACCACTTCTTTATCCTGTTTTCCATCCTCCAACATAAATTATATTAGTTTCATTAAATTACTAAATAAGTTAAGTAAAGTACATATGGTGGATAAGTTGTGATTTTTTCATTATTAGGATATTGTGGTGATCTATATTTACCAAATTTAGATATAGTATGTCGAACGAATTCATTTTCAATTTGAGGTTTTATTTTACAAAGAATTGCATCCTTTGAAAAAATGACTTCTGTATCATCTTTATATGCTGAAGGTTCTAAAAATATGATATTTGCAATATTTTATGGTTAAGTATCTTCAGGAGCAATCAGGATTGTTTTCGACTATACTTTTTAATTTAATGTACATGTTTAAATGTTAAAGGATACATTAATTCTGGAGGTTAAATTAAATAGGGTTCTGTTATTGACTTTTAACAACAACCTTATCCCATTATTAAATTTAGTATTAAAAATAATATGTAAAATCCATTAAATTAGGAAGTAACAATATCAAATAAACCATATAGCAATTTATATTAATAGAGAAGATTAATGGAGAATTATGTATTGGAACATAATAGCCAGTTATTTAAAATGTAATCCAATTTTTATAATAGAGATTATAGTTTCCTGTTATTAATGTTAGAAAAAAAATTAATGTTCAGCCAGAGCTTAATTTATGAAATGTGGATATTGTAGTTAAGTAAATAAAGTTTTTGATCCAGATCCCTTAGTAAGCTATGAAATAGTATTCATTTAGTTTTATATTGATGTTTATTGTTAGAATTGTTCCAAAAGAATTAAAATACCAAAAAATGGAAGTGTCTATAGGTGTCCATTCTGCCTTGCTCAAAACAGAAAAACTAATAGATGAAATTACAATAAATATTCATTTCTTATTATTTTATTTTCTTAGATTTATTTTCAATCTTTGAAATAATTCAGATAAACCTCAATTTTTGGGAATACATAAAAACCATATGAAGTTTAACCAATAAGTATCATAATAAAATTATTATATTAATATTTTAGATTCTTAAATTGAAAAAATAACTTGATAATAAAGTGATAATCTAAGTAATATATAATACTTAATTATCAAATAACTACATAGTAATAGAAGAAATATTAAAAAATTACAAATCATATTAATTTCTTATTACTTACATAATCAATAAAATCATCATAATCGGAAGGATAAGTAATTTCAATTTAATGGTTTCTTCTAGAATTATTCTACTTTTTTTATTAAGGAATCACAATGGTTTCTTTAACTCTAAATGATTCGTTGCATTTTTTATCCATATTTTATTATTTTTACTACCTGATTTATAATTAAGCCTTAGGTTTTAATTATTTTATTCTCGGAGTGATATTAACTTACTTTAAAACTAAAAGTCGAGAGCTTTCTAAAAAGGATGGAGATTTGCTTGTTGGTGTTACAGGTAAAGTTGTCATGTGCCTTGGAGTTAAAAATTCTAATCTTTGATTTTAACTTTATGATAATGTTTTTTATTTCTGACTCCTTCCTGGGCCTACCATATTAAAGTAATGATATCTATCTGAAAGCTCAACCAAATGCATTCCAATAATCATCTTCTTTCTTTTTTATATTTCACAATATGCGACTGTCGGTTTAAACATAAAATAAATACATAATATTTATTTATATTAAATTTTTTATGTATATTCATGATATAGAGATAAGCAAAAGTAATAAAAGTATCTCTAATCGTTTAAGCTTATTCTAACAATCCTAAAATCACTAATTTAGTTTAGGATCATAAAAATATAAACTAACTAACTATATATTTTATAATCCTTTTAATCTTCATTAAAATTTATTAATTTGTTATATATTCTAATCAAGTCTACTTAACATATTTGAAAACAATTCAATTAATTTTATATTTATTTATCATATATACTGTAGTTTTCATATAATTTAAAGATGATTAATAAAGATATATAATATTTACAATCAATTACTATAAAATGTCTAAAAAATATATTTAAATATTGAAACTTATGATTTATTAATCATGAAAATAAGCTGACTACCTATTTAAATGATTATACCTAATTAGAAAATGAAAATAATTAAATAATATAATTATATTATTAGAATTTAGAATAAAAAATTGTAAATTAAATATTATTCATCTAATTCTACATTCTTCTAAGGTTAAAATACTTAATTCTGAATATTAATATATATTTTCAAAATATTAATATAAATTCTGAATTGAATTTTATAATCAAAAATATATTAATATTTATTTAAAGAAGACTATGATAAATTATATTAATTATTTATATAAAAAATTATAATAAACTTTGGCATTATTAAATGCAAAGATTCTTATAATAAATATATTTAATAAATGATTTGTATGTAAAGTATTTTTTAGAATATTCTAAAATAATTCTTTAATGTTCAAAGAAATATTTAATTTTAATATGTTAAAAGAAAGCTGTAAAGTCTTTCTAATTATATTATAATCAATTTTAATTAAAAAAGAATAAATGTATAATTATAGTTTTAAAATATTTAATATTAATATTCTAGATAATTCTTATAAATTCAAATTAATTCTAATATAAAAGATAGAAATCAAATATAATATATCTGTGTATATGAATAAATAAATATACCATCATTTCAGTATTTGAAAACATGATTTATTCAAAAATTCAAAAGGAGTAGTGCTTTATTCGAATAATCACAAACTTATAAGAATATTATCCTTTTCTAAGTTGTTCACGTTTTCATAAATAAATGGCTTTATTTTAACTTTTAAGTTTAGTAAATCAATCTTGCATTTAAATGAAGCTTAACAATAAAATAGATAATATTGTATTACTCATTTTTATTAATATTTTATAATTAAATAATAGATGCACTTGAATATTCAAGGCTCTAAAAAACCCAATTAGATTAGTAGTCCAACCTCAATTAAGAAGCCAATGATATCTTAACTTCTAATAAATTTTAGGCCGCCTATTACTGTTCCTAATAGTTCATAGGTTTCACCTCAGAATTCTGAATAAAATCTATAAAAAGCATTACATTCCCATAAAGGATCCTAGGTTGATGTTGCAAATTTAACAAAACTAATTAGACAAAGCAAATCACCAAATATAGAAATAAATGATGTTTAAAGCAATTAAAATTAAAGCTCATAATAATTATAAGCATTATTTGCAAAAGCAAGAGAAATTACTTAAAATAAATCAAAACCACCTATAATTAAACAATAAGTTCAATCAATTTAAACATAATCAATTAATCAATTAAAAGAACTATTCAATAATAATTTGTATTGCAGAAATACATTTCATTTTCATTTTGTAGTTGGGATAGGTGGATTTGGTAAAGTATGGAAAGTGGAGCATAAAAAAACAGGACAAATATATGCAATGAAAGAAATGTCAAAAGCATTGTAAGAATATAAATTTTAGACTAGAATTATAACTAAAAAAAGTGTTAATTCAGTTATGAATGAGAGAATACTTTTAAGTGAATTAAAGCATCCTTTTTTAGTTAATATGAATTATGCTTATTAAGATAGAGAAACATTGTATTTAATTATGGATTATATGTCTGGAGGTGATTTAAGATATCACATTGGTAGAATGAGAAGATTTAATGAAGAGTAGACTAGTAAGTTTAAAAAAACTATTATTTTGAGGATTTTTTGTGGCTTGCATATTCTTGAGTTTGGAATATGTGCATGAAAATAAAATTATTCACAGAGACATCAAACCAGAAAATTTAGTATTAGATAATAAAGGATATGTACATTTAACTGATTTTGGGATTGCCAGAGTTATGAAACCAGAAAATTCAAGTGATACAAGTGGAACACCAGGATATATGGGTATATAATTTTATAATCTTTTAGCTCCAGAAGTTATGTATAGATAAAATCATACATATGCTGTGGATTATTATGCTTTGGGAGTAATTGCTTATGAATTTATGTTAGGAAGAGTATTTATTAATTTTAAATCTTAGAGACCATATGTTGGAAGATCAAGATAAGAAATTAGAGATTAAATTATGGCTAAATAAGTTTAAATTAAAAAATCAGAAATACCAGATAATTGGTCATTAGAAGGGGCAGACTTTATTAATCGAGTATTTCTGATATCAATTAAATTAGCTTCTCTAAAGAAAACCTTAATCAAGATTAGGTTTTAATGGTAGTTAAGAAATCAAATAACATCCTTGGTTCTAGAATTTTCCATGGTAGAAACTATAAAATTTTGAATTAAATCCTCCTTTCCAACCAAATGTATTGATTTGTTAATAAATTAGAGAACTGAAGATAATTTTGATTAAAAATAAATTTTAATAGAAGATGAGGAAAATAATGAATTAATCTAATAGAACCTTTTGGTTTTAAAAGATCCTTCATCTTTAGGTATTAAGAATTAAATCATTAAGAGTTATTTTAGGGTTATGAATTTAATGCCAATCAGAGTATAAATAAAAATTCATCTACAACTGATCAATCATCGAGTTCATCATCTAAGCATAGTAGAAATTTCAGTTCAAACATTGAAAAATAACAATTTTTTGAATAAGCTCATAAATGATTTAAATAATCCTATTCATATAGTATATTATTGCTATTTATAATTTATATAATTTAATTACAATCATTTATTTTATTAGATTTTAACAGTTTTAGAATTTTCTAAGAAATTTTATTAATCGATTTTCCCTATAGAAACTATTAATAATTAAATTTTCAATGAAATTTTCTAGAAAAATGGTAGAAGATCAAAAAGACAACCTAAAAAGGCGAAAAATAATGAAAAGCACCAAAACTACTAATAAATAAAAAAAAGAGTAATTATTAAGATTAGTGCTACTTCTAACTGAGTTACACAAAGATCTTGAACGCTTAGAAGTACCTAATCCTTTAAACTTTGATTAAATACCTAAATAGAATCCAAAGTCTTAGAAAAAAGACTCTAAATTTTAAACTAAATCTAAATCCACTCATTCTAAAAGTTTAAAATGATAGTAAACTTGATAAGATTATGAATTGATATAATATAATTAAATAGATATATCCTAAAAACTTCTCTTTCTGATATAAGTAATATTTATTGTCTTTTTAGTAAGGTATGTTTTTATTGGTTCTTTCCTTTAAAAAAATCATATGTAATTAAGAAAGTTCTTAAATTTGAATAATGACATAAATATTGTATAAAAATGATTTTAAAATTCTTCCTAAAAGAAATTAACTTATCTTTTATCATAAGATATTCAGAGTAATTGAAAATTTTCATTCTCAAATTCTCTATATTTACTACATAGTTTAGGCTTATAAAAATATGTTATATTAATTAATTCAAATATCTGAAACTTCTAATTAGTCATTTACATATGATTTAATTTTTAGAATCCATTTTATCATAATGAGAACTTATTAAAAAGCAAAATATTTAAACATAAAAAATATTAATGTTAATATTATTATGTTATGAATAGATTCAAATAAATAATGATAGTGTAGATTGTATATTATGATTTTGTATTTTAAATAATTGTCATCATTATTAATAAAAAGATTAATAATGAGAGAAGAAATTTATTTGATAAAGAAATTATATCAAGATAGTTATTTTATATTAATCCTATTAAAGAAAGAAAATGATAATCGAAGAAAATCAAAAAATCCCTGAAAATATATCTTAAATAATCTCAGCTAAAGAGTAGTATTTATCAGCTACTAAGTAACTAATTGAAATGTTCGAGAGAAAATTAAGCATGATTTAAAAGGCAAAATAACCAAAATCTCTGGCTGCTTAAATTTATGAAGTTTAATTATTGTGTAAGTAGTAAGAATAGGATTAATAACTAAAAAATTAAGATGACTTTAATATCCAAAGTCTTGATATTCTAAAATACCATAAGACTTAAAAACTAAATTAAATTATTTAAACATCATCAAGAAAAGTCTATAAATGTTATTGTCATAATAAGTTATTTAAAACACCTTAAGAATTGGGAGGACATTTGAAATCCAGAAAAAAACATGTGATTCGAGAAAATACAATTGAATGATTTCAAATTATTTATTTATGTAAAATACTAATATTTTTTAAAGAGTTCTTGAACTATATATTATAGGCTGTAATTTGAAATACTAAATTAAAATAAATGATATTTCTAAATCAATCACTCTAAGTTATCTAAATTTTAAAGTATTTTATTACTAAATTTGGAGATTTTCAATATAAGTCTAAATTATTCTTAAATTTGCAAGTTCTCTTAAATGTTAATTTAATAATGCTATAATTCTCTCCTCTTTATAATTTTAAAGCATCAATATTAAAGTGATGAAAAAATAGTAGTTTCTCAAATTAATCTTTATGAAACATATATATAAGCCTTCTATCTTTTACCTTCATTATCTTAATTCTTGTGTTTTGAATTAAATTTAGATATTTATAAATATGGGTTCAAAATCAATACACTTTGTTAATAGACCTATAATTTTTCTTTGGTTCAATATTTGATTATTTATATAATATTCTATGTTATTATTATCTCATATTGAATTATCAATATAAATCTTTTAATGTAGAAATATTTTTTATTTTGTCAATTAAATTATGAAATAAAAACAAAAATTTTTTATATGGATATTAAAATTTCTTAGATTATCTTTTAACTAAATTTTATTAATATATTATAATATTTTATTATTATAAATCATGTTTGAATATTTGAATTATAGAAATTTAAATCCCCAATTATATAAGAAACTTAATTTTTAGTTAGAAAGTTCTTCATTTACAAATTAAAAATTTCTACTCCATTGATTTCTTATTCTAATAATTATCTTTATATTTCTATTCATATTCAAACATCCTCATGTAAATAGAAAATATTTTCAACATTATATAATCAACCATAATAATATATGATTTTAAATTAGAATTATCAATTCTTAAATTTAAGTTCCTGTTTCTCTTTTTTCTATTTAAGAGAAAATTGAATTTTTTTTAACATTTTTATAATTATTATAAAAATTGAATAATCAATTATATATCAATTAGCTTATTTAAAAAAGAGATAATAAATTATTATTTACTTTATTGACTTTAATAATAATAAAATTATTAATCAATTCAATTAACATTCTAAATAACAATACTAGACATTACTAAACTCATTCTTGTATTTTGGATTTCATATCTTATTGTTCTTCCATTTCCAATTATTTTTTTATTAAATTTTTCAAATCTGACATCTCATTATATATAATTTTATAATCTCCTCCTTCTCTTTTAAGTTAAACTCTTTTTTTCCACAATCTAAATTTCTTTTAAATGTAAATTATAGCCACCATATCTCCACTATTAAAACTAGTTGGTTTAAATTTGCTAGTAGAATCTTTCCTTTAAAGATCACCTAATTAAATCCGTAACTTTTATTACACAGTTTTGTCAGTAGGTTCCAAACTAATATTATTATATAATTTCATATTACTTGGTAACCCCATATTTAAGGGTAACAGATATTTTAGTGAGAGAAAGTATGACATCATGAAATTGATAACAAAGCATATTAGAATCCTTTGATTCGTAGATAGGTATATTCAAAACTTTAAGAAAGTTTTTCTTATTGTTTACATCTAATAAATCATCTTATGCTACTCCAAATATTATTGCTATTTCAGAAGATAACTTCCAAAAATCCTTGTAATTGATTAACCCTTTACCTTCAGGATCATAATTTCTCCATAGTGATAATACATCATTCAATTAATATTTACTTACTGCAGATTCTTCACTCTTAACATGTTCTTCATATGCTCCAAGTACAGATGCAATAAGTAAATTTAAAATCATCAATGAAAATATCAAATGGAAAGAAACAAAATACAAATAGGCATAAGGTGTGCCACATCCATTAAATCCATACTTTTAGAAATCATCAAAAGTTGACATATAATTACATGCAAAATTTGGCTATTATTCATGTAAAGTATCAACCATAATGAACCACCAACTTTCTGAACTAGCAACTTTAATAAGGGAAAACATTGCAGTTGAAAATTTACGAAAATGTTAATCCCATCCATTTAGATTTGATTGATTTCTTATGAATGCAAACATATCCATTCCAAGTGTTGTATAAATAAATAAAAATATAAACATAATGAAGAGCATAGATAATGAATTGGGAATTACTGAGAAAATAGATGAAAATAGCTTCTCTAAATTATTAAAACGCCTATCTATTAAATTATTTATACTTTATTATTCTGAAATTCCTTTATAATTAAAAAGCAATTGATATTGCATTAGAAATTCTTTTGAAATAAAAATTATAATCTTCATGATTACGAATAAACAAATTTGCTATTGCCCACCAAATTCCAATACTATCCATAATGTTAGAATTATCTTTAAAATATAAACTCTTATCTTTTGCCAAAAATCTACAAATAATTTCAAATGCAAAAATAAAAACAAAAACACTATTTATAGAATCCAATATTTTATTGTAATCATCACCTACATTTTAATCAGATCGTTAAAAATACATTGATAATATTATTGTATTACAAAATATGATGATTAACCAAAATATTTTAAAATACTTTTACTTCACTAATTAAAATAATATTTTCCTAATAAAATTAGATGGCTTTTTAGATTTCACTAAAGGTTACATATTATATATTTGCATCTTTATTTAAAACCATTCTCTTTGAGTTTCATCAAGTAAATGAAAATTCTAAGCCTTCATCTTTGCTTCTTGATAAGCATTCACAATAAGACCAATAAACATATTTAACAAGCATAGATTACCTAAAAAGAAGAATAACTAAAAATATAGAGCATATATTCTATTATAATTCTATATTGGTTAATGATCTACATCTACAGCATTCCAAGCTTATTATACTAATGGTATCCAATTTTCAGATGTGGCTGTACAAAATAGAGTCAAAATACTTTAAAAAATTGTATCAAATGTTAATATTTAATTTACCCATGATCCCCCATAATCAAAACAATCCTCTTTTTTAACAATAAAATCTTTATAAATACTATCATAAGCATCACAATAATAAAATGTCCCTTTCAATAATTTTAGAGCCAAAACTCCATATATTGCTAATAATATTAAACAAAATATTGTTAATTATATCATCTATGTAAAAGCATTTAATAATGATGCTTAAGCATATGCTATATTTTTAGAAAAGACTGCTCCAATCTATATAAATTATAAAATTCTTAGAGATGTTACAAATTTACTTAATGGATGACTTATATCAAAAATTAATGTTATTAAATCTACTATGGTTATCACAAATGCAAATATATTATAAATTGATTATCTAAAGAATGATTATTCATTCTTATATAATCCAAAAGCAATGCAATTTAAAAGAATCACCAAAATATAAAATACAGTTAAAAATATATATCCAACCTACAAGATAAAAGAAATATCTGAATTAGGATCTTCCAGAGGACTTAATAGAGCAATCCTTATACATGTTAGTAAAATTAAGGCAAAATTAAATATTCTAAAATAGATATTAGTAACTAAAGAAGTTACTAACATTCTAAAATCAGATTCAGGAGCAAAAATGAAAAGAGTTTTCTCTGAATTTTCTCTGCGCATTGATTTTCTAATATTTTAATTCATTTTTCTTGATGAAGAAGGATCATTAACTTGACATGGAGATTTAATATTTTCATGGTCATTAGATTCATCATCCATTTCATTAATTTCATCTTCTATATTATGATCTTTAACATGATCATCTGAAGCATCTTTTTTTTCTTCTGGTTTTCTCAAACAATCAATTATACTCTCCTTATTAGCTATAATTTATATATGAAATATATATACATAAAATATTGGTGGGAGTCTAGACTTTATATTCAATTAAGTCACTATTAGCATTAATATTGTCTTTTTGTGCTTTTAATTCATAGAAAAGTGAAAGTTTTCCATTTTTCTTAGAATCATTTGATTATGTTTATACTTATGCTTTTTATTATTATTGATTAGCTGTATTGATATTTTATGTAATACTATGTATTTTGGCTCTTTATCTTTTTTTTAATACTGAAACAAAAAATCCAACAGCATTTTTATAATATTATGTAAAATTAATAGGTTTAATTTCTTATTCTATTTTTTTAAGTTAAGTACAAAATTCATTTAAAAATACTGCTAATAATAATCTAACAAATAGAATTTATCCTAATAATATAATAAAAATATGATAAAAGAGTGAAACCCATATTTTCTCACCATATAATAACATAGTTATATGCCATTCTTCATTATAAAATATATTAGTAGCAGCCATAAAAGAATTACCTAATCCTTCATAATTAATAGGTGCTGATATACCATTAATTGAATCTACTGGTTAATATGATCCATTCTCTAATTGTTCAAATCTTACTTTATATGCTAAAAATTCTTATCCAAAAAGTGAAGTAACTAATATTATTATTATAAATAATAAGATCATATCTTTAATTTTAAATAGAGTTTAGATTAAACATCTTGCTAATACACTAATAGAGTAGAATACTCTAGCAATATATAGTAATTTTATCTAATATATATTAATAACATACTAAACGAAGCATTTTAAATGCTTTAATTAAATTAATATATCTATTTGCATTAATAATTATTGATTCATCAAAAAAAAATAAGACCACAATCAAAATTATCTAAGATATAATTACAAGTGAATCAAATATATCAATAATTTCTTTAAATTATTCAGCTAAACCATTTCCCCATAATGATATGATGAATTCAAATATAAAATACAGAATACATATGAAATCAATGATTAATAAATTTTCATAACTTAAAAATAGAGATGAATAAATTTACCTTGATTTACTTATTCCATGATGATCAGAAACTATTACAATTGCAGATATAACTATTACAGCACAATTTAAATATTTAAATGTATTTGATTTTGCTATTATAGTTGAAATGTTTAAGAATTTCTAAAAATGTTCTGATAAGAAATTCTGTTAATCTTCTTCATCTTAGTAATATAGAGATATTTAATATTTCTTTTTAGAATTTCTTTTTTTTGATTTTTAATCATTTATTTATGCTAATCTAGTCATTATTTATTGTTATTTCTTTTTCATTATTTCATTTTCTATTACTTCTTTTTCATTATCAAAGCTTTTATTTTACTTTATTGTACTCAATACTAAAAATGATTCATAAAATGAAGCCAATAATAAATTTGATAATAGATATGCCCTAAAAATAATCATAATATAAATACAAAATAAAAATTAAAGATACAAAATAAAATGCAGTAATATAAGTAGTCATTGCTCTCCAAAACATAAATGTTGTTCCTGACCACCCTGTGACATTTAAGAATGTAAATACAACAAATAAAGAATAAAAGAAATCATCAAAACGAATAAACCCAAAACCAAATTATTCAATAACATTTTCTGTCATATTCCTAGGTAAATTATAATCTGCTAATGAACCACAATATGAGTTATCTGAACATTCCCATATACCACATAAGAATTTTATATCATCTACTGCTTTCCATTCTTCATTTATTGGTGTTGGAGTCTCTCTACATCTATATTCTGTTATTCCCATAAATAAATGTAAACCGATTATGCTATAGTATAAAACTACAAATAACAAAGGTATCAATATTGGACCTAATCTAGAAAAACTTCCAATAAAGGCATCAAATTGTTTCTTTAAAATTTTTGAATCTTGTATTAAACGTAAAGTTCTAAATAATCTTATGACCCTAAGAATATGAATCAATTGATTCTCACTTTTAATGTCCCCTAATATTGACCAAGTAGCAATGAATGTAAGAAAATTTACAACATTCCACCAAGATTTTAAATAAGCATTCTTTCCTAACACAAAACCCTTTATTATTATTGATCCAAAACATTCTAAACCAAAAATAATGTTACAAAATATCTCTAATGTTATTGAAATTCTATTTCTATTTTCATCTTCTTAGTTAATTCTTGATTAATAATCATATAGGCAAACTGCTATGATATTCAAAAATGTGATAAATCGGATAACTTAAAGGAATAACTTCTCATTAAATGATTTATATAAACTCATTCGGAAAGGGTTATCTGATTTAAATAAAAACAAAGAGTTATCTGCAAACTAGACAATATTTAATTTTAATTTACAGGCCATTAAGCATCGTTTTATAAAAGATCATCTTCTATTGTTTCTGGATTAAGATATTACATAGGCTTTTTCATCTTAATCTCTAATAGTTCTGGCTTTGCAATAATATTGTTCCAATTAAAGATCTCATTTTCACAATTAATGAAAGAATTCAATCTTAAAATTGTTTATTAATGAATAGCTTCATCTTATCTCGACTTTGGAAATGTCAAGCATTCTACTCCTATAGATTTTAGAGTTTTAGACATTATTTAATATAATATATAATATCTTCAAATCAGTTATCAAAAACTATAGTTTTTAGAATCTATCATATAGAAAGATAATTTTAGTATTAGTTTCATAGATTCATATTTACCAATGTTATGTCATTCTATTTTAATTTAAGTTGTGTTCTATTTTTAAATATGGCTATAGTATTTGAAGATTGATAGTCATCCTTCCTTTATAAGTATTTGATTTATTATTTGCAACTCTCAATATTGAATCACATATGACTAGGGTTTATATCGTAGTATCATGTTTTAAATTCTAATTCCATTATTAGGGTATGCGTTATTAAAAAATTTTAATTAATATTTTTAAGTCTTAATTCATAAAAAATGATTATTTTTATTATAAAACAATTTTTACATAACTTTTTATGTAATATAGATGAGTCATTAATTTAAGATGCTTTAAATTAAACATCATTTCTAACACTTTCTGATTATGTCAAATGTTTGTATTTTTGTATTTATAAATTTTCATATAAATATTTAGATGTAAAACACTTTTATCTATATATTTTAATTTCAAGTAAATTATAAATTTAGTTATGTATTAATTAATAAATATTTATATATCTCTTATGAAACTACTAATTAGAATATTTATATTTTTTTTTAATTATAGACAATTGAAAATACATTAAATTAATGAAATATATCAAAATATTGTTTATTTTAATAGGGAGATGATATGATAATATTTATTGAATTAGTAATAAATCATATAAATAATCAAATTATTAATTGTAATTTATGAAATCTTAATGAATTTGATTAATTATCATATTAATATAATGTTAGATTAAAAAAAGAGAAATCAAATATTTATATATTATCTACATCTGAAATAATAATAAATCTCTTTTGAGAATATATATTTAAATGTAATCATAATTTATTTTAATCAACATTATATTTAAATTGAAATCTATTTTGAAAATTTTTCAATTTGAAGTANATTCAATCTTAAAATTGTTTATTAATGAATAGCTTCATCTTATCTCGACTTTGGAAATGTCAAGCATTCTACTCCTATAGATTTTAGAGTTTTAGACATTATTTAATATAATATATAATATCTTCAAATCAGTTATCAAAAACTATAGTTTTTAGAATCTATCATATAGAAAGATAATTTTAGTATTAGTTTCATAGATTCATATTTACCAATGTTATGTCATTCTATTTTAATTTAAGTTGTGTTCTATTTTTAAATATGGCTATAGTATTTGAAGATTGATAGTCATCCTTCCTTTATAAGTATTTGATTTATTATTTGCAACTCTCAATATTGAATCACATATGACTAGGGTTTATATCGTAGTATCATGTTTTAAATTCTAATTCCATTATTAGGGTATGCGTTATTAAAAAATTTTAATTAATATTTTTAAGTCTTAATTCATAAAAAATGATTATTTTTATTATAAAACAATTTTTACATAACTTTTTATGTAATATAGATGAGTCATTAATTTAAGATGCTTTAAATTAAACATCATTTCTAACACTTTCTGATTATGTCAAATGTTTGTATTTTTGTATTTATAAATTTTCATATAAATATTTAGATGTAAAACACTTTTATCTATATATTTTAATTTCAAGTAAATTATAAATTTAGTTATGTATTAATTAATAAATATTTATATATCTCTTATGAAACTACTAATTAGAATATTTATATTTTTTTTTAATTATAGACAATTGAAAATACATTAAATTAATGAAATATATCAAAATATTGTTTATTTTAATAGGGAGATGATATGATAATATTTATTGAATTAGTAATAAATCATATAAATAATCAAATTATTAATTGTAATTTATGAAATCTTAATGAATTTGATTAATTATCATATTAATATAATGTTAGATTAAAAAAAGAGAAATCAAATATTTATATATTATCTACATCTGAAATAATAATAAATCTCTTTTGAGAATATATATTTAAATGTAATCATAATTTATTTTAATCAACATTATATTTAAATTGAAATCTATTTTGAAAATTTTTCAATTTGAAGTATTATTTATAATTGATAAATAAATATTTCAGAATTAAGAAGTATAAATTTATGAGATTATTTTTTGATGTTAGTTATACTGATTCATATGAATTGAATCCATAGTCGTCTATCATTGTAAAGTCTACTTTGATTAATTAAAATGTTGAAATCTATGCTAAATTTAGGTGAATTAAAATGTTTATTTGTATATTTTCATATATATTATTTTTACTTTTAATAAAAGAATATGGAAACAAGAGCTAAATCAAAAAACTGCTTTGTTATCAAAACTAACTTTACTTAATAATTCTAGTCTAATCCCTCTCCAAAATAACGTAGCCAAAGATATTTTACTAAAGTACCCATAAAAAGGGATCAAAAGTAAGGACTCTTAAAATTACTATCACTTAATGAAATACAATCAAACTTAGAAATGTATTTTAGAATGTTATTTATTTATTAGATAAAAAAGAAGTCGAAGTTCTGAATCTACATATGAAGGAATATTAAATAAGAGATGTTAATTTATATTTTTAACTTTTACTCATTAAAAAACAAAATACTATAGACATTAGTTTTGTATTAAAATGTGGAGAAAATTGATCCTTTGTGTTTAAGCCATTCTTTTTATGTTCAAAGTGGCATTAGTTGAATATAAGATAAGAAGTAGTTCACCACCAAAAATGTCAATTTGTCATTAATTGATACATCACCATCCCTATCCTGAAAGTCCTTCAAACAGAAAAAGAAAGAAGAGTTCAAGTGTAGAAACCAAAAATAGAAATTATAGTTTTGGTGAAAAGATTCAAACCTTGATTCTTCTATAAAAATTGAAGTCTGATGCTTAAAAAAATAGTACTTATCTAAGACAGATGAAAAACTAAGATATAAGATTAACTCGCTTGATAAGTTAAAAAGCAGCCAGCACTCACTCTCTACATATCAATTCTCTCCATACAACAATTGACAATTCCAAGTAGTTACCTGCAATTAATAAATTGGAGTATTTTGAAAGGCCCTTCATAATTTCATCTTAATCAAAAAAATTTTCTCTAAAAATAAAGAAAATACATTGAAAAAACATTACTCAATATTTAATTGTACATTATCTTATTATAATATTTCAATAGCCCAACTTCTCTAATTCTGCATTGATGCTAGTAAGTTCTTTAGCTCCAATAGCCTTTCTTCTAAGATTTTCTCTTGCAATTTTTCTCTTATAATATGCTGTTCCTCTAATAAATTAATTTGTTAATAATACCTTTATTTTCTCTTCTCTTCAAGTCTGTTGACAACTGCTTATGAATTCCATCCGACTGAAGCGCATAAATCACCTAAAGTGCAAAAGGGTCTATGGTTTTTGAGTCTGATCAATTTAAGGGCATCTGGAACAACTTATCTCTTTCTAGTGTCATAAGGAGGGGGGACACCTTCAAAGATCTTTAATCTTTCAAGAGCAGCTGCGCCTCTCTTTGATTTGTATTAAAGCATTCCTCTAACAACCTTCCAAAAGCATCTTGATGGTGTTCTATAGTGCTTGTATCCTCTTCTTGGATTGAAAGCCATTCTCTTATTCAAATATTCTTCGAAGATGACTCTATTTCTAAAGAGAGATCCTTTAATTATTAAAATCGCTTACCAGATTGTTAAATCAATTCAGCTCTAACAACAACTATTCTTTATCCTCTTTACAATTCTTTGGCAATATATGAAGCCAATCTACCAAGTAAATGGCCTTTTCCATCAATCACTATTTCCTTCTCAAACATTTAATTTTAAATAAATTTTCAAAATGATTTTTATATGATAAAATACTTAGCATTCATGAAGACAATTCTTTATCAGAAATACTTAATTCTATTTCTCATATTTAATTAATAAATTAAAGCAGATTCACATCTCCATATAACAATCTAAATTACTCTTTCTACTCATTACTCAATTAAATAAGTTTAGTAAATTATTCCTCCATATTTTAGTAATTAATAACACTAATCACACTTATTTTTGGTCCAAATTTTCCACTAAATGCCCTTCCAAGTTTTGATCGAGTGCTTGCAAAGATAACCGGAATATTTTTATTGAAGCATTCTTTTAAAACCTTCAAGATTTAATGATCTGGCCCATCTGAAATTATACTTTTTTTTATTTACTTTTAATAGGACACTCTTAAATGCCAATTGGTATAATTATTAATTTTGCTGATTTTTCAGGTAATGTATATTAAATACTTCTTAAACATTCTTTTATTCCTGCCACAATTCTCTTTTTCAATTTTTTAGGTTCAATTACTTTCTTTTTTGCTTACATAAAACTAAGTTCATTAATGAATTACAATGCCATATCATCCAATTCTTTACTAGGAATTTAAGTAATCCAAGGTCTTATTTACATATTATTATATTTTTCTTTAGAATAAGGATTGATGATAGATAACTAATTTAGAATAGCAATTAATTATTAATCATCATTTTTAATTTGATCTTCATCAACTGTCTCATAATCAGGATCATTAAGATTATCCCATATTTACTTTGCTTTTTAGATCTTTGATAACTTTTTCTTTTTCATTTCTTACTAAATAATTTAGACATTATTATTCTCATCTAAAACATAACCAAACTATTTTTTTTTTTCTCTTCTCACATATTATTTATATTAAATTCTTAATTCCCTAATTAATTAATTAATTTTCTTCATTCCTAATAAATTATTCCTTTTCTACTTTTTCTCCTTTAATTTTGAGAATTTCTCCATTCTTTTTCTTTACTCTAACATTCTTTATCCCTTAATACGTTCATCATATTCTGCTTTCTTAATTTAATATTCTTTCTCTTACTTATGAAATTCCTCATACTCTTTTTGAGTATATGTCCAATAGCCAAGTTTTGGATCTAATGTTAATATTAATTAATATACCTAAAACTAATTACTTAGGTTCTTCTGGAGGTTCTATTACATCTTATTTTACTTCTTTCTTTTAATTCTTCTATTCTATTTTTTATTATTCTATTTTATTATCTTTTGGTAATTTTTCAATCTTTTATGCTTATTTTTATTGTTAATCTAGTTATTGTTTTTATTAATTATCCTTATTGCTTTTAATTTACATTTTTTTATTTTCATTCAATACCTTCTTTTTTGGCTATTCATATTGCTTCTTATAATGAATCTAATTATAATTCTATTAATCATAATGATAATAATTGTGATCATTTTAAAATTAATCTATTCCATAATTGCCATTGTTATAATCATACTAGAAATCTGTATTTTAAGATGGCTAATTATTATTCATTTATGGATCAATTATTTCACAAGAAAATGCATTTGCATTCAAGTTGAGCTTTTTTCTTTATTGCATATAATTATTTATTAATAAATAATGAAAGGACCTAAATATGTAGAATAAGACATAATAAAGAAGGTTTGTTAAGCTGAGTAATTCCAATAACATAAATTTAAATTGATTAATACAAGGTCTGATCCATATTTATCAAGAAGAGTATCAAATATTATTCATTTAAGCATGTTTTATAAGACAATGATAAATACTAATAAATACGTGCAAATAAATTCTATACTAAATTATAAGTGGATTTATAAAAGGAGTAAAGATTATTCAAGGAAAATGCTAAAATTCTTAATCGAATAGTAGATATTGGAAATTAAAAAACTTACTCATCTCTTCCTAAAAGATCACTGACTAGATAAAGTTCTGCCAATTCAATAAAGTCTCTTAATTTATCTTACAGAAAGAAAGAGGCATTGAAAATAGTTGGAGAAAATGAAAAATTGATGCAGCGGTTATAGAGAACTCCTTCTACATTTAGAAATAAAGAAACTTTTCTTAAGGATTACAAAAAGTTAAAAATTTATTATATTTTTATAAGGACTGTGGAACTCAAGAATAGAATCTCTAAATATTCATAGCAAAATCAATAAAAGATGGGAAAAATTGTTTAGCGATTAACCAAAACAACAACAAATCCTAAATTTACAAAATCCAACTAAAGTAAAACTAGTGCCCCATCCTATAAGAATTCTGCTTTGTCTTAATTACGCATTGAACCTGATAGGTAATAAAAGAAACTATAGTTTCCAAGAATAAAATGAATAATAAAATTTATATAATTGTTTTTCTAATTCCTTATCAACAGAATTATCTCTTAATAACAGCTAAAATGTATTCAGCATCCTTGGGATCTGTACTATTAATTTTCAAATCTAATGATCCATTTGAATTGTAACAACCATATATAAGGATACAACTCTTATTTTCTGCATTAGCACCAGCACAAATAATTTCCTAATCTATTACTTCAATAACCTTAAAAGAATATTAAGAATTAGTATTACATTAATATTAATAGTTTAGATCATTCTTTTAAAATCCTATTCTGATTTAATCTTACTTTACAAAGTGACTTCTTTGATATTTTAATTTCTTTCCCATAGTTATTCATATTGATCAACATTAATATTTGCTGGTATATATGATCTTAATTATTATTATTATTAAGGAATTGGCTATGCCTAAACTGGAGAAGATTATGACCATTATTATTATAAAGGTTGTTATTATTAAGGTTGCTATTATGAAGGAACTACTGATTTTTGGGTGATAATTTAAGGCTATTAGACATATACTTAAGGAACTACTATGTTGGGTTATTTAGTTGGCAAAGGATCGTCAATCTCCAATAAATTTAAAACTTAAGCTGGTGGTTTTTATTACAATGTTTATGTTTGATTAGCATTAGGATTAGGATTTGCATTCATTGGTTTTTGTGCAGTCATTGCTGTAATTCCTTTTTTCTAAGTTTATCTAATATATAAATAATTATCATTACTAAGGTTATTGTTATGTTTAGGAAATGGGAGCAAATAATTGATTTGCTAATTTTTATTTCTCCTTTAAATTTGGATCTTCTTTTTGAGGTAGAGGTTTCACAGGTGGAATATAATTGTTTTAAGTTTGATTTGCATTCACTCCCATTTATCCACTTCCCATAGATTGCATAGTAGTTTTAGTTGTTGTTTAACCACTTCCATTACTTCCCATTCCAGTTGTTGACCCTATAGCCATCGGAGTTGCAATGACTGGTTTTGGAGCAGGTGGTTACTTTTGATTGTAACCTGTATCATCCCAAGGTCCTGCTATAGTTGGAGCTGATGAATTCTAATTTGTTATTTTATTTTCTTCAGTTCCGAAAGTACCAGTCTTGACACCTCCATATTTATTATCACTATAAGGTCCAAAATTAAGGGAAGGTGCTTCTGCTGCTGAACCTAAGGCAGCTGCTTTAACTTATAATGAAGGATTATATGGTTAAGCTCCACGTAATCTTTCTTATTAGACATAAGCATCTAAGAATGACATTTTGGGATCCACAGTAATAAATTGAGAACCTTTAAGGGCTGCATTAAATTTAGCAAGAGTAAAGAAATCAATGGCTCTTTATTAACAATCTAAATGTTTTGATTGCATATATTTTTAAAAGATAGCTCTAGTTTAATCAAACATTTAAAATGCTCTTGCAGATTATAATTTAGCCAAACATGTTAATATCCATGATATAGTTGTTTCAGATTCTAATTATGAATCTAATTTCATGATTACTAATTAAGTTAATTCATTTAATTTATTTGGATCTTAATCATATATTTATGAACCAATTTCACCAATGACCCAACAAACAATTTTCAATATATTATCTTACAAATCATTTTTTAATAGATCAGAATATATTTCAGTGATGAATACACCAAATTCAGTTCCAATATCATTAAAATTATCTATTAATAATTTAAAGAAATTATTTCTAACATCATTATCTATAAATTCAGAACCAAATTCAAATAAAGTATTAGCTGTTTTAATAAACCATTCTTAAGTAGGTGCATGTTTTTCATTTAATAAAGATATTTTAACAAACAAATCCTTTTTAAAATTAGAATCTGAACTTGTTTTAAGAAAATGAATTAATTTTTGAATAATGACTTCACAATTTTATTCATTTGTCATTTTAAATAGTAATTCTAAAGTTTCTTTTTTTAATGTATCATCATTAGATTCTAAACAATCAACAATTGTCATTTAATGTTCTAATACATATTTTTATGAAATTGAAACAATCTAAGTTAAAGCATTAATTCCTAAATATTTTAGATTATTGTTATCAGATTTTAAAAATCTAGATACAGAATTAGCTGCTTATTCAAGTAAACTTTATTAAGGATAAATCCCACTAATGCATTTAACACATTAATAAGTAACAGCATAACCTATATTAATTGTTGTGTCATCAGCTCTTCTTAAAGTTGATCCCAAAACTTCATAAATTTATTCACTAACTTTTAAATCATTAGCTCCCAAAAGAGTAAGTATTTAAAGTAACTTAATTTATAACCAAGGAGCAGGAAATCTATGATAATCATAATCCTATATTATATTAATATATTAAAATTTTACTTTATGTAGTTTATGTTCTATAATTTATTTTAACATTGAAACAAAAGTACCTGTTAATGGTTTATATTTATTAACAGCACCTTTCTTTAATTCTTCATGATACAAATTGAATGCTGCTCCCATAACACTTGGTTCTTTATCTTAGATTCCTCTTCTGATTCTATCATCATAATCTTATTCTGTAATACAATCTTAATTCAATTATCTAATAATTTACATCACCATTAATGCCTAAAATCATATTATTATTCAATTTACTTTCTTTCTAACAATATCAGTATTATGAGTCAATAATTTTAATACAGGTTCTGTCAATGCATTCACAAAAGTCTTGCTTATCAATTTTCCTACAGCAGTAAGAGCATTGACTACAACATGAACATTTGTTGATGCTAGATCTTTTTGGAGTGTGGCCACCAATAAAATAAGTAGCTCGCTATCATTATCCAAAAATAAGGAACAACACAAATAACCCAATCTCTTTAGTGCTAAATTCTTGGATTATGTGAGATGTATAGCATTGATGTGTACAAAAGATGCATCATGACTTTATACTTCACTTTTACATTTTACCCCAACATTTCAATATAAATTGCTCTAATAAGCATTTCCTTCACTTTTTTTGGTGGCATGTTCTTCTCATTAAGTTTAGTCTTTAATTATTGAACTTCTTTTATGATAATTTTGTCTTCCTCTTATTTACTACGAGTCTCTCCTATTGATTTGATCAGATCATGTAATTCTTTGCTTAAATGTGATCCCGATGACATCCCAAAAATTAATAAAATATATTTTTTAAAATCTCAATTATTTTCTAATATGTAAATCATTTTTGTTCTATATTCTATACCTTTTTGTAATTAGATTTATTTTACTCACATAGATAGATCATTTCTTATAGAAGAAGACCATTTTCTTATTAAAAATATTAAAAAATAATGAACATCCATATTATACTATACTTATTGTGATATTATCTCATTTTAAGGCTGCCAAGAATTCGCTATGTTCTTAGAATGGTGTTGATTCTAATTTGGTATGGCCCCAAAGATCTGGGGTAAGGAAATTATAGGTCTCTTTAAGGGCATGGAAGGTTGCCTTCAAGAAGTTTGATCTTGTTCTTGTGCTTCCTTTGGATTGAGTATAGCAATCTTGGATACCAGCCATTTGTAACACTTTCTTGGAAGTGATGGCTGCAACTATACCAGTACCTCTGGGTGCTGGAACTAATCTAACTCTGACTGATCCTTCCTTTCCTGTAACTTTGCATGGGACAGTGTGTGGTTAGGCAATCTTATTTCCCCAATATCCTTTTCTAACTGGAATCAAATTAAGTTTGGCATTAATGACTGCTCCTTTAATAGCTCCTTAAACTTCTTTGGCTGATTTCCATCCCAAACCAATGTGTTGGTGATTATCTCCAACTACAACATAGGCCTTAAATCTTGTTCTTTATCCGGCACATGTTTGCTTTTAGACTGGACCAAGAGCAAGTGGTTCTTCTTTCAAATTCTTGAGGAAATGATCCACAATTTGATATTCTAAATTATATTACAATAAATTGATACCCTTAATTGGAATAGAGAATTAGAAAATAGTTTCAAGACTCTTAATTTTACCAGCCTTAACTAATCTTCCTAATTTAGTCAATGGGGTCCACTCTTATTCTCCACCAAATCTTCTGGGACCTCTATTTTATCTTGGGGCTCCTCCTTCTCTTCTTTCTCTTTATCCTCTTCCTCCTCTTCCGAATCCTTTCTTCTCAGCTTAGGGTGCTTATTCTTATTCTGGAGCGGGTGGTGCTTATTATTACTCCTATTCTGCCATTAAAATAAAAATCTTAATTTAAAAATTTGTTTTCAAAGTTGTACATACACATAAAAAAGTGCATAAAATAATTAATTAATGATAAGTTTTCTTTGATTAATCTTTGCAAAGATAATTAGGTATTTTTAATATAAATTATCAAGAAATGCTTATAAGTATCAAAAACAAAAGATAACATCATCATCATATCAAAATAAAAATTCTTTAAATCATTTAAAATTTTTAGATGAATTATTAGATAATATATTTTTATAAAGGATTGTCCATTATATATGGAAAATAAAATATTCCAATTATAGTGTGATAGACTGAATGAAGATTAGTCGATTTAATAGTTGAATTTTAATAATAATAAAATTTCAGAATCCAACATCAAAAACTATGTATCTGGAGAATAGGTAAACAAACAAAAAAATTATATTAAATATATATATAGACTATTAAATTCAAATTCTAAAGAAAAAAATAATTTTTTATATGAATAAAATGTATTTGATTATAATGACATACATTTATAGATATTTACTAAGTATTATTCTTGTGATCAAAATTTTGAATTAAAAGTTTCACCTTCTCCTAAATATGTAATACCATCAATTTTTCCGTCAGTCATTTAACGATTACAAGGTGTATCCTCTAATGTTTAAGGAGGNGCTGATTTCCATCCCAAACCAATATGTTAGTGATTATCTCCAACTACAACATATGCCTTAAATCTTGTTCTTTAACCTGCACAAGTTTGTTTCTAAACTGGTCCTAGTGCAAGTGGTTCTTCCTTCAAAGTCTTAAGGAAATGATCAACTATTTAATATTCTAAATTTTGTAAATAATCTAGAATTACCCTTGATGGGAATAGAGAATTGGAAGATTGTTTCAAGACTCTTAATTTTGCCTGCCTTTACTAATCTACCTAATTTAGTTAATGGTGTCCACTCTTATTCTCCACCAAATCTTCTGGGACCTCTATTTTATCTTGGGGCTCCTCCTTCTCTTCTTTCTCTTTATCCTCTTCCTCCTCTTCCGAATCCTTTCTTCTCAGCTTAGGGTGCTTATTCTTATTCTGGAGCGGGTGGTGCTTATTATTACTCCTATTCTGCCATTAAAATAAAAATCTTAATTTAAAAATTTGTTTTCAAAGTTGTACATACACATAAAAAAGTGCATAAAATAATTAATTAATGATAAGTTTTCTTTGATTAATCTTTGCAAAGATAATTAGGTATTTTTAATATAAATTATCAAGAAATGCTTATAAGTATCAAAAACAAAAGATAACATCATCATCATATCAAAATAAAAATTCTTTAAATCATTTAAAATTTTTAGATGAATTATTAGATAATATATTTTTATAAAGGATTGTCCATTATATATGGAAAATAAAATATTCCAATTATAGTGTGATAGACTGAATGAAGATTAGTCGATTTAATAGTTGAATTTTAATAATAATAAAATTTCAGAATCCAACATCAAAAACTATGTATCTGGAGAATAGGTAAACAAACAAAAAAATTATATTAAATATATATATAGACTATTAAATTCAAATTCTAAAGAAAAAAATAATTTTTTATATGAATAAAATGTATTTGATTATAATGACATACATTTATAGATATTTACTAAGTATTATTCTTGTGATCAAAATTTTGAATTAAAAGTTTCACCTTCTCCTAAATATGTAATACCATCAATTTTTCCGTCAGTCATTTAACGATTACAAGGTGTATCCTCTAATGTTTAAGGAGGAGGATTTACAACTCTCGTTGAATTTTTTATATTGCTCTTTTCAGCAAAGGATTTAAGTGGAGATACTTACATATGAATAACATCCCAGCTAATTGAATTAAAGAATGGGTGATTTTTAATTTCTTCATATCCTCCTTTAACACCTAAACGCTCTTTTGGGTCATTTTTGAGTAGTTTTTAAATTAAATCACATGCAGGTTGACTCATGGTCTTTGGATATGTAGGATCATTAAGTAAAATTTATTTAGTGATCATTTCTACTCTTCTTTATGGATCATTAAATGGTGGATAACCATTAATCATCTCAAATATAAGTATTCCTATTAATTATATAAATAGTTTATTACCAAGAGTCCATATATCAACTTCATAAGAATGACCTTATCTAGTTATGATTTCTGGTGCCAGATATTCAGGAGTACCAGCTAAAAGATATGATTTTTCATTATCTTTTCTTAAAGTTGCTAATCCAAAGTCTGTCAATTTAACATGTCCTGTTTCAGTCAACAATATATTTTCTGGTTTTAAATCTCTGTAAATAACTTTAAGTTTTGTGTTTAAATATTCAAGTGCTAATATTACTTCTGCTGCAACAAATCTTACAACATTTTCGGGTAATCCATTCTTTTTACATTTGATGACATTATAAAATTATCCTCCATTTATACATTCCATCACAAAGAATATATATTTTGGATTTTGAAATGCAAATTTCAATTTTACTATAAAAGGATGTTTGCTTTATTTTAATACATTTCTTTCTAAAACTGTGTTTGTTTCTAAATTGCATTCTCTGATTTTTTTAATCTCGATTTATTTCATTGCATATATTTTATTAGTGTCTTTCTTTTTCACTTAATAAACTTTACCAAATGCCCCCTACTTTTATTATTTATAATACTTGTCCAAGCATTCCTATCCTGATAAAATCATCTTGGCTTATCTGTTATTTTAATGGAGGTGGTGGGATAACTACTTAAACAGGTTACTTTTATGCACTGTTAGTTTGCAATTTGACTAAAATTAAACAGAATTATTACTTTTATCATCACTTATTGAACTAATAAACGATGTTTTTTAATCATGATTAGGACAACAATTTCCCATAACTATTATATTAATAATTCATAAAAATTTACATCTTTATTTGATTAATCCCTATTTCTTAATCTTCAAAATATTATAGATTCCTATTAAATTAAACCTTAATTAATTCTCAAACCAGTAGTTAAGAGTTGATGAATATAATTTAAAAGGATCTATCAAATTTAATTACAATTAATTTGAATGTTTTTAAGGATTAATAGTATATATGATATATCATAAATATGAACTAAACTTTTTTTTTGGATTTTTAGACTCCAAAGATTTCCAATAATTTTAATTAAATAATGTATTTACCCACATTTTACAAATTAGGATACGAAGCTTGGACTGCCAAGACTAAGAGATTTATGGGAATTATGCCAGCTGTTGGATGCTGGGGTATATTTTATATTTCTATGAAATTATAGCTGTCTGGGCACTCTACCCAAATCTTTACAACACATTATATACTGATTTCATTCCCCCTCCCAAAGGTAATTTTATGTTCTAAATGAAGGTGTCTAAAGAAGAGTATAAGATGCATGAGTCATTGATATATCATTATTTTTAAATTACGAACACAAAATACTTCTTAGTATTCTGACTTATCAAAAAATAAGTCAATTATTAAATTTTAATATATTTCCACAGTTTTTATTCAATATATTATATATATATTAATTCTAACACACTATCAACATTTCACTTATTTCTCTAAAAGACTACATATTCGTTAACCTATTTGAATTACATAAAATTTACCATGCAAAGTAGATTTCAGAGCTTGATACTCTTACTAATTCTTTATTAAGAAGTTTAAAATGGATTGTTACATTTGTTAATCGATTAAGATCAAAAATTTTTTGATCACATAATTTGCAAATTAATGATTTGCCAATTGGACAAAATTTGAAGCAACATAGGAGAACTATTGTTAAGCTTAACTTCTAAATAGTAACCAATTTAGAACAGTTATCAATTCAGGTTTACTTAAAGCCTCCAAGGCTCTTTCTACAGTATTACTAAAATTAGTTAAGATTTCTCACCTAGCATATTTATTAATGCTTAATTAATAAAACTGTTAGATTACAAGTTAGATTAGTCGAGTTTTCTCCGGAGAAACAATCCAAAATTATAATATGTGTTAAAGAATATAGTTTCCAAATTCTGTTTAACTTAAGACTGAATAATTAGAAATAGACTATTTGACAAGATTGGCAATATAATTGGGAGGATATTATTGGATGATTTTATGTATGATCTTGCATCCATAAATTTGTTGAGCCATATAATGAAACTAGAATAGATACATGATTTATATTTACAGATTCTTCTACAATGGGAATAAGAAATTCCATTTTAGATTTATCATAGGATTCAAGCATCTTGAATATGACATAATTTCCATTGGAATCGTAAATCAAAGATCTCATATTCTAAACCAATTAAGAAAGTATAGAATTCTAGATATCCTCTTTGCCTTACGAATACTCAATTAATTTCTGCATAACTCTACAACCAAAGGGATTCTTGGATAAATCATAAAAGTGAGTCTTTAATTTGTTGAACATTCTAGTTTTGAGTTTTATATCTCCACAACTATCAAAGATCTTTTGAACTACATAATTTCCAAAAACATCCTTCTAAATTTATGGACTTATTCTTTCTAACTTTTGGACTATCAATAATTATTATTCTGGTGTTCCAGATTCAATAAGCTTCTGCAATTTTCGAGAGATAATTTAATTTCCCCATAATGAATCCTAATGAAAAGTTAATTTAGTAATTACTATCAAACTTGAGATATAAATATCAGTCTCAATATCTGGTTCAAAGTACATTAAAGGACTTGCTTCGTTTGAGTGATAGACTCCCATTCCTATTACATTATCATTTTGTAGATCTTTGAAATATTATTCTTCATTGATTGATATCACTCTCTAAGATAGAATTTATTTATTTATTTCTTATATGGGTGATTCCTATAACCAAAGTTCTTTAATATATTTAAATTTTTGATCAACCAATGATTGATTAGAGTGAGGAGACGATTAACCTTCGTTTGACTTGTTTTTATTATTTCTTCTTATGAGCTCTTTCTACAAACTTAAACTCTGATGTTTCTTAAACTTCTCTTCTTGATCTATTTCATCAATAAAGTCAAGTATCCCACTATGTTAATTGGTGAGTGGATCTTATTTAGGAGAAGTATCTAATGTTAACTGCTCGAATTCGGATTGAAGAGAAATCGTAATCGGAGAGCTAATCTCTTCTTATCTTCTTTAGAAACATACTTACTTTTATTTACTAGGACTACAGGATTGAATTGCTGATTAATAATTCATATGAAAAATATATTTAAATATTATGTCGATTATATATATATACCAAATCATTATTTAGCTCCTTTGGGTTGACCCTAAATTTAATATAAATTTATACTTTAGAGCAAATATAAATATAATGAACATTTGGAGCATCTTTGTCTTCATTTGTGATAGCAATTGATGTTGAAATAGTAGGTTTATGAACTTATTTAACTATTACGTTCCTGCATTTTAATATATTAATTCATTTTACCAATCATATTCAGGTTTCTCAAGGTATTATAATCTATGCTCAGGTAAACCATATGAAATGATAAAGAAAACTCCTTTAGGCCCTAAGACTCTATGAACTTCTTGTATCACCTTCTAAGCATTTGAAGATGATGACTCACCACACTTAAAATCTAAAGAAATGATACTAAAATTGCATCCAAAGTTCCTTTATCTATTGCTCCATCAAATGATCCTTCTTCAAAATCCATTGCTCTTGCATCCATATGTAAATCTAATTGAAAACTGTTTTCATACATTTGAAATTTGGTCCTTTGTCTTTATACTTCTCTTACATTGCCTTAGTAACTACATGTGAGATATCAATATTTGTAATATTCTAATAACCTTCATCAAACATTTCTTCACTTAATCCTCAAATATTCAATATTATCATTACTTGAATTGCCTGCTCCAACATTAAGTAGCTTACTCTCAGGTGTGAAACATGCTTATACAAGATCTTTTACTCCTGCAAATCTTTGATACCAATCAAATGGTTCAGGATCCCTAACTGTAAAATCATTGACTTTACCTAGTGTATCGTTCTTCCCAGTATTCTGCTTTACCATATTGAGACATTTGAAATCAAAATGAATTCGAATTAATTATTAATGTTTCTGTGTTTCAAATTATAAGAATAAAAATATACATTTATGAAACAGTACATCATTATTCAAATAATATTACTCATACTTCTTTTATTTATTTAATTATTTTTATTAAGCCTAATATGTTACCCAATCGATAACCAGATTAGTTTGATTTATCCTAATTTTCAGATGAATAAATAATGGAATTCATAAAAAGCAATCCTGAAGTTCATAATAAATATTATATCTATAGCTAAAATAAAAATATGATCAATTTCTTTTCTAATAAAAGAAAGCCAATATTCAAACTAATCAACTTAAAACCAAGCCCTTAACAGATCCAGAATATTTAGTACTAAATTTATTCATAAATCCATTTTCAGAAACTCAAAGATATTTAAGAATATTTAGATTAAGAAGGTGGTATGATGATTGAACCAACACCTCATTTTGTACTCAAAGCCTTTGATCAAAATGGTGAAAAAGTCTTCTTTAATGTAACTTCTCATTCTGTTGTTGATGCTCCTGAAGAAAAACAACTTATTGATTATAACAATGAAGTTGGCATTAGAGTACCTATGAGTGTTGGAAACATCAAAGAGGATCATGATGTTAGTAATAATGTAAATCTAAATCAACATAGAAGGTGATACTTGCAAAGTCATTGATTTAATCATTAATCCAACAGTTGCCACCAATCTAACCTAAGATGATAATTTAAAAACTTTCTTTTGTTAACTTGTGTAAACTTATGTAGATTAAAAATACAAATTAAAGTTATAAGATAGTATTAATCAATTAATATCATTAGAATTTATCTCTCTTAAAATGAAATATAAAGGGAAAAGCATTTAATTTTAAAGAGTGAAGGGAAAGAAACCACCCAAGGTTGAAGTAATAGATGAAAAACCTAATTAATCCACTCCTCAAAATAATGATGATGAAGATGAAACAGAATAAAGTAAAAGCTATTAAAATCTATATAAGTAAGGAAAAGACAGAGAGAGGAATTTGAAAAATAATCAATGTCTTCTTAACCAACCAATTTTGTTATTTAAGAACCTGAATGGGAATTATATTTGATTTACCAGAATACAGAATAGGAATATGATGGAGATCTAGATTTTAATGCAATTAAATAATATCGATTTTAAATTCTCACTCCTCTTTTAATAACAGGAAAAGCTATCAAATTAAAAGTGGATGAAGATTAATTTTAAATGATTGCAGGCAAATTTTATAAAATTTCATTAAGATTTCCTTCAAAGATTAATAAATCTTCTGTTAAAGCTCTCTTTCTAACCGAAAAGCGTACTTTGTGGATATCTGCAGATGTATATTTTTTAATATTAATTTTAGGTTAAAAAAGAAAATGAAATAGAAGGAAATCAATAAAATAAGGAATAAGATAATGATTATCAAAATGGATAGTAATAATAGTCTAACAGTAATTATGATTTACAAAGTAATCTAATATTTGATATTGTTTGAATAATAATTAATAAAATTCCTATTTAAATAAAATTATATTTAATAATTTTAAGTAAAATTTAGATATATTGGAAATATAAATTTTGAATTAAAAGTAATAACTAAATGTTGTTAAAATGAATTATATATATCAAAAGGTTCTTTTGACCATAATGTTATAGAAGTCTTCTCTTGAAATATCTCTACCATTTGAAGCTGCTCTTTCTAACATTTCTGCAAGTTCTTCAGCTGCCATTGTTTCACCTAATTCTTTGGCCACCTAAAATATTAATAATATATTATACTCGTTTTAAATTATTTAAGTTAATAGTATTACTACCATCATCATCAAATAAATCAAAAATTTTATTGATTCCATCTCTTGTTTCTCTATTACCTAATTTAGAAGAGATGGCATCTAAGAACTAATCAAAATCAATTTCATATCCCTCATTTTCTAATTCTGCAATCATATTAAAAATAGTTGGATTTTTTTAATCAAATCCTAAACTTTACATAGCTGCCTTTAATTCTCTAGGGTCTACTTTGCCTGTACCTTCTGTATCAAATAAATTGAAAGCTTCTTTAATCTCTTCTATCTCATCTTCAGTCAAACCTGGTCTAAAAATTAATATACCCTAATTATTTACCTATCTTATTATTTACGACTGACTTATTGTTATTTACCAACTGGTTTTTAAGACACAGGAGCTTATTATTTCCTATTCATAATTGTTTTTTTAAATTTGAAAAATTAATTATTATTAAGTGAAACAATCATATTGCTTTATATTGAAGTTAAAACAATAAATAAATGAATTATAATCTATATATAAATAAATTAATTGGAAATATCTTAAAAATAATAAATTTTATGAATTTAATTGAAATTTGTGTATAACAGCATAAAGTTTGAGTGCATAAATGTTATATGTAAAATTATAAAGTAAATTTATAAAGTTTAATAATTCGTTTTTTTATTATAATTAATTATTATGTTGCTGATAGCAGCTTTATTACTATTAGGGACAGCTAAGCATTTTACTGTAGAGCTAAAGAGCCGTCATACCTAAGAACATTTAATAGAAATAGTAAATATGTTGTAACATTCACATGCTTAATTGTTGGAGGAAAGTCATTATTAGAAGATTGGAAAGTAAGTTGAAGGAGCACTTTAATTTGAGACAGTGATGTTAGAAAAGAACATTTAGAAAAAGAATTTAAAACATTAGAGTCATCATAATAAGAAATAGGAACATCATCATAAGAAAAGAAAAAATACAAATATGGTTGTAAATGAATCATTGATGGATGTAATACCTTTAACATCTGAAGAGAAAGGTATATTTGAAGAATCTGGTGCATTAGCTCCTGTTGATATACACATTGAGGAATAGATGGAACATCAAAATTAAAAGTTATTGACAACAGATAGAAATTAAGATGGTTCGTATATTGCAGATGTACCTTTGACTAATATAGCAAATACAATGTTCATAGGTGAATTATAAGTAGGAAGTGCTTAAGGAAAGAATGCTTTTGATGTTATATTTGATACAGGTTCTGCTTTGACTTGTATAGCTTCAGAGTAATGTAAAGATATTGGATGTTAAAAGAGTAAAAGATATAATAGAGCTGAAAGTTAATCATTTAATGAGATTGGCAAATCAGTTGAAATTGTATTTGGTAGTGGAACATTGAAAGGATTAATAAATAGAGAGAGAATCAAAGTGGATGGTTTAGATTTGAAAGATGCTTTATTTATTGAAGTTACTTAATAGATTGGAGATGCATTTCATGAGGGTGAATTTGATGGTATAGTAGGATTAGGGTATCCTCATATGACAGGAGTTCCTACTTTATTTGATTATATGATCTAATAACATAAACTACATTCAAATGTTTTTACATTCCATTTAAATAGAGCTACTGGTAATTCAGGATCATAATTAATTTTTGGTGGAAGTGATGATTCTTAAATTAAAGGAGAATGGGTTTATCATTAAGTTCATGAATAATTCTATTGGTCAATAATGGCAGAATAAATTAAAGTTGGTAATAAGGATACTGGAATTTGTACACATTAACATAAATGTAAAATGGTTGTTGACACAGGAACCACTCTGTTAACAGGACCAACTAAAGATGTTAGAACATTATTATCAATGATAAGAGTTGAACCAAAATGTTAAAATTATCCAACAATGCCAGATATCACATTTGTTATTGATGGACATGATTACATTTTATCACCTAAAGATTACATTCTAACTATTACATGTATTAATATATTATTTATATTTAATAGAATAAGGAGTTGAAGCACCTTATCAACATTCATCAATGGATTAGATTGTTGGTTGTGCTGGAACTATTTTTCCTTTGGATCTCCCACCAAAATAGTATAATTTTATATTAATTATATAGAGGTCCATTATGGATCTTAGGTGATGTCTTTATTACAAAATATTCTGCTAAGTTTGATAGAGATAAAAACAGAGTTGGTTTAGCATTAAATAAGAATCTTGAATGAAATCATTAAAAATAAACATATCTAATAATCAATCACTCATTTGTACTAAAGTATTATTAAAATGTTTGTAATGCTTCACTATTATATATCAATCTTACATCTTCTTTATTAAGTTATTCGAATGCTTAATCTTCATATCCTCTATCATCATGTAAACTAAGAGTAGATTTTTTTGTTGGTAATAGAGTTTCCATCTTATCTCTTTCAGCTTATTCTCCTTAATTATATGGAGAAATCTTATGAAATATTCTAAATATTGTATCTATAAAAATAAGACATTCCATCATAGAATGAAATTTAATTGATGCTTATTCACTCTAATCATCATATTTTGACATTTAACCACGAGTAGATATCATTTATTCTAAATATAATAGAAGTTGAGTGCATTGATCTATTCCTTGACCTAATAAAGTTGGAGGTCCAGTTCTTTTCTATTTCTCTTTACCTAATCTAAAAAATGTAATCATTATATCTATATTAAATTATTTGATTCTTGCCAGATATCTCTTTTTTACTGCTTTGTTTTATACATAAGATTCACTCAAAGCAATTAAATATTTAATTATGAATTTCATTGTACATACTTTCAATACACTTGGTGGTCTTTTTTAAAATTAATCAGATAATTCAAACCAAAATTAATTAGTATATAAATCATTCTTCTTCATTTATTAAAACATACTATGTTCTTCTGCTTAATTAAATTCTGATCTATTTATATTACTATCAATATAATATCTCCATCTATATTCACATAAAGCAGGTGTCATTTTATTATAAAAGAATATTTTATTCATCTAACTAGAAATTTGTTAAAAATCATTTTAGAAATGTTTTTACAATTTCAATAATAAATCATCTTCTTATGAATTCCACTTAACCTTATCCAATTATTATAGTTCAATGTCCATTAAAAACAAATATATTAAGTATTTTCATAGTAATATTTTAATTAATATATATTTGAAAATCATTATATTATTTATATCAATCACCTTAAAATTAAATCAAGTTTTTCGATGTTATTTCATATTTCACTCCTTCAATTATTAAATAGAGAATTTGTATATTCCTTGAAGAATTGAATTCCTCCAAAAAATTTTTTAATTGTTTTTGTTAATTATACTCCTACTCTTTATACAATTATAAATAAAAATATTTAAAATTACTTATTAAATATGTTCACTTAATTATCTAACCTATTATTCATTAACTCTTTATCTTAGAATATGATCTTTCTCAAATAACTCCTATGTTTTTGGTTAAGTCATAGTAGCATTACTCCTAATAACATATTCATTAAAAAGAATCCTATAAAAATTGTCAAAAATAAAAAGTAAAACACATATATAGCTTAATATCGTATAACTATTCTAGCTACATCTCCCCAACTATCAAATGTAACTACTTACAACATAAATAAATAAGATTAAGTCAATGAATCAAATAATGGATAACCAACATCAACTTTTATAAATTAATGTCCAATCAAAGCCGTTGTAAATAGTAATCCTCCTACAAAAATGATAATATGACTGACTCAAGGCAAACCTTCTACAAATTTGAATAGTAACTTCTACACATAGAGAATAGCAAGTACTATTAAAACTCGTAACATAGGTCTAAATCTTATATCTTAAGATATAGATAATGAAATTATATCCACAACTTTTGCCACTGGATCTGCATCAGTAATATTATAACAACATACAATCTTGCTGAATATTCTTCATTTCTTATTTATGTTTCATCATGAGATCTGTCTTCAAACTAAGCTCTTTATTCATTAATAAATTATCTGAATTAAGAAATCTTTAAAAAAAATAAAATACAAAATATATTCCCAAGATATTCTCTATCACTATCTGTGCATATGTAATTTATAGTAAATAGCTAAATAATTACACTATGGATAGAAGTATATATAAAGAAATGTAAAGGTAGATTGATACTTCTGATTCATTTAATCCCCAAGATTTACGATTTAATTAATAAGGAGTCTAATCCATATCTAATAATTTCAATGCATCTATTATTTCTATTGAAAGTCTATATTCTAAATTCAATTCTTAATTTAGTACATCATCATGCTAAAAGTCATACTCAAAGTTTCTTCTCAATGTAGGATTTGAATAATAGCTGACAAAGGCTCCCAATAATAAGTTAATAAAGTAAAAAAACATAAACAGTATGAAAAATAGGAAAAATATACTCCAAGCTTATCCATAATATTTTGAAACTGATTAGTTAACTTATAAATTCCAACTATCTAATGTTAAAACTTAAAACATTGACAACATTGACTTAAAAATGTTTCTAAAAAATTTCGGACTTATTTCCTGGAAAATAGAATAAGCAATATAACTATAAACATAATACATCAGAAAAAGTGCAAAATTGATGTATCAGAAATAGTTATAGCAACTTCAACATTTACAATTGCAAAGTATATATTTAGGATTAAACTCAAAGGACCACTAATTTATATCAATAATCATAAAACCCACACTTAATTAGTTATGTTTATACTATAATAATGTCTATTTAAATATAATTAGTTAATGAATTTATATTTTATAAGAAAATCTATTGTAATAGTAAAGCTAAGAATAAAATTAATAATTCTGGATTTCATATTCACTTCATCTTATTTTCCACAAAAAAAAATGAAATTCACAAAAATCATTAGTCCAATACAAGATGATATAATTCCATTTGGTTATAAATAGAATCTTCTAATTTAAAACATCCATCCCAGGGAGGAAACAAATTGATATCCTTTTGAACAAATAGTTTAATTGGCATAAAATATATTATTAATATAATTTATCATGATTCTAAAAATTCTCATTGATTTTACAGAAGTTCTAATTATCTCTTTTAATGCAAATGTATTTTAAATTCTATAATATTAATGAATTTAAATGATAGCAATTATGAATGAGAACAACAACAACAAGATCACAATTTTTTTATAATTAATTTGTATTCGTTGAATGCTCATAAATAAATAATCTGATCATCCAAACTCATAAAGTGGATCATTTGTCCATTTGTCTCCGTAAGCCTATGAGGCCTTATAAACTTTAGAGTAAATTAAAAAGAATAATATACTTCAGCAGAATTCCTAAATCGTTAGAAGAGTTTCATCATAATATATTCAATAACCTCAAAATAATTATTAGCGAACATCCAGTTAATTGTAGGCTTCCCCAATACAATAGAAAAAGGATTTCTAAACCAACTCATCCTTATCATTCATCAAAGGAGCTTTATAATCAAATCGCACTAACAAAATGGAAACGGAGGGAAGTCATAAACCTAATTCTCAAACAGAGAGGTAGATTAGTTAATAATAAACTCTGGGTAAATCAGATGAACCTACTCCATTCTTCAGAGACACTTTATCGAGTGATCGTAATAAATGTAACTAGACTAGCTTAAGCTAATATTTAGCTAAACATCAATTTTAATAGCAATTCAAATATATCAATGAAGAATTATAAGCATTTAAATAATAGGTTGAAAATGATGTATTGATTGAAACTGTCATTACAAAATTTGAATCACCTAAAGATAATTCAAAAAATAGTCAATTCTTTGCTGATCAATCATAAAAAGAGAATTAATCTCCTACAACTAAATTAATGTTGAAAAAGAAAACGATCTTAAATCAGATCCTCTCTCTCGATAATCAGATTAAGATCATGGAAGATGAAGAGACTATGATTGCTCTTGACCCTTAAAAATCAAAAAAGAAATCAAATACTATTTAATCCTCTTCAAATCAATAGATTGTTGAAAGTCTATATGAAAGAGCATAAAAAAAGTAATCTAATTTCTAAAAACTTTTTGAGGAAACTCAAATAAATAAAACATAAAATGAACTTAAAGAATGTACTTTCATACCAAAGATAAATAAATAGAATATATCTGGAAATTTTATGGAAAGGTTGGATGATTGGGTCTAAAGGAAAAATAAAAAGATAACTTAATAGCAGGAATAAAGCTAAGAAAGAATAATGAGAGAATGTACTTTTAGTCCAATAAATAAATAATTATCAAAAAGCAATCTTAGTCATACAGCAGTATATTATAGAAATCAAGAATGGTAGAATAGAGTAAATCTTAAGAAATAAAAAATGAAAGCCTAAAATTCACTTATTTAAATGAGTGCAAAAAAGGAGTAAAGTACTCCTAAAAAAATAAATAAAAGATCTAATTCATCATAATATTAAATTGATCTTGCTAAAATATTATAATCAACTAATTCATAAAATACAACAAAAAGAGTAAAACATTAATCACCTTTTCATACCGAAATGCAAAGTGGTATTCTTAATGCTTCAAATAAGAAAATTGAAAATATAGATATGAAGTATTTACAATTATGTGAAATGGCTAATAGAATTAAAGCCAAATCTAAATATTGATATATTTTTAACTTTTACATATATATTATTATTATCAATCAATTTATTGGATCTTTTTTTAATATAGTTATAACTATTTTATATTTATTAAAATAAAGATTATAATACAACTTATTAAATTATGATGATTATATTTAAAAATTTATCTGATGTATTATTATTAATAAGATATGTAGAATATATAAATTGTAAATATTTAATATTAATAATAATTTTTATATTACTCACTTAAATTCAAAAGTACACATTTCACAAAAGTGGTTTGAATTTGATTGTAAGAATGTACAAACTGGACATTACATTTGATCATCCATTTTTGTTCCTGTTTCTGGTTTAAGATTAGGCATGAAGACTTATACTTCTTCATCAATTCTCACTCTAAAATTAATATAAAATAATACTATTTTTTTGCCTATTATTATGGAGCAGTGTTATTTTATTCATTAAAATTAATGTTCATGGTTTCAATGAACAATCCCCAATCCATAGAAGGAATAGTCTTCATAATTGTAGCCAAATAAACACTAGAACGAGGTGGAACAACCTTACAAATTTTAGCTGGATGTCTAATATTATTTTTTGGATTAGAAATACTTAAAATTGACCATTATATCTGGATCAAGAGTAATTTAATAAGTTATGTGTAAGGTTTGATTTGTAGTATTATTTAGCATGAATCTTTTCAACATAGGTGCCATTTAAATATCAACATCACAATGTATTAATTATTGGGGAGTCTCTTCAAATTAGCTAAAAGTAATACAATCTTTACTTACACAAGAGGTATTGTTTTATGAGCATCACTCTATTTATTTAACTCTGGGATTTGTTCCAATTCCATTGAGAACTGAGATAATTACATCATAGATTCTTATTCTGATTTACTTTATTCAGCAGTTTGTTTAACATCAGTTCCAAAATCTATACCATCAATAACATCCTTCTTTTTTGGAAGAGGTGGTGGTTTAGGAATAGTAAAGGATCCTTACTTTTAAATAAGATTGTGAATATTTGATGATGGATCTATTTTAACAGTTTACAAGTAAATATTATCATATAATATTGAGCTTGGGAAGACATTGTTAGTTGTTAAAGTAGGTTTAGATTCAGCAAAATAGATTGTGGATTCATAACACTCTAATATGACTCCATCTGATTGAACTACACTTGAAACTAGTTCTGTTTGAATAGTATTACCTAAAATATAGATTGGTTGAATAGGATCATATAAACCAATTTCTGTAACTTAAGAATAATAATTTTTAAATTATTGCCATAATTAGAAAGTTTCTTCAACTTCTTTTTATTTATTGAAAAATATAGTTGTTGCTATAACAGGATACTTTTTACAATCATCTAAAAATTCATTTAGAAATCCTTCAAACCAATCTGTATATTTAGAATATAGATAACATGGTGGTGGAAGATTAACCAAATAAGAAAATACTAATTTATTTGCATTAGCAGCAGCTAATATCATTTTCATCATTTAGATAGCTACATTTTAAAATCTTTTTTAATTTTCAAATAACAAATTTAAAATGGAAAGGTTATCATTTTAAGAACCTATATGAGATTAGTAAATTATGCTTTGATAAGATAAATTAGTTGGACAACCAGTTGTATACTTATCTTAATAATTAGGTTCTGGAAAACCAAATAACCATTCAATACGTTCTTATTGATAAGCATCATAAATATTAAGTAGATTGTAGGCTAAACCTAAATACTATCCAATAATTTCATAATTAGCTTTGTTGATTTCTTCTAACAATACTTCAATTACAGATCTAGATAGAGGTTCATTATCGAATACCATTCTTTATATGATCAATTTAACTGTTTCGAAATCTTAACATTCTGTTAAAGCTCTTTTATAAAAGATTTAAGTTTAGAGACATATCATATCATTTTTAGATAAAACATAATATTAGTTTTACAATAAATATTGTATACATTAAAATAGTTATGAATAGAATGGGATAACCATCTTACTAGCCATTGTAATTTTCTTATCCTAAATGAATTCATAAAATTATGTTTTTTATAATCCTTAAGGAGATTATTTTTCCATAAAGAAATCAGCAAAAATAGAAACTAATTCTATTTAACAAGCAAATTTAACATTAGTAATTGAAGATTTAACAAAATCCCTCCAAAAAGTAAAGTAATAAGTGAATTTAGTAGGATTTTTAGCAACATCATTTTATAATTTCTATATTAAATCTAATAAGAATCTCATCATAATTTAATCGCAACTTACTGTTCTATTTTCTGGTTATAATACTTATAATTATTCAGTGTCTAAAGAAAATGCATGTATATAAGTGATTACATTAACATAATGCAATAGAATTTATTATATTGCTTATCTTATAGTGTAATCAGGAGCACATAATAATACATTAAAAACTCTTTATTAACGATTGACTATTAATTCATTAAAAACTGAAAAAGCACATGTTGGTATAATATTAATGAGATTCATTATAATAAGTACATAATTTTTAATAGTGGAATGATCATATGATCTAGCAATTAATTCAATTGCTATATATGTCATATTGGATAACAATGATAAAATCTTTTAGTTTTCCTTTATATCCTAATAATTATTATAAATGCCAAAATATTAAGGTATTTATTCTGGATTTGTGATTAAAGTATAATCTTTAGGGTATGGAAAAGCTTCTCCTATATCTTTAGCAAACCTAAAGAATTCTTCACTATAAATATGTCTTTCCATCATAAATCTATGATTATCATGCCAAATTTCTTAATATAAAGAATCTGGTATATGTTATTGAGTCATTGTCTTATAATCTAATTTATATGATAACTCTTCATTATTCTCTTCTTAAATAACACTTTCAAATTTCTACATAATCTCTTATTTTTATTATAGATCAGTAAAATTCAATTCTACTTATTCTTTTTGGATTCTCTCATAGACTAAAATGTATGCATTAGTACTACTACCAGACTCTTGAAAATCTTAAGCATCTTCAGTATCTTTGCCTCCATAACATTCATGTGGTAATCTTTTAACATCAAAATCTTCAATTACAGAATCATTAAATTTTAACCATTTCTCATCCTTAGTATTAATCAAACTATAATAATGTCCATATTAAGCTGTTCCTTTGTGAACTACTACTCCTTTTAATTTATATTAATAATATGATTATTATTTAATATCTTAATTTAATAATCCTTCTCTTGTATATTATTATAGATTAAGATTATGTGGGAATTCTAAACGAGTACTTAATTTTTCATTCATGAATATATCTAAATTAAAAACAATCCTTTGTATATGTACTATCAATACATTAGGTAAGGTTTGTAAACATTGACGTTTAATAAGATCATTTTTCTATTTGCATTATTCACAATAATAATCTTTAATGACTTCTCCATTTATCATACTTTCAAATGATTCATGAATTGATTTAACACCTTTAACTTTTACTGAAAGAGTATAAAAAAGATCAAATTTCTCTCTCATATTTTTGCATCCATTACATATCATTTAACTACAAGTCTAACCACCATAAATAGATTCAATAAATTGTTACCATCCTTTATTCTTTAATTAATTATCTAAACGATCAAAAAATTGATTTAAGAATTCCTAAGCATCTTATTATAAAGAAACATTAACTGGTTGATTATCATAATCCTTAAATGAATAACAAAAATGTTAAGGATTAAAATCAGGTCTTTCACTTAATTCCAAATAAGCAAGTAATCTCTAGAATTAATGAATAGAATTATCATCTATTTAATGTTCAAGACCTTGATTATCTTTGTATTGAATGACTTTTGTTTCAACACCATCTTCAGCTCTCAACATACTGTATCTAAATTCAGGAGTCATAAAGAATTACTGCATCATTGCATTCATATAACAAATACATCCCAAATTACGAATACCAACAAAACCATGATATGTTTTTGGATTTAATTTTATATCAAATCCATTAAAAATCATTATCTAATATATTATTATATTTAAATCCAACATCTCAGGATTGTAATTCTATTTTAAATACAATATAATTATTCTATAAACAATTTTCCTACTCTCTGGAGATTTACTCTTTACATAATCTGGAGTATATTATTTTTAGGGTGTAAGTTAAAATGTATTTAAATGGAAACAAAATAAATGAACTTGATATAAGTACATGATCAATTATTATGTTAATATACTTTAATCCACAATACTCAAACTTTCTAAAATTGACAATAGACCTGTAAGAGTTTTATCAGATGTAAATCCAATTCTTGATTCTACTGGTTCATATTCTTTTAATTATGTAATGATATTATCTGCAAATTATCTATCACTATATTTTGATTCTTAAATTAATTTTGCTAATAAATCAAAATAAGATTAAGAATCCTTGTTTTCATTTTTTGGGAATAATTCTATTAAAATATTGATTAAAGTATTTCCTAATTGATTTTAACATTTGAATATCAAATATAAAGAATTTCCTGCAAATTTTCTTATTAATAATTATTTAGGAGCATATAACAATTATTCATAACGTTATTTAATTGATTGGATTGAATTAACAAAGTAATCATAACAATTACCCAAATTATATCCTACTATTGTAGTGATTAATATTAAAGCAAATTCAATTATAAATCTATCTTCTGTAATATCAACTTACATATTAATTAAGTATTTTAGTAAATGAACATAATCTAATTGTATATCTAAACCATTCATAAACTTAACTAATTCTAAGAATTCTTCAGTCTCTTTAACTCTTAATAAAGGTTTGTTGTCAGCTGATGATGGATAAGTGCCATCAATTAATTAAGCAATGATATCAAATGTTGCTTAAATTGGTTATTTGACATGTTATTGAATTTGATATATATTATTAAATTTTGGTTAGAATTAAGCAGCAATATGTCGACTGAGAATATTTAATATCAAACATTGTACCAATTTAACAATTTTAATATTTTCTTATTCTAAATTATTTAAAATCATTTATAATTATATGAATCCTCCATATTTAACAAAGTTTTTACAATATTCTTCTGTATAAAGAAGATGCTCAATAATTTTAATTGAATATATTAATTAATAAGATCTATCTTTTGTGAAATCTTCAAAATTAAGTATTCTTTATTTAGCTGCTTCAAAAACAGGTAAAGAACACAATAATTTCCAACATTCTTAAGCTACTTAATCACTTTGATTAATAAATTGAAACATCAATTTATAAAATCTTTCATTATGAGCCAATTAATAACGAGGTAATTTGTGTTCATCTAAATCAACTTCATCATTTTCTAATAATGTTAAATCATTCTTATAACCAAATGAATGTAAATTCTTCCATACTATAGATGTAATCTTTTATTGAATACAACAATTTTCATAAAAAGAAATAAAATTTTCAATTGATAAATAATCTTTCTATTAACCATACTAATCCAAAACTTCTTTAATTTTCCTTCCATCTTTAAAACTCTCATCATTAGCAGCCTTCACTCCAAAACTAGATAGTTACTCTGAATTCATTTTACCATCTGTTGAATATAATTCAAATAACTAATGTAAAACTTTAATAAATTTAGATGATAATTTGTTATCCTCAACTAAAGGTACTTAAGGAATTGGTTTTGTCTTTCTTCTGTAAACATTAATCACTTCACTCTTTCTAACATTCATCTATTTCAATGTCTTACCATTATCTGTATCTTATACTGTTACTCCATTTCTTACTAATTTCACTTATTCCCAACTTGTCTATAACTCTTTTGCTATCACTCTTCTCAATTCAAACATAGTCATTCTAGAATACACCTTTATAGTTATTCTATTACTTGGTGCCCCATCTCCCATGTCATTTATAATATTTATACTAAATGCATCACCCTTAACTAATCCATCCAATGAAAGTAAGGATCCAACACCTTTTGTCTCTGTTTCATTCAATAAAGTTCTTAGTACTTCTAAACATTTAAGTATAGTTTATTCATTTGTACAATCCATCCTATCTACAATCTTCTCTATAAATTGTTCTTATTATGATAAATTCAATTTCACTAATAATTAAACTGCTTTATCTAGTTGAGAATTAAATACTATATGCCATAAGTATTCAATTCCTATAATTTAATTCACATCTACTAATAGACTCAATTCTATTTACTAATCATTTTCATTAACATTTGTATTTGTCATAATTATCACATTTCCATATTGATCACAATTTTAATTTATATTTGATTATTATCTATGTAATCGATACTCTTTTTGATTCATATAATATAATATTGCCTAAAAACAATTAAATGCACTTTCAGTGAGATGTGAATCTGAATTTAACAATCTTTAATAAAATGTATCTAATTAAGTATGACTAAATTATTCATCTTTCTCTACTAAATCTCTTAACCAAAGGCTAGCCATATCACATTCTTATTTACAAATAGGTCTTAAAATTAATTCATTCCAAATCAGATCTAAGAATTATTAATCTATGATATCTGCAGCTGTGCCATTTATCTTAGTTAAAGTATTTATTAATAGAATTCTTTCTTATAATTTATTCATATATCGTGCTGATTCTTGTAAATTCTCTGCATTAATGCCTCTATTTTAATTACGAAGATTCTCAATATTTTATCTTAATATATGATTTATATTAGATTATTGAATAAGTTCTTTAACAAATTCATCTTAAGTGATTTCTTGTACTTTATTTTCAGGATTCATAAATTATCGAATTTCTTCTTTAATTTTTTATGCTAACAATTTATTTTCATTGTTCTATATTATAGGATACGTCATAACTTAATTAGGTTATGATTCTACATTATCATCTGATTATTATTATTATTATTATTATTATTATTATTATTATTATTATTATTATTATTATTATTATTATTATTATTATTATTATTATTATTATTATTGTTTTTATGGAAATGAACATATTAAATGAGATAATATTTTAATTGATGAACTTTCTACTTTCATTTATTATATATTTGTCATTAATTTTTATACCATTTATACTTTAATTTCTTTAATTTCTAGATTCTTAATCAAATCACAAAGATATTACCTTGATTTATCCTCTAAAGTCTATTTTTATGATTAACCAGCATATTCAATTATTCTCCATAATGTATCAATTGTTGAACATATCAATTCCTAATTTTTAATTTAATATCTATTCATTTCATATAATAATTAAACATGTTCTAACAATATTTAATCTTATTTCAATTATTTAATTTATTCCATAAAGTAAATCACATGATAATCTCTCATTGAAAAAGCAATTTCATTTATTAATTTAAAAATGATTGGTCTCAATTCATTATCATTTTATTGCATTAATTCCCAAATCATAGACATATGTTTGGCTGTAAATGCATTATCAATATTTAAATAAATTCTAATTAATTCTTTAGTTCTCTCTAGTAATTAAAGATGAGTATTATGATGAAATAATGTTTCCATAATATTCTCAGAATCAATCCATTATAAAACAGTCTAAGCACCTTTATCAATACTAGCTTACTTTAACATATCAGTCAATAATTTTAAGCCCATAATTTTTTTATCCAAGAAATTACAATTAAAGCATACCTATACAAATTCCAAACTCAACTTTTAAAGCCATTCTCTCCTTTGATCTTCATTCATAATTCTATCTAAGAGTACTTTGAATGCTTAAATAATAAGATTCATTTTTTCTCTACCCATATTTCTTAAGGTTTATTCATCAGAATGAAGTAAAGTTTGTCTTAAACCCTATAATTTTGGTACATATTCTTAACAAAAAAATCTAAACAATTATGCATGAATGTTGCCAATAGCAGACATATAATTGGCTAAAATATCAACTGATTAAATATTGAGTATCTTTTCAAATCCTCCTAAATAACCAAAATGATTAATGAATTGAATTAAAAGAAAACTCTTTGATTGTTTAGGTCTTAATATAGCATAAAATTTATCTTCAAGATAATCTTATTCATATAGGATATCATAACTATCATCAATATATTATTCAATTGAGTTGAATTTCCTTACAATATGATCACTACAAAGTGCCAATCGAGGATGACATGCAGTAATTTCTTCATCATGATGTCTATTATAACCAATATATTTCATCTAAGATCCATCTTCTATAGAATTTCCATCTTCTGTATAAAAACGAAATGCCACATTATATTTAACGATTGATTCAATATCTTTTTACTCTAGACGTTCCTAAATTGTACTCAACACCCATTTATCTGATTGAGTTGCTAAAATCACCTAACCTACTTAAAGATTAAACATTTGATCTAATCTTTGAGAACGAGTTCTATATGGCATGAGATTACCACTTCTTATATTGTAAATATGTTTCACAGATTAATCGTTTAAATATCTAACCTTTATGCTATCCTCAATGCGTTCTTCTACTATTCCTCTTGACCAATTTAATCTGGCTGTACTACGACAGAGACGCAGACAATCTATATAAGTGCCTTCTTAAAGTTGGTCTATGAATTACTTATATTAAGGATTGAGTGAGTAAGAATATTTAATGAACTAACTTTATTCAATAGATTACTTGATCATGCCATTCAGTACGATGTACATTATGCTCATAAATCATACGAGAAGGATCCATTATAGTCCTAAACATTTAACTTACCTTCTCATCTTAGAGATTATTAGAAATGTATTTCAATACAGACTTTATGAATGACTCTATATTGAAAATAATTCTATCTGGATAAGCTTTATGATTGATGATGAAATTCACACAAATATTTACTAACTCTGGCAAATATTATCGTCCATCTGCTGTGACTGTCCCTTCCATATACTACTCTACTCTTTATAAAGCTTGCAGTATCGGTTCATATTACTATTCACTTTTGGCTGTCTTTAACTTATCCACTTAAGACACCAATTATTTCATTGCCTATATTTCTTCACTCATTTATATTTATAATACATCTTAAATTTTACAAATGTAGTTTAAATAGTAAATAAAATAATTCAATACAATCATCAAATGACTGATCATCATAAATTGTACCCAACAATATCTAGTCTCTCTCTCACTTCTTGTCTAGTATTCCTTAAAAAATCCTTTTGATCTTTCTTTTATTGGAATTTTAATATTCTCAATTTGATATTTTCTAAATAAATCTCTATTTATAGATGATTACTTTCTTGTTTACATATTATTAATAGACATGTTTTCAAATTAATTAATTTTTACTAAGATTTATTATTATTACATTTAAATTATGTTAAAAAAGTGTCAAAATATCATTTAATTATTAAACAGGTTATTTACCTCTTCAAATAATAAGGAACAACTTGGTATTGGAATACATATTCCTCCAAGCATGAATGATAAATTTCAAGGTAGATTACCTAATTCAATTGTTTAAGTTAAATAATTATAGCATAGTTTCATTAATCAAATGCTCAATTATTAAAATTGAACTTGTCATAATGACTAAAAAATGCCCTTAACATTAATTTACTGTTATAAATTTAGAATATAGTTAATCTAAAATAATTTAATATTTTTATAAAATAAGTATTTTTGCTAATAGAAAAAATGTAAATACAAAACTAGTCTAGTCAGAATCTAATGCTGAAAGGAACTTGAGATTAAGATAAATAAATTAAGGCATAAAATCATTAATTAAAATAATGACATAATTTTAAAATAATAAATAAAATTTAATTTCTTAATCTACTCCTATAAATTAAGTGTCAAAATTAAACAACTTAGGAACCACATAATTTTACCAAAAATTATAATTATTTTAATAGATTAATAGATTGTTATAATATAGAAATACTGAAAAAAAATATTCTCTAATTTAAGCCTTTTGCATTTAATATATTAACATTTACCTTGAATATAAACTCTTAATATTTTTTTTGAAAAATGAAATAGATTATTACTTATTTTTTAATTAATAAATAAAATCTACTATTATTTTTAGTTGCAATATCAATAACCTTAGAAAATCCTTAATTAAATTATTTCTTTCTATTAGAAATATTTTCATATTATCATTATCTAGTGTCTATCATATTTATAGATAAGTGAATAATTGTTCTTAATTCATTTATTAATAACTAATCAAAAATCATCAAACATATGTTATTTTTCATCATCTATTGGTTGAATGTCATCTCTTTCTTCTGGATACTTATCAAACCATTGTGAATCTGTTTCATTTCTTAAAAAAGGAATCCATGGAGGCTGGATTTTCTTCTCATAAACTTTTTACCATGGAACACCTCTAAAGAATTTATGATTCATCAAAGCTGCACCTTCCTAATTTAACTAGATTTTATTACATCTTCAACTCCTAATCTTTTATTGACATCTGAATTTAATAATTTCCTTATAACATCTTTAGCTCTTACATGCAGGAACTTTGGGAACTCTATTATTCCATTTAAAATCTTTTTATATATATTTGTTGGTTCTATATCATAAAAAGGAGGATGTCTAAATGATTTATTAGATTTAATTATATACCCTGCTAACATTTCAAATATTAATACTCCTAATGCCCACCAATCTATGGATTTTCCATATCCTGTTTTTGCACCTTATATTAATTCAGGAGCCAAATATTCAGGTGTACCACACAATGTTTAAGTATGATTGTTTTTAATTATTTTTGCAAATCCAAAATCTGCTATTTTTATATGTCCTTCTCTATCAATTAATAAATTTTCTGGTTTTAAATCTCTATAAACAATATCCTTTCTATGTAAATGCTGAATTGCCAACAATATTTCTGATACATAAAATAATGTAATATCTTAACTAAATCTGCCATCTTTTCTCAATCGAGAAAATAATTCACCTCCTGATACAAATTCAAATAACATATAAATGCATTTAGCATCTTAAAACGAACCTTTTAACTATACTAAAAATGGATGTTAGATTTCATTCAAAATATTCTTCTCTGATTTTATATGATCCACTTATTTTAATTTAATGATATCATGTTTCTTCATTATTTTCAATGCATAAACTTAACGACTTGGATCACGTTTTATACGAACTTGTTTTACACGTCCAAATGTGCCAGTACCCAATGTTGTATACACTTCAAAACTATCAATCGAGAGATTTTAGAAAAGTTATTTATCATTAGGTTTTCCTTAAACAGACTAAAATGTTGGCTCCTCATCTGATGAATCTTCATTCATTCGTTCAAGTTGCAATTTTTACAACTTACGTTAAAGTTCTTCAATTTGAAGTTGGTTCATGACAGTTAATAAAATTAATATATATATTTATTTATCTATCAAAATTATTTCTAAGTTTTCTCAAATTATAATGATTCTCTTTGGATTTAAAATATTCTTTAAATCAAATAAAAAATACATAAATAAGGATATTATAAATGTTTCAAAATTAAACAACAATATTTGATAGGAATTAATAAATTAATTAATTAAAATCCTTAAAGAGAGGGCATCTTTTATACATACTTGAAGACACATTCCTTTTATAAAATAAATTTAATATTTGGATTCATTTTCATGAATATTCTCTATCTTAAGATGCTATTTTTAAATCATTTTTAGTTTAAATTTGATCATTGTTCTTGATACTTGATGAAGTTTGAGATTGATCAAATTATTTATATTTCTTCATTTAGATTTTGATATAAGGATATATTTCCATTATTAAATCATTATTAACTATTTGTTTTTTAAAAAGTCTCATCTTATTAATAGATTAAAATGATATTTCAATTTATCTATTCAATCTAATTGTTCATCACACGAATTGAGTATATATACTTTGTCTGTTATAATTGATAAAGTCTATTAATTTAATTCTGGTACTATTGAATATCAAAATGAATTTAGTGAATTCATATATGAAAATAAATTAATAAATATGTTTAGATTGATCACCTTAATAATGAAAATATTTGTTCTGATTAAACTATGTTAAGGAAGCATAATAATTACAAAATAAGTAACTATTTATTCAAATACTTAAATGATGATTGATTCTTTTGATGGAGTGCTAGTAGATTCCTAATTTACTTTTAATTAAGATTTTTAACTCTCAAATCCTTGTTATACATATCCATAAAACATTAATGTTAGACCTTACAACAACAACATCTCATAAATAATAAATTATGCATTTGAAGAAAATTTTGTAAATGGACATTAAGAGAGTTCAATACCTAAATTAATAGGAATTGGGAAGGTTGGATTAGGAATAATAGTATTGAGTTAATAAGGTGTTTTAATATTTTATACTTAAGAAAATAACAAGTATGATATAAGATCATTATAGCAGTACTAAGAATTAGATGGAATTGAAAAAGCATTTTTAGAGTTTTTAGATGACTAAATAGTGATTCTAAGTAATAGAGATACTTGGATTCTTAAACCTAATTTTAGTTAGGAAAATATATTTGAAAATTGTCATTTAGACAAAGTTCATATGTAGATTGGGTTTGGGAATATTCATAAATTACATGTAATATAAAACTATTTATTCCTCACCTTTCTTAATTAAGGATTTGGAATTTATAAACTAGAAACTACTCAATTATAAATTCTTTAAAAAGTAGAAATCAAGTCTATAATTGATTCTTTAATAATTGTTTAAGAGGATAAAATAAATGTATTAATTTTAGATAATGAAGTTGGAATTCATTTTTATATATACAACAAAACAATTAATGAAATGCACAAAAATCAAGATATAAATACATTTATGATAAATTGTAGTTTCTTTGAGTATATGTAATCTAATTTATTTATATTGACACCCTAAGAAAATTCAAATTTGAACAAATTATCAATATTTACTCTCGACTTTCAAAATCCTACTTTTAATCTCAAATATTCTACACTTATTGAAGGGTAAGTGTAAGGTCTTTAAATAATTAAAGATCACATTATAATTTATAATAGAAGCTAAATTACAGTATTTTATGGTAGTTTAGGAGATATTGTTAAAATTGATAAAACTAAATTCTTAATACCTGGTACTAAGTAATTGATTTTAAAAAAAACTGAATAAAAATAAAATCAAATTGTTGGTATTACAAATAATGAATTTTTTGCACTTGATGTACATATCTCAAAAATAAGTCTTGAATGTTTTATTACTCAAGATTATCCAGATGAATTTTCTTTTAATTATGAATTATAAACTGTTTTACCAACAGAAAACAATTAAATAAAGTATGATATATTTGTAATTTTTCCATTAAAAAGAATACAAAGAATTAATTGGTTAATTACATTTATTTTAATTATTTTATGTCTCATCATAATCATCTTAATTATTTTGTTATTGAATTGGTACAAATTTTTAAAAATTAAGAATTAAGCAAGTACTTAATTTTAAGAATTTGGAATGGATACTCTTAAGACAACTAAAAGATAAGAACCATAATAAAAAGTAAATGATGAAATGGAAAAGAATATACAATGCTCTGATGTTATTTAGACTTGTCTTCCAGCTAGTCGACACCCTATCATCCAAAATGAACAATAAAACTGAATTAAATTATTTATAAATAATATTTAATTCCATGAAGAAAAATGAAATTGAATTTCAAGATAATTCTATATCCATTAAGAGATAGCCTCTTTTAGATAGAAAATAAAGTTAGGATAAGAAAGATGTTCTTAGAAAATCATCATTTTATGATGGTGCTTTAAGTTAATTAAAAAAATCTATTCTTGAAGTTAGTAAACATTAATTGATTGATAAACATGTATTTATATGATATATGGTAGCCATCTCTTTAAGAATTATATGATTCCTTATCCTTAATGAGTCTTTAATAGAAATGCCATTAACTTTTAAAATCTGTCTAAGAATAAGAAGTCTAAGAAATTCTAGCCATATTAGATCATTTTAATACAATTTCACCTAAACCAAAACTTAAAGAAATTTATGATTAAAAATAATAGACTATTCTTCATATATCATGCTTTAAAAACTTACCAACTGTTGTTGACAGAATTTTAATGTATGAAAAAGCTAATTTAACAATTGAGGAATTTAATATATGGATAAATTTGAAAAATAAGGATTCATTCACAGCAGTTCATTTTGCTGCTTATGTTGGATCATTATAAACATTAGAAATTTTAAAAAAATTTGGAGTAGATTTAAAAGTAAAAAATGAATAGGGTCAAAATGCACTATCTATTGCAGCTTAAGGAGATTAAGTTTCTGCTATGGTTTGGCTATATATGTAAGGGTTGTCTTATACAGAATAAGATGAGAAAGGTGGAACTCCTTTACATTGGGCTACTTATTATGGAAGTGAGTTTGCTGTATAATTTTTATTGAGTTGGTTATAAAAAACAAAGGAAGGCAAAAAAATTATTAATTAGTAAGATACTGAAGGAATGACACCTTTACATTTAGCAGCAATGACAGGAAATTAAAGGATTGCTAAAAAACTTCTTTATAAAGGGAGTAAAAAAAATATTAGAGATAAAAGAAATTAAACTCCAGCTTAAACAGCTTTAGAAAATGAATACGAAATAATCTATAAAATTTTGGAAACAAATAATTGTCTATTAGAATTTTTAAATATCCGAACAAGGTAAATGCTAAGTTCACTCTTATTAGTTATAAACCTGCCTCAATCAGTTGGAGTTAGATATGTTCATTTTTTTTTATATATTTCTATTGCATGATTGGTTCCGTGATTTTTGTATATCCATTTTTTGATACTGATGTTTGGTTATAATATTTATCCATAGCTTCATTTTTAATTGGATTAATTTTTTATTTTTTGACTATGTATATTAGTCCAGGATATGTTAAAAAAAATGATGATTCAAGAAAACTATTTTCACTTCTCACTTAATATGAACCTTGGGAATTATGTCCAGAATGTTAAATACATAAACCATTAAGATCAAGACATTGTGAATTTTGTTAAAGATGTGTAATTGTTTATGATCATCATTGTCCTTGGTTAAATAATTGTGTAAATATTTATATTTTTAATTAAGATAGGAGCTAAAAATTATCCATATTTTATTTGTTTTATTTGGACAATCTTTATAAACTTAATTCATTTAATTATATTGAATGCAATATTTTTGATACGTGATTATCCTAGTTCAATAAATAATAGTCGTTATCCATGGTTTAATCAAGTCAATAATATAAAAGCACTCGATATCTCTAAAATATGTGTTCAATCATCTATTTTAATTTTATGTATACTTTTTCTATTTCCTTTGGCATATTTGATCTATGTTTAAATGGACAATTTATTTAGAAATTAAACTACTTTTGAAAAATATCGATAAGAAGAATAAACTAATGTTTAAGGTTCAAAAGATAAAAAGAGTTAATAAACTATTGAGTATATAAATATCAATATTGTAGTTCTACTTCATCTATTAAATCATAAATGTCACATAATATATCATGTTCAAATTGTATAGAAATGTGTTGCAATAATTCAAAAAATACTTCATATCAAATATGACACATTAAATATTTATAATAATTTGAATTTATTCTATTAAATTTTAAATTAAAATTAATAAAATAGACAGTTGATTATTTTTATTATTATCATTTACTAATCTATATTAATATTGTAATGATTACAAAATTAAAAATATTCCGTTTTAATATTAATTAAATAATATTAGTAATAGATTCATAATAATTAATTCAACAATTATCTAAATTTATTTAATTTATAATAAATAGTATTTATTAAAAAGATTAAGTTCAAAAATAACTAATACATAATTATATCCTAGATAATTTTTTAATAAAAGAAATAAATCAAAATAATGTATTATATTATTTTAAGTATTCAATATACAAATTTGTAATATAAATATCAATCGAACCAATTATTTATACTTTTTCCATTTTAATTAGATTTCTAATTATTATTTTAAGGTATTTAATTATATTTTTCTCTCCCTGTATCCAAGATATCCTATTTTTATAAATATTTATAAAATATTGGTCTTTTAAAATTGATTTCTTGTTCTGTTAATTCTTCCTGTGAAATAGCAAATTCTTTAATTTGAATAGCAATCTTTTCATTAATTTTTGATTCTTTCATTATGTCAAATTAATATAATTATAATCCTTCTGCAGACAATTCAAGACTTTGAACTTCTTTATCAAAACCTTAATGTTCAAAGTTTTTTAAAGGTATCACATAAGTATTCCACATTTAAGATTGGTCGACAATATATGCCTAAATATGAATGTTATTTATACATAAGCTTGATGTTGTCCAAAATCATAAGATGAATTAACTCCTATTCTAATTTTATAGATCTAACCATCTGTTCTCATTTTAAACAAGATTTTAGTAAATTTAGCAATATTGACTGATTTCGAATATTTATATTCAATTCCAACATGAGGCAATGATTCTAATTGTTTTTTCTTATCAATTTGGATTTATCCTAAGAATGTAACTAAAATGTATATATTATACTTACCAGCTTCATCTTCTTCTTTAAAGACAACAACACCTTTACTATCACCTCCTGTTAATTAATCTGTAAAAACTTTAAATTTAGACTCATTTCCTTTTTCACAAAAAGTGTCCATTACAACTATAGGTGAATTTTTTAGATGAAGTGTAAATGGAGTAACTAATTGTTTTGCTTTTTAGAATATTTTCATATATTTATTTATTATAATTGAAATATTACAAAGTCATCCAAAAAAAACTTATGATCTATTTCTATATGTTTCAGAAGGTGGTTATAATGGAGGTAAATTATAATGCCCACTTCCTTCATTTAAAATGAATTTGCCAATAAGTTTAGCTGAGCTTTCTGTAATTCTTGGTGAAGTCAATGGAAATAAAGCTTATTAACTTTAATATCTCTGTTAATATTTCATTGGTATCGAAGTCTATTTGTTCAGTTCTAAAGGTGTGAAGATTTTACTATCCTTAATGATATCATAAATGATATACCTCTGGTTTCTTATATCTTTAATAAGAAATATTTGAAATTGTTGATAGATTATTGATTGTAGTAATCTTATCAGTGTTTTTGAAGCAATCCTGTTTATCATACCATTAATATTGTTCAGTATGAGCTATTTGATTCTTATGATCTATTAAGTTGAATTATAATATAATTACTTTAAAGTGTTCTAATATTGGTTTTCTTCTATCCATCATATAAAACTTATCTATAGAGTGGATTTGCTTCTGGATTGAGCATGAGATTTAATAAAATTATATATATATATATATATTAATATATTAAGTTATATATTTTTAATATCAGATTCATACTCCATTTTAAATTAAACTTTTTAGACTTAACTCAACCTTCATTTTAGGTCGATTTGAATCTTAAATTATTTTAATATTAAGTACCTTATTTGATAAGAACTCTTTAAGTTGGACATCTACTTAGATCAACTATCACATGAGATTGATTTTAATTATGAGTTTCCTTTACCTTCACTTAAATTAATTTATTTTAAGATCTGTCAGTCCTTTATGTTCTCTAATTTATGTTTGATATATTATTTTCTTTAGCCTATCTGAAAGGAGAAGCTGAGGGAGTAGTCCTTTAAGTAGTTCTAGGTGTAAGTTTTTATACAACTGTATTTTTAATAAAAGGAGATTTGCTTCTTTGTTAATTATTATTTTAATTATTTTATGGTCTTTGAAGAAATTATCTATATGGAGATGTGCTTCTTTTTGGAGATACATCTTTTTTTTGATTTATTTAATTTTATTGTTAGTTTTGAGTAGGCTAATTGAATTTGTGTTTGGACTGACTTTTATTAATTTAATTGTTTAAAGTTTCTGATGTTTGTTTAGAAGTGATGCTATGTTAACTATTAGTATTAGTAGATAGTTTTTGTGATTAATCATCTTTTTATAAGTATTTGAAGATGGAATGCATATGATTGATTTGCAAAATAACATCATTGTCTTAAACTATAGGTAATTCATCAATTTCATATTATTTTAGAGTCATCTTAATTGAATCAGGGACATAGGATTGTTGAATAATTTTACTATCAGGAATTTCCAATGATCTATTAGTGTCTGTTTAAATTGTTTAGAATAACTCTGGACATTCTGTAGTTGAAGCTGATTCCTTACTAGTAGATTTATATCTTTAGAGTAATTCTTGGACTGTAAAGCAAACTGGCTTTTAAGTTGGTTTAATTGCATTATCAAAGGTTTTCATTTAGCAGTTAAACAAAATTTATTAATAAATTATCTTTACTATTTTTAAATAGATTATGTTTACTAATTATAAAGGATTACATTTAAAATAGTCAAATGGCCTTTATTATTAATAAGACAAGAGGTTCTGATTAAAATAGACATAATAATTAAATTATATATTATATATATATATATACAAAAAATGTACAAAAGTAACTTTGTTGAATCTCAATCCTTTTTCAATAAATATATGTAATAAGCTATGAAAAATAAAAAGAAAGCTAATAATGAAGATGCAGGTGCAGTTAGATGTTAAAGATGTTTAAAATATGGTCATTTGACTTATGAATGCAAAAATGAAAATGTATATTTATATAGACCTTCAAGAACAATGCAATTTAAGTATATAATAGAGTATTATTTTAGAGAGAAATAATTACAATATGAATTAAATAATGATAAGCCTCCTGATGTACCTGATGCATTTGATGGAGATTGGAAGAGAAATACAAAAAAGAAAGTTGCTTTAGAAGTATCATCAGATTCTAGCAGTGATGAATAAGTATAAGTAAAGAAAGAGGGAACCATAATTAATGTAAAGAAATAAAAAAGTTCATCTTCTGAGAGTAGTAGTGAAGATTCTAGTAGTAGTGATAGTGATTCATCAGATTCATCTTAGAAAAGAAGTAAAAGTAGATCTAAAGATAAAAGAAAAAAAAAATGAATTTTTATGCAAATAATATAATTTATTAATTAATGAGTAATAAGAAAAAGAATATTTCTAAAATTGATGATGGTTATGATGATGTGGGATATTTCTGTGGATGGATTAAAAAAAAGAATTCTAAAAATGTGAATATTGAATAGAATAGATTATCGGTAAATAAATAGACAAGAAACTCTTTATATAAATCTGTATTAGATATTAGCAACAATAATTGTACATCATAATTTAATTAATTAAATTCAACTAATCCAGAAACATAAAGATAAATTAGTGATGCATCACCATTTGCTAGCAATTTAATTGTACCTATTTTTGAGAATAATTATCCTTAAAATTAGTTATTTTAACTTAAGAATAATTAAAGTGGTGACACTATTATTGCTAAAATCACATCAGCTAAAATTGAAGTTTCTAAGGCTATACTTATAAATGAAGATATTTACAATAATCCAAGAATTTCAGATTAGATCTCAAAATATATAGCCTCTAGAATTAAAGACTAAATTAATACATTAGCAGAATTAGGATGTGGAGATGGAGGAAATACAGTTTAAGTATAATATGAAATAAATAAAAGTTTGCAAATTATTTAGACTTTGTTATTGCGATTGATAAATCTACTGAAGCATGTTTGAAAACAAGAAAAAATTGTGATAAAGGCAATTAAAATCAAGATTTTCCAAATCCAAAAGTAGAAATCATAAATTCTGATATTTTTAAATTAAAAAGACGTTTACCCTTTGATAGTATATTCATTCATCCTACTATTAATGCAGAATCAACTTATATTTGTAAAGATTTATTAAAAGATTGTTAACCTAATTTATAATAACTCTTAATGATGATTTCAGATTAGATTGAAAATTTAATTATTCAATTTCCTGCTTAAATTGATTATTCTTAATTACCTCTCTTATTAAATATTAATCAACAATATTAAAATAATACTTAACATAAATATTAATCTTTAATAACAAAATAAAAATAATAGTAATAATTTATTGCTCATTGTTCACTCGAAATTGAAAAAATATATGTTAATGGAATACATGTTCAAAATATAATTTATTATGGTAAAATTGCCAATATATCCAGAGAGGAATTAAGATCAATATTAACTATCTAATTATAAAATTAAGAAGTTAAACCAGAAGCAATTCAGAATGTAATAACAAAATTAAAAGATAAAATAGGTATTTAATTTAATACTTATTAAATTTAGGTAGCTTAGAAGTTGTTTATGAATTACTTTAAGCTTAAAGTTTTAAATACAATATTGATAAATTTTTAGAAGTAGTGTGTGAAAAGTATAAATTAGACTATTGTGATTATGCATTCATTCTTTATCAAAAGTTATCTAAGTAATATATTGAAATTAATTATAATTTTAGAGAATTTTCATAAAATACATTTAATTATCAATATAAATTTAGGGAATCAACTAATGAATTACAAGAATCTCAATGTGCTTATAGTCCCAAGTTTTCTTATAATTTGAATGGATTATAAATTGATGACACAAATTCTATAGATGAAAATGAAGATGTAGAAGTATTAGGATTAAGTTAGGATGATAAGTAATATAAATTGAAATGATTTCATTTAATATATTTCTTAATCAAAACTTTTAATTACTCTATTCTAACTGGTTTGATAATAAAATCTTTCATTCCACTTTCTAATGCTTTACTTAAATTATCTTCTGTATCATATGCTGAACACATAATTATATTTAATTTATCATCTATTTACAATAATTAAGTTGATGTTTAATATCCATTTAATCCTGGCATTTCAATATCCATAAAGATCATCTTATATTATATTTATTATTAAAGTTTTCTTTTTTTAATTTAATTTATAGCTTGATAACCATCATAAACAGTGTCACTTTCATAACCAAGATTCTTAATCAGTAAATTCAAAGAAATCAAATTAAAAACAACATCATCACAAATAAGTATCTAAGATAATGTTCCACTTTAAATCATTTTATTAGAGAAGAAAGTTTGAGTCCAAAATGGAATATGATGTTACTCTTCTGATGAATTTTCAATATCAATATGATTTGATGATATTATTTAATCAATTTTAATTAAGGATTCTTTTGGTCTTAAGGCAAATGCAGTTATTTAATTATTTATTCTGAAACTCACTTTTGTATATAAACCTTCTTTACTTCTAATTTTGAAATATGATTTTTTAGAATAAGCTAATTCATTGCTCATTCTATTACCTATAGTGAATCCCAATCCAACATATTTTGTTGTGAAATTCTTTAACTAATGATATATATCATCATCAATAGATGTATGAATAATATTATTTATAGCATCTAATTCTGTTTTTGCTATTCCTCTTCCTGTATCATGAATAATAAATTTAATAAAATTATCTTTGATTATTCCTGATGATTTCTATTTACTTTTAGCAATAACACAAATAACATCATTTTCTCTTGTAAATTTAAGTGAATTATTAATTAAATTAACTAATAGTTGTAATATTCTTTCAGGATCATTATAAATTATATGATTCTCAAGAGAATCAAATATAGAAAAGATCAACTTTATACATTTTGTTGAACAAATTTCCATATAATACTCTTCTAATTATTTAAATAAATCTTTTATAAGGAAATCTCTGATATTTAATTAAAATGTTCCTAAACCAAATGAAGCATAATCTAAAATATCATTTATTTAATGCATTAATAATTTATTTGAAACTATAGCAGGATTTAAATAATTATGAATAAGTTGATTAGAAATCTATTATGTTTTTAATGCTTGTAGTAAAGTTAATGAACAATTAAGGGGTGTTCTCAATTCATGAGAGAAAGAGTTAAAATGTAATGTCTGAAATTTTTATTTTTGAATATATTATTATAATCTTTCGTTTTCAGTTACATCCTATATGAAAAGCAAATATCCACCTTGATTTAAGAGATTGGCAATTTTGCAAAATTACAATTCAATAATTTTTTCTATATGATTTGATGTAAGATTGACTTTCAATTTATTAGCTTTAATGAAAGTTCTTTGATCTAAACTATAATAAAATATAATCAGTACAGATTAGTCATTTGAGTATCAGAAAATAAAGATAGGAGTAATTATCTAAATTCAGGAATTGTAAATTAATTCTTTTTTTATTTTTTTGATAAAAATTAAGAATCCAGTATTTTTTCACTCATTGATTAGAATCTCTTGAGATTTTATTCAGCTGAGGCAATTAAACTTTCAATCATTTTACAATCAGCCTTTTATAATAAATGTTTTTATGAAGCTCTGGACTTGATTTCTTTGTGTTAAGTATTCTAATTTTCATCTTATTCAATTCCTCTATTAATTTTAAACATATATTTACTGTATAATAATTTTCTATAATTAATACATAGCTATTTCATTTGATTTTGTCTATAATAATTTCTAAGTTTTTTCATTCATATATTGAATCTCAAGATTCTATCCAAAGTAGATGATTCCTTATCGACTATGATTTAAAATATTGATTAATTCATCTCTAGATATCTAATCTATTTTTCTATTTGAAGATGCTATTTCTGCAGGTACTGTAGAATATGAATGGAATACATCATTAGAAGTTGAATTTTTATGAGTTAATTATTAAGAGTTCAGGAATGTTTTAAAAAGTATGATAATAATAAATATTAATGTTGTGATAGTATACTAATGAATTTATGTATTTTAGAATTATATTTCAATCATACAATATAAGTATGTTATATATTATAGATACTTTAGTTGTTTATTTTAGTGTTCGTAATATAATAATAGTAGGTATTTGTAAATGTTAAATGAATTTAAAGATGTAAATGTTTGTCTGATTTCAGAAGCAAGTTGCATTTAATATAGGAGTTGTAGTAAAATAGTGAATTATGAAAACTTTACTTTTTTGTAAATTGCTAGTGAAAAGAGTATACTTAATAAAGCTATGGTGCATCTTATTCCTGACAATATGTAGTTCATATTTGAGAGTGGATCAAAAAGATTTATAGTTGCATCTGTTCCAATAACTAGATTTATTGATAAGGCAATCCAAATATTCATGAATTTTTTATACGTAAATTATATCACATTAATTAATTAACAATGGAAACAAAAACATGGATTTTAATATTGAGATGGGTCAATATTGTGGCTGCGTATAAATTTATATATTTAAATTAGAGTAGTAATTGGAGCTATGGGAATCTATCAATTAGTTACATTTTAAATGTTTACCCATTTTCATTTCTATGAAATATGGAGTATATTCACACCAATTTATTCTTTGTAAATCATATTACTAATTAATTTAGAATATTTTGTGGTCTCTTATTGGCAATAGAATTTAAGAAAGATTTTATAGCAGATTAATTTCAATTCATGATGACTTGTTTTGGAAGAGGAATATTTTACATATTGTATATTTTATATTATACACAATAGTTTGGGATCTGTTGTATCATATTAACCAACAGGAAAATCATCATCATAATAAGTGTAAATTATTACATAGAATATATAGAGCTGGATGGATTTGGGGATTGACTTTATGGTTAGTGGGAATATTTTATGTTGTTATCCATTTCGTTGGACCTAAAAGTGCTACTGCAGGATTAAAAGATGTATTAATGTTACTTTTATTTTAGGCTATCAGCACAGAATATGGAACTGCTTGAACAATATTAAAAATATATATATATAAAAAATTTATATTTATGTAAACTCTCCTAAAAAGTTATTCATAATTGTGGGTAAATCAAATAAAATACGGATTTAAGCAGTATTTCACTTATTTTATATTCTAGTGTATCAATACGTAACAAAACAAACAGCAGACATAGATATTATGCTACTAAACCATTACAATTTTAGAGATTTTATGAGATGAAAAAAAAATTTGATTTCAAGAATGATGATTTGACATTCCCCATTAATATACCACTTAAATAAAGGTATTCAAAAACAAGATTATATTAAGATATGTATATCGACCATAAAGACAATTCAATAAAGCCACTCCATAAAATGATTATCTTAATACAGAAGTTATGAGTGGAAATGAAATCCTTTTATATTTTGAATAATTAGATAACCTTAGAATTAATGAAATTTTAAATGGTCTTGAGAGATTACATAAATTTAATAATGGATGTATGACTATATTCAATATTAGAATTCAATCTTGCTGAACATCCTTGGGTTAAAGCAGCTTTAGACAAAGCATTTTTAGAACATTATCATCTAACCAAAGCTTAATTTATACAATTATTAAATATTTACAGTAATTATGGTATTGAAACACCAGAAATTTGGGGAAAGTTTGAAGAAAGAATGATTAAGTAATATATAAATTGATATTTCTAAGACTTTTACCCAATATTCCAGCCAGATTGTTTGGTGAATGTGTTAGACTATTTATGGAAAAGCCAGAAAGATCTTCTGATGAATTCAAAAAAGAATTGAGTCTCGTAATCCCAGTTCATTTAACTAAAATGTCTCCATAAGCTATTGCAAAAGCATTTGAAATGGTTTACAAATATAATTTAATGACTGATTATTTGTTCTATGATCATTTACACTTTATTTTAAGAAAAAGATTTAAGTGGTTTGTAATGGGAAGAGCTTGTCCACTTATGTTGAGACTCCTTAGAGAAGCTAATTTTGAAGTAATTATTACTAATAACTATTAGACATGTGAATTTTTATGGCCTGAAATTTATAAACAACTTGAAACTGAATTAGATAGAATTCCAAATGATTAATGTGCACCTATTAGAAATGAATTAGTCAAAATTGGTGAAGCATTTCCAACTCATTCACAATATAATAATATTATTATTGCTAAAAAAATAGGTGCTAGAGCTACTTGGGAAGCTACACTTGGAGGATAAGCTAGAAAATTAAGTTTAGTAGAAATTGTGAAAAATGATATTCTTTATTATAAAGAGAAGCAAAAGTTATAGAGAAGTTAAAGTTAACAGAGTCCTTGATATATAATTATAAAATTGTAAAATATACAATTAATTACACAAACCAAAATATTATAATAAATTGTACTTATATTATATAATTTTTATTATTTTTCCATTATTTTTACAAATTCCAATAAAATATTCTAATAATAAATAATTATTAGGTTCCCACTATAAAACTATTAATTTAAGTATTTTTTAATAAATAGAACTTAAAATTCCATAGATTAAACCTTATTTACACTATTCAAAATAAAACAAAAAATTGATTTAAGATCATAAATTAACTTAAAATCTTTTAAGTATAAAATGTCATTATAAGAACTTGAAAAATCCCTAGAGCTTCAAGATTTGACTTAGGCTTTTATTTATAAAGATTTAATTAGTCCATCTATCGCTAATGCCTTTTGCTACACTCTTCAACAAATGCCTGCTGCAATAACTATTTATTTTTTAGAGCAAACTTAAAATTAATTACATGTAGCAACATTTGGAGTTGGAACTATTTTTTATTAAGCCTTTGGATTTAGTGTTATGAATGGAATAGCTAGCGTATTAGTTTGATTAAGCATAGGGTTTATAAGCATTGGCTTCATAAGCTATGGGTGCATAAAAATTTTAATTTTGTGGTAAATTGTATTATCAGTCAATTTTCATTTGTCTTATTTTAATTATACCAGTAGCAATAATCCTATATTCATCAGAGGATATAATGCTGTTCATTAAAATGTATAGATATATTAATTTTAGTGATTAAGAATTGGCTGAAGCAACAGGTCTCTTAAATAAAGGCATGATCTCAGTAATATTATTTGAAGGAATATTTGCATAAACAAAGGCTTTTCTAAATGCTTAGAACCTTTATCAGTATTAAAATTTATATATTTTTATAATAGCCTTTCAGTATATACTCATTTTACATCCTGTTTCTTATCTTTGTTATTTAATTACTTTTTTATATCAATTTTAGAAATGGAATTATTAGGTGGTATTATTGCTAGAAATCTATTAGAAATAAGCAATAATTTGATAGTAGTTTATCTCATAAAGGTATTAAATAATATATTATAATAAAGAGATTGAATTGTTGTAAAGAAACTCTGATAAAATTTGAATGGAAATTATTAGATGGTTCATTCAAATTCTTTAAAACTGCTTTGCCAATAGGATCAATATTTTGGTATGAAAGTATTTGTTTTGAACTATTTTAAATCCAGGTGAATTATTTACCATCTTTGTTACTAAGTTTAAATGTCTTAATGTACACAGTAGCATTACTTGTTTATTAATTCAGTTATGGAATATCTATAGCTGCAACTACATTTGCTGGAAATGCTATGGGAGCAAAATCAGCCAAATTAGCAAAATAATATACAATTGGATCGTTTGTTTTGCTAGGAGGATTTTTAATTATATGTCTGATACTAATTATTGGTTTCTAATAACAAATTATTTAATTTTTGACTTCAGATGTGGAAATGGAAGAACTCTTCATAAAATTTTTACCTGTTTTATTAATCTAAATTGTGGCTGATGGTGTTTAAGCCATAGTTTCTGGTATTGTAAAGGTAATAGGAAAAGAACACTTTGCCTCTTAATCTATGATGTTTTGTTATATTGTATTTGGATAACCAGTAGCCTACATAATGACTTATGTATTAGATTATGAATTAGCAGGAGTTTGGTGGGGAATGATTGTTGCAGCTTCTACATATTCTTTCTTATAAATATATATTATGTTGAAAAGTGATTGGCATCATTTGTCAAATGAAATAAATGATAAAATCCATTCTATGGGTGCTCATCATATTGAAACAGAATTGTAGTTATTAGATAAACCTTGATGTAATTAATATATATATATTATTATTTATTATATCCATATAAATTATTTTCTTTATTTAATTTATATTAAACTAATATTTCAATTGATAGAATTTTTATGCTTATTGCTTTGAAATAGAATAATTAATGATGTAAATCTTAAAAAGATCTTGATAATAATCATATAAGAATCTAATAAATATAGTGTAATATCCAGAGAGATTTAAAAAAAATGAAAACTTTTAGATAAAATATAAAGTAATTTAGTAATAATTTTATTATTGAATAAAGATAATGTGGAAATTTAAAGAATTTGAGATAAACAATAATGAATATCCTATAAAAGATAAGTATTACTTAAATATTATTTTTATGTTGATTATGCTATATTAATTTTAGCTCTCAATAAAATTTATATATTGTATTAAATTCTTAAATAACTTAAAATAAATCTTAGATTATAACAGATATTTAAATTTTGAATATTATCGAGCAGTTCTCAATTGTGATTTTATATTAAATTTATAATATTATTTTATTACAAAATGTAATAGCTGCATCCTAAATTTAGAGCATCATCTGTTCAAGAACAGGGAGAGCAAAGATCAAAACTGCCAAATATTTTGACTCCTACATTTGCTGATTGGAAAATACCTAGTGATGTTAGAGCTCATCCAAAAATAAGTAGAAGAAACCCTTTATTCAAATTTGGACTTATTCCACCTAAAAAAGCTACAACACCTTCTTCATAAACTCATCAAAATCCTCATGATTTTAGAGGACTCAAGTCTGAAGAATAAAGTTAAAGGATTAAAGAAATTATTGTTGAAGATAGAGTGAGTACAACAGAAACAAATAATCTTCATTAATTTGAATCTGAAAAAAAATACTTTCAATTAAGAAACAGATCTATTAGTGGACCTAAACACTCTAATTAATTGGTAAGTGATTTTAATTATTAATCATTAGTTAATCGAATGTAAATAATTATTTGATAATCAAAAGAAAGCTTTTGAGGAAATATTGAAATAAAACAGTCTTTATAATAAGTATTCTAAAGTAATTGACAAAGAATAAAATATAACAAATTAGAAAATAATGTAAATTTTTAACTTATATAAATGATTATATATAACTTAATTATTAAGAATCAATTCAAACATTTATGAAATAGACTCATTATTTAAACAATTCATTCCTTTTTTGAACTATCAATAATTTTTAATTTTGGTTTTAATTCATTCAAATACTTATCTTCTAATTCTTTTTAATAAGGTGCTTTCATAATAAATCTTCTATAGAGGGAATATCCATATATAGCCACTCCTGGAATTCCAAATAACCCAGTTAATTAACAATATCGTTAGAATTTTAATGAAGCACCCTTACTAGATTTGAATTCCTACATCAACCTTAATTTTTGATAATTATATTTACTTATAAGCCATAAATGTTGAAGGCATTAATACAAATGCTGTACCTGCTTCAAGTAAGAAAGTATATTTGAAATGATTGAAATATTATTATTCTTCAATAGTGAATTCTTTATTTTCTTTTTTTCTTTGATACAAAAACTAGAATAAAGGAGATTCTGATTAATATTGATACTCCAATAAAATCTCATCCATCTTATTTATCTATGAATAAAAATAATTAAATAATCTAATTTATAATTGCCGTAATCATTGTAATTAATCATAATTCAATATATATATATATAGAAATACTTCAATTGAAGAATATCATATATATATATATATAATAAGCAATATATTAACTATACTAATACTTTATTACTATAACAAGTTTAATTCATTTAATTATGAATAAAACTAAATATATTATTATCTATGATAAATTATACTATAACAATTTTGATAAAATAAAATGAATGTTGAATTACATTGGTTTATTTATTACTATAATATAAATAATAAGATTAAGGTAATTTATTTTTTATAAATAATTTTTTATTACCAGATACAAGAAAGGGGTGTTTTTGAATGGATTATAAATTGTAAATTTTAAGTTATAAATGTATATAATTAATCAGTATAAGCTTTGAGTGAACAAGCCTGGCTTTTAATATTCTAAGTCGATTGCCTTCCTCGATTTATTGTATTTACCATAATATTCCATGCAAGTAAAAGTAAATCTTTTATTTAATATAAGTAGAGTACCTGATGCAATTTCCAAACTTAGCAGTTCGTAAATACTCTTTAGAGATTCCAGTTTTGGTGAGGTCATCAGCATAGACGAAAATATCTGAGCCATCTGAGTCCATTACTATGAATCCATNGAACTATCAATAATTTTTAATTTTGGTTTTAATTCATTCAAATACTTATCTTCTAATTCTTTTTAATAAGGTGCTTTCATAATAAATCTTCTATAGAGGGAATATCCATATATAGCCACTCCTGGAATTCCAAATAACCCAGTTAATTAACAATATCGTTAGAATTTTAATGAAGCACCCTTACTAGATTTGAATTCCTACATCAACCTTAATTTTTGATAATTATATTTACTTATAAGCCATAAATGTTGAAGGCATTAATACAAATGCTGTACCTGCTTCAAGTAAGAAAGTATATTTGAAATGATTGAAATATTATTATTCTTCAATAGTGAATTCTTTATTTTCTTTTTTTCTTTGATACAAAAACTAGAATAAAGGAGATTCTGATTAATATTGATACTCCAATAAAATCTCATCCATCTTATTTATCTATGAATAAAAATAATTAAATAATCTAATTTATAATTGCCGTAATCATTGTAATTAATCATAATTCAATATATATATATATAGAAATACTTCAATTGAAGAATATCATATATATATATATATAATAAGCAATATATTAACTATACTAATACTTTATTACTATAACAAGTTTAATTCATTTAATTATGAATAAAACTAAATATATTATTATCTATGATAAATTATACTATAACAATTTTGATAAAATAAAATGAATGTTGAATTACATTGGTTTATTTATTACTATAATATAAATAATAAGATTAAGGTAATTTATTTTTTATAAATAATTTTTTATTACCAGATACAAGAAAGGGGTGTTTTTGAATGGATTATAAATTGTAAATTTTAAGTTATAAATGTATATAATTAATCAGTATAAGCTTTGAGTGAACAAGCCTGGCTTTTAATATTCTAAGTCGATTGCCTTCCTCGATTTATTGTATTTACCATAATATTCCATGCAAGTAAAAGTAAATCTTTTATTTAATATAAGTAGAGTACCTGATGCAATTTCCAAACTTAGCAGTTCGTAAATACTCTTTAGAGATTCCAGTTTTGGTGAGGTCATCAGCATAGACGAAAATATCTGAGCCATCTGAGTCCATTACTATGAATCCATAGTTTTTATTCTCATCAAAGAACTTCAAGAAGCCAGTACTTCTATTTTTCTTTGGTTGATCAAGAGCCAATTCCTATAGGAGTTGAGTTACACTGACTTAATGGTCTTAAATGAAGCGATTGCATTCCTATATGATTTGATCACCATCTATATTACTTTCTTCTATCAATTATTGTTTATACTAAAATATTAATGATTAATTTGATACATAATTTCTTGGATAAGAAGAACTCTTCTTAATTTAAGGAGGTTTGTGTATTTGATCCAATTTGAAAGTGTCATAGTCAAGATCATTTTCACTAATATTTGTTGAGAAATCCTTGTATTCAGATCTCGATGGTGACAACTACAAATCAATCAACTTCACAGGGAACATTAATAGACAAATAATTAAAATATTTATAAATAATTTTATTTTCTATTGTACATATATATATATATTCATATAATTATAAAAGATCCTTTCAATAGATCATCATCAATTTTTAATAATAAATTTAAAATTATTTTTATATGATCAACTAAAGTAACCTAGTCATCATATAAAGATAAGAAAATCTTACAAATTCTCTTTATTAACCAAAATATTATCAAACATTATCTTCCAGACAATAGATAATATGTAGAAGTAAAATTAATATTTAGTAGTCATCTTATTGCTCTAATTCAGGAATTTCTTTTTTACTTAAAACTCTTTTAAGATATATTTATAAATCTAAGTTAATATCTTACTTTTGTTTAACTTCTGCTTAGCAAATTCATAAGATAAGTTTGGCTATTTATATCCATTTAAAAGAATTATCCATATAAGAAATTATAAAGCTAAAGAGTTTGAATTATATAAATATTCAAATAAATGTTTAATTGATTACAATATATATTTCATTTAATAATACAATGTATCTTCAAATGTAACTTCTTTATTATATTTATATTATATTATAATAAAATAGTTTAATTTCTAGATAAATTTAGGTCTATTTATTAAAAACTAAAATTTTTATTCAAATTATAAGTTAGTAAATATTAAAAAATATAGAGTATCATACAAAACATACTTATATTTCTTTTATTTTTAGATTAATTAAAGTAGATTGATTTCCTAATTCTCCAATTTTCTGTTTAACTCATCAATTCCTTATATCTATATAATCTTTTAGATTTCCTATTTTTAATTCAGATATCTATTCTCCAAAATATTAATACTGAGTAGAGCCTGCTTTTTATGAATCTTAGTTTAAACAAAGTCATCATTTAAACGTATTTTCCATAAATATCCTTTTAATAGTAAAATTATATCAAATTGTTGAAACATAATAGAATTGGTTTTCAACATTCTTCATATGTTAATATAAAAATTTTGAGTTTAAAATAGATTCATAATTGATCAATGTTCTCTCTCTATTAGTTGAAAATATTTGTTGTAATTCAATTTACAAAAATTAATTCTATATTGATTGAGATGAATAATAAAGAATAATTGAATTTATTTAGATTAATACTTGAGATTGTATGTTATAAGTTTCTTATTTAAATTAAATAAATTTTAATTGAATCTTGAATATCTCCTACAAGTTTAAAAAAAGGAGTTAACTTTTTCATTAGGTAATATATTGATTTGTAAAAGAATAATACAGAATACATCGATATTTATTTTTTTGTTGATAAAGTTTTTAATAAAATGAGTAGGGTTCATGTAGTTTTTACATAAATTGATAAATATTTATATATATTTAAAATATATACTCAATATGCAAAACCAACTTCAATAGTTCCTCACTATTGTAGCCTCAAGAGAAGAAGTTATTTTTATGATTCGCATCTTAACACATTAATCTCTTGAAGATGGAAGAAATCTCAGGGAATATCATTATGAAATTATGAAAGGAGAGAGAAAGAGAGAAGAACTAGAAAATTAAGTGTAAGATAATAATTTTAATGGATTGATAGTTATTCAGTTATAAATGAATCTACAGACAGGAAAGTATTCTTACCAAAAGTTGTATAGAAGTTTAACAAAATATAAACCTACTATTCCAATAAAACCAAAGTAATCAACATTCAATTTATGAGATATATTTCCCTAAATAAGGATAATAAATTGGATAAGAAAACATGATTTAGCCAAATCTAAGAAATGTCATAATTCGTATGTAACATGAGAGCTTAGTTTCCATCCTTAAATACTTGACTAATTTGTAGAAAATGAGAATGAAACTAGAACTCAATAGAGCATAGTTTATGGAAAAGTAATATATAAAAAGGCTATGCATTATTCTAGAGAAGAGAGATGTAATCGTAATGAGAAGTTCTTTTCCGAACCTCTGCTAATGGGAAATTTTGGTATGAATTACATCAACAAATTGCATCAGAAATATTATTACTTAGCATCATAACACAATTGGAAGAATGTTTATGATGTTCTTCTATTAGATGATAATACAAAATAATTGTATCTCTAAGGAGCAGGTTAATTAGGATATTTATATAGGTTTCAAGAGTGTTATTGCCAGCATTAATAAATAAAAGAAGTCTAATGATGTCCCTTAAGTTTATATTCCAATAGAAACAACTTAAGAAATCATAACCACTCGTTATGAAAAATTACTCAAAGATCTTATGGATATGAATCATCATGTTTCTAAATCTATTATGAAATACAATGAATATCATCAAGGTAGAAAAAAGAATAAGGAATCATAAAATAGAATCAAAATAACTACAACTAGACATTCATAATAGGTTAAGATACTTAATTTAAGTGACTTTGGTAAATTTTCTGCTCCATCATCCAGATATAGTAGAACAAGATAACTTAAAACATAATTGTCATGTCTGTAATCTCCATCTGAACCTAATATTAAATAATATGAGTTTCTTTTAAGTTTGCGTCAGCCTGTTAATTCAGGTCGTTTGATTAATAAATGCATTAATTAAAATTAATGAAATACTTTAAAGAAGCTTCATTCTCATTAAAATAAAAATTTGGTTACACTCCAGAAGAATAAGCTATCAAACTCTTTGATCAAGCATATCATTACGAAAGCTCAATTCTTCCTATTAATCTTCTTGATCAGATAGCTGAGTTAAGTTTTCAAATGTATATATAATTGAAATTATTTTTAGCGATCATTATCCAAAAATAATCAATTAAATTGTTTTGTAATTATCTACTATGGGTATCACTCCCAATATTATTCTTAAAGTACCTTATTTCTTCATTAATCAAATTAGACACTTATAATTACAGATTATTTATTAAAATATGGATGTTCAGGTATAATAGATGATTTGAAGGTTAGGATATATATGTTTAGAAATTATTAAGAATTTAAAGTTGATTTCTAAGAACCTTTGTATATAACAAGTATTATTTTTCAATATTTAAAAGTTCGACAAAAAGCTGGGAACATTGCTAATTAATTAACTAATAGAAAGCTTTTATATAAGGAAAAAGAAATAGCAAAATAAGTTAAACTTAAAATATAAATTAATAAACAAAAAACTTAATCATTAAGTCATTAAGATTATAAATAAACAACAACTACACTTGATGATATTCTAGAAAATTATATATTTAAATATATGGATAAATTTAATGATAAATTAGAAGGTTGGGGAGATTAAATAAATGATAAATTAGATCAAATAATTGATAATATTACAATTAATGCTTCTTATGAAAGAGATGAAAATGGATATTATTTTCCAGAATCTTGTATGGATGAAATTACTATTACAAATAAATCAAATAAAAATTAAGAATAATAATAGAAAGATCAATAAATATATAATTAATAGAAAAAAGATTTATGTAATTATAATTATAATAATATATAGTGGAATTTGAAAATGATAATATTTAATAATAATAAAAGTAAGAGATTAATTTACTAGATTGATAATACTATTAAGTAATTTTATATAATTAATGAATCTTATTTAATGATTCTAATTAGATTCGCGATAATAAATAAATATTGTAATAAAATAATTAATTATAAAATTATATAATTAATAAATTCTACAATTCTTTTTGTTGCAAATCTAAATTTATTTTCTCTAAAAAGATTTTCAATGATTATAAGTTATTAATAAGAATAAACTTCTGATCTTTAATATATTAATTATTGATATATATATTTTATTCATACTGATATTTTTTAAACCAATGATCAATTAAAAAAGAGTGTATCATTATAATTAATTATATTCAATAAAACTAATTTTATAATCAAATATTATAAAAATGATTTGATATTTGAAGCAATTTGTTATATTTTTGTCATAACTTTGATATCGTTTTATTTATTTAGAGATTATGAATTATAAATTAATGACTCTTTGCTTCTTAAATCTTGAGTCAATAACTAAAATATGAAAAAATTGAAGTGCTCTGATAGTTTAATTGGTCGCTTAGTAATCATGTTGTTTGTAACCATTTGATATTATTTGATTAAAGTTTCTTATACTATTTTAAGTCATTTATAATATATATGATTTAAAGTATGTAAATTTATATGTGAATTCAAATAAAACTTGATACTTGTGTCTTATCTGCATTTTAGATATTCTTCCAATTATAGAATTCTAGAGAAAGTTCGAGAATTTAAGTATAGAATTGATAGAACTTATTAGCTATTTCTTCAACTAATAATTCTTCTCTAATTAATTCTTCAATCTCAAAGGCTATTTTTTCCATATGCTCAACAATAATTCCAGTTGTTATTTCAGAGATAATTGAAGCATTTTTTTATTTATTTAGAATGTTTTGAATCTGTTTCTTTAATTCTAAGATTTTATATGTTCTTTCACAGTGAACTAACTTATTCAATTTTTTTTCGACCTTCATCCATAATTATAGTATCTTGGCCTAGAGATCAGGCAAAGTTGTAGGTTTTGAATTGTAATTCTCATTTTCAACTTTAATAAGACGAATGAGAGATTTAGGTTGTTTAGTTATTGGTTTTGTTATACAAAGACCCATAATAATTAGATATTTAAATAATATTACATAATCATTCTTTAATGAGTGACTTTTAATACGAGAAAATTAAATCTTTTTATGTATGTTTTAATTATTAGATTAAATATACACTTTATACAAAATTAATGATAAATATGATCATTGAGGTTGTTGAATGTAAACTGGTGAATTAAGCTAAAGTTAAAATCCAAATTTATCAATCAGACCTTTATAATTAAACAATTTATTTCCATTGTATTCTTTATAAATAAATTATCCTAAACATTCTTTTTGTTTATCATCAAATTAAATATTACTAATTTATAAAGCAACTTTGAATTCATTTTCATCACAAAATTCACTAATTTAAGTATTTGTTTTTTTTTATAAAATTATTTTGATTTATTCAACAATTAATTATCTAAATTTCCAAATTTATTAAGCAATAGATTAAATAATTTATTAATATTTTTCTTCATTCATTAAAGTGTATTTACCAATTACATTCTTTAATACACTTTTAATTATACATATATTATTAATTTAAAAAGGTGTAAAATCAACAAATTATTATGAATTATCCTCAATTAAATAACGAGCCAATAATAATGCTTATTTATTATCTTAAATATTAAATGGATAAACCTATAATTTATCCACTAATTCTTCTATTGTAATTTCTTATTTTTAATCAAAAAATTTATTGATATCTTCAATTGTAATCTTTTCAGCCATTAATTAATATTTTAAAGATTTTCCAATATTTTCAACATCTTAAAAATTTACTTTAGGTAATTTTTATTTTACATATTCTATATCTTATAAATGTCTTGAACTTTAAACTTTAGATGTTTATTATTCTTCTCCTGCAGAATCTACACCTGTACAATTTGGCATAATTTGAATTTTGTCTTTAATCTCATCTTCAATTATAATTTTAGAATATGAACCTACTTTAACAGAATGAATCATTTCATCATTTGTTATTACAATGTTATTTTTGTTTACTTTTTCATCTAAAATTTCTTAAAATACTGTAGGAGCTTCTCTTTTATTTGTAAACCATGATTTCTTTGTTTAATATTAATCTTCTAATTCTTTAAAATAATTTTATTTCTAAGAAATTAACATCCTTTACTTTTCTAAATCATATTAAAATTACAAAATTAATGTTTATTTTTCTATTAATTATTAACTTAGATTCTCAATAGTTTCTTTGTATTTATTTTTCTTCAAAATTTCTTATTCATGATCCTTTTTAAATTTAAAAAATTCATTTTATGCTTATTCATATTATTTTTTATATTTCTCTTTTAATGCTTAACATGTCAATAACTCTTGTCTTAAATTCAAAATTTTCTTTTTTTGTTTTTAATGTGAATACATAGATTATCTCAATTATTCTTCTAATTAAATAGTTTGAACAGTTAATTTTTTAAATTTGTTTACGTCACTTTCAGTCTTTAAAATTTCATTGAATTATTTGTTTAAAAACTCAAACTTTAACTTAGTTGCACTGAGTTCATTCTTGGAATATCAATAAAGCAAAATACTTCTATCTCTTATATCCGCATAAAACGAGTACTCTTTTTCAAATTATCAATTTCAATCTATTTCTCTTGTAATAGTAATCTAGCCTATTTTAACTTCTCTGTAAGTCTACTATTTTGATTTTAATTCATATAATCATCAGATACATCTTGTGTAGTTCGTTTGTCAATTTATTCTTTCTTTTATTAATAATAAATTGATTACCTCATCAAGTTTTATCTAAAAACATAATTATTAGTTTAAATGCTTAAGTTGATAATTCTCTTTTTTTAATTATATTATTTCTTCTTTCAATTCTTCAACATCCTTTTTGAATGGAAATAATACTCTTCCTGTTGAAATTTCATTATTTGGAGAATCTTAATATTTATGTGTAAGTCTTCTCTTATAAAATAAAGATCTTCCCAGATTTTTGTTATCCTAATTTAATGCTGGTAATCCATTTGTCATAGATTAATTAAGTGAATATGGAACTCTTTAATTTTAGCGTATACTTCGATTCATTATAAATTTATTAATTTTAACAATTTTTATCATAACTTATAAAATCAAAAAAAGATAGATATATATATATATATAAGATGTCTTAATCAATAATACTATATTATAAAGTTTTTGATTCTTTCTAAATTTTAAGTAATCAATAATAATAACGAAAATGAGTGATTAAATTATAATTCAAAATCTATCAAAACTCTTCAAGTTGAGAGAACACTTCTGAAATCATTTCAATTCTAATTGGTTTTGCAAGGAAAGCATCAAATCCCAATTTTTCACATTTATCCTATTAAGATTCATCATCAAATCCTGATAAAGCAATTAATTTAATACTATCTATTTCTTTATTATTAATCTATATAGAATTAAATTTTATACCATTTTTCGAATTTTTTCAGCTGCTTGCCATCCATTCAATATTGGCATTTATAAATCCATAAATACATATTTTATATTTAAACTCTTTTATTATTCTTATAACTAAAATTATAATTCAATATTACTTTTGTTATAGCTTATTATCCATTATATGCTTCAATAATATCTGCTTAAGGTATTAAATTTTATAATAACATTTTAAAAGCTAACACATTAAATGTTTGATCATCAACAATTAAAATTCCAAATTTTTTACTTTATATTAATTATTATAATATATATTTAGGATCTTAAACATCTAAAGAATCTTATGATTATAAACATTTTTATATTTATGATTTCTAAGTTATTGATTAAAATCTCAAAATATTCTTTAATTTTGATTGATCACTATCTTCTATAGAAGGTTCATTCATTTCTGTTTCTGCCTTTTCTAAAGGTTTTGTATATAATCTAAGATAAGATGATCTGACAAATACAGATTATTAATGTGATTTATCTTTTACATTTGGAGAATCATCATTTTAAAGATTACTTAAATGTTAAGAACTGTTCTCTTATTTAAAACAACTAACGTAATTAGTTAATTTATAAGAATTATCTTATAATTTAGCATAAATCTAAAATGTCATTTTAGTTCCTACATTTAATTAACTTTATAAATCAATTGTATCTGATGGTCCCAATAAACTTACAAGTTTTTTACAGACCATTAAACCTATTCCAGTACCATTTTTATTTTCTATTTTTTAAGATGAGAATGTAGCAAATAAATTGAATAATTATGGTTTGATTGAATCAGCAATTCCACAACCTGTATCTTCAATTGAGATTGTGTATACAAGTTTATTAGAAGATACAGATGAGTATTTGCCTTAAAGACATTTTCTAATCTAAGAAATTGATTAATTACCATTCTAATAATTAATATTTTTAGAGGAATTACTTCTCTTTATATTTTAAGATTTATCTGTATTTAAAGATTAAATAGTAATTGTTATACTACCTTTTTCTGTGAATTTCAAAGAATTAGACAAAATATTCATAATAATTTATTTGATTCTATTTGGATCTGAATGTACTTAATAAGTAGGTATGTCATAAAATGTTTTTATTTCAACTCCTTTTTATTCTGCTGAAATAGCTATAGTTTCAATAACTTCATCTATTAATTCATTAATATAAAAATCACTAATACAAAGTCTTAATTAATTCTTTTCTATTCTTGCATAATCCTATATATCATAAATCATATATAACATAAGATAAACATTTTTTCTTATAATATTTAGTAGATATTTTTCTTTTTTATTTAAATTCTAATTTCCTTCTAAACTTTCTAAAATAGCCACTATTCCATTTATTGGAGTTTTGAAATCATGAAAAACAGTTGCTAAAATCATATCTTTATTTTCACATATTTATTTTGATTCTTATAATTGTTATTATAATGTTATTATTGATTTTTCTATTTCTTTATTTTAAAATATTAATACGAAAGCTTAATTCTTATTCCAAAAACAATGATTAAAGAATAATTTTAATTTTTTTTTCTTTAATTCATTTACACAAATATTTCTTAAACTTTAACTTTCAATTAATAATTCCTCCATTATTTTAGATTTCTTATTTTTTGGGGTTTCTTCACTTAATTATATTGAAGCTCTACAAAATTAAAGATATTTTGGAGTGTCAATCATAATTTCAGGACAATTTTAAATCTGTAATTTATGTTAATCTTCATGTTATTCATCATTATGAGCTGCACGTAAATCAAGGAATTTCTGAAATAAAGGACTTGTTGCTATATATTAACAATTATCAATTATTTCTGAAAATATTGATTTGAAACTATTTTTAGATTAGTATAAAAAGTCTTTTGAATTATCAAATAACGTTTAGAGTTTAATTTTATTGTCTGAAGAAAAGTGATACAAACAATCAATAAATTCATCTGAATGATTTTAATCATATTTGTATTCATTTTCCAATGCCTTAGTATGATATATAGATTTTCGTGTTGATTTATCTATTACCAATAATGAAACTGGCAAGATCTCCTTCAAAAGCATTAAAAGTTCATTTTCATCACTTTATTCTTGGAACTACAATTATATTGATCATCTTACCATAAGAATTGGAGAAAATATCAATCCTAAATAGGAAATTGGGTATTAATACTCATTGAATCTTATGATTGAATATATGAGTACTGTGAAATATATTAATTTCTAAAGTAACTATACTCTGAGAACATTAATCAAAGCTAAAAGTTTCAGTATGATAAATATGAAAATTCCCTTGGTGTTAAATCATTATATATACCTTCTTTTCAGTGTTTTATGTCATTTCAATCTACACTATCTACATAATCAATTAAGTTATAGCTAAATAATAATCTCCTGTTGAACAAATAAACTTTTATTTGTAGTCTAACAATAAAAAAATTAAAGAAAATATCAGATCCACAATAATAAATAGTCCAGAATCCAAAGTATCAATGCATTATGTAAGTCCCAAAACTAAAAAAAGAATGGATGCGATTAGATTGCATATTGCGAATCTTTGTTGTAATCCAATTTCCATAATGTAAGAATTGAAAATAATTTAATAAAATAATTTTTCATATGTTCTTTAACTTATACACAATAAGCAAATTAAACCTATTCGAATTTACTTGCGATAATTTATTAACTTAATCACTTTTCTATTAAAATACTTTGAAATAAATAATAAATGATGTGAATTTTTTAATATTCATTGCATAATTAAAATATTCTTTGAACGCTTTTCCAGTATCTAATTATTCTATGTGTATAAATTCTTTATATCAATTATGCATCTTTATAATATAAAACTAAATATTTTTAAGATAATCAATTATTTCTCACCAAATTCAATTTAAAAATGAACTTTTATTTGTTTAGATTGGATCATTTCTTTATTTAAAAAAACCCATTAAAAATTTATTGTATTAGATTAAAATAATGAGAATAATTTAATAGTTTACCAAAAATTAGAAGATTTATAATATTTTTATTGATTTTAGTAAGAAGAAACTCTAGAAGACTATAAAATTATGTTTATCCATTAAATAATTTTGTTTATATTATTGATGACCCAAAATTTATATGAATAGTATATTTCTAAAATCAATATTGATTTGAATCAAAATCCATGTAAAATAGTAAAAAAATATAAATTAAAGGACTACATTCCCTCAAAAATAATTTTTATTAGTTTTTATCATAAATTATTAATTCAATCTAATTGAACTTGTTATATCAAGATTCATACTTTTTTTACTTAAAAAGAATAAAAATAAAAATAAATTGTTTCTTCAAATCGAATTAAGCTTAATTTCTACCAAGTAATTTTAGTTAATTCTTTTTGTTATATTTATTATCTTATAATCCTTATAATAAAAAAATCTCATATTTACAATTTATTTTAAGATTTAAAAAAAAATCATCTATTTTGTCCAAAATTACTCTAGTATCTCCTATTAACATGAAAATTTATACTTTGGGTTATCAATATTTATTATTTTTCATTTGTTTTACCTATGTGTCATAGATCATAATAATGAATAATTTTTTGGTTGTTAAAAATCACATTTTATTTGTTGGAAGTTTTATTAATTTAATAGTTTTGATTAAAGAGAATAAAAACATAAATTAAATGAAACTTTATAAATAAAAAATAGGAAAATATGATTTATCTTTGTTTTTAAACATCAACCTTTGTCTCGTAATTTGACTGAAATGAAATTAAGAGATTCTTTCATGGATCTACTCTATTGACTATGATAATTTAGATCTTATAAATAATTAAATAAATATGAAATATTATATGATTAAAAATAAATTTTTAATAAATCAAATTATTATTATTGTACTCAATAATTTTATAGTGAAAACTAAAAAAAAAAATTTAACCAAATTAGAGTGAAAAATGATCAAAATTCAAAGGATACTAAAATAAGTATTATTTGATGATATTACAATAATTTTTATTTGAGATTGATGCAAATCGAATAAGAAGAGAGCACTCAATATAATAAGTTTATGTAAAATTTCAGCAAAGAGGAGAAATTAGGAGAAGGAACATATGGTATAGTAACTAGAGCTTTTGATAAAAAAAGAGGAAAGGTTGTAGCTATAAAGAAATTGAAATTAGACAATTGTGATGATGAAGGAGTCCCTAGTACAACTATAAGAGAGATAGCAATTTTATAGAAATTGAAACATACAAACATAATAAAGTTCTTATTGTTATTATTGTAGTTTATTGGAAATAAAATACTTTATGTAAGAGAAGAAGATTTTATTGATTTTTGAATCAATGTAATGTGATTTAAGAAAATATTTAGATAAAAACTAAACTTTATCTCTAAATACTATTAAATTAATAATATACTAAATATTGTTAGGCCTATCTTTTTGTCATAGTCGAAGAGTATTACACAGAGATTTGAAACCATAAAATATACTATTGAATGAGACAATGACATTAAAATTGGCAGATTTTGGCCTTTCAAGAGTGTTTCCATTTCCAATGCCTAAATTTACAAAAGAAATAGCAACACTATGGTATAGAGCACCAGAATTGATGTTAGGAGATGATAATTATGGAACAGGAGTGGATATTTGGGCTGTTGGATGCATAATGGCAGAATGTTTAATAGGTAGACCATTATTGGCAGGAGATAGTTAAGTTGATATGCTGTTTAGAATGATGGAAGTATATATTGATAGATATTTAATTAATAGTTACTTGGAACTCCAACAGATAATTCTTATGTTGGTTTGTCAAAACTACCTCATTTTAAGGTGACATTTCCAAAATTCTAAGGCAAAGATTTTTTGGATGTGATACCTGTATTACAACATGATAGGTAGGCATTGGAGATATTGTAATCAATGTTACAATTTAATCCAGGGAAAAGACCTTAAGCAAAAGAATTATTAAAACATAATTGGTTTGATGATATTAGAAATAATTATTGATTATTTTTATATTATCATCATGATTGCTCCTCTTAGACTAATTTTAATAACATTTCTTAATAAGCTTCTGTCCAATTTTAAACATACCAATCATATTAGGAACTATCTGGATTGAAATAATCAAAACATTCTTCTTTTGACATATCATATTTGGAAGAGGTTTATAAGAAACAAGAATGATTGTTATTATGTTCGAATTTTCTATTTTTAGTTGATTATTGTTGTCCTGTCAATTATAAGAAACTAGAATGAGTTCTAGATTTAAGTTATTCTTCTAAATTGATAGAACCATGATAGATTTCAAAAGCAAAGGAATATCTAATTTTTAATTCATCATAGGCATAATCAACACAACTTCCTGGTGCTAAATAACCAATAGCTTATGATGCAACTCCAACATCACATGATGGACAATATTTACCAGATATATCATTAAGAATATCCATCATTTTATCTTCATTTTGTTCAGCTACATAAATTCAATGGAATTATATACCAGCATCTGTAGAATAAGCATGAGGTGTAAACATTCCTAAAGTACCAGAATGAACAGTTAAAAAAATGTCTGGATTAAATGCTTTTAATGAATCACGTACTGCTCTTGTTTCAGGTTCAGAAAATGGATTTGGTCCTGATGTTACTTATCTGACATCATCTTAAACCTTTTGCCAATGTGCATCATAATTTCTATTAATATCAACTCCATTTTCATTTTCTCTTAAACAATATTCTCCTCCTTCTACTTTTTATCTTGATAAAGGATTTGCATTAAGAATCAATCTTAATTCAAAATCATCAAGAATTTATTTATTTTTTGGATCTGTTTTTTCATAGCATAAATCATTTAAGAAATGAATTCCTGATTCTGGACTTATCAATTCTCTTGGATGTTCACCAAATAAAATATAAGCTTATTTTTTTAGTTCAATATAATACCTCTATATTTTTTGTTTTGATTTCTATTAATATTCACTTCCTTAATTAATGGACTTTCTGAAGCATTAGATAATGACAAGAATGAACAACTACGACTCAAAGATTCTAATTCATCATTCAATTCTGCTGTTGTATGGTACTTGCTACTGAACTTAGTTGCAAAGACCAAAGACAGGCTCAATATGACAATTATTGCAATTTTCATAATATATAATAAAAACGGAACTTAGTTTAATTTCAGAATTGTAATATTTTATTTGTTTGATTGAAAGGACTTCCATTTGCATATTTCATCATTATTGGAGTTGCATAAATTGTAGGAGTTGATGTTTTAGGTAATTCATATGAATGATTAGATTAATAGACATTCAAATTATTAGTTTGAGGTTGAATTCTCATACTTAATTATTGATGATGCTATTAAGCTTGAAAATACTGACTAAAATAATGATTACGAGGTTCAACATTAGGTGATTTATTAAGTTATTTATAATGTTGACTATTATTATTTCTTATGACTGGTTATTATTAAACTCCTGGTTCACTAACTTATGTTAAACATCTATTTTTTGAATCACTTTTCACTTATTTAGTAATTAATTGTTAAAGCATTTATTTACTCATTGACTTTTACTATTATATCAACTCAGCATTTAATTATTTTAGCCGTTTAATTTCATCAAGCAATACCTAAATATCATCTGTGTGTTTAATAGTCTTACTCTCTTAATTCTTTGTAATAATCTTCTTCTTATCAAAATCAAATTCAATTTCTATCTCTTCAGACCCCTACTTCAGTAACTTATCTTATTGTTATAATAATATCTGATTTAATTTCTTCTCTAATATCCAATAATTCCTTTTCCAATCATCCAATTCTAATTCCATTTTTTGAATCATCTCAACTAACTTTGTTACTTTATATACTACGAAAGTCTCCTAATCACATTATAAATCAATTGTATCATCCATATCAATTTGATCCAATATTTTCAATAAATGATTTGTTTCTATCTTTCCCTGAGTGACTTGTGATTGATACAAACTCTTCTAATAAAATTCTGTCTCCTCTTATATAACCTAAAGATCATTCTCATCACAATGCTAATCCTCAAAAATAGAGTTATCCAAATTGCATTTCAACTACACAATTTCTCTATTATGGATTCGTTCCTATTCCTCATACTTCTCTTCCCAAATCTACTTTCAAAAATCATATTACTTTTATTTGACCCTTTAATCCTTAAATCTCTTCTTCCAACTACTATATCGTTACCTTCATATGCTATAATTATTAAACCATTTTACTTCATAATCCTAATATTTTTAAACTGAAGTAGTAGCTGATTCACTGCCTGTTGATTAATTTACAAGCATAGTTATATAATAAATTATGATTAATTAATACATTGAAATCATAAAAACTATAGACCTATCAAGATTGAACAAGTATTATAAAAGCTAATCTACAAATTGCCTAATCAATTTCCTACATTTCTTAGAGTTTAGAATGCTCCAAAAATATAATAAACAAACATATATTGTTTTAACTATTTTCAAAGAAGCATAAAAATAGTAGCATAAATTGGATAGTTCTAATTATTTTGTTCAATTCATCTTAAATCAAAAGAAATATCAAAAGGAAAATTCCTAATTTAATTTTAACTCTTAAAATTTATTTCCATACGTTAAAAATAGACTAAGAATATTATGAATTAAAATGTAATAAGATAAAACTACCTCAAATTACATATCAATTCATATATATTATATACCTACATCTTTAAATTACTTTATCTTTTACTTTAAATTTAGTATTGTTTTTTCTTTATTTTTGATCTCTTTCAATTTTACTGAAATTGATTATTAAGATTTTATACTTTTAAGTTTAAACTTTTTAAGACATTAATTTTAAAATTCCTTTTACTTTTTCTATTTTTTCACTTTTTACTATGTATCTTAATATCTTTTAAATCTATCTAATTGCAAATTAATCAAGTTCTATTTGTTTTTATTTCTTTCCTTAATTTCTGATCACTTATTATATAACAAATATTGGAGATATACAATTTTTTTAAGTAGGTTAAATAGTAAATTAACTTTGAATTCATTATTGTAATCCATAATAATACAAGAATGATTTTATGTTATAATTTGAATTTATATATATTTATATCACTTTTCAATACATTGAATGAAATATCTTAATTGTTCTTGTAATTAGTCCAAAGTAGTTACTTCTTCTGTTTCATCTTATTGATTACGTTCATCATTTTGAATAAGCACTAATGCAAGCCATTACATCACTTAGATAAATTCATAATAAAATAAGCCTTCAAAACCATTAAATTTCTCATCATGAAACAATTCTTTATATGCTGTTTTAATAATTCCATCTAAATTATCTCCCTTATATCCAGAATCTTGGATTAATTACTTAATTTCCTCTTATCTGATATGGAATTTGATGTCAGAATTGTCATCATTTCCTTGGCTAAATCTTTTAATGAATATATTCTGCATTTAATCTTAAATTTCCTAAATATATATTATTTAAATTACACGAATAAAATTGACTAAAATTTCATTATATTTCATATGTTATTAGAAATTATTAAACTCTTTTTCATCTGAATTAATTTCAATAATTTTTTCAACTATTTTCATTACTAATTGATCTTAGGCTAAAATAATATAATAAAATTTAAAGTACATTCTACTTCACTTAAATTATTTGTTTTTTTAAATTATGCCAATTCTATTATAATTACAAAGAACTCTTAAAATTTAACAGACAATTCCAAACTTTTTCTGACATCTTTTGATTTAGTTCCCTATTTATCATATGTTTCAACAAATGAAAATAATTCCTAACTATCTTGGACTAATCCATACTAATTTAAATTTAAATTTAAATACAAATTTTAAGAAATGCATAACATCTTAAAATGAAATACTAATTTCATCTTTTTTTGCATGATCTGTATTATAAAGTATGGCATATTGACGAAATACTTCATAAAGTAGAGGTAATTTGTCATCCATATATGCAGCAATCTTATTGTAAAAGTTTTCTTCCTTTTGATAAATAATATATATTATACTAAATCTTTAAGTTCAAGATTTCCTTCAGCATTTTTTTAAATGATAGTCCATAATTTCTCAAATTTATATGGACATTCTTCTGCAGCAGATTACTTATTTTTTTAACTATCTTCTCTCTTTTAAATTTGCTATTGTTGAAGATCCTTTTCTTTTTATTAAGCATATTCCATTATCTTTTTTTATATTTCTTATTAAGAAATAGGAACAGGATTAAGTCTAGCAGTATGATCAAAATTTTTCATATCCAATGAAAAAATAGATTATTATGGTTCTTAACCTTCTTTTTCTGTAATGATTTATCCATAGAATTAGAATGTAAATTAACCAAGAGGAAGAGTGATTTCTGCAAAATACTTTTTAAAATTATCTCCAGCTCTAGTTAAAATAATGATATAATGAACTTGATTTCTTTCATAATGATTTTATCTTTGCTGGGATAATTTTTAGTATCAAATTCATGCATAACTTCAGGAAACATTTTATATTCATATTAAATTAGATAAGTTGGTTCTTGTCGATTGATTACCTTCTAATTTAATGGTGCTAATTAAAAAGTAGCTGTAAATTAATTTCTCATTTTTCCAAAGGCTTCATCATACCATTCTAAAATTTTTTAGGTATTGATAATACTTTCTTATTAATCAGTTATAATCCATCCTTAACCTTTTCTTATTTCAACTTATACTAAAGTTTCTTTGCCTTCTTCATCTTCTTTTAAATAGTCAAAGATTTTAGCACGTGGTGGAGGAGTTAAAAACATGTCAGTTCCAGGTACTCTAAATTGTAAATAGCATGGTAGATAATTAGAATCAGGATTCTTTTTATTTGAATAAAGTTTAGCAGCTGCAAGAGCAAACCATGCAAAATCATTTAATCCTTATCCAACATTGATGTAAAAGACGAATTCTTCTACTTGCACTTTAAATTTCATTATTATTAATTATTTTTTATGGGAATTTGTACTAATAAGTAATATGCTTAAACTAGTGATCCTCCTCAAAATCAAAGACAGAATCGATTATATTTAAACTATCAACAATTAGCTAATATTAATCATCCTCTGAATGTGAATCACAAATACAACAATTACTTCCAAATCATCCCAGACACTACAGTAGGGAAAGGAATTAAAATGACAAATCAATATACTAGTCGTCTAAGTAGAGAGGAGTGGCTAGAGAAGAGAAAAGAATTTTGGGGTAGGATTATATAAGTTATTTAAAGAATCAAGGGTTGAGGGAGAGAAAGTTTATTGGCAATCAATTCAAAAAGCTATTGAAGAATAAGATGAAGGTATTATAATCAATATGTAGCAAATGTACAAGCTATTCTTAATGCATGTGATCTTAAATTGGTTAATAATTCCATTTAACTACTTTATGACAACTCAATGCATAAATATGATGTCCCTGTCTTTATGATTAATGAACCTTAATCATTTCCATCCACTAATTTTTGTGATGCTGGTTTGATTCAAGATTTTTAAGAAACAGAATTAAAAGTATGTATTTATTGAGGATAATCTATTATCAGGTCAAAGTGCGTTCTAACAAACTACCTTAAGATTTTGAGATTATTACTCATACCAATTAAAGCATAGCTGAATTCAAGACTAAAGTCCAGGAATCTTCTCCAGAATCTAATTAATGTAGGTTATTTTTTAAAGGCAGAGAAATGAAGAATCATCATCTTATTGGAAATTATTAACTTAAAAATGGAGAAGTAAATACCTTACTATTCATTTTTCTAGGTGGTCCAGGCCTTTATGTGATATTACTTATTAACAAACAATATTATATTTATAATGGCATTAATTCATAATCAAAATGACATATAAAACATGTTTAGCAAGGATACAAAATCACTTCAGAAAAATATATTGTCTTCTAAAGAAAAGATGAAATTATCAACAATAGACCAAGATATTTTAATACTAAATCTTAATCACTTTCATCTCCTCAAGAAGCCAACCTCTATACTGAAATGAAAATTTCTGATATCCTTAACAAAAAACCAGATCAAATTACTGAAGAAGAATCCTTTAACGTAAAAATCAACTCAAGCTTTCTTAACAATTCTCTAAGCAACTTTCTCGATAAATAAAACATTATACTAAACCCAGGTGATGTAACAAACCAACCTGTGAACAATATCATGTCAAATACAGTGAATTAGATAAGTATCTCCTTTCATCATTATAAAAAGAGCTTTTCATTCTGTTCATGATCAAGATAAAAGTCTAAAATAAACTACTTATAAAGATATTAGGAAATCTTGGATAATCAGAGTAAAAGTCATATCATTTATTCAAGCAAACCTATTGTTGATCAAACAACATTTTCTCGTACTTTTTTTACAGATCTAGCCAGGTAAACTCAAAGGTAAATAAAATATATATCCTACTGAATAAACCTGATATCTTTTTTGAAATGACTATTTCACATCCAGATAGATTCATCTTTTTAAGTGTTACTGATTCTTGGAGTAAAATTCCAAAAACTTCTAATATTGAATTACATAAATAATTATTAAGAGAAGAAATGAATATTTATAAAAAGAAATAATTTGCCCTGAATTATTGTCCCAATTTCGAATTCGGTAGAAAGTAATTTATATAATCTAAAATTAATTTAGATAATTAGGTAGTTGTCAAGCTCCTTTGGATAAAGAAAGTTAGTAATGACAAAAATACTTCCATATAATCATGAAGTATATTTAGAATTTAATGTATACTCTAAAAATCCATAAAGACAATTATTTAGAAATCCTACTGTTCCTAATTTTATTAAACTGTTAGAAAGGGAATTAGATGGAATATCATTGATACCTAGCTTTATGTAAGTAAATATTTAATTAAAAATAAGAAATATACCAATACTTGTATGGGAATTGATTATTTGGATTATAAAATGTTAGAACTCAATAATTTTAGAGATGGTAACTGTCACAACTAGTTTTATGCTATCAAAAATAAAAAAAATATAACCTTTATGAGTCCAGTGAAGAAATTGAATAATTTGATGATGTGTAATGAAATTATTTTTATTAACATATATTAATCATCTATTATAGTTTTATAATAAAAAGAAAATTTGTATTGTTTATTTGGTTTTTGAACTTGTTCATTATCTATAAAGAGAAAATTAGTATGTTTATTTTCAATAAAATTACTACTCTCGTCCATAAATCTTAGATAAAATAAATTATATTAATCAGTTTTTTTAAAAAAGTGTTTATAACATTTTGATATAATCATAATGATTTTGAGCTAAAATAATTGTCTAAATTACTCATTATATCTGATTTAACTACTTTAAGAACATTTTGTATCTTATTTTAAGGATTATTAAGTTAATTAGAGTTTTTTATGTCATTACTTTTAATTTCTAAAATTTTTATGAACGTCTTTTAAAATAATGGTCTAATCTCTTAAAATCATAACATTTCTGTGATTTTTGACCATGTTTAAGAGTAAATTAAATAACAGCATTTCGAAATTCAACATATACAATTTGAGAGACAAAAAACATATGAAAAATTGAAAAAACACCTAGAAAAGCTCAATCTATTAGTTTATCGATTGATTAACCAATAGATTGTTTAACAAGTTGACACTAAATAAAATATCAGTAATCAGTAATACAAATATCAAATTTAAATGGATCAGGATCTAGAACTTCCTTGCTATAGGAATCGAATTTTTTAAATAAGACTTCGACTTGTTGAAAATGAAAAGGTAATTTGTAATGCCAATAATATCCTTGTGGAATTATAAATGTAAAAAAGTATATAATATTAGATGGACTTACGATAACATACCAAAAAAACTAAGTCATAACAACAAAAACTAATCAATATACAAGGGATGTTAATAAACGATTATTAAAAAAGGCTATGGATGTTTAAACAGAGTATAAATTAAGGAAGTTTCTTCTCATTTTCCAAGAGGAGTATTTTAATTTATAGTACTACCAATAGAAGATGGTGCAGTACTAGGAAATGAAAGGTATTTAATTCAATAATAGATAGTTCACTTCATATCAAAAAAGAATGGGTTAAACCTCTAATTATTAACGATGTTTCTATAAAGGCAAAAAAATTTTCTGATAGACATTGCCCATATTTTGCAAAATCTGATGGAACAATTAGTTTAATTGAATAAAACTGAATAATTTTTTTTTTTGGTCATATAATCAATAAATAAACATTGATGCATATTCTATCAAATCAGGTATTTTACTTGTTCTAAATTACTCATTTAAGAGGAAGTCAATAAATTGTAAAACTTTTAATTTATTCCTTTAATTCATTATATAAGAAATAGTACATTTCATTTTTTATTAATAAAGTCTTATAATAAAAATAAAAAAACTTGAGTTAGAATAAATTTATTGTCATTATTATTCAAAATAATATAATTGTTATTATTAATACTGCCATGTTATGTTTAAAAATCATATCAAATGATTTTATTGATTTCATTATTCTATAAATAATAGTGATAAAATAATGAAATATAAGTGAATATCAACCAAACTCGATAAAGAAAAAAGATAAAAAAAACAACTCTTTAGTTTATACAATACTAATAAATATTATAAATTCAAATGAAAGTTAATACAATACAGAATATTAAAACTTAAGTTAAAAGTAACTATGATTTGATTTAATCATTATTTACATGTAATTTCATACAAGCGTTTTCATAAAAAGTTATATGAAGAAGATGAATTTATGAAGATATTATATTAATTTCATTTTTTATATCAAATACTAATTTATAACTTTAACTTAATATTTGATAGGATGATAATAATAGATAATTTTCCATGATCAAAAAGTTAGAAGTTAATCAAATAATTTTGGATCAATTTATTGAAGATAAGAGGTTGTTAAAATTTTATTTATCTCATTCTCTTTATTTAAAAATTAATTAATCTGAGACTAAAATTTATTGAAATTAATACTTACTTCAGAGAAATCCTATGAAAGAATTTGTTTCTAATGAATATATGATTAAAACTTCTTAATATTAAGACAATATTTATTAAGTATATTGATTAAGAGTTATTAAATAAAAGTAAAATAAAAAATTTTGTTTTTGTTAATTGTTTAGATATGATTTCAAACTAATTTGAATTTTTTAATTTATGGAAAATTCATTTCATATTTTAATATAAGAGGCTTGATTTTTAAGTAAGTTTACATTAATATTCCCAAAAGTAAAATTCTCAAAAATGTAACAAGAATTCATTCAATAATAGTATTAAAGAAATTATAAGATGTTCCTAAAAACTAATTGATAAGAAATATCAAATTATGAACAAAAATTGTCATTAGTCTTTAAAAAGTATTTTTATGATATTAGATATTATATTTGCAATACTATAAAATAATCTAATCAAATGCAAAATTGCACCTATATATTTTATGAATAGACTGAATATATTAAAAAGTAGTTGTATTCTAACTTAAATGTAATTATTTAATTTTGTGAAAATATTATTTGATTATCATTTTAGATACAAATATAATTTCTAATTATTTATGTTATCGAGAATTGATTAAAATACACTATTATATAATTTTATTATGATAAATAATACATTTCCATTAATCTAAACTCTATTTTTTTTTAAATAATGTTGCAATTAATATCTAAAATTATCTTTGTTTACTTCTATATTTTTTAATAATTAACTCAATTCTTTTCAAATAAATGCTAGAATATACTGGACAGACTAAAGCAAATTCAGAAGGTCTTCATACAGTTGTAGACTCTGATATAGAAAGCTGGCTAAAGTAATAGATGGAATAACATATTTTAGAAGACCTAAATCTAGTTCACAACAAGATTATCGAAAACTATTCGAATTAACGAAACATTATTATTCTGCTTAAGTACCTTAGGCAAATAGTGATGAGATTCCTGAGTTTGATACTTAGGAGGATTCTTTTTAACAAAGACCTTCTATGTGTACGAATAAATCGAGCAAATAAAGCTTTGAAGTTATGAAAGAGGAGAAGTAATAGGAAAAAGAATTAATCACTCCTTTAAATGATGAGGACAAGCATTTATTGTTGAGGAGTGATTAAGAGTAATGCAAATTGTTAGGAATTAAAATGAAGAGTGGTGGATGCTATACAGGACAGTGGTACAAAAGAAAACCTCATGGCATTGGGGAGTATGTATTTGCTGATTAGAGTAGATATGTAGGAGAAGTAAAAAGATATTACATTAATAGTGGAATAATGGTTATGCAAGTGGAAAGGGAGAGTATTATTATGCTGATGGAGGATATTATAAAGGAGAATTTCATTTAAATAGCATGCATGGCACAGGAATTTATAAATATACAGATGGAACAATATATGAAGGTATGAGTTATTCTTATCATTTAGGTTAATGGATGAACGATAAATATCATGGATATGGAATTGAATTAAAAAATGATAGCCAGTATAAGGGTAAGAATTATATATATATTAGGTAAGTTTAAAAATGGTTTGAAACATGGTTAAGGAATTTTGATATTTTCTAATTAGGAGAAATATGAAGGTTCATTTGTGAATGGTTTATTTGAAGGGAAAGGAATCTTTGTAAAAATTCTATTTTTATCTTTAGATTTGGCCAGATGGAAGAAGATATGAAGGAGATTGGAAAAAAGGAATGATGCATGGATAAGGAATGTTACAATGGCCAGATGGTAATGTATTATATCTAAATAGGTCGTATTTATGTAGGATAATATGTGAATGACAAAAGACAAGGATTCGGTACATTCCAATTTGCAGATGGTCGTAAATATGCAGGTTAATGGATGAATGGATTATAACATGGATCAGGAGAATTTACTGAATTTCTTGGTTAAATTACAAAAGGAGTTTGGAGAGATGGCAAATTGTTTTCACTTTATTGATTATATGATACTAATTTATATATCTCATAATTTTGGTTAGGAATACTTAGCAAGATTATCTGGAGTTGGTGCTGGGAATAAACTAGGTGTAAATAGAGTACTAAATTATATTATTAATTATTTACGCTTTCTTCATATTTCCTTTGATCTTCATCTATCCTTTTAAGAATGCTTCATTTGCTTATAATTTTCCTAAGCAAACTTTTTCAAAATCATCATCAATCATTGTAAAAGTAGCATCTGCTTATTCTTTTCCTTCTTTTATTCCTCCTTGACCATTCTTTAAATCAATAACCCAAGATTTTATTACTGGACCACCTTTTTATGTAATTATCTCAAAATTAAATACTCCTTAAACTTTAGGAATAAATTCTTTTCCTTCTCCTCTATCTAAAAATGCTTTCATTAAACCAAAAATCTTTTCTGCTTTTAGATTAATAGTTGGAGCTTATGTAGTTTATTATGTTTAAGTAGTTGATGTTTTTCCTTCTTTTTATTATTTGATGAAATCTTCTTTATTGAAAAAGATTTCAAATATTTCTGAAGATGTTTATGGATAATATACAGTATCTCCAAAACCAGCTACTTATTCCCATTTATCTCTAACATCTTCAGGTGAGAATGGAGTATCAAAGAAATATCCTTAATTTCTTTACCATCTTAATTTAGAAATATATCCAGCTCCCAATTCATAAATTGCACCTGTTTCTTTAGAATCATCATGACTCAATACAGCTACAAGTGGTACAACAAATTCTGGTTTTAAATTTGCTAGTAATTCTTTACTCATAACAGTTTCAGTCAATCTACTTGCAGCAACAGGACAGATTGAATTAACTAAAATATTTCTCTTTTATCCTTCTCTTGCCAAGGCTAATGTCAATCCATGAATACCCATTTTGGCAGCACAATAATTTGTTTAACCAAAGACACCATAAACACCAGAAGCTGAAGATGTATTAATTATTCTTCCATATTTTTATTCTCTCATATATGGCCATGCAGCCTTAGTACAAGAGTATGTACCTTTTAAATGAACCTAAACATCATATTATTATATATTACTCTATAAATAAGATCCCAATCTTCATCTTTCATTTTTTCAAATGAAACATCTCTTAAAATACCAGCATTGTTAATCAAAATATCAATTTTTCCAAATGCCTTTATTGCTGTGTCAATCACTTTTTCTCCATATTCAACACTATCATAATTAGCAACAGCAATTCCACCAGCTGCTTTAATTTCTTCAACTACTTTATCAGCTGCAGAAGATGAAGCTCCTGTTCCTTTCATTGAACCACCTAAATCATTAACAACGACTTTTGCTCCTCTTTTTCCAAAGAATAATGCATACTCCTTTCCTAAGCCATTACCAGCACCAGTGATAACGACTACTTTACCATCAAATCTCAATTAACTCATATATTTAATATACTAATACAAATCCAATTGATATTATATATATAATGAACACTTTTAAGAAATCGTGCGTCATATTTAAAAGAGTGATTCAATTATTATTATTTAATATGTTTACCTTTCAAAATTTATAATAATAATTTATTTTACCCAATCAATTTGTGCTTTAATTTATTTTTTTGTTTAACATTATAAATTTCAAAAACTAATTGATCAAATTAGGTAATCTAAATTTTTATAATTTTTTTTTTTTATTTTTTATTTTTTATATAAATAAATACTAATTATTTTAAATTTGAATATCCAAATAACTTATAGACACCTCTATTAAATTGTCTTTATCTTATTAATAAAAAACTTATATAAATATATTATATTTTATGTAAATGTACATATTGTAATTCGATTATATAGAAGAATTTTAGTAATAAACTTGAATGTTAATAAATATATTGTAATTTTTAGATTAGAATTAATTTTAATAATTGTATTTGAAATTATGTCTTACGACACTGCACTCACAGTTTTTTCTCCTGATGGACAACTATTTCAAGTAGAATATGCTATGGAAGCAGTAAAAAGAGGATTGTGTTGTGTTGGAGTAAGAGGAAAAGATATCATAGTTCTAGGTGTAGAAAAAAAGGCAACATCAAAACTCCAAAATGTTAAAACAATAAAGAAAGTATATTAATTAGGTAACAATTAATTTAATGTTAGATAATAACCTATGTATGACATTTTCTGGATTAAATGCTGATGCAAGAATATTGGCTAATCAAACAAGATTATAATGCTAATAGTATAAAATTTATTATGAGGATGATCCTTCAGTTGATTATATTGCTAAATTTACTAGCTAATAATAATAAAAATTCACATAAAGAGGTGGAGCAAGACCTTATGGTATTTCAACTTTAATTGCTGGATTTGATAATTAAAATAAACCAAAGTTATTTTAAACAGATCCATCTGGAGCTTGTTCTGAATGGAAAGCTACTTCTCTTGGAAAGAGTGCAAAATAAGTGAAAGATTTCTTAGAAAAACATTGGAGAGAAGGATTACATGAGAAGGATGCTCTTTTATTAACAACAAAAGTATTAAATTTTTTGGTATATATTAAGGCTTTGATGGATGTAGTTGAGAGTGGAAATAAAAACATAGAATTATGTGTTATTAAGAGAAATAGTTGTTGGTTTTTGAGTGAAGCTGAAATTGAAGAGTTAACAAAAATAACTGCATAGATCTAATGATTATTATTATAATTAAGAGATAATACAAATTTAGGAAATTTAATGTTGTTTTATCTAAGATATTAAATGTAAGAAAATATAAACAAATGAATAATTCGTAATAAATAAAAAATATTAGGAATTATTGAGTATTTTTAATAAAATGATATTTGAATCATTATAATGAGGTAATTATTTATTCTTATAATTAATAATATATATCATAATTTACTTTTTTCTGAAATCTCAATAATTATAATTAATGAAATAAGAATCGTGGGATGATTTACATTTATCTAATGAAAAATCTATTACTAAAATTTTAGAGGCTGGAGAGTAAGTATTATTTTCAAGTCTACTCTATAAATTCAATGAAGTCAATAAACGATAAGAGAGAACATTACTAATTACAAGCCATAACCTATATAATCTATCAAAATTGACAGTGAAAAGAAAAATACCTATCAAAAGAGTTTATGGAATTACTATAGGTTTAATTGGTACAGAATTTGTAGTGCATGTACCTGAAGAATATGATTATAGATACTCAAGTTCAGAGAGAAGAGATTAAGCAGTATTAAGCATCATTAGGGCTTATTGTTTATAACATAAAGGTACTGCATTACCAGTCTTCTACAAAGATGAACTTACACTAACTGCATATACAACAACAAAAGTTGATAAAAAAAAAGGAATTAATAGATTACCAACCACTGGTTCTGAATTAATGAATGAAGAGTAGTTTAGAAAGAGAATAGATTCATAAATTGAAGAAAGATTATAAACAAGAGCAAAGACTTCAACATTATATGCAAAATAGAAAGGTGAAGTAGTAACAATAGATGATTTTGATTTAATAAAAGTTTTGGGAAGAGGAGCATATGGAAAAGTGATGTTAGTTGAAAAGAAAAGTGATAAATAATATTATGCTATGAAATCAATTAGAAAAGAAGATATTGCTGATCCAGAATAATTAGAACACACTAAAACAGAAAGATTAGTCTTAGAACATGTTAATCATCCATTCCTTGTAAATTTACATTGGGCATTTTAAACACCTGAAAAATTATTCTTTGTTACTTAATTTATGAAAGGTGGAGAATTATTTTAACATTTGAAACATGTAAAAAGATTTGATGAAAGCAGAACAAGATTTTATGTTTCAGAAATTGTAAATTATTACCTTTATTATCATTTTAGATATTAGCATTAGAACATTTACATTAAAAAAATATTATATATAGAGATTTAAAACCAGAAAATGTTTTATTAGATGAAATAGGTCATATTTGTTTAACAGATTTTGGAATGGCTAAAATGCTTAAAAAAAATGAACTTGCTAAATCATTCTGTGGAACTCCTGAATATCTAGCACCAGAAATACTTCTTGAAACTGGACATTCTTAATCTGCAGATTGGTGGGCATTAGGTATACTAACATATGAAATGCTATATGCATTACCTCCATTTTATAATAAAAATTAAGATTTGATGTTTAAATAAATCTAAACTAAAGAAATTACATTTCCAACTACACCACAATTATCTAATGAAGCTAAAGATTTTATTTCTAAAGTAAATATATCTTATTAATTTAGTTAACAATTAAAGATCCAAAGTTAAGATTAGGAACAGCTAAAATAGATGAAGTGAAAAATCATCCATGGTTTAAAGGAATTAATTGGGAAAAACTCTTAAAAAAAGAAATAGATACACCTTTCAAACCATAAATATAAGGTGATGCTTGGATTGATAATTTCGATAAACAATTTACAGCAGAAGAAGCCATCAATTCATATGCCCCTGAAAATAATTTAGTCAATTAAGATGAATTTAGAGAATTTGACTATTATTAAAAATGAAATGAAATAAAGATGTAACCATTTATTAATTATTAAATTATGTTATTGTTCATAATCTCTTTATTATTAGAATTCCAAAAAAATAATCTTATTAATATTGAATCACTTTTAATAAAAATATTATTAAATCTTGAATTACTCATCATATAAAATAAGTTTCTATAATACATATTATTATTCCTTAATTCATTTTCCTATCAAAGCTCGAATGGTTTAAAAGTCTCTAGTGCTGATCTTAAATTAAGGTATAATTTATTAAAAAAATGATCCATTTAGATCTTAACTCAATGGAGATTTTTTAGAAGAATATTTATCAGGTGTTAAACATTCTTTTTTCTCAAATATTTACATAGTCTTGGTTAATGAATCTTAAATATCCTATAAAGATACCATTCTAATCAAATTGATAAGGTGATTTAATTTCTGGAAGTATTACAGTTTATTTTTTATTAATTTTGTATGGAAGATAAATATCTTATGATAGTTTTTATTTATTTTTTTCTTAACACTATGTATCAATGATTGTAATATAATTATCATTTTGTAAAACTTTCCTTCCCTTATTTCTTTTTCTTGTAATATTCTAATCAAAAAGTTTGAGATTTTATGTTTCAATAATTCTTTTAATTTCAGATTCTTAAAATTTAGGATCTATACTTTAAGATCTTTAAGAACTTACTGAGAATTAATGCTTAATATTAATTTTAGCCTTTTTATTTGGACTTTTATTACCAAACATGATAATATCTTTATTATTATAAATAGTTTAGATTGGTTAATTCATCTTTAAAGTATTTAGGTATTAGGCTTTATTTATTAGAGTATTCAATTCAATAGGAGATTGAAAATTCTATTTATTTAATCGTTAATTCCTTTCTAAACTTTAATTGTACAACCTGTCTATATTTTCTTGCTTAGATTAATGAAGTGTGATAAGATTTAAACAATACTATCTAATATCATTTAGTTTATTACTTTTATAATAGCATAATATCATAGAGTTTCCAGAAATCTTAATCATAAAATTGATAAATTCTCTAATTATCTTAAATATTTAATTGCCAATTAGGTATTGATTTTTTTACATAATATGAATTTGTATATTCACTTGGTAATTGTATCAAATCCTCAGATCTTTTCTGAATTTTATTAAGAATATAATGAAGATTTTAACCATCACAATTTAAAATATCACTGATACTTTATATATAGTCGATTGCATTTTGAGTCTTGCATTTTTCAAACAATTGAGAAACTCTAATAAGGAATCGGCGGATCAATCTGTTGGTTAAATTAATTAAAACTTTTTATCATGATCTTAAAGTTTATAGTATTTGTATTTTGATAAAAGATAAGGGATTGTAGTCTCTAAATCGTTTTCTTTTTGTTCAATCTCTTATTGAATGCCCCTAAAAATAGTATTTAAATCATCTGGATTAACCTCTTATAATTTATTTTATTCCATTTTTATGAATAAAAATATAAATTTATATATTCAAATGAATAGCTATCCTTCTATCAAATATTACAGAAAATAAATAAATAAAACTTTAAAAAACAAATATGATAACTAATAATATGATGAATAATTTATTAGGATAAATAACTTTAAGAAATATTACTCTCCAAATAAATGAAAAAAAGTTCTAAAAAATATTCAATTACACAATAAAAGAAACAATTGCTTACTTAATTTGATCAAATATCAATTATATCAAATTATCTCCCTACTAAAATAGGATTTTATTTTGGAATTGGATATTATGTCATAATGATATTTTGTCATATTGATATTAAACTATAGAAATTGAATTGTGTTCTACCTTACATCATAAATGCAAAGTTAGGAACTTAAAATAAATCCTCAAAGAAGGGGCTGAAAAGTTTTATCATTATAATTAATATAATAATATATATTGCTTAAATTTTGTCCAGAAATTGATTTAAAATCTGCATAGAAAAATGAAATGGATATTAATAATTTTTATTCATGACTTAAAGGTAACATTAAAAGAATGTGGAATATTTATCCATAGACCAATTAAATGGAAGAATAATCTAATCAATCAAAAACATTTTCGATAAAACTAAATAAGATTTTCAGTAAGAAGTAGACTAGATGAGAAAGAAATTTTAAGAGTTTACAGATGAACTTTAAATGTATATAGCATCAGTTATAATTATAGTAAATTTGAAACAAATTTAAATAATTCTTATTAGCTACAATTATAATCTATGTAGTTAGAAAAAAATAATGATGAATAAGCCTATGCTCAATTAGAACAAAATGAATCTTCTTAATAATTAATTTAAGAAGAAGTAGGAATTGAAGTTTAGAATGACTTTGTAAATGATAATCCAAAATATTTACTTTAATAATCTAAAAATGATGCATCAGAATTATTTGATAATAACTAAAATTTGATGGAAAGTAATAAATAAACAAAACCGAGAATAATATTAAAGAAAAAGAATGATACACATTTAGCTTAGAGTTAAGATTAGAATCAATTTAATTAATCAACTAAAAGTGATATAAAAACATAGAAAATTAGTGATAAACAAAATGAAATTTGCCAAAACCAAGAAAATAATTAAACAGATGACTAATAACAAATTGAAAAATAATTTGAAAATTTAGCAGGTGGGGATGAATAACAAGACAGAAAACGTTAGCAGACTCCAAGATCCAAGAATGAAAATCCCAATTAAATAATATAACAAAACCTTAGATAACAAGAGCCAGAAGATTAACAATAAATCTCATAAGAAAAATATGAGATAAATAGAATAGATGAAGAACAAGTATTTTAGTAACCAATTAAGAAAATTTTTGTTGTAGATAAAGATACTGTAGTTTTGGCGTCTGAAACTCTAGTTAAAATTATTAATATTCTCAGAAAGGAATAAAAATGTGCAGATACGATAATATAATAGCCTATTTTGGATATTGGAATAATTGAATCTAAAAACATTTTTGTTCAAACAAGCCATATTTTATATATATTCAATTTTTCTCTTGGACTTCAAAAGGTAGTAAATCTTTGTTTAACTTAAAATTAATTTGCTTTTAAAAATAACCTACTTTATAATTACTACTAATTAAATTAAAGATTAGAAGAGCGAGAATTGATTCAATTCCCTAAACTCAACATAAAAAAACAATTTTCTCTAGAGTCAAATAATAATGTTGTTGCTATTAAAATAATAGGTGAAAAAATACATATTGGATTTAGTAAAGGTTTTGTGCAACATTATAATTTTTTTAATTTTAAAGGAGGATAGAAATTTGAACTACAAACAACTAATTTAACGGGATATGGATTGTTTTATTTTGAGCAAGATTATTTCATTGGAGTTTAAAAGGATTTTGTGATCATAAAATTCTATAAAAACCATAAAGATATTAAATTTCATTCTAAAGATACTATAATTTAGTGCTCATACCTTATTAATCTTGAGAAAGATTAATTCGAAATTCAATGCTTATAAGATAATGGGGTAAACTTAATAATTATTTTTAGAAAGTGTTTTTTTATGTATAGAGTGGCCAATAAATATTAAGAGAATCAGTATTAAGATATAAAAATGTCTCAAGTATATAGGTTTGTCCTTAATCAAAGATATTTTACTATGGACATGAAAATGGAAAATTATTATGGGGCAAAGTAAAAAAGAAATCATAGTGATTGTATATTATTAGAAATAAATATTTTAATAAAATATTGTTTTTATTTCAATAGAATATATACATACTTTCTTTAAGGTTTTCTAATATAAATCCATTTAAAAATGAGGATAGGTATTTAGAAACAATATGATAATAAAATCAATTAAGATTTTTTGTTATTATAAATTTAATTAATTGACATTGTTAATAAATGGGGACTTGTGCACAATGCAATTAAAAGAATGAAATTATTGAGAGTGATACTTTAATATCAAAAGAAAGTGTATTCTATAAATTAAAAGAACTAAATCAAAATTCAAAATCAACAATTTTTTTTACAATGAGAAGTAATAAAAAGATTGGTAATGATAATTTGGGTGATCAATCTTCCTAGGTTAGTGAGATTAACGATGAAAGATCAGAGATGAAAAATATACATGGTAGTGTAAAATTAAGGAAGAGAATATATAGCTTTTAAGAATAACAAATTTTGTAGACTCATTGTCACACCAATGATTAAAATGATTCTGCTAAACTTAGATGTTTTAGATTTACAGATCCAAATCTCCCAAGAAATTTATCAAATTCATCAAGTTCAAATAGTCAATTTAGAGAATTTAATGCACATTTCAAAATTTGTGATAAATCAATTATTGAATCTGATGAAAGCAAATCTATAAAAAGTATTTTAAAAAAAGAGCCAAGATAAAAGAGTGAAACAAAATCAGTTCATTTTGCAAAAAATATTAGTATGAGTTAAACAAGAATTAAATCTAAATCATGTCATCATAAATAACATAAAAAGAAAAAGAAAAAACTACAAAAATAAATTTACAATTAAAATTAAAGATTTGAAAATTATTAATTTTGAATTGGTATCACTTCTTTTATTTACTATTCCCTTTTTCATCTTCAACTTTTGGACCTATTCCAAGTAGTGTATCTCTAAATTTTTAATATTCACTCTCGAAATTTGAAATATCATCAAGAACTTTAGTCTTAAATAAATTAATAGAATTAATACATCTCCAGTTTATTTTGTTTCTTTCATTGTTTAAGCTAAAATTTCTTTTTCATTTTGTTCCTTTGCTTATTATTCTCTTAGTTTAAATCTTTCCTAATAATAATTAACTCTCTTGACTTCTCTTTCCCAAAACTATCTCATGACTTTTATTTCATTCCCTTAATCCTTACATAAACTTTATGGGAATTCTAATAAATGTAAGGTACCATCTGAATCACCTACAGCTACAATATGTGCCATATTTTCATTAAATTTCAAAGAAGTAATAGCACATGCAACAACCTAAAATTATAATGTCCATTTATGAGATTAATCTAACATATCCCATACATCTAAATTTCCATCAGTTTTTCCAATAATAATTACTCCTGCTCTAAATGGAGAAAATCCACCACATGTTATTTATGCACCTTTTAATATTAGACTATCAAAAATTGGTAAGGTTGAATTATGTTTCCATACACAAAAATTGAAATCATGTAGAGTAAGTATGACATCATCAAAAAATGGACTGACATCTAATGCAATAGGTGGTCTTAAACTTCTTGCCTATTGCCATATTGTTGTTACTAATTAATTCTTTTATCCCTCTTCTCCTTATCTTTCACCCCAATCTAAAATAAAAACTTCTCCTTCATCTGATGTCCCAGACAAAGTAGGTGCTTTCTAATCTATAACATATTTTTTATAATAAAATACTCTTCCTAAATTATAATTATCCACCACCCATTAATCCACCTCCTTCAGGTCGATATAGTTATATTCCATAAGAAGCTTTCCAAGGAATAGATTAAATCTAAATTGTTAAATTTTACTTTATTTACATCTTATTATGTTTTTTTACTATCTTTATCTATCAAACGGGAATCCCAAAATAAAATTTATCCATCAGCACTAATACTTGCAAATTAATATGTCTCTTATGATGTTGTAAGAATAAGATGATTAAAGTGTTTTTTATCAAATTCCATTCCTATAGGGAACCATTTAAGGGCTAAGACAGGACTTTTATGGGATGCAACCTACTTTTTTAATACATCATTTGCAGCAGCTGCTTAATAGGATGCAGGGTCTTAAAGAGCAGATGTCAATTTAGGTAATAATTCTTGAATTTCATCTAAGGTTTATATTTAATAATATACTTCTTTCCTATTTTGTCTTTTATGTTTTTTTGGATGCAAAAACAGAAAGAGCTGTTCCACTCAAATCCCATAACATAACTTATCCATTAATAGCTCCTCCTATAATAATATTAGGATCTTTTGGGTTGAATTCAAATGATAGTATTTCAAGAGGTGATTATAATAATAAAACTGGCTCAATTGAATGAATGTCTTCAAAATCCCAAAAAACAATTAAGGATTTATGAGACTTTAATTATGAAATTGCTCTTTCTTCAAATAATAGATTTTCTACAAAAGACTCTGCTACAATATATTTTGATTTGATTGCCTGACTAGAAGGTTGGAATTATATGCATTGTATTTTTTTACCTTTACAATTTAAATAACTGAAACTTTTGATTTCTTTGATTATATTTGTAAGTTCAGCATTTTGATCTATAATAGGAATTTATTAAATAATATACCTCCATTTTGATCAGATGATGGAAGGACATTGAAATCATCTTAATATATATCAATAGTTTCATTTGATTAAAGTGCTTCTTCCATTAATGGATAGACAGTTTCTAAAAATTTAAGAAGTTTAAAATCCTCATCAGGTTATTCCTATCTCTCATCTCCTTGGTCTACTTATAGTGCTTTATTAATTCTTCTGTTCCACACAGTTTAAGAGCATGCATCTAAAACAGGATTACATCCTTGTATTCCCATTTCTATAACTTTATTTTTAGCTAATTAGAGTGGGTCCTTATCTAATGCTTTAATTTCTCCAGTCCTTTCAGCTGTCTCTTAATCACTAAATTTGAATGTCAATCTAAATAAGGTAAATAATAAAAATTGAATACCCAAATTCCTTTCTTTTTTTGATGAACTGCATTTTGATAAGTGGTCTATCTTTAACGTATAAAGATAGAATATCCTTGTTAAATTAAAAATTTGATTACTTGAATGGTTTCATCTTCATGAGTTGTTGAATAAGGTCTAGGTTCAATGGGTTTTTCTTCAACAAAATCATCATCTTCAGAGAATTCTATATATAGTAAGAATAGATACCATCCTATTCTTCTGAATCATGTTTGCTCATAATTATTATTATTAAAAAATAATTTAGATTTGGATGGCAATTATAGAGTACTTTAAATTTGATTAGAGAAACTAAAAAAGATAAGATGAATTAATATAAAAAAATGAATAATTATGGATATGTATTAGTAATGGTCGATATTACTTTAATTATTTATTACTAAATTAATTTAATTTATCGTTAGATGTTTGTTTGTTGTGGTAAGAAGAAGAAGGATCGTAAACATTTATCCTTAGGAAATCTACATTAGTTAAATTTAATTTGTTAAGATGGTCGATATTTTGATAAGACTCTTAAGATAATAACAGAAAATAATAAGACTAATGTATTAAGATTAGTAGTATTTAGGTAAGTGAAATAGTGAATAAAGAATGTAAATTTTACTGTCCAATCTGCTTCAAATATTATGATTGTATGGATAATAGATTAATTTAGGTATGTTACAATCAACTTGTTGTTCTAATTATGTTTGTCATATTTGTGCAGTTTAATCTTTAACAAATAAAATGTATAATTGTCATTACTGTCGAAATGAACATTGCAAATATGTGGATGTAGATCCAAATCAATAGTTAAAAATATATATCGATTCACACTAAAAATTATGAAACATTTATAATAATTAATATAAATTAATCAAATTTAAAATATTAATATGTTATGATATGTATCTAATGTATTAATCATTCATCAATGGATTTTGAAGCATAATTTATTTCACAATTATAGATTGATTATAATTCCTTATTGCTGAGGGTATTGATAGAATTCAATTATTGATAGAATCTAAAATTATAATAAATAATTATTACGATTCTTATGATTTTGAGTCCTTTATAGCAATTTTTCCTAATTATTTGAACTTGTTTTAAAGAATTCCACTTAAATCACAATGAGTATTTCTAGCATGACCAGATGGGAACATAACAAATTGACTATCCAAATTCTTTCCATCCTTCAATAAGATTTGAACTCTTGTTGGAATACCTTCAGGATATTTATCATCATATTCTTTTCCTCCATGTTCAAATTCTGTTAAGGCCATAAGTTTCTAATTATAGATATTAATTATATACTCTTGTATCCTTATTTCTAACAGCTGCATGACTATAATCATATGGTGAAAGGAAAAGAGCTTTCCAAATTTCATTCAAATCATTAGTACTAGATAAAAGTGAATGGAATGATTTCTCAGTGAATGCCTTTCTCAACATTGTACCTAAAATGTAAACCATAGAATGATCAGCTGATTATCTTGTATGTGGATCTCTTTTAGCTGGATCACCAATAATACCAAATGCTGGTTCATAAGCAGTAACTTTAATTTTATCAACAGAGTCAATTGAATAATTTTAAACAAATTTAGTATCCAAAATTAATTTTTATAATCCTTCCAAAGCACCAGCAGATTAATGTTCATACAAACCTAATTTGAAATGCATTCCCATAACTGCAAAATCATCTCCACTTAATGAGAGTGTAATATCAAATGGACTATCTCCTTTAGTCTTTTAGAATAATCTGAAAATAGCTTCTGGATTACGGAAGATATCAGCTGGACCAATAAATCCATTCATTGATCTCTACAAACATTTAATAGCAGCTTCAGTAGAAATAGCAGCAGATGCACCCTTTGAATCAGATAATTGATGTCCTGCTCTAATAGCTCTGAATGGAATGTAATGGGCTACAAACATACCAATTGCTGATTCAATTTAAGCTGGAGTAGCTCCCAATAATGCTCCATATGTGCATATTGATGCAATTGCTCCATGAACAACATGATCTATATAATATTAATATTATCTATACCAATTTTGTATGTTTTTAATGAAAATACTTCAGCTAATCTTCCTCTGATTTCATCACTCAATACCATAGCCTTAAGTGCAGTCTTTCCATCAATAGTTGCATTTTATTAAGCAGCTGCAATAACAACTGGATAATAATCATTGTGACCAAATTCACCAGCTCTTCTTAATGGACTACTAGAATCATATCCAAACACTGTGCCATTTGAATCCCATTCTCTTACAGCAGCAGAGTTAGCTACGATTGCATTTGTGGCTGGCACCCATAAATTGCTTCCAAAAACTTTGGCAAATCCTGGTTTTGGTTTTGAAGCTGCTCCTGTTTTGGCTGCCAATGATTTGGCTTCTTAACTAATAGTTATTCAAGTATTTATACGCTAAAATAGTTGGAGCATTTGTTTTCAAGGCTAAAGCACTTACACCACAGAATACTGAGTCTGTGTGGAAGAGTTTACATCTTTCAAGGACTTTTACACTTGGATTACCATTTTTCATGAATTCTATGGCATACTCTCCCAATTCTCTTGCTTGATTCTTGTTGGCTTTTAAGACAACTTGACTGAAGGCACGACTAATTGTTTGGGTTAACATAAATATCTTTTTATTTAATGCAAAATTAAACTCATTTTCAATTAATATAGCGCATCAATATGATGAAATTAAATATGACAATTATTCATTTTGATCAATTTACTTACGCAATACACCATAATTAATTTTTATATTGAGCACTATGTGAAAAATCTTATTTCTCTTCATCTTCTTATTTTATTATACATTCCCTATCATTTCCATCCAATAAAATACAAATATAATGCTTGATTCTTTTTATTATATTATCAAAATATATTTTTAAACAATTCAAAAATGATAACATTTACTTTCCTAATATGCAATCCTCAATCTTTAGAGTGTTAATATTATGGATCTATTTGAATAAAATCAAATGAAAAAAAACAAAAAAACTAAAATATATAAATTCTTTTTTAATACACAAAAGGATTAAATTAACATATAATATGTTCTTTATAACTGTATCTAATTTACAATACCATTAAAATTCATCTTAAATTGCATAAGAATAATAATATCTATTTTTATAATAATTATTTATTTTTGTAAAATAGAGACAGAATTATTGTTATCTAATCACAATTCCAATAATTTTAAAGCAAATATTGAATATGGGATGACATCTAAATCATAACTTTTAACTGTTTTTATTTATAGTTCAAAGTCTTAATTATAAAATTCATTATTATTATAATAATATTTTGATTATTATAATAATTACTATCAATTTGGTATCTTCCTAAAAATTTCAAGAAAGATTCAACTACACTTCTTAGTATTCATTTTTTGGTACCATATCTATGATGGCTTCTTTCATTCCGTTAGGTAGTAATCCACCAGGTTTCCATAAATGATTTACTCCAGCTTCATTACCACTTGGAATTCTCAAATTGAATTTTTATGGATTTAGAATATCAATCCTACTAAGACGTTTAAACAACCATCTTCCTTATGGAATTCCTAGATTTTTTTCTATTACTGAAAGACTACCATTTGCTGCTTACAATAATATATCCATTTAAGATTTTGGTACAACAAATAATCCATTTTTTGTTCCTATGTAATCTCTACCATAATGATCTAGAATTGCTGTAACAATTATTAGAGAAGCTCCATTATGAAAGGTTTTCAAATGTTGTTCAATGTAATCTTAATTCATAATTATTTATGGTTCCGGTCTATTTCCTTTAGGTGTATTAAGGATTAACTCTTCACTCCATCCAAATTGATAAATTAATGGTATTTTGGTCTATTTGTTGTAATTAATATCAATTTCATAGCAAGCCTTTTAGCCTTCTATCTTTAAATTGTTTTAAAATAATACATATTATGAATTTATCAGAGGAAACACTATAAACATAATCCACGTCATTTTCATATAAATAAATTAATTATATTTAAAATATTTAAATTCATAAAATAGAATTTTAAATATCATAAATAATTTCAATGAAAATACCAAAATCTATATGAATTTCAAATGAATAAAGAGAATTATATTGAAATTATATTTGTTCTAAAAAAGATTACTAATATTGATTATGAAAATTTTTATAATATATTAGGAATTATAAGTTTTAGTATAAAATTAAATATATTATACACTAAAGTGTCATAAATATGTTTATTATTTATATACTGATTGAATTTTGTTTAAAAGGGTTGGGAAAAGAGTTATAGATTTATTAAAATGATGAATAAGTGATTGATAGTTTTTCTCAGTTTGGAATAATATTGGGTTCAAATATAACATATGAAAGTAATACAGAATAACCCTGTTATATAATAAATTAAAAATTAAAGAATAAACAATCAGAAGAAATCCTTTTAGTACCTGAATTTAAAGAGAATGCGTTTGCTAATTTTTATGATGATGGAAAATTGAATCAAGATATAAATTATATAGTTTAGATGGTATAAATAACAACAGGTGCAATAGTATTGAGTAATGAAGGGGAATTAATTTATTTAAAATTAGTAGAGAATTCTTTTCATTTAACTGATAGAATGATGTTATAAATTAATAAAGAATAATTCCTCAAACCTGTATATTTGTAATACATCTAAAAGTATAATGAATTATTAATCTTATTGAATGGTGAAACTTTGAAAATTAAACTAAATTTTGAAAGTGAATCAATTTTTAATGATATTATGAAAATATATGATGTTTTCTTAACAGAATAGATAAAGAGTGTAGCATTTATAGAAGATTTATTATTTGTAGCATCAGGTGAATAAGGATTACATATTTATTTGGTGGATAAGAGAGTATTTTAACAGATATAATGTACTATAGAATTCAGAAATATTACAGATATAAGAGTATTTTAAGAGAATTCAGTATACTTTATTTTTGCACTTGATTATGAAAAAGGAATCAAAGTAATAACTTTTAATACTAAAACAACATTGTTTTATGAAAATACATAATTAACAAATATTCCTTATAAAGGAGAGATAATAGATTTATATTAAAATGTATTAATGGTTGTTGAAGAGAAAGAAAATGAATCAATAATTCATGAATTGTAAATTTCATATGAAAATAATACATGGAGATTAATACATTAACATTTAGCATAGAAATATATTTAAGATATTGAAATGACTGAAAATTATGCTATAATAATAGGAAGAAATGGACACGAAATAATATATCATTCTCTCCCTTCTTATGATATTAAAATTTAAGATAAAATTATTATACCTGGATTACAGAGACTTTTCTTTCTTGATAAAACTTAGTCTAATAACATTTAGATATTCGGAATAACAAAACATAAATTCTTCACTACAAGATTATAATTATTTCCTCAATATATTAGTTGTTTCTATAGTTAAGAGGATAATGAAATAATGTTTACTTATTTTTAAAACTCTACAAAATGTCCTAGTTAATCTTAAAATAAGATTTGCCATTTTAAATAAAATTATAGCATTCAATTTGTCCATCCTATTCTTACTTCTGAATAATCAATCTATGTTTATATAACATGTTTGGTCATTGTAGCATTCTTTTTAATAATTTTAGGATTTTTGATAAAAGAATTCAAAAGATACTAATTTTTTGTGAAACTCCACTACTCGAAAGATTAATACTAATAATAATAAAGTGGAAGTGTTGCTCCTCCTTCTATTGATATTTATGCTTTGAATTCATTTGATAGTCCATTGAAAATTAATAAAAGATCATATATACCTTCTATTCATGCATAAAATGACTAAAAGATTGAATGAAAATATAAAATTAAATATTTTTAATTGTATGCTCATAATTCTTTAACTTTTGGTTTATTAAGTCTAATCTGAATCTATTTAGATTCTAACCAAATAAGAAGCTATCTTAGATGTCTTTAGTTCATCTGGAATAATCCTCGAATAATAATTAACCGATTAAAGTTTGTGTCATATCATTCCATAATAACTAGTGGCTCATGACATTGATGATAATTCAATAACCTTAATTGAAAGCTATAAGGATGATTTATTTAGTTAAAATTTTGAACTTGGATCATTTATAGGAAAAATAGGAAAAATTATTAAATTTGTTTAAATTACTAATGGTGTTCTTGTGTTATAAGATGATGGTCAATTAAAGTATTTAAATTACTAAAATAATTCATTTCATTTAAAATCTACATTCAAATTAGAAATAGAGAAATTTGCATTAGAAGGCAATGTCTTCTTGGAATATTTCTATTATTAATAATAAGTTTTATTGATAGCAAATACTTAAACAATAGCCTTAGATATAATTCATGATGAAGATGATTTGTATATAAAATAATATAAGATTTATGAATAATGGTAAATCTCACACATCAATAGCATAGCTACAGTTGGTAATATTATGATTGTTGCAATGGATTCTGGTATAAAGATTTTTGAATTTAAAGATCATGTATTAAATGAAATAATGATCGATATCAATTAGATTAACCGTGTTTCAGATGTTAAAATATTTAATAAAAAGAATAATGAACTTTATTACATTTATTTGTTAGATACAATCTAAGGAATTAATCAATATATCTTTAATACAGTGACTTAGAAATTGGAACATAATTCTAAATTAGGAATTATTCCATATCCAGGAGATATTCTTGATATCTATGGTGAAATTTTAATGGTTGTGAAAGATAAATATTTGTATGAAATTAGAGTTGATTATTATCGAAATACATTCACTCTTGTTAAATAACATGAATTAGAAACAGAAATTGTTGATATAGAATTGACAGAATAATTTGCAATTGTAATTGGTAAAAATGGTCATTAAATTTTATTTCACTCAATTCCATCCACTTATTCTTAATTTGAGTGGATGAATTAATTAGTTATACCTAATTTAAAATAATTGGGAATTTTGTCTTTAAATTTAGATCAATAGAACTTATAAATTAAAGAGACAAATTCTTCTCATAATATTATTATTGGAATTACTTAACATAAATTCTTTTATTCAAAAGTGGAATTGGTAAATATCTTAATTATTCGAATTAGGAGTAATCTTTCATTTAATGTTATTCAGATGAAATCACTTCTGAAATTGTATTGAATTATAGTCACAAGGCTACTAAATGTAAAACTAATTTGAAAAGGAGAGAATGTGAATTAATCAAAAGTTATACAATCTAATTCGTAGAGCCCAAAGAGTTTGGAGGTAATAAATAAACGTACTTATTAATAATATTGCTCTACATAGCAATATTATTACTATTTATTTTATTTATTGGATCCTTAATCTATCTCTATAAGAAATATCAAATTGAGCCTCGAAAACATTAAAGCGATCAAACTCCTGATGTAACATAAAATTTGAAAACAGACCATTAAAACAATTTTCCATTGCCATCGTCGAACAAGTTAGTCCCTGTCTCTAGAGATGACCAAACACCAATCTCTGAATAGCGAGATCAAATGAATCTATAACTTCGAAGTAATAGACCTGTAACACAAGAAAATGGTGATTTATCTCCTGGACCCTTTGAAGTCAGTTGATTTACAAAAATCATAATTTTCTAATTACAGTATAATATTAACAAATTATATATAAATTGTTAGATTTATTATTCTTAAATAGTGCACATTCACCCATCCTTTATAATTACTCAAATTCTAAAATAGGTTAATTATCATTTTTATATATCCTTTATAAATATTATTATCAGTCATATTTTTATTTATAATTAATGTAGAAAGTTTATTTTTGAGATAAGGAAAAGATGTTATAGCTATTTATACTGAAATATCAGTATAATAAAAAGTAGCTTGAACTTGATAAGGAAAATTAAAATTGATTAATAAATTTTAATTGTTTTTATAATAAATTAAAATTGAATGGCTGAAGACATTGATTAGAAATTACTTTAGAGATTTGAAATAATCCAAAAAATTCGGAAAGTTTCTGGAGGTGTCATTTGGAAAGCAATAGATAGGAAAACTAATAGTGTATTTGAATTTATTGAAATATTGTTAGTCGCTATTAAAAAGATCGATTATTCAGCTAATCCATTACATCTTTTGAAATCAATGAGAGAAACTGTCATTCTTTAAGAAATTTCAAAACATCCAAATATTATGAAAGTTTTATCAGTTATAAATAAAGGAAATGATCAATATACTATTTATGACTTTGTAGAAATGGATTTGATTTCTTTAATAAAAGTCAAGATACTCCAACCAGTATTTAATTATCAAATTCTAATAGAAACACATACAAATAATATTATCGAATATTGTAAATACTCTTTATTTTATTCATTCTGGAGGATTAGTTCATTTAAGTTTGACTCCATCTAAAATATTGGTTGATTCTGAATGTCAAATAAAAATGATAGGTTTTGGATTCTCTTAATTACTATAAGTTAAAGATCCAAAATATACATGTCTACATTATCTTCCACCAGAAATCTTATTATAAGGAAAAGTAAATACATCTGCAGATATTTGGTCATTAGGGTGTATTTTTGGAGAGATGTTGTGTCATCATCCCTTATTTGTAGGTAATTCAACATTCAATCAAATCGAAAAGATAGTAGAACTAATTGGTAAACCTAGTGATACTAATTTAAGTGAATTAGCACCTTATGTTCTATAAGGCATATAACCAGATAGGAAGAAGACATTCACAAGTATAAGTAATGATTCTACTGCAATTGATTTATTAAAAAGAATGCTTGTTTTTTTACCTCATGAAAGAATTACATTAATTGATATTTTGAAACATCCTTATCTTAATGAATTTGCAAATAAATGTGAATTAAAGAAAGCTATTGCTCCCTTTTAGATTGAAGAGAATTCTTTTAAAGAATTTTAGAATATTTTAAGAGAAAGAGGTAAGAAGGTTGAGTAGCCTTCAATTAATAATTCTTTTAATTAATAATTGGATACTAGTAGAAAGAAATCATTTAGAGAATCATCTCCTATATCTGCTTTGAAATAAAAGACAACAACTAAGATCAAAGTTAATTCTCCTATTTAAAGTCCTAAAATATAGAAATTATATTAAATTGATGAAAAATAGAGATGAAACTAGTTATATACATTTACATTAATTTGCAATTTATATATATTGTACTTATATAACATCAATCTGTATGTTAAGATCCCTTTGTGGCACCAACACCTGGCTTTCCATGTCTTGTTGGTTTATATGTCAATGAAAATTCACCCAAATATCTAATGTTATGTTTGCATTTCTATATTACCTGCCAATCATGTCAAACTTAATTTCTACGTTGCTGAATTATCTACCATTATATACACCTACGATTGAACCAACCATTTCTGGGACGACAATAGTATTTCTTTAATGAGTCTTAACTGGTTTTGGTTTCTCTCCTGGTAATGTCTCTTTCTTGGATTTACGAATCTATATAAATTAATAATGTTATCTACTTTCTTCATTAAGTTTTAGAAAGCATGCACTTTTTCACCTTAATTAGAAATTCTTCTTCTTTATCTTGCTCTGAATTATTCAACCAATTTATCCATGGGCAATTTAACAAGCTCTTCAAGTTATAAACCTCTGTAGGTAAACTTTTTGACACCTTTGAATTATTTATCTTATGTTTATTCAGCCATTATTTGAAAAATGAAAATTAAAGATTTTAATATAATCTAAAATAAATAATCATAAATAAAATACATAATCTTAAATAATAATCATCACACTTCCACTTAATGATTATAATCAATTATACTTAGTGATTATAATCACAATATATGAATTCAATTATTAAACATTTAATACATAAGTATATTAATATTTATATACATTAATTATATCAATAATATAATCTAATCTACAATCATAAAAGAAGAAATTAAATCATTAAAAACAGAAATTATAAATTAAATCTTTAAAATTTTAAGAAATTTTTATGTCTATTACAGTATAATTTAATCTTTGGATAACTTAAGATCAAAATTTATAAAAAATCAAATGAAAAATTATAATAATAATAAAAAATGGGAAGCAAGTGTTGCAAAAGTGATACATATCGTACAGAAATGGTTAGTGAAATTAGAAATTTTAATTTTAATGATCCTTAATAAGAATTTCCACTTGAATAGAGAGTTATCAGAGAACTTATGTTAGACACAAAAACAGTATACTAATTACAAATATGCTTAAAAAAATTTTTGCTTGAGAATGCGTTTTTAATTAAGGAAGAGAAAATTGAAGTGTAAGATAAGGGAATAGTATCAAGAATTTCAGCACCTCCATTATTGGATTAAGTTTGGCAATTAGCAATTTTATATTCATAAAATTACATTACAATTTGTAAAAAACTTGTAGGATGTATAATTGATAGAGAATACAATTAACAAAATATGCATTAAAAAATTTTGAAAAGGATGTTACCTGAATATGATGATAAAATGTATTCAATAGAATCTGAGTTTATTATTTGGATAAATTCATATGAATTAGAACAAGTAATGATAGATATCCACAACTTTATAGTGAATGAAGAAACATTATCTTTTGAATTGATTTTACATTTAATGATGTAGATGAAATTAAATTTATGTAAAAAAGAAACAAAGAAGTTTCAAATAAAATAAATCAGTGATAAGAATATTGAAATTGTATTCAAAAAAATACAATAATTGATGCCTCGTGATTTAGAATTGATAATAATGCATAAATATTGTTTAAGTCAATAATTAGCTAAACAATATATTTATGAATATTGCCATTTTATGACAATGTTGAAATACTCTCAAACTGTATTAGTTCCTAGTGAAGAGGTTGATTAAGTTTGGCACACTCATTAATGTATGACAAAATAATATCGCTAGTTTTGCTATGCAATCTATGAAAGATTTATTTATCATAATCCTGCTAATTTAGGAAATTAAACTGTAGTTTAAGATTTCTATTCACAAACACTTATATTTTATAAAAGAATTTTTAAATATGAACCAGATTCTTAAATATGGCCTTGTAAAGAGGAAAGATGGAATCCTTAAAACTGTTTAGGATCATGGGTTAATCTTTATAGATTATCAATGAGTATTATCCAATTAATATAAGAAAAGCTTCAACCTACTTCTAAAAATATTCTCTAAAAATATTAAACTTGGAAAGGTACAAATGTTTTTAGAGATCAAACTTAAATTTAGGTTGAAAAATCAACAGAAATGACTTAGAGTGCTTTATAATATTAAAATTATGAAGTTGGTTGCTATAGTTTATCTGAATTAGAAGAAGATAGATTTTCATAAAATCAGAAGAGAAATGAGTTATTTTTTGACGATGATGTCATCATCAACTCTATTTAGTGATATATGATCTATTGTTGATAATTAATTTATATTTCTTATGGAAAAAGCTTTTCTGACATTAGGTATTGCTTTCCTGATAGGCACTCTTTACAATTTGAATTATTCTCCTTCTGTTGATTTAAAGTAGAAGTATAATGATTATAAAATGACTTACAATAAATAATACACTGCTGCAGAAGATTAATATAGATTTTAAGTTTATCTGTAAACTTTAGAATAAATTGCTCTTTAAAATGCTAAATTGGGTAGATAAGTATATGGTGAAACCTAATTTGCTGATATAACTGATGAAGAATTTAGAGAACAATATTTGACATTAAAATATTCCCCATAAGATTATGCAAATGAACCAAGAGAATCATTTTCACATATAACAGCTGATCCTAAAGAAATTGATTGGAGATAATCTGGAGCAGTTACACCAGTCAAAAATTAACTTAAATGTGGATCATGTTGGACATTTAGTACTACAGGTGTTTTAGAAGGATTTTTCAAAGTTACTACAGGTGAATTACCATCTNAAACAATATATTTATGAATATTGCCATTTTATGACAATGTTGAAATACTCTCAAACTGTATTAGTTCCTAGTGAAGAGGTTGATTAAGTTTGGCACACTCATTAATGTATGACAAAATAATATCGCTAGTTTTGCTATGCAATCTATGAAAGATTTATTTATCATAATCCTGCTAATTTAGGAAATTAAACTGTAGTTTAAGATTTCTATTCACAAACACTTATATTTTATAAAAGAATTTTTAAATATGAACCAGATTCTTAAATATGGCCTTGTAAAGAGGAAAGATGGAATCCTTAAAACTGTTTAGGATCATGGGTTAATCTTTATAGATTATCAATGAGTATTATCCAATTAATATAAGAAAAGCTTCAACCTACTTCTAAAAATATTCTCTAAAAATATTAAACTTGGAAAGGTACAAATGTTTTTAGAGATCAAACTTAAATTTAGGTTGAAAAATCAACAGAAATGACTTAGAGTGCTTTATAATATTAAAATTATGAAGTTGGTTGCTATAGTTTATCTGAATTAGAAGAAGATAGATTTTCATAAAATCAGAAGAGAAATGAGTTATTTTTTGACGATGATGTCATCATCAACTCTATTTAGTGATATATGATCTATTGTTGATAATTAATTTATATTTCTTATGGAAAAAGCTTTTCTGACATTAGGTATTGCTTTCCTGATAGGCACTCTTTACAATTTGAATTATTCTCCTTCTGTTGATTTAAAGTAGAAGTATAATGATTATAAAATGACTTACAATAAATAATACACTGCTGCAGAAGATTAATATAGATTTTAAGTTTATCTGTAAACTTTAGAATAAATTGCTCTTTAAAATGCTAAATTGGGTAGATAAGTATATGGTGAAACCTAATTTGCTGATATAACTGATGAAGAATTTAGAGAACAATATTTGACATTAAAATATTCCCCATAAGATTATGCAAATGAACCAAGAGAATCATTTTCACATATAACAGCTGATCCTAAAGAAATTGATTGGAGATAATCTGGAGCAGTTACACCAGTCAAAAATTAACTTAAATGTGGATCATGTTGGACATTTAGTACAACAGGTGTTTTAGAAGGATTTTTCAAAGTTACTACAGGTGAATTACCATCTTTATCTGAATAATAATTGATAGATTGTTCAACTACAGTTGATTTAAACTTTGGTTGTAATGGTGGTATGCCATAAAGAGCATTAAATTTTGTAAAGAGAAATGGTTTGACAACAGAAGAAGGATATCCATATGTAATTTATAATTTATATCATTATAGTAAGGAGTATAAGGTGCTGAATGTTTAGTAAAAGGTGGAGCATATAAAGTTAAAGGATCAAAAGTATTAGAAATATCAGAATGGGCATTGTATCAAGCATTATAAGTTTAACCAGTTTCTATTGGTGTTGATGCAGGAACATGGAAAAATTATAAGCCTGCTGATAGAGAAGTTTTTAATTATGATGAATGTGGAGATAATTTAAATCATGCAGTTTTAGCTGTTGGTTTTACTCCAACTGCAACAATTGTAAAGAATTCATGGGCTAATACATGGGGTTCTTCAGGTTACATTTATCTTGAAAGAGGTAAAAATACTTGTGGACTTTGGAATACCATGGTTATTCCTATTTGATTAATATTATATAATAATCATTAATATCCAATAGATTCTTGTCTTAGAAATGTTTATATAAACCTGATTGTATTAATAATTATATAAAATGAATCAAATTAATCCAGATTAGATCTTAACATCAGAAGAGATCAAATCAGCAAAGGATGCCTTTGAAGAATATGATAAAATTGGTTATGGTATATTGGAAGTTGAAGAATTATAAAAAATACTTGAAGAATTTGGACATATTATAAGTAAGAATGATAATAATATTAATTTAGATTATTAAATCAGATTTTAAGATGACAATTAATATTGAAGTAAAGATGTATAAATAACTACTTAGAAATTGATAAATGAAATGGATTGTGATAAATAATATTAGATATCAGATTAAGAATTTAAAAATTTACTCTCTGAATGAAATATAAAGAACTGATTATATAATTTATTAGAGATTTAACTCATATATTTTTATTTAAGAAATAATTATTTGTTTGTTAATTTAACGATGTCAAAGTGGTTAGATATGAGTTTAACATGTACACAAATTAGTTTCAAGACACAATAACCTGTTTCATGTATTTTAACATTCATCAATCAAAGATAGTCCTATGAATTGTGTCTTTGAATATGATGGACACAAATTGTATTTAGGTAATATCAATGCAGCAAATGACTCATAATATCTCAGAAAACATGATGTAGGAGCTGTATTGTCTATCATAGACACTAGTGATATCAAATTAGAAAAGTCAATTATTCATCTAGTAATTATATACTTAATCTTTATAGTGGATTGCAGCTGAAGATAATGAGAATGTTCAATTAACAAGATATTTTGATTAAGCTTCTAATTTTATATAGGATAACCTTAGACACACTAATGTATTAGTTCATTGTTATGCTGGAATCTCAAGATCAAGTTCATTGATAATTGCCTACTTACTCAAATGTTAAGGCTATACATTAAAAGAAGCATTAATCAAATTGAAATGTTAGAGACCTTAAGTTGATCCAAATAATGGGTTTTTAGAATAATTAAAAGAATATGAAGTGAAATTGAAATCTAATAAAACTCAATAGAATTCTAGTCTTAATAAAAGTGCTAGTAATTTTATGAGTTTGAGTTCAAGTGTTGAAAAATAGAATTCAATTCCAAAGAGTCGATAAAGCATTTCAAATTTCAATATTTATAGCAATCTTAATTCTTAAGTTACTAAAACTAATATTAAAAATCTTTAATTAAAAACAATTGAAATTTCTAAAACAAAATAAAGTTTTTTAGAAAAAAGTTGTAGTCCATCTAATATGAAAACATAAAATTACTAAGGGAAGAGTTTCTTTTCAAATTCTAAACCTGAAGATCCTTTGAAATAATATTAAAAAATAAAAAATTAAGAAACACAATGGAATAAATAAATTTTAGGAATGAAAAATATTTATAGTAATCACAATAGATAACATTCTTTAAATTTATGAAATTGAGTATTGATATTTTCATAAATAGAAATATACTTATATATATATAAATTAATAACTTAATTATTTATGCTTAACATTTGTTTAAGTGGATTTGATTCAAAAGAAAAGACTACTCTATCATAATTTATAGAAGAACTTTCAGATCTAGGATTTAAATAGTCTTAAGGAATGACTTTCTAAGTTAATGTTTTGGTGTGTAATTCGGCTTTTTAGTCAGATAAATATAAAGTATTATGATTGCCATAAAAGGTAGCAAAAAGACTAGATATTGATGTAGTAAATAAAGAATGGATCTATAATTGTTATAATTAACACTAAAAAATAGATACAAAAAAATATTTACTTAAACCATTCAGAAATATCAAATTGGCGCTATTAGGTTTTATGAAAAGTGAACTTGACAAATTAAAAGATTTTATAGTTAAAAATGAAGGTGTTGTTGAAACAGATATAAATCAATCTGATCTTGTTGTCTTTAAAAAAGGCTCTTAATTTGAGTTCGAATTAAAAAATTGCACAAAATGTTTAGTTGATTCTGATTGGATTATGTAATGTTATGAAAGAACTGAATTCGTACCAACTCAATATTTCTAATATAATTAATAAAAATTGAATGCAAGAGAATTATTAGAAAATTTATAAGGAAGTGGTGTACTGGAAGCATTAAAAAAAGTACAACTATCTGAATATTGTTATCTAACTAATTGTGTGATATATATAGCTGTTAAAGATGATAATTTAAAGAGAATTATTTCATAATTGATTTCAGCTGGAGATGGATTCTATGTCAACACTCTACTTCCAATTGTTACTCATGTTATCTATCTATAAGGATGTAGTGAGGAAGTTAATCAATAAATATATTAAGTAATACATCCTATGTGGTTATGTGAATGTTTTAGATTAAGAAGAAGATTAAGAGAAGATGAATATTAAGTTAGAATTAAATCTTCATTTGAATAGACTGCTGTTAATAGTTTTGCTGCAAGTTAAGAAGAAATTCAAAGAGATTAATTTGTATTTGGTAAAATCCCTGATTCAAGAGCATTTGGAGAAGAAAATAATAATACTTCAAAATTTGGGCTTAAATCTTAATCATTTAGCAATAATAATAGCAATATGCTAGCATTTAATAGATTTTCAACTAATACTGCAAAAAAAACTAAATTATTTGAATAATGTTAAATATTTGTTTTTGATCATCCAACTCTTGATAAAGCAGTACTTACTTTATTAAATGATAATGGAGCATTAGTAGAAAGATTAACTTATCCTATGAAAGTTAAAGTTTCAAATTTAAAGATAAGCAAATCAAAAGCTGTATTAATATTTTTATTACCTGATCATGAATAATGTAAAGAAACTATTTAAATTATTGAAAAAGATTGTAAAGTTTAATCTATCAAATATTACAGTTATAGATGGGTTAATTATTGTTTAGAAAAGAATCTATTGGAACTTTAAGTAATTAATAAAAAATTATATCATTTACAACCTACTAATTAATAAACACCTACTCTATTTCTAAAAAATAAATTGATATATGTTACAACAAAAGATATTAATCAAAAAGTTGTTTTTAAAGAACTAGCTAAAATAGTTACAGGCAAATTTCCAGAATATAAATTATCAGAATTAGATTATTATGTCTCAGATAAACAAGGAAAGAAATTTAAATAAATATTAGAAATTAATAGAGGAGGTAGGTTAATGAATTAAATTGAAATTAAAGATATTGATTGGTTGTTATAATAATACATTAAATAATAAAATCAATGAAAAAGTATGTATTTAATTATTATTTTATGAATTATAAATTATATTATCAGTTTTAATCATTATTTTATGATATTTCAATAGATTTAATATATATTTACATTATTCTATTTTTAGATCAATTCAATTTATTTATTAAAATTAATTGGTTTATTAATCTAAATATAAAAAGTCGTGGGAATGATCTATTTTTTATTTTTATATCAATCCTTAAGAATAATGTAAAAATCCATAATTTTATATTGTATTTTATTTATTTCTTAAACGATATAGATTAAATATTTTTTCAATTTGGAGAAACAAGTGAACATTATTATTCCTTATATTGGCTATCTATATATTAATATCTTTGTTTATTACAACATAATCACGTTGATTGATATAGACTAATTCAGAATTTCAAATATGAAATTGATATTTTACTTTCTAGAATATAAAAGGATCAATAAAACCCTCAAAAAAAGAGTGAAATTTAGTAAATTATTGTCTTAATATCAATATTATATTCAATATCTAATGATCAATATATCCTTTTTTTTTGAATTGACATGATCAATCACGATGTTGAAATTTATGATCAAGAAATTATTTCCATAGAAGTAATTCATCTGTTATTTCTTATGTGCTTTCTTTCCTTTTTTACTTTATTCTATTTTTAGCCATGTCCATAAATGGTATTTGTCTAGATTTAATAGTTTTAGACATTTATTGTGGGCTATTTTCTTCTTCAGCTGGACTATTATCACCATCTAAAATTAATTTATGTATGGCATGAAATGGAAATGCTTACATTTTTAAAATAATATTACAACACTTAATGAGGATATTAATATAAATAACTGACGACTAGTTATCCATATTGAAAAAAGAATAATTAGATTTAATCAAAATTATTAAAATGATTTTACACACAGGAATTAAATTCAAATAAATTTCTTTTAAAAGAAATTATGTAGTAAAATTTGATGGCAATCTATTCTTTGATTATGATCAATGCAAAACATTTTTGTGAGTAAATCAAGTAGATCTTGATCTTTAATTAACTAATTTAATTATAATTAAGGCTTAGGTTTTGGGAGAAAATTCAGTTTTGTTTTAATTTTGGATCTCTCTTTCATCCATCTTGGAATTGGACCAAAAATGGATTGGATAATTGCCAAGTGCATTAAATCATTGTTGCCTACTTTAATAAATACGGATCCTATATGGTTTTTTGCTTTGACTATATACCCGTATATAATTCAACAATAAGACATGCTAGACTCCAAATGTCACTTGAGGTATCCCAGGCATCACATCTCAAGATTACTTCAGGTGCTCTATATTATCTAGTATTAATGACAGTGCTATGATGTTCATTGGCTTAGGTGGCACCTCCCATGTCAATTAGTTTCACAAGATTTCTTAGTCATTTACTTGAGTATACTTTTGTTGGTGAGAAAAAACAATATTTTCTGGTTTTAGATCAGTATGTGTAATGCCAAGAGAATGCATAAACATGAGTGAATTAGTAATCTATTGAAATATTGATTGGATTTCTATTATTTTGAGAGAATGCGATTTAAGATAATCATGGAGATTAAGGCCAAGCTGTATTTAATTTTTTAATATGCTACCCTTTCAAGTAAGATACAATGATAGTCCTACCAAGCGAAGTAATCATAGAATCTAACGATACCAGCCTCACCAAAGGGATCAAACTGCTAGATTTATTTTAGAACTTCCACTTCTGTGTGATCAGTTTGGCTCAAGATCTGAATATTAATCGAATAACTTTAACAGCATATGGTATTCCTATTTCATCTATGACTTCTAACACCATTCCAAAAGTCCCTGAGCTTAAATACTAAGTAATCACATATTTGTCAAGTTTTTCTCCAATTTCATATATGAAATGACATTCTGATGAGCAGCCAGAACTACTACTGCTGCTTTTATCGCTGTTGCTCTCAGAAGAAGAGCTACTGCTACTACTACTACTACTCTCTGTAGTTGAATTTCCTATCAATCTACTTTATATTTTGCTTTTATCACTTAAGCTTAGAAGTATTTCGACTACGACTATGGCATCTATATTGGTTTGTTAATGTTTCTTGTGTTTACATACTCTATTTTTAATATTATTATTAATGTTTTTATTTAATCAGACAGGTGGCTTTATACCTGAAACAGACTATCTAACAGTTGAACCTGAAGTTTTCACAACTGACTTGGTGACTGTAGTGGATGATGTCACAGTCTATATAATAATAAATAGGAATACTTTCTGTTTCTTTAATGCTTCTAATTCTATTTCTGCATTCATTAATTTCTCTTGAGTTTCACTATAATCATGATTAATTTCTTAAAACTTTCTCTTCCATACTTCTGCTTCATTATTGACTTCAGTAATTCTTTAAGTCACTGTTTCGCTTTGAGTCTGTTGAATTAATAATCTTAATCTTTCATTTTCTGATTCTAATTCATAAACCTATACAATGTAATGATGTTTATTACTCTAGTATTATCCATTTCTTTCACAACTTCAACAGTCTTTTTCTTTTCCAATTCAGAAATCAATTATTATAAATATAAGACTTCATCTCTCCATGGTGCTTCAATCTCTTCTCTTGATACTACTCCCAATCTTACAACAGCCTATTATTAAGGTGGACAGCAAGTTTAAGCATTGGATCCACACTATATATTTGAAACACACCCTCCAAGTTGTATTGATTATCCAGGATTGAATGATGTTTACATTTGATAATGTGTAGATAACACTTTGCTTTGGTATGAATTTTATTTGCCTTTTTTGTGCCAAAATTAATAGGCTTCTGGTCTTTCTGATTTCAAGTAAGTTGTGGTCTAGATTTGATCAAACAATTTTACATATTAAGTTTAAGGAAGTGTAACTTATTTTCTTTCCTAAACAGTGGATTCTTAACGAATTGTTGTATAATTACTCATATCTTTAAAATATAATTCTTTAATTAATTATGGATAAAGTAGAATCAGATTGTGTACTATGTGTAGAGAAGGCAGACATCATTGCATTAGGTCATTGTAATCATAAGACATTCTGTTATCAATGTATGATCAAAATGAGAGTCATAAGCAAAATAAAAATGTGTCCCATTTGTAAATAATAACTTGACAAAATAATCCTCACTGAAAATCTCAATGCTCAATTTACAGACTATCAATTAAATAACCTTATACCAATAGCATATTCAGTATGATATTAATTTATATCACTCCTTTAGAAAGAATCAAAGGATGTCTTTTATACAGATTCTGAAGATATTAAATCTAAAGTAGAAGGTCTTAATAATTTCAAATGCCCATTCCAAGAATGTCAAACTGAGTAATAGATGACTAATTACAATTAATTGCGAAACCATCTAAAGGATTAACATCAACGATATTTTTGGTATCAATAAATTGCTTATTTTAAAGTGATGTTTGTATTGAATAAAAGACGTGTTTCCTAGTTGAATAGTAAGTATATACAGAATACTAACACAGACATCATCTATAACATGGTGATTATGATGAGGATGGTAATCTCATTTTTAAGCATCCCTATTGTAAATATTGCAAGAAAAACTTTTATGATGAAGATAAATTCAAATAACATTTGAATATAGCCCATATTAATTGTAGTTTATGTGATGATAGTAAATTTGTATTCTACAAGGATCATGGAAGTTATGAAAAGCATTTGAAACTCTCCCATTATTTATGTGAAGAGCCAGAATGCAAATAAATGTTAGTAGTATTCAAAAGTGCAGGAGAATTAGATATTCATAAAACTTAAAGTCATCGTAATGATCCAAGAATAAAGAAATAAAATTAATATAATATTCATTAATTTGCTGGATTTTATGATAATCCAAAATAAAAAACATAAAATAATGATAATGAAGGTTGGAATTTTAGTGATTAATTTCCATCACTTAAATAAACTAATTTAAGAGCTGTTGTACATCGTGATTAACATAATGATGAAAAGATAGATTTTAGAGACTTTTTATATGTTGATTATAATGATGAAATTGATAAATAATCAGATCATAGTGAAAAATTACATTCTTAATAAAATTTACATTTAGAAGATTTACGTCTTGTTAAACCTATAACCATTCCAAGCATTAGTTTTGATTACTTTATGAGAAAATGTTCGTTTTTCTTGAAAAATCAAAAAGGAAAAGAGGATTAAATTAGAAAAATGATTAGCATGTTTGAATAAGATAGATATAGTGCTGAAAATTTTGTTAGTGATTTTATTAGAATGTTTGAATTGAAAACAGGATTAAGATTAATAACCTTTTATATGGCTATGAGAGATGTTAAAGAAAATATAAATATAAATAAAATTCTTGATGATGCTTATTTTAAAGAATTGTAAAAATTACCAAAAAAAAATAATTCTATTATTATGTAATGCAAAACATATTCAGAATTATTTTTAAGATTATTAGATGAATTGAATTTAAATTTGGTTTAAAGAATTGAAAATGGAAATCTTAAGAATTATGCTGATACAATAATGGCAAAAGAGAGAATATTTTAATTTATTGAAGTACTTAGACATGTAAAAACTGAAGAGATGGGTAAATTTAAGTTTGCTTTAAATTTTGGTTTGGTATAATAAGTATTGGAACATATCAAATAATCCATTTTATTAGATGATATATCAAACATTTAATGTATTATATTTAATTTATTTTTAGAAAATATATCCAAAATTAGCAATCATGATTTAGTTCCTTTTTATTTATATGTTAATTTAAGTTCAAAGATTTTGAAAGGAGAATAAATTCATAAAGAATAAAAAGATGTAAATGAATGTGTATATTTGGAATTCTTCTAAAAAAATACTAAATTATTTAATCTAATTTCAAAACCTGATGTAATTGAATCTAACAAATAATAAATATTGTAAAAGTAACCAAAATAGTAATAAGCAAAAGGATTAGAAATGAATGCATTTGATTTTCCCTCTTTACGTAATTAAAACCTTAAAACTTTTAGCAAAGGCACCAAAAAAAGAATAGACAATAGATGATCAATTCTAAGTCAAGAATGTTGAACCTTAAAAATAATTATAATAGAAAGAGAAAAAATAAAAATAAACCACTTAATCTAAGAAAGGAAAGTGGCAAGATAGTGGAATAGCAATATTTTAGAATTAAGCTGTAGAAGAAGAATCCTTCCCTAGTCTTACATCTCAACCAAGTATTAATTTATTAAAATAAATTCTTTAGCTGAAATTCAACCAAAACAAGTAACTAAAGTGACTGGAACATTCATTGAAGATGAAAGTTTTATACCACTTACTACTTACTAACCAATTAGAAATATAGAAGGAACAGAATGGGATTCAAATCCTATTGTACCTGTAATACTATTTTTTTTTATTTATAATAGAAAAAAAATTCATAAATGAAGGAAGTGGCAAAGATAAAGAAAAAAAATAAGACAATTGTATAAATTTCTGGTGGGTTTTGTTGAATTATAAATTTTTATTGGTTGAATATAAAATATTAATGATAACTCATTTTGTTAGATTGACTTTTAATATTTCTGCTACTTTTTAAATGAATTCTAAGGTATTCAAATATTAATCTCTTGGAACACTAAAAGATAATTATATTACTATACTTCATTGTATTATGAACACAAATGGCTAAATCCTTAGTCATAAATCCTTTTTCAACTGCTTCTATGATACTTGCTTCAAGAGTATTGCAAAATCTTTCTAATTCTTTATTATTATCTAATTTGGCTCTATGTAATAATCCTCTTGTCCAAGCATAAATACTAGCAATTGAATTAGTTGATGTTTCTTTGCCTTATTAATGTAATCTATAATGTCTTGTAACAGTTCCATGTGCAGCTTCAGCTTCAACACATCCATCTGGACTAACTAATACACTAGTCATCAAACCAAGTGATCCAAAACCTTATGCCAAAGTATCAGATTAAACATCTCCATCATAATTTTTACAAGCCCAAACAAATCCACCTTCACTCTTTATCATATATGCTACCATATCATCAATTAATCTATGTTCATACCAAATCTTCTTAGCATCAAAATCAGGTTTATATTTAGTATCATATAAATGTTAGAAGATATCTTTGAATCTACCATCATAAACTTTAAGAATGGTATTTTTGGTTGATAAATATAAGGGATATCCTAATTCAATTGCATGTTAGAAACAAGCATGAGCAAATGCTGTTATTGATTCATCTGTATTATACATAGCCATAGCAACACCTCCTGTNTCCTTCCCTAGTCTTACATCTCAACCAAGTATTAATTTATTAAAATAAATTCTTTAGCTGAAATTCAACCAAAACAAGTAACTAAAGTGACTGGAACATTCATTGAAGATGAAAGTTTTATACCACTTACTACTTACTAACCAATTAGAAATATAGAAGGAACAGAATGGGATTCAAATCCTATTGTACCTGTAATACTATTTTTTTTTATTTATAATAGAAAAAAAATTCATAAATGAAGGAAGTGGCAAAGATAAAGAAAAAAAATAAGACAATTGTATAAATTTCTGGTGGGTTTTGTTGAATTATAAATTTTTATTGGTTGAATATAAAATATTAATGATAACTCATTTTGTTAGATTGACTTTTAATATTTCTGCTACTTTTTAAATGAATTCTAAGGTATTCAAATATTAATCTCTTGGAACACTAAAAGATAATTATATTACTATACTTCATTGTATTATGAACACAAATGGCTAAATCCTTAGTCATAAATCCTTTTTCAACTGCTTCTATGATACTTGCTTCAAGAGTATTGCAAAATCTTTCTAATTCTTTATTATTATCTAATTTGGCTCTATGTAATAATCCTCTTGTCCAAGCATAAATACTAGCAATTGAATTAGTTGATGTTTCTTTGCCTTATTAATGTAATCTATAATGTCTTGTAACAGTTCCATGTGCAGCTTCAGCTTCAACACATCCATCTGGACTAACTAATACACTAGTCATCAAACCAAGTGATCCAAAACCTTATGCCAAAGTATCAGATTAAACATCTCCATCATAATTTTTACAAGCCCAAACAAATCCACCTTCACTCTTTATCATATATGCTACCATATCATCAATTAATCTATGTTCATACCAAATCTTCTTAGCATCAAAATCAGGTTTATATTTAGTATCATATAAATGTTAGAAGATATCTTTGAATCTACCATCATAAACTTTAAGAATGGTATTTTTGGTTGATAAATATAAGGGATATCCTAATTCAATTGCATGTTAGAAACAAGCATGAGCAAATGCTGTTATTGATTCATCTGTATTATACATAGCCATAGCAACACCTCCTGTACCTTAGAAATCAAACACTTCAACTCTTTAAGGTTCACTTCCATCTTTTGGTGTAAATAACACTTCAAACTTTCCTTCCTTCTAAAAACGAAGATCTGTAGCTTTATATTGATCACCAAATGCATGACGACCAATAACTATTGGCTTAGTCCATCCTGGAACAAGTCTAGGAATATTCTTAATCAAAATAGGTTCTCTAAACACTGTTCCATTTAAGATGTTTCTAATAGTACCATTTGGAGATTTCCACATATATTTTAGGTTGAATTCCTTCACTCTTGCTTCGTCTGGTGTACTAAAATAATTGATATCTTTTAATACATTGTTGCACACTTGATTCCAACTTTGCATTCTTGAATTGCCTTGGCACATTCAATAGTAACCTTGTCATCAGTCTTATCTCTGTTTTCCATTCCCAAATCATAGTATTTTATTGGAACATCCAAAAAGGGAGTGATTAGATATTCTTTAATCCAAGCCCAAATAACCTATTATATTAATTATATTTTACTCTAGTCATTTCATCACCATCCATTTCTACAACTGGATTATCAACCTTGATTTTTGCGTCCATTACTATTAATTTTAATATTAAAAGAATTGATGAATGACGATTATAAAATTGTTAAATAAGATATTTTTGATGAATTATATTAATTTAATTATTTTTATATTAAAATTATATTAATTCCTAATGATTATCTTTGAATTATAAGCATTTCTACTAAAAATTCGATTTTTAATAACATCTATAAATCAACTATTTTAGATCTATATAATTTTTTTATTGATTATTAACTCCTCATATCATTTTAAAATTAAGAACTGTATACTCAATATGAATATGATAAATTTCATTAATTTTTAATCTTATTAAATTATAAAGACATTAGTTTTATTCTATTATTCAAATATTGTTACAAAAAATCTTTTCAATTCCATTATAAGAGATTTTTAAAGTGTATTAAATTAATTTAATAGAGATGGTATTTCTAAATAAAGTATATATGAAATTAGAGATATTATTTTAACATATCTTAGTGTTTTTTTGTAGATATTAATTTCATAATTTTAACGAATTATAAAATTAAGTTAATGTTAAATTCAAAATTTACTGTAAAAAGAGAACCATTAAAAGAAAGGTTTCTATAAATAACTAACAAATTAAATAATCTTGATATCAAATAAGGTACAAGTAAGGCTCATCGAATTGATAAGTTAAATGACAGAAGCTATAAAATAGATGAAAGAATTAGAACCATCAAAGAAAATTACAATAAATAAGTTATTTAGTTAAAAGAATAAGTTTAAGAACTATCTGATAAAATTGATTAAGAGAGATAGGAATTTAAATCACAGCATAATCAGTATTCGTAAAAGTTATCAGAATTGGAAAAGTCATAGCATAAACAATTATAAATTGAATAAAGTGAAAGGGTAGATGGAATTAATTAATTGACAGCCTATCTAAATGAAAAGGTATTAAGTATTAATAAATATTAGATTACATTTATTAAATCAGATTTAACAATTGAATAGAAATTAAGAGAAGAGTTAATTAATGAATTATAAAGAGGATTAGAAAATCAATTACCTAAAATAAATTAATAAATCAAAAGTGATAAATAGGATAGAGAATTATTTGATAAACAAATTTTGAAAAAAAGTAGTGTTGAAATGAATAAATTATCTAATTAGTTAAATGATGTATCAAGATAAACATTGGAATAAGAAAATTAAATTATTGGGATGTTACAAGACTTAATTATTAGAACAAAAGAGGATCTAAAATAATTGTCAGAAGAAAGACAAGAAAAAGAAGAAGAAATAATTAATTTGATTGAAAAAACTTGTGATAGAATGGTATAAGCATCCTTGATTTGAATATTTATTTCAAAATTTCATTATCATTAAAACTATTAAAATTTTTTGAAATTATCTAAATGTCTCACAAAAAGGTTTTTCTATAAAATTGATATTATTACTAGAATCTTATTTTATTCTGATAAGATTTGTTTTAATTAGTTAAATAGATTTCAATAATTAATCAAAAGTAGAGATATTATATCCAGAAATTATTGGAATAATATCAGTGTTCAAAATCGGAATTAATTTTCTTCAAATAAATTATCATCTTGATTATTATAAGCAATACAATTCATATCATTCACAACTTCAAATAGATAACTAAATCTCCCTAATATTCATATAAGGATTCTTTTCTGGATTTATATATTATGAATCCTTGATTCTTAATGAAAGTGAGGAAAATAGATAACAATATCATGTTTTCCTTTTAAGATTTACAAAAACTAATGAATATTTAGTAGGATATTCAACAATAGGTACAACCAACCAATCGAAAATATCGAATATTGTTTCATCTTATCCTGTATATTCAAATGTGTATTAATTAGCCTCAAAATAATTAATTCTAAATATTGAATGAATTATATTAAAGCATAATGTTTAATAACATTAAGTAAGAAATAGTTTAATCTTAAAATTATTATGATGAAAATGGTATTTTTATTTTGATGTTTTGATTTAGCTTCAAAAAATTAAAGATCCAATTATTTACTTTACCATTTTTATAATAATATTACATCATAGGAGTTTGTCATAGATCCACAATATCTAAAACTGTTGTTTTTTAATTATATATCTTTAACATCCATCTGTCATTCCAATAAAATATTAGAATATAGTTAATTGGATCACCTTTTGGGTAATTTTTTCTTAAAAAAGGGTTCAATATTTTTTATAAGATCTAGAATTTATCTTTAATATGCTATGTAATAATAATGAAAAACTTTAGAACGTTTTTACAAGTAATTTATAAAGTAGATCATACTTCTAAAATTCATTTTTCCATCATTACACATCATAGTAAATTATGTGAATGCTCAATACTAAATCATCAATAAGCATAATTTCATCTTGTGCTGTAGTTAATTATTAAGCTGATTGCTAGTAATTTTCATATAAATCCTTTAATTCTTCATCTTCAAATTCACTTAAAGTAATATTCATTTAAAATTATGAAAATCATAATCCAATTGCCACACTTATACCAAAATTTATATAAAATAATTAATTGATTAAATCATGTAAATTTACAAAAGAATATATTAAAATGTTTATCAATTCCATTAATTAATTACCATTTAATATTTTACTAAAAATATATAGATATATTGATCAGTTATTAAATAATTTATTCATTATAATTCATAATGAGCTGAGTAAATATTCATCATTATGATAAATTATAGAAATTTTAATTTTTACTATTATAATTATATTTTATATAATTATGGGTTTTATGAGACTAACAGAAAAATTGTCTTATTATTCTTGTATGAATTTAATAAGTCTAATTTCTATTAATTAATTTATTGTTAAAGCATTTAAGGTTTTCTTATATACTTTTTATCAAATTAAATATGTTTAATTTAATACTATATAGTATTGGTTGTCCATTAGCATTTTAGTCAAAAAAGTCGTTTCTATTTTAGATTTGTTATAATAAATTAAAATAAAAAAGTAATGCTAAATTATGATTGTTAATATGATTTCATTTATTATCACTGAAATTAATTACAATTATAAATAATTTAGAACTTGCTTAATAACTGTATGTATAAATATGATTTTAGATTTTGTTTATTTAATAAAAATATTGTAATGATATCCGAGTTTGATATTAACTATTATCAGCTTCAATTATACGATTAGTAAATGCCAATGACTTAGCAATTGTCAGTTGAAAATTTTAACGAGAATGAAGCCTCATAAAGAAAATTAAGAGTTAGCTCCTAATGTTTAATTTTAAAAAAGTATAAGAAATTTAATGTTCTAGAAAAATTAGACATAAATAAAAAAGGCCTTCTTTATTAAAAATTGATGAAACTGCAAGGAATGTTAAAATTTACAATTTAGGGCCTAGTCAGACAAATTTAGAGATTTTAAATGATGACTAAAAATAAATTAATGACTGAGAACACTCTTTAAATACTAAAAAATAAATGATCTTGATTAATTTATATTTTATGTTATACTTGACAGATTGAAATCATAAATATAAGATTTGATCAATAAAATATTATGAAATGAACATAATATATAAATATTATTACGCAAAAATGAATTAATAAAACATTATTGAATTCTATCCAAACTTATCAGAATAGTTCTAATCAATTCTTTTAAATTTATACAGAAATGAAACTTTACAATAGTATCATAGCATAATTCAATAAATAAAAACAAAATTTCCATTTCCAAAATAGATGCCATAATTTATGTATCCAAATGCTCAATAAATTTCAGAGTTCTTTCTTTAAAACTATTAACCAATTATTTTGGATTTGACCTCTCTTAGTTTAAAGCCTAATGTGAAAATAAAGTTATATAAAAATGCTGTATATTTTGGAGAAATCCATCAAGAAATGAGACAAGGACAAGGAGTTCTTATTAAAGAGAACAACTAAATTTATGAAGGGTATTTTGCACTTGATAAAAAAGATGGGATTGGGTTTGAAATATTAAAAGGAGATACATTTTATCATGGACATTACGTTTAAGGTTTTCCTCATGGAGAAGGTTTTTATAAGTCTGCATCCCATTCATATATAGGATAATGGCAACATGGGAAAAAAGTAATTAATATTAAATATATAATAAGAGTGGAATTGGATGGTGTATAGGAAATAAGAATGATTATATTTTAGGAACTTGGGAAAATGGAAAGTTTTATGGATTTGGATTACAAATTTATGATTCAATGTATGAATTATATGTTATATTAAATAGATATTTTGGTGAAGTAATTAATGATTAAAAATATGGTTATGGAGAAGAATACTTTCCTGAAGGTGATATCTATAAAGGATAATATAAGAATGGACTACCAAATGGTAAGGGTAAATATATATGGAAAAATGGAAATTAATATTAAGGTGATTTTTAAAATGGTTTGAGATGGGGGGAAGGATTTTGGGAGTAAAAAACTGAAAAAGGCATTTAATTTTATAAAGGTTAATATGTTAATGACAAGAAAAATGGTCATGGTCATTTTCATTATTCAAATGGTACTGAATATATTGGTGAATTTAATGAAGATCAAAGAAATGGATTTGGAGAAATAATGTGGCCAGAAAGAGCTACCTATAAAGGTTAATGGAAATAAGGTTTAATGGAAGGAGAAGGGGTTTATTAATATTAAAATCATAAATTATAAGGTATTTGGAAATAAAATTAATTAATTTCAAAAGAGAAAGTTCGAGTCTCTTTAAATCAATTTCCTTTATAACATAAATTAAAAGATATTGTTGAAGATGAAGAAATTTAATCTCGTGTTGCAGAAGAGCCTGATCATGAAAAAATAGGTGATATTTTTAAGAAAATCACTCTCTAAAGCAAGACAAGCTTAAGCGTTTCTGATACTTCAAAATTTCCTTAATTAATATAAGTTTAAAAATAATAAGATATAAATTAATATGGTTAAGCATGTTCATATCCAACATAAAGAACTAATCAAACATTCTCAATTGGTATTTAAACTGAAATTAATTCAACAAAAAAAAAATTACTTACTGAATTACCTTCTATTTAGACAAAGAAAAAACATGTTTTATTAAATTACAGTATTGATAATAAAATTAAGAATAATAAATAGAATTTGAGTGAATCTGTTACAAATACTAATTCTCCTGAAACTAGAGAGAGTGAATTAAAAAATAATATTATTCATTAATCATAAGAAAAGAAATAACGAAAAGTTAAATAAAGATTATCTTTATTAACAAAAATTGAAGAAAAAGTATTAAAAATAAGAATTGAAAAATAAAAATTAAGTCCTTATAAGTTTGAAAAATTATGGAGTAAAAAAGTACATCGAGATCCATTATTATATTAGGTTGTTAATTAAGCTAAATCTTTGATATATCCACCTATATGGGTTCCTCCTTCTTTACATCCTTAAATAAAAAGAAAATTTTGAGAATAAACATACTTGATTATTTTTTGTAAATAATTTTCCTAAGATAATTTAAAACAATAATAATAATAATAATAATTAATTCATTAATTTGGATCATTGATGTTGAGTCGACGATGATCTGAATTATTAATCTAATTATATATATATATTATTACTGTTACTATGTAAGAGTTGATTATTGTATTATTGCATTTAAAAATTATCACCATTTCCATTATAAATTGGATTGGAAACATGATCTTTAAGTAATAAACTATCATTATGATGATTTTTTGGCCACAATATACCATCACCAACTGGTCGTCCTCCTTCCATTTAGATTGGTAGGAACCATGACAATTTACTCATTCCAAATACTTATACCCAATTATAATATGGTTTTAAATCATATTAATTAAAATCATCATTTTATTATCCTGTTTCTTCATTTCTTTTCTTTTCTAAGTTTTCTATTGTTGTTCTATTACTTAATACTAATTCTAAATGAAATTTAAAAAACATTGTAATTAAACATGATGCTAAACAACTAATTCCAAATGCACATAATAATAAAAGTGCATCAATAAAATGCAAATCACCTTCTGAATTAAGATAAAGTGTAATATTTTTAAATTCTACATATAATCCATATCCTAATCCAATTACAGCACAATAAGAATCAAGAATAACATAAAATAACATTTGCATAAAAAACTTTCTATTTTAGAATCCAACACAATTATTAATCCAAGGACAATGATGATCCATATTTAACACACATCGATTACATGCTGAACAATGCTAATTATTTTTTATCAAAGTAAAATACATGGCATCTTTCAGGTTTGAAAATATGACAAATTAAACAAAATTTCCTTTTTTTTTATTCAGGGTCATTCAAAAAAAATCCCCAATTTTATGGAACTCTACCTGGATCTGTAAACATTGTTTTAAATAAACTCCAACCCAATAAAGTAGTTAATATTGTAAATATCAACAAATAAGGAATTCTATAACTCGAACCTATTTGAAAAATTAATTAGTTTTTTACTTTCAATCAAATCAATCCAAACTACTTTAACATTAACTATGTAGACGAACACTATTGAAAAACAAATGAAGTAAATGAAAAATTTATTAAGGTACTTCTTAATCATTCCTTTGTATAAATAATAATATAAATTCAAATTATATATAATAATTATTTATTCATATTTAAGTTTCCATTTGCTTTAATATTTTAGTATTGTTTATAGTTATATACACTTTTTATCCTTAAAATTGTGTTTTATTTCTTTTTCTTATTAATACAATAGATATAATATTAAAAATTCATAAAATGAATTATAAAGTGGAATCAGCTGATGAATACTTAAGAAGAAATAGAATTATGGAATTATTTGAAGATCTTTGCACTAAGGCCAGTTATATATAACCTGAGAATTTAGAAGAGTTTTTTGTTGAAGACTTGAGGATTAAATAAAAATAAGGGTATCAATAAAAATATAACGATTGTTTAGATTCATCACTCCAATCTTTACAAAGATAGAAATTTAAAATATTTTTGAATTATTTGATTTAAAACGTGATGGATATATTACATAAGAGAATTGTAGAAAGGCATTATTAACAATTGCATCATCTCAAAAATAATAAGAAGTTATTGAAGCCACTCAAGTATATAATTAACATAATTTACTATAGGTAATCGATGAAAAAGTAGATATTAATAGATTTTAAAGATTAGTTGAATAATTCTTAGGATGAATACTCTAACACATTAATTTATTATGATAATAAAAAAATCTATAATATATAATATATTAATATTTATTATTATTCATATTTTTAGGTGAGATCTTATTCTTTTAAACACTTGCTATTTCTAAAGTATAATTATGAAACTACAAATATTCCAATAAATATTATACTAACTAAGAATAATTTATTAACATGAAAATTGAAATTTGCATTAACATATATAGCAAATATAATCCTGATAAAAAATATCCAATTAAATTCTAAATTAATGACTAAGCATGTCCCATTGGCTATAATCTAAAACAAAATAGGTTCTTAACCTTATCATGAAGTAAAAAAGTTAAATCTTTGGGGAATAGATTGTGAGGTTACACCTTCACTTTCTATGTTTCCAAACCTATAAATTCTCTAATTATCAAGAAATTAGATTGGAACATTGAAACATATAAGCGAATTAAAATAATTAAAAGAACTTTATCTTGAGAAGAATAATATCAAAGATATTAAAGAATTAGAGTATTTAAAAGAATTATATAACCTACGAGTTTTAAGTTTGATAGGTTTAAAATTCATTATATTTATATTAGAAAATCCTGTTGTCGAACATCCTGAATATAAAAAAGTAGCTTTAAAACATTGTTTAGCATTACAAGTACTAGATGAATTCAAAATTATGGAATAAGATCGTTAATTCTTAAAGGAACAAGAATTATCTATTTAAAATTAATAATAGAATTTGGATGCTAATTCAAATTAGATGGATACAAATGAAAATGTAGAGTAGATTGTAGTTCATAAAAAGAAAGATAAACAAATTAAAAAAATTGAACCTAAATCTTGTTAATCATCTAATTAATCAACAAATGGGTCAAAAAATAGATTTGATACTAATTCTTAAAAGATATCAAATATAAATGATGATGGTAAAATCTACCAATTTACTTCTGAAACTTCACAATATTCAAAGAAAAAGACCTAAAAGCACTCTACAAAAACTAAAACCAAGTTAACAAAAAAATAATCTAAACCTTAAACTCATTATATAGATTTAGAATAAGATTCAGATTGTTCTATATCAAATAATATCAAATCTAAAAAGAAAACTTTGAAAAAGTTAAAAAAGTTATCTGATATATTTGATTAAAATAGTTAGAATATATAATAAAATCAAGATGTTAAAGAATAAGATAAGAATCTTTAAGAATCAAAGTAGTAAATTAAGAAAGAGAAAAATGAAGAAATTCAAATAGATAATAGAAATGAATAACTGAGACAGAAATTACTATCTGTTATATAAAACTTAATATAATTTATTGATAAACCAGCCCTATAATGTTTATATAAGATTTTATGTGAGAAAGAAAAATGAATTAATTCAAAAATAGTATGAATATATAATAAAAATTAGAAAAAATGAAATACTATAATTGAAATAAATAAATATCAATTTATTCAAGTTATTCTTTATGTTTCTATCTATATAATAAATATTAAATTATAATTAATTTATTTTGTAATGCAAATTTCTAATCAGAAAAAATACAAATTTTAGTAAATACAGAAATAAGAGTTAAATTTTCAATTGTTAGATGAACATAGAGTATTTGTGACTGGAACATTTGCTGCTTTTACTGAAGATGTAAAATAGTAAATAAAAGTATTTTACTTCATTATTATAATAGTAAAATAATGGATATTTTTAAAATTTAGATGGAGAGAAGGGTTGGATAATACCCATAAACAATTATTAAAATTTGATAACAAATGTATTATAAATTAGTATTAATAGCTAAGATCTTAATAGACAGAAGTTTTTATAAAATAATTGCCTCAATTATTGTAAAAATTATAAAATCTTAATATGAAAGAAATAAAGTATTTTGAGAATGGTTAATTAATTACATTAAAATATGATAATATAATAAGTTATGAATAACTTGATAAGACTTTACATGATACTTTATATTAATATTAAAGAGATTGTATTAAATAAGGATTAAAATTTAATGGTCGTATTTTGATTGCAGATGATATGGGTGTTGGTAAGACTGTATAATCATTGGCACTTGCAAGTATGTATAAATAAAATTGGCCTTTATTAATTATGTGTCCATCACCATTAAGATTAAATTGGTAGGATGAAATTATTCATTGGTTAAAAATCCATAAAACTGATATTCAAATAATTAATTGTGGTAGAGAAGGTATAAGAATGAATGCCAAAATAGTTATTGTTTCTTATGATATTTGTAGTAAAATAAAAGAAGTAAATATAGAAATAAAATATTAAGAATTTAATGAATAGAAAGTTTTAAATTTGTATTGCAGATGAATGTCATTACTTAAAGAGTCCTACAGCAATAAGAAGTCAAGCATGTGTTCCAATTCTTAGATAATGTATGAGAACTATTTTATTGACTGGAACACCTGCATTATCTAAACCTAGAGATCTATTTAATTTATTAAATATCATTAGACCTGATATTTTTGGAAATTTCAAAGAATTTGGATATAGATATTGTGATCCAAAATTGAGTAGATTTACAAAAGGAATTGATTTTGATGGAGCATCAAATTTAAAAGAATTACACTTTTTGTTAACAAATTATATCATGATTAGAAGATTAAAGAAAGATGTTTTGAGTTAATTACCTGAAAAAAGAAGAATTAAAATAAGAATTCCAGGTGAGACTAGTTTAGTTAAGTAAATAGGTGCTCTTTTAAAATAATTGGGAAATATTGATATTCAATAACTCATTAATAAAGACACTATCTTTTAGGAATCTTCAAAAGATTAAAGTGAATAATTAATAACAATAAATTCAATTTTATAGAAGTGTTATATGCTAACAGGTTAAGCAAAGATAAAGGCTATAAAGGATTATATTAGTACATTAATTGAAAATTAAATTAAATTTTTATTTTTTGCACATCATTAAGATGTTTTGGATGCTGTTTAAGAATATTGTATATAGAATGATATTTAATATATGAGAATTGATGGTAATGTTGGTATTGAATAAAGACATTTAAATGTATAAATGTTTTAAAATAATGATGATATTAGAATTGCTATTTTGAGTGTTACATCTGCAAATTATGGAATTACATTGACAGCAGCTTCAACTATAGTATTTGGTGAAATGCATTGGACTCCAGCTATTATGATGTAAGCAGAGGATAGAGCACATAGAATTGGTTAAGTTTAATGTGTTGATTGTCATTATTTAATTGGAGATGGAACATTAGATGATCATATTTTTAATAAAATTGAAAATAAGATAAATACTGTCTCAAATTTTATCGATGGATAAAAATAAAATTTAGGTGCTTAAGAATTTACAGCTAATGAAGTTTTTGTTAAACCTACTTCTAAAGTTACCTTAATATCTAATAAATGTGAAACTGAATAATAAGAAATCAATGTTCAATAATCTATATAGACCTTTACAGAAGATGATATAGAAGAGATTTATTAATTATTAGAATCTAAAAAAAAATTATAAGATTAATCATTTGAATTAGAATAAAAAGATATATAATAAGAAAATATTTAATAAAATAATATAAATATCTCAAATCAAATAAAAAATTAATGCGCATCACTTAAGACACAATTATTAGATAAATATTACAGTGGCAATAAGATTAAGAAAGAAGTTATTGATGATGAAAAGGAATTTAATAAGATTTAAATGATTATTGAAAAAAATGATATAATAAAATTTGCAAAACCTTAAAAATTAAGTTATGAATATTTATAGAGTAGATTAAATGTAGATAGCAAATCAACTGAATAAGGTTAAAAGAAACTCCTTATCAAACTCACTAATTAACAATCAAAATCTAAAATTATTGATTAAAGTTTAAATTGAGTTATTATTCTGAATTATTATTATTTAATTATTTATTAATCAAAATCATAATATATCATCCTATTATTATCAGCAATATAAGAGAATTTATTGCTTCAAAAAATCCAACTATTCTCCTAATTATCAATAAACAACAATATATTATCCTTATTCTTGCTGTTTATTCTTTATAAATGTTTTTTTGTAGATTATTAAACAATTCCTACTTTTACATAGAAGATTTTATACTTAATAAAATTCCAACTGATTCGAATGAATAAATAGACATTCCAATTATTGTTGATAATTATGAAAAGTTAAACAATTAACATTTTTCAAGATAATCTTTATTGATGATAGCTTGAATGATTGTAATTATTATTGTAACTAGTGGAAAAACTTTCATTCAATTTGCTATTGCACTAACTTTTGTAAATACAAACATATTTTATATTAATGTAAGAGGAAGTAATATTGTCAACGGCATTATTAGAAAATATAATTAATTCTATAAGCTTGTTTCATCATTTCCATATAAAGGTGATTAATAATAATTCCATAAACAAGATAATATAAATTATGCAACATTCCCATTACTTATTAATCTATATCTGGCACTAAATGTTATTTCAATGAATTTTGAATATTCCATTTATTGATTAGGCTACTTGTATTTATTAGATATCATGATGAAGTTCACTTATTAGCAATTTTATCAATAAACTAATAAACATCAAAACTATGGTAGATAAGACATAACCACCCTTAAAAAAAATATTAGGTAATGCCAATATTTCTGAACCAACAAGAGTCTTTAAATTTCTTAACTTACAACACTCTTAAAAAAAGAGTTAAAGTTGTTCCTTTGAAAGATAATAATTTCTTTGAGTTAACCTCTAATTATTCAAAATGTATGGGTATTTATTCTAAATTAATTTCAACTTAGAAAACAAAGTATTTCTTTTCGAGAATTTTAGTAGATGATTATTCATATAATCCTTTATTTAAGGTTTAGCCTTTTCAGTGAAAAGATTTTCCTTGAACACAGTATTTATTTGAAAATAAATTAAAAAATGCAGACGATAAGTGATAAATAATATATATATCTATAATATTTTAGAAAATAAACCATAAATTAATATTAATCAGTTTTAACTATTAAGATAATGCAGGTACTATTCATATCTTAATGGAGACTATTTCTCATTTATAGCTTATTTTTCAATCTTTCCATCTTTTATATAAATAATTCGATGAGCATAACATTCAAGATCAGGATTATGAGTAACCATAACCATAGTACAAGGAGTATGATTAGCATCACTATATCCAAAATTATTGAGGTGCAATAATATATCCATTACTTCAACAGTTGATTTTGAATCTAAATCTCCTGTAGGTTCATCTAATAATAAAATTTAAGGTGAATTTGCTAAAGATCTAGCTATAGCTACTCTCTATTATTCACCACCAGATAATTCTGAAGGTAAATGATCCATTCTATCTTATAAACCAACACTTTTCAATAATTCTCTCACTCTTTTTTTTATATCTTTCTCTGACTATAATTTATATATTATAATAATACCAATTTAGCCAAGATTCTCATTGGTAGCTCTACATTTTCATAAGCTGTCATTGTGGCTATTAAATTAAATGTTTAAAACACAAATCCAATAGTTGTCAACCTAAGTTCACTCAAATAAGAATCTTTTGATAATTTATTGACTTCCTTTCCTAATAATCCTATTATATTATTAATAAATAACTTATTGTGCCACTTGTAGGTGTATCTATTGTTCCTATTTAATTTAAGAATGTTGTTTTTCCACCACCAGATGGACCTCTTATAATGACAAATTCTCCTCTTTTGATAGGATAAAATTCATCGTTTTGTTTTAAATTGATATCCTTAAGAGCGGAAATCTTTTCATCTCTGCCAATAAGATTAAACTCTTGAAAATTAAAGATTAGGATACCTTTTGATACATCTTCACATTCAATTACATTTTCATCCTATGGTCCAAATTCTTTTGGAGGCAAATTGTATATATCTTTTCCTTATCCCATCAATACTTCTTTTTCTGGAGATCCTGTAAATATCATAAAATGAAGATAATATTGTAAATATTTTAATATAATTAATTATTTTCTATTTATTTTATTTGATCTTATTTATACTATGAATTGATTAAAGAGAATGATGTATCAATTCTAGATTTATGGAAATAAGAGAATTCATAGATTATTAATATTTTTTTTATGTTTAAACAAATTGAAACCAATGGAATTTGATATAATCAAGTCCTGTCTTCAAATTGACTTAATAATTAGCTAAAATCTAAGATTTAAGGTTTAATTTAATGAAGCTAATTGCTACAATTATCTATGCATTTGCATTGGTCTGTACATCTTTGATTTCTCTTAAGACATTCACAATATTTCTTTGAACAACTATAGATTATATAATAATATATATATACTTTTATTTTTGACATTTACATCCTTAATATTCTATGGTAGGACTTACCAATTATATTTTACCACTTGATTATTTTACTTATTTATTGCAACATCCAGAACATTCACACTTAAATGAACATTCTTATCCATATTAGAAACATTCACAATAATATTTTATACATTTTGTTTTTTTACATCTACATGTAATTGATTCATTTCTGATATTCTAATATTATTATTATAAACTAATGAATTTTAGGATATTATATTTACTGTTCTGAAGTTTATACTTTCTCTAATTTATTTACTATTACATTGTCTCTTCTTATTTCTATTGAATTTATCAAATCTAAAGTGTATGATGAATTAACTAATTTTTATAACCTATTCTATACCTTTATACTCTTTATTAGTTGTTCTTTTTTATCTAAAAATGGATTGATCTTTCTTAATGACGAGTTGGTCATCATCAAATTTGATTCGTCTTATTATTTTGTTGACTTTTTCTTCCAATTTTTATTCGTTCTTTTAAGTTTATATTGATTTATTTTGGAATAGTTAAGGAGAATCTTTTAATCCAAATTCTTCTATCGTCGAGATATTTTCCTATTATTACTATTAAACCTTTTTAGGAGTTTTAACTAAATGAATTTTAAAATAATACATTCATAATCATTTAGTTGCTTTTACTTGAAAAAACCACTCATTTTTATAAACTCCAATTATCAAAATTAATACATAAGTATACATCCAATATAAATATATACATCTCTCATTTATTGTATTACATTAGACAACTTAAACACTTCCCACCAATTTACCGCCAAAGTATCAGAATTTATCAGTATAAATAAAATAGTATTAGAAATAATTTTTTTAAGTTTAGGCTGAATATTTAAAGGCTTTTTTAAATTTAATATATTATTTTTCTATATTTCCTATGAATCTACTTATTTTATTCCCTAGAACTCATCTTTCATTTCAAATTAAAATGAAAATTGTTTATTTATTTTTCACTACCATATGTTCTTTTTAAAATTACAATTTATCATTCTTTAATCATTCTATTTCATCTCTTCTGGTTATTCCAACATTTTACAATTAAATTTTATTTATTATGTAAATTTAATCAGAAAAAATAATCTCAATAAAAAATGATTGATTATTTTCTTGTTTAAAGATTAATTTTATTGTTACAACAAATTATTTTATATAAAACATCAAAAGATTTTATAATTAAAAACTTTTATAAATGAGAACTAGTATTATATTAAAATAAAATCTTAATAACTTTTTCAAATACTATCAATAAAATGTATTCCAATCATCTACCAAACAGATCCCTTATGTGATTTAATTGAAAAAATTTATTAGTTCAACTTTTTAGATATAACTTATAAACTCTTTTGAAAAGAACTTCCTTTTCCTTTATTATTTTATTTGATAATATATTTAGATAATCAGAATTAAGCTTAATATATACTCTAACTGTATTGAATTCATTCTTTAATGTAAAGTTTTATGAAAGATGTATAAGTTCTTATAGATCTATTTAAATTATTTAAACTAAATTTTAATAATTCAAATAGGTGCTTTAATATGAAGAGAGGAACTTGATTATGATTTATAATATTTTGATTTGAATGGCATTTTTATTATGAGATTATTAAATATTCGAAATTCTAAAGTTTGTAAAATTTGGATTGAATTGATTTATTATATTAAATATTAAAAATAAATGGGTCTTTGGGCTTGGACATTAAACTAGATGTTAACTCCTAAATTCTGGACTTTGGTTCGAAGAGAAGGTATTAATCAACAATTATGCTTTAGGATTTTGGTAAACCTATATTAGAATGCACAGAGCTTAATCAAGATCAAGTCATTATGCAGGAGGTCAAAATGGACCAATCCAATGTGTAGGTTAGGACTAATTTGGCAATAAATATTATGAAGACTTCGATGTTACACGTATAATTTGTGAACAAAACATTTTTAGATAGAAATCAAAGGAGATGGGTTGAATATAATGATTATTTCAACCCATGGCATACTCTTGGGGATAGAGTTCCTCCAGTATGGCATGGTTGGATGGCACATGTCTATGATGAAGCTCCTTCTAGAACTGGGCATTCATTTTTTGTTTAGCCATTTTATTAGAAACCTGGAACAGATAATTAATCACCAACACCTCATCATTATTTTCCTTAAGGAGCTATGCAAAATTTAAACAGATTAGAATTTATGTAAAGATAGTCTTAATAATATTTAAGTAAATACCATAGAGATAGAAGAGCAGCTCCATTTGAGCCAGGACAATCATAAGGCTTTGAAGGAAAGAGATTAGTAGTGGAAAGACAGAGCTATTCAGAGGATGTTATGGCTAATAGAGAATGATTTAATATATAAATATATGATATTATTGAAAAGGATAATATTTTTGAATTCAGATGTAAAGAATCATTAAATAATTAATTTATGGATAAGCATAATTTATAGGATAATGTTGAGTATGAAACTTCAGAAGAAATAACAATTTATCCAACTTTTGAATCTATGTAATTAAGGGAAGAACTTATAAGAGGTATATATTATTGTAAACTTAGGTATCTATGCTTTTGGTTTTAATAAACCTTCAGCAGTGTAACAAAGAGCAATTGTTCCTATAATATAAGGAAGAGATGTTATAGTATAGAGTCAGAGTGGTACTGGCAAAACAGCAGTATTTAGTTTATCAGCATTGTCAATCATAGATTTATCTATAAGGTAGAAGATTTTTATTATTCTTTTTTAGGGAACCTTAAGTATTGATTTTATCGAATACTAGGGAATTGGCAGAACAAAGTTCAAAAGTAGCAATGGCTTTAGGAGATTTTTTGAATGTTTCAAGTAACAATAATAAATGATTATATGATAGTTCATGCTTGTATAGGTGGACATTCAATTTAAGATGATATTAGCAAACTATAGCATGGAGTATAAATAGTATCTGGTACTCCTGGTAGAGTGTTTGATATGATTTAGAGGAAAGAATTAAGAGTTCGTCATTTAAAAATGTTGATTCTTGATGAAGCTGATGAAATGTTGACAAAAGGATTCAAATAATAAGTTTATGATATCTATAGATATTTACCACCTACAACTTAGAATGTAGTAGTGTCAGCTACCTTACCTCAAGAGATACTTGACATGACTGATAAATTCATGAATAATCCACTTAAGATATTAGTCAAAAGAGATGAACTGACATTAGAAGGAATAAAATAATTCTTTATTCAAGTTGATAAAGAGGAATGGAAATTCGATACTTTATGTGATTTATATGATACTCTAACAATCACATAAGCTGTTATCTTTTGTTCATCAAGAGATAAGTGTGAATGGTTAGCAAATAAGATGAGAGAAAATGAATTCACAGTGGTTTAAATGCATGGAAAAATGAGTTAAAAAGAAAGAGATAAAATTATGGCTGAGTTTAGATAAGGAAATAAGAGAGTCTTGATTGCTACTGATGTTTGGGGAAGAGGTATTATTATTTAAATTAAAAAAATAAGGTCTTGATGTTCAATAAGTGTCCTTGGTTATCAATTATGATTTACCAATTTCAAGAGAATTGTATATCCACAGAATAGGAAGATCTGGTAGATTTGGAAGAAAGGGTGTTGCAATTAATTTTGTTAAATAAGAAGATGTTAGAATTTTAAGAGATATTGAATAATATTATTCAACATAAATTGATGAGATGCCAATGAATGTGACAGATTTATTATGAAATTAATAATTAATTCAATAATATTTGACCAAAAGTTCTCAATTTGATATCAATCTATGAGATTATTCCTTTATTTATTTATTTATTGATAATTCTATAATATATAATGTTTTAATCTCTATTGAATTTAAAGTACATATTCATTCATTTTATTATAGATATTCATGGTAGCAAAGTACTAAAGATGATATAAATAACAAAGAATTAGTAGATGCTGCAATAAGCATATTAGGGTTCAGTATCAAAAATCTACCTTCTGAAGTAAATTTATTGTTTGATTTATTAGAAGAAAAAAGAAATCATTTAATAAATATATAGTCGAACTATTTGGTTAACATATCGTAAGAATTTCCCTTAAATTTTAAGTATTAGACAACATAAATTTTTAGATAGCTAATAAACAACTGATGCTGGTTGGGGCTGTATGTTAAGGTCAGGTTAAATGATATGGGCTTAGATATTAAGAGTTCATATAAGGTAAAAGAAATAACATAGCAAAGATTATCAATATAAATTACTTTGTGCTTTTTCAGATGATGATGATGATGAACATAAAAAAATGTTTACAGATAATCTTAAATTTTGTTTGAGTCCTTATTCTTTACAAAAGATTGAAGCTATATCACAAATAAAATTTTCTAAAAAACCATGTTAATGGTATAGTCCTGATTAAATCTTGAATGCGTTAGAATTATTACATTAACAAAAACAACTAGAAGGAAGTGAAGATTTAAAGATATCTATATCTGATAGTATTTTCTATGACAAATTGTATTCAGAAATGTATGGTCTTAATTAGGATTGTGAACATATTGTTAATGAAATAAAATAAGATAAAACTAAAGAAATATCAAAAATCTGTAATATTTGTGAAAAGAAACAGCCAAAAGCTTTAGCAATCTTTTTATAAACAAGAATTGGATTGGATGAAATTAATAAGGAATATTTACCATTTTTAAATGAATTAATTGATTTACCATAATTTTAAGGAATTATAGGAGGAAAAGATGATAAAGCATATTACATTCTTGGAAGAGTCAATAAAAAATTAATATATTTGGATCCTCATTATATTTAAGAACATATAAATAGAGGAAATGTTGTAATGCTTAAAGATACCTTCTTTTGTAAAGATGTTAAATATATAAATGAAGAAACAATAAGTCCATCAATAGCTTTTGGATTTTACTGCTAAAATCAAATGGAATTAGATAAATTCTTTAATTCCCTTGAATAAATTAAAAAAAATTATGATAAAGAAAAAATCTTTTGTTATATTAGCAGAATTACTCCAAACTCATATATCATTGGAATAGATGAAAATGATGTTCTTATAATTTAAGACGAAGATATTTGATAAAAATATATATTTTACCAAAATTAATAGTAATATTTATTTCATCATCTTCAATTATATCATTAAAAAGAAAAAAGATTTATTTTCAACCTAAGATATTTATTCTCTTTATTATGATTCTAGGAAATCCAAAATTCTAAAACATACTTTCTCCCCTATATATATTGCAATTGTTATTTGTGATTAAATAATAAATTTTTTACAATAATGTTTAAAGTGTTATACATAAGAAATGCAGATCCAGTTTTCTTCACAGAGTTGGATGACAGATTATAAAATTGCTTAAGAAAATTGGGAGTAGATGTAACATAGGTCGAATTAGAAGATCTATATTTTGAATGGGAATCTGGAGTAATCTTAAATCCTAAATATATATAGAAAATTTCTTTCTACAATAAAGGAGATTTAATAGAGTTTGATGGTGTTATGAATTGGGGTTACATGAGTCCTAAACATATGTAGGACTTTAATTACTTCATTGAAGCAGTAGAAAATGCTGGCAAAGTTACTTTGCATTCTACAAATGCTGAAAAGATCTTATAAAGCAAATTATTATAAGGACTCAGATTTGCTAAGCATGGAGTACCAATTCCAAAAAGTATGGCTGCCTTCACAGTGAACACAATCAAATAAACTGTTAGATCTAATTTTGCTTAATAAGAAAGAGGGGTTGTAAAAGCCTTAGATGGATATGGTGGAGATGGAGTCTAACTAGCTAGAGGACAAGATGAAATCATTAGCATGGCTTCAAAGGAAGTTTGGAAAAACCATTAATCAGTGATCTAGAAATTCATTCCTGATTCTATTGGAAAATCTGTAAGAGCACTCTGTATGAATGGCCAACTAATTTTGGCTTGTGAATTTAGTGATACAGGATCTGTAAAACATTCTTAATATTATAGGATTTTCGATCAAATAATGGATATCATGAATCATTGAAATTAGTCAATAAGATGGATTAATTCAAAAGATATGAGGAAGTTGCTCTTAAGGCAGTTAATGCAATTGAACCCAATTTAACTATTGGTGGAGTTGATATATTAGATTCAGAATAACATGGATTATAAGTTTTGGAAGTTAATGGATGGTCAGATCTTTGGGATTCAGAAAGAATAACTGGAATTGATACTTTTTAAAAGGTGGCAGAAAGCTATTTAGCTAGATTAAAAAGACATTATCATAAGGAATGATGATTTAGTAGATATATGTTCAATTTCCATTTATAAACTATAATATTATTTATTAACAAACAAGACTAACAATTACAAGTGGAATTACTTTGATGTCATGAGAAAATAATTAACAAAACAAAAATGATAATTACATTAATCAAATACTATTAATTTATTAATTCATATAGTTAAATCTGTTCCTAAAGGTGTTTAGTTTATAAATATATAGCTTAAATTAATGTAATCTCTTATTTTAAGTGTCTTTTTACATGTCTTATACAAAAAAAAATTTAAGATTTTTTTTATCTGGAACTGATTTTCATAATTAGGTCTAAATACTAAGAAATCTATATTTAATTTATTTTTAGGTGTTTAATTTATTTTCTTTGAAAGTTTTGTGTATTGTTTACTATAGCTTCTGTATTATTTATATAAGATAGCATTTCATTAAATACATTTACGTACATATATATATATCAATTTAAAAATCATAATAAAGGTTTTCAAAAAATAATCGAGTACTAAAAGAAATACAAATCCACTAAGAAGGTCTACAAATTTATAAAATATTCAGCTGATTTTATTTTTTCAGATGTAATTGCACCATTTTCACAGCCGAAACTAAATTATGATACTCAAAAAGACTTACATAAAATTTAGAAAAGAATCCTTGGAGGATTTGAATTTCTTTTTACTATTCTGGTTTATTATTTAAAAACCATTATATACCTTGAGGGTAATATCAATGGAAGTTTGCCATCTAAAATGGATTCTCTTTTTATAAAAAATATTAACTGATTAATTTATAATATTGGAGTACACTTTTAAATTTGCATTTATAAACAAATATTAATATCTTCTTTAAAATCAATAATATTAGTAGAGATTATTGGTGTTATTTTTTAAATTAAAATCACTCAATGTATACTGAAATAAAAATAATTCTAATATAGGCACTCCAATATAATCTGATTATTTGATTTAATGAAGATTACTTTTAATGTGGCTTTACAAACTAAAAAATTTTAATTATTATATTGATTTTTTTAAACCTTTAGTTTTTATAATAATTTATTGCTAGTCTTCTTAGATTATTTGAATATTATAGATATCATGCAATTAATCGGATTATTAGTTTATATGTAATAAAATTTCTATTCTATTCTATATAATACTAAAATCTTAGAATCTAAAGAATAAAGTGTTAATCACTTAATTACGTGATAAAAGTTTTTGCGAATCTAAATATTTATTTCCTCTAAATTATTCTCAAAAAATTAACATTATCCTGTAACTCCTCCAGCGCATAGTTGATGCCTATGTTTTCATATACCTTTGAACAAAATAATCTACTTATTTTTCTTTCTAATAAGTTCAAGATAAACTAGAAAATATAACCGGTTTTAAATATATCTTCATTTAATTCTGATCGCAGTAATCCTCTGCAAAAATATGAGTATCAAATTTTTTCATTAAGACAACCAAAAAATAAATATAGTAAGGGATAATTAAATTTATAAAATTGATGTACATTGTTTACTCTGAAATTTGAACTTTGCAATTAATTTAGATGTTATTTTAACTTTATTTAACACAATATTTTGAATAATTTATAGATTATTACTAATTAACATATAATTTATGTTCAATTATGAATATTATTTATTAATATGATAATTTTATATTTTTATTCAATTTTCTCCTCAAACTGTTGTATTTGAATTCTTAATTTAATCAATAATAATTTTATAAATTAAATTATCTAGCTAGGTTTTCTATGAATTATAGAAATTAGATAACTTTGTTATTATTATTGAATAAATTAATGTATATTTAAAAAAGTAATCTAATGTCCCAATTGAAGAGTGGGTAAATTGGAATTTAATTAATTTTTGCAGCCAATATTATCTAAAGTTCTTGGTGGATCATTTTAGCCTTACAAATATATCAACCCATAAGTTATTTACTATGCTTTTTTTAGTTAACTAGCCTATTATTGAAGATGGTTTCATATATTTTAATAAAGAGGAAATAAGGACTAAATATAATTGTTCATATTGCAACATTATTGTCTTATGTGTTGTAAATTGAATCCCTATAACTATTGATACCTACTAATCACTTGCACACTTTTTCAATAAGTCTTTTAACAATTGTGACATATAATGAATACTTGAATATTGCCATTTAGAAATTTAGTTTAATTTGCAAATTAGGGTTGCCATTGTATCTTATTATTAGAGTAACATGGGTACTTATAGAATGTTTTAGCATCTTTATAATAGAATGCTTAATTACAATAATTATGGTGACTATATATTTTATACTTAAAAACTAAACATAGTTTAATTAGAATTTTAGTAAAAATCTCATAGATTAATCATTAAAAAATAATTATATAAAGGAATCACCTCTTATTTCATACAACTAACAAATATAATCTTAGATTAAATCCTAAAGCAAAATTTCTAACATCCCATCAGCTAAAAATAGTTTCAGTTTATTAAGGGATCTTCCAGGTGATCAAAAATTGTTACAATATTCTAATTTAACTAGCATATCAAAGTCTTAACCATTTAATAAATTTTTTGAAAAGTCAGATCAGTAAATACTCCTTCTTTATTAAAACTTAATAAATCTATATCCATATGGGATATTAATCATAAATTAGCAATAACAAATTATATATATAAATAATAAAAGTGAAAAGATTTTAGAATGCTAAGGGGCAGAAGTAGTGTTGGAGAAGATCAAAATTTGTGTTAATAATGCTAGAATTGAAGAAACTATTAGTGAGTCATCAAAAAGTTTACAAAATTAAAAATAGAGAAAACTTATTCATTATGATACTTTAAGATAGATAGTTGGAAAATTATAAAGTAAAAATCTATCAATTGATATTTTTGATATTATTCTTTAACCTGCTAAGTATTAAGGAATTTTATCAAATGAAGATTAACTAAATAAAGATAACTATTAGAAAATATTCCATAAATAAATATTTATTTATGAATGGTTATTCCAATCAAATTTTTTATAAGAAAACTCTTAAAAAAAAGTGAAATTAATAATTATCCCTACGACAATGACTAGTTCATAATAGGAATACTTTACATCTCCATCATAAATAAAATTTTCTAGTAAAAGTTTTCCATTTAGTAATGAACAAGATTCACCTGTATTACTTATTATTATAAAGAATCTTACCAACAAACATAATATCTAATATTTAAAAGATAAATAAATTATACATCATAGTTTAATTAAATCTTTTTCTCATGAATTGAGAACTCCTTTAAATAGTTGTTAATAAATGTTGACACTTATGAAGAATTCAACTAAAACTGAAGACTTTACAGAGGAATTAGGAATAGCTTAATGTTCAATTTCATTATTGATTCATCAAATAAATGATATTTTAGATTATGCAGCTATATAATCTTATTAATTCTCTTATCATATAACACCATTCACAATAGATCAATTAATTTAGGAAATAGATTATTTATATAAATTATAAATGTAATCAAAGAAGATTAAATTCATGATAAAAGTGCAACAATGTTTGATGACTATGATCATTTCTAATGATAAGTAGAGAATATTATAAATACTAGTTAATTTGTTGAGTAATGCTATCAAATTCACATAAGAAGGAGGTACTATAGATCTTAATCTAAAGTAATGTGATAATTCATATATTAATGTTAAAATAAAAGACAGTGGAATTGGTATTAAAGAACATAGACTGAATTTAATTTTAAATAGTTTACACGATACTCAAGAGTTTGGTGCAACTCTTAAATCAAATGCAAATAAAAATCCCACTGGATTAGGTCTTATCATTGCAGCTAAATTGGTCAAGGGCTTAACTGATGATTAAGATAATTAGTTAGTTATTAATTCAAAGAATAATAAAGGAACTGTAATATAGTTCCAAATTTAGAACTTCTAATAAAATAATTTATTATCATCAAACCCACTTTCGCAATAAACTGTTAAATTTAATCAATCAGGTATATAGTATACATTTAGTGAAAGAAAACTTGAGGATCCAAAACTGATAAAATCAAGCCATTCTAATTTTAAAATTGATAATGATGAAGAATAATATTAAGATCAAAAATCAGATTCATATAATAACACATCAAGATTGAATGACAAAGAAATGTAATCTGGTATATTTTTACCTGTTAGCCCAAATTATTTTTCTAATCAATTTATACAATCTAACGAATATTTAAAATAAAGATAAGAAATATAAATAGAAAAAGTGTAAAATTAATTATGCAAGAATTGTGTTCATGTATTAATAGTAGATGACATTCCATTTAACTAAATGACTCTCAAATTAAATCTCAATCACTATCAAATCAAGGCAGATTAAGCTTTTGATGGATTTTAAGCAATAGAAAAAGTAAAGAATAAATTTTCATAACATTGTTAAACCTATAAATTAATATTTATGGATATAGAAATGCCAGGAATAGATGGTTTCTAAGCAAGCAAATAAGTATTCTTTTTAAAAATATTTCAAGATTCTAGAGCTAACTAATTAATAATCAATAATTGTGATTTGTTCTGCTTATGATACCTAGGAGAATTTTGAACATGGTAATAAAATTGGAATCAATTTATTCCTTTCTAAACCTGTTAAATAAGAAGAATTAGAAGTACTATTGAAAATGGTATTTAAAATAACAATTATATGATTTGATTTATTTGTAAATTAGTAAAAATAAATTTTTAAAGCAATTATTATAAAATTAAAAAAAAAAGCAAAACCTGGCAAATCTTTCTTTCGTGATAATCATAAGTAAGGGTATTTTTTATTTCAACCTATTTGATAATGATTAATTTAGTAATTTATTATATTTAATTGTATTAACAATTATTAGACAAATTGGATCCATAATCACAGGTTTCTAATTTGATCAATAATGTAATCTTTAACATTCCAGAATATTAATTATTCTCCTTAATATATTCTTTAAATTAATTGAACTTTAAAACAAAGTTCTATTATTATTAATATAATTTTAATAATCGAAAGTATTTCCAAGATGAAGTAATTTGAAATTCATTTCATTTAAATTTCAAATTATAGTTGAATTTTTCAAAAAAGCTCTTTAAACATAATAATATATTCTTTTAACTCTGTTAATATGCAAAAATTTTACCAAGAAATTATGTTATTCATTTGAAAAGTTTCAAAATTGTTTTCTAACTTGTTAAAGAGTAATATTGATAACAAAATTTTTACATCTTAGTCTACAGATTATACTATTAGCATGTCCTTATCATATAATAAAGATATCACCTATAGAAATAAGATGAATATCAACATTATTAAATTTAATTAAAAGAACAAGTATGCAAGAATTGAAGAAGAATTATAAATAATTTTTATGAATATTACTTTAATCTGAACACTAAGGTATAAAAGTTGATAGAAAAACAACAAATAAAAATTAGTTTTACTTTTAAAAATAGTATTAAATATATTCTCTATTGATAATCAAATAAGGTTGAGCTTTATGTTCTAAATTCCTTAAATCTTATTTAATAGAGTTAATTTAAGTTGTTTTAGGATTAGATTAAGGGATAAGCTTAAAAAATAGAAAATTTATCATATGATTGAAAATCAATTAGTTTTTTTGTTATTCTCAAATAGTTATAATAACTGAGTAAATGATCTAAAAAATATCAAGATGCCATCTAAGCAATTGTTTGTAATTTAAAATAAATAAGAAACATTTTTATTATTATAATATTAAAAGTAAATAGAATTAGATATATTTAATAGGTATAGCCTTATAAACTTCAACGATTTATTAGGAAGCTTTTGCATACTTTAACTAATGAATGGTTTGGATCCTAAATTTGCTCAAGGGCTCTAAATAAAGGAAAATATATAATTGAATTTCAGAAATGATTTTAATTCAACATGAAATTATTTATTATAAAATAATTGAGATGCAAAGTTGTTATACCAATTTAGATTCATATATAAATTTAGAACCTAACAAAAATAATTTTATCTATCAATAGGTATAAACACATTACCATTGTTGTATTTGGAAAAACCATTTAAATTTATTCAGCAGATAAATAAAACTTAAAAATTTACTATAAAATGAAAAGGCAATAGCGTGCTATAATTACTGTAAATTTTGAAACTGAATAACCATATATTCGATTTGCTCAAATAAGAAGAGATTACTCTATTTATGAAATACTTTTTTAATAATAATATTTCAAAGTTAATATAAAATTTAAGTGATGCTATTTAATATTTTGATAAATCTGTTAATTAGATCCAAAATTTATTTTCTATTATGCAATGAAAGACATTAAATATTTTCTGGTCTAAAAATAACAATACATTGTTATAAAATATTTAAATGTTTTTGTGGATGCTTCTTCTTCAAAAACTATGTTTTTATGGTTGTAAATTACTCTCCTATCTATAATGAAGGAAACAAAAACACTTCAAGTATTGAGATTTCTTGTTTAGCTGATTTTTCTAAGAATTTATGAAATTTTCATTTTCTAAAACAAAAATTGAAAAATTTGATTTATTATTGTTTATTTTCTTTGGCATATTATACATTAGTTCAAATTACGAGTCTTATATCAAATTAATTGATTTAATCTAGTATTTAATCAATTTTTAATCATATGAGATTTCATTTTTTTTTCATAATTCTTAAATAATGGTTTGAGAGTTTATTCATAAGGAAAAATAAATTAATGAAAGAAATGGGATTGGAAATAAATATATTCAAGTAATTTAAATATATAATGAAAGAGTTGAAGAAAAAAATTTCAATCGAAATTTTTACTCTCTAAACTTTTGCCTCTCTTTGAAGTAAATAATTTTTGTTGTTTTATTCAAATTATGTAAAAGGGAGAGCTTCAAGCCAGTATTGTTTATATTAACTTAAAAAAACATTTAAATTTTTATTGAAATAGAATTTATTAATTAGAAAAAACTTATTAATCCCATGTATATTATAGAAAAGCAAGCATAGAAAGATAATTATAGAATTTCAATGCTTTAAAACCCAAAAAACTCATCATTGGGATTAAGAATGATATTTTTAGCTTACTTAAAGCTATTGCTTCTCTAATTTTTATCGATAAGAGGTATGGGGATTTCAGAAATTTGTGTTTGTGGGCATGTTTAAAGTGAAAATGATTGTAAAAACTCAGGTTTTTGTATATGGCAGAATGATGCTTGTATTTTAAAATTTGGTTAAACATACAATAAGATAGGCTAGGATTCGAATTCATGCAAGAATTATGCAAAAGAAGACTGTAGAGAATAAAAGTAATGTGGATTTTATTTGGGTTAATGCAACACATTTTAGGATTGCAGCGTATTCAACAAGGATCATTGTGAAGAATCATCTTACAGATGTGTATCTGATTCCAAAAAGTGTATTGAAAGATAGGAATGTAATAATTACAAAACGTTATATGAATGTGCAAATAAAAATTAGAATGGAAAATACTGTTTTTGGGTTTAGGAAGTAGAAAGAAAGTGTCGAGATGCTATTATCTGTGAAGAATTACCTATTTATTTAACAAGCCATATCATGTGTAAGGAAGCTCTTTAGGGTTGTACTGTAAATGAAAAAGGGTATGGATGTATTAAATAGATGGACTCATGCACTTAATACTATAATGATTTTTAATGCATAGAAAGTAAATCAGAAAGTGAAAATTGCTTCTGGGATTTAAAAAATAGTAAATGTGTTTCAAAGGTATGTGAAAATTTACCATTTTCTTAAGATTACGAATGTAAGTCATATTTGAGTTAATGTACATCAAATGGAATCCACTGCATCAAAAGAAGGTAATGTATTGATGCTTAGAATAAATTTGGATGTGTTACAGATGCTGAGGGAAATAAATGTGAATTTCATAAAAATTAATGTAAAATAAAGACTTGCGACACTGCTCTAGATTATTATACAAATTATCAGTAATGTTAGGGTTATGACAACTTTTTGGATTGTGTTACAGCTGAAAATGGAGGTTGTAAATAAAGACCTTAAAAATGTGATGGTTATGGAGCTGAAGTTGATTGCTATTCCATAGAAGAATAGGATTGTATCTGGTACAATAATAAATGTGAAAAAAGACAATGCTAACATGCTCCAGTCTTTTATAATCTAGATGATTGTATGCAATATGGAAATTGTATAGGAAAAATTGGTGGTGGATGTCAAGAGACACCATAAATTTGTGATTAGATTTTTGAAGAATAGTTTTGCAAATTTAACTATAATAAAGATAAATGTATATGGCTCGACAACGAATGCACATTATTAGAATGTAATAAATTGAAATTGCCAACTTTTTTTAATCATCAAATATGCTAAAAGGCAAGTTCATATTGCACCTTTAATCTTGAGTAATTTGGTTGCGTGGATTATGTATGTGAAAATATTGTTGAAACTGAGTTATGCTCAATCGATTCAAATGGAACAGTTTGCACCTTGAATTAAGGATGTATTGATAAAAAATGTTAGACTGCTCCTCCAACTTATGTGAGTAATGAATAATGTGAAGAATGGTTACCATATTGCACAGTTAATGTATAAGTTTTATAACAAGAAAAAATATTGATTGGGTGTGTGAATAAATATAATGATTGTCTATCTGCTCTTGAAGAACAATGTTAGTCTACGTTTTCAGGTATTAATTGTAAATGGGACAGCGTTGGCTAAAAATGCCTTTATAAAGTTTGTACTGATGCAGATCCTAATTAATATTTAAATAATGAGGATTGCAAATAATTTAAGGTGATATCGGGTACTTGTATAATAGGATCTTCTAACTTTGGATGCTAATAATGGCCAAATAATTGTTATCAATTGATAAGTTAACTTTAATGTTAATTAAATCTATAAGATGGAACAAAGTGTTTTTGGACTGGTAGTTCATGTAAAATATTAGAATGTACAGATGCTTCTATAATTAATTACACTAATAATATTGAATGCAACTCCTGGCTAGATTATTGTATTTATAATTCAATCTCAGGAGGTTGCATGAATAGACCTGCTTCTAATGATTGCACATTATCTCCAAATGATAATATGTATGATACTCATTAAGAATGTATAGCATGGGATCCTAAATGCACTGTCGTTTCCACTTTTAATGCAGAAGGGTGTGAATAAAAGAAGACAAACTGCTTTGAATTCATTAGGCAAAGAAATTGTAAAACAACTTTAAGTGGCTAAAATTGCTATTGGGATGATAAAGAACAAAAATGTAAAGATGAATATGATGATAATGATTGCAATAAGAGAATTTATGGAGATTTATCACACCAAGATTGTGAAAAATTCCTATCTAAATGTACAGTTAGAAAAATTTAAACGTCCTGCAAATCTTTATCAAAGTATTGCGACTATTTATTAGAATAACAATGTGTAATCACAATATTTTAATAGCCTTGCAAATGGGATTTAAAAAATTAACGATGTAAAGATGTAGAGTGTTATGAAAATATCACAGCTGAAACTGAGGCTGAATGCTTAAATTTCAGAAAATAAAACTAGTGTTAATTAAAGATTTAAACTGATTAGACTTATGGACCTGGTTGTGAATCAAGACCATTCTATTGTGAATAGATTACAAACCATATAAAATGTAAATTAACTCTAACATTATAAAATTAAAGATGCTATTATTTCGATTTTAAGTGTTAAGTTGTACAATCTAATTAATGCGAAGTTATTTAAGATAGTAAAAGTAATGAGGTTTGTCAATTATACAATCCCTAATGTATTCTTTAACCAAGTGGATAAGGATGTTACTCAATATTCGGATGTTCAGATTTATCAAATAATGTTTGTAACAATGCCATTATGAAATTCAATAATAAGTGCAAATATTCTGATACTTGTCGCCTAGATGATTATTGTTATAATAAATACGCATCATTGAGTACTTGTTAAGACAAAAAAACACAATTAGGATAATTATGTTACTATCGCACTTATTGTTATTATGGTTGTTCTCGATATTGTGAATAAAAAACAGGAAAAAAGTACTTACAATTTGAACTATCTACATCATTTTCAGATAAAAGTAAATTATGCTAAGAATATTCATCAAATTACAAATATGATACAAATTGCAATTGTTGTGTAATTATGACTTCTTGTACCCAACAACAGGGTGGTTAATAGTTATGTAATTCTTCAACTTCTAATAACAAATGTGGATATAATTTTTAGACTAATACATGTGAGACCAGGAAATGCGAACATTTAACTTATGTAAATTATGCTGTCATTTCAGATTAAATTTGTTATGATTGGAAATATAATTGTGTTCTTGATGCTACTGGTTGTACTAATTATACTGGAGATTGCACATCAATTAAACTAATTTATCAATGTTACTAATAATAATGCTTTTGGTAAGATGGTAAATGTGTTAATCATGTTGATTGTCAAGTTAACACAACAGCTGTTTTAAATCGTGAATGTCTATTAGTAAATGCTGAAAACTGCAGATTGAATTACACTTAAGGTTTCGGATGCTCTTTTTTTGATTGTAGCATGATCAAAAATTTAATGATTTGTAATTCAACAAAGCTTGTTGATGGATAAAGTTGTAATTGGATTAATGGTTTGTGTAAAAGCAAAATTTGTTCCAATTTTACAATATAATCCGACTGCGAAAGTAGCTATGAATAATATTCAATAGTAACCACTAAATGTTTTTGGTGTATATATAATACTACCAAATGCTCAAATTAATAATACTGTAGTTTAAGTAGTATGATTTTACCAAAATCTCATTAAGATTGCAACAGTTAAAATTTCTAACATACAATTGATATTTCAATGTCCTCAAAATGCACAATAAAAAAATAACTTTGTTCAGAATACATTTACGAAGATGCCTGTGTTAGCACAATAGATGGTGTAGAATGTTAGTGGAATTCTAATATTTGTATAAATATCTGTTAAGCAGCAATTTTTAATCCTTTTTCTACAAACTTACAGTGCTTTAATTGGCATTCTGATTGTATGTCAAGCACAGGCTCCTAATGCGAACTCTTAGATTGTTCAAATTTAGCTATAATCGAAGATTGTACTATTTATACTAAAAAGTGTTTTTGGGATGGTTCGATCTGTCAAACTATTGGTGCTTGTAACAATTATTTTACTAATGAGTTATGTTTAAATACTAAAAGTTCTAAAGGAATTCCATGTTTTTGGAATAATACATAATGTATTGAAAAAACTTGCTAGAATAAACCTACTCCATCTTCATCTAACTTGGATTGTGATAGTTGGCTAAAAAACTGCTAATTTAATATAAATACTAATTAATGCGTAGAAGATTGTACATCAGCTGATATTTCATATATCACACATAATTAATGTGATTCATACTATGACAACAAAAGTTGTACTGTCAAGCTTGATATAATTTAATGTGTGTACCTTCCTGTTTCATGTAATTTAGCTAAGAAGACATAATGTTATATTGATAGAGTGGGAAATTAATGTTACTTTGATTTAACATCAAATAAATGCATTATTTTGACTTGTACAAATTTATCAGCATCTTTTATCACTCATAAAAGTTGTAATGAAAAAAAATAAGATTGCACAGTAAATACCACTTTGAATGGATGTTAATAATTGAATGATTGCAGCAGTTATTTAATTCAAGAATAATGCTAAATCGATTCAAATAAAACTGAATGCGAATGGATTTTAAGTCAAAATAAATGTATTGATAATTATCATTAAATCACCGTACTATTAAGGAATGTTCAACAGCCTAATTGATCACATTTTCAGCATTTAGTTGTCATCAGTATTTTGGTGATACATGTACTGTCAATTCAAATTTAGATGGATGCAATATTGGTTAATTGTCATGTAAGGACTACACGTATCAATAATGCATCAGTTCTGGGTNTTTACCAAAATCTCATTAAGATTGCAACAGTTAAAATTTCTAACATACAATTGATATTTCAATGTCCTCAAAATGCACAATAAAAAAATAACTTTGTTCAGAATACATTTACGAAGATGCCTGTGTTAGCACAATAGATGGTGTAGAATGTTAGTGGAATTCTAATATTTGTATAAATATCTGTTAAGCAGCAATTTTTAATCCTTTTTCTACAAACTTACAGTGCTTTAATTGGCATTCTGATTGTATGTCAAGCACAGGCTCCTAATGCGAACTCTTAGATTGTTCAAATTTAGCTATAATCGAAGATTGTACTATTTATACTAAAAAGTGTTTTTGGGATGGTTCGATCTGTCAAACTATTGGTGCTTGTAACAATTATTTTACTAATGAGTTATGTTTAAATACTAAAAGTTCTAAAGGAATTCCATGTTTTTGGAATAATACATAATGTATTGAAAAAACTTGCTAGAATAAACCTACTCCATCTTCATCTAACTTGGATTGTGATAGTTGGCTAAAAAACTGCTAATTTAATATAAATACTAATTAATGCGTAGAAGATTGTACATCAGCTGATATTTCATATATCACACATAATTAATGTGATTCATACTATGACAACAAAAGTTGTACTGTCAAGCTTGATATAATTTAATGTGTGTACCTTCCTGTTTCATGTAATTTAGCTAAGAAGACATAATGTTATATTGATAGAGTGGGAAATTAATGTTACTTTGATTTAACATCAAATAAATGCATTATTTTGACTTGTACAAATTTATCAGCATCTTTTATCACTCATAAAAGTTGTAATGAAAAAAAATAAGATTGCACAGTAAATACCACTTTGAATGGATGTTAATAATTGAATGATTGCAGCAGTTATTTAATTCAAGAATAATGCTAAATCGATTCAAATAAAACTGAATGCGAATGGATTTTAAGTCAAAATAAATGTATTGATAATTATCATTAAATCACCGTACTATTAAGGAATGTTCAACAGCCTAATTGATCACATTTTCAGCATTTAGTTGTCATCAGTATTTTGGTGATACATGTACTGTCAATTCAAATTTAGATGGATGCAATATTGGTTAATTGTCATGTAAGGACTACACGTATCAATAATGCATCAGTTCTGGGTAAATGAACTTAAAAAGAGTTAGTTGTTTCTGGAATGAGGAGAAAAATAATTGTTAAGAAAAAATATGTGAGAATGCACCTTCTAATGCCTAAACTCATTCAGAATGTTCAATATTCCTTTCCACCTGTTAAAAAGGTGGTTGTCGTATTAAAGGATGTTTTGATTATAATTATGCTATAGATTCAGCTTGTGCATCTATATTTGAAGATAAGAGGTGTACAACAAATGGATATTAATGTATTTTAAGAATGGCCTGTGAAGATGTCAAAATGATTGATGGATGCACATATGATATTCATTTAAATCCTTGTGTTTGGATTGATGAAAAGTGCTATACGAAGACCTGCTCTACTGCATAAGTTTCCCTTAATAAATATGAAGAGTGTAATGCTTACCTGCCATACTGCACAGTTAAACAAGAAGGAGGATGCACAAGAAAATAGAGTTGCTCGGATTACTATATTAAAGAGGCTTGTTAGACAGATAGTGAAAATTAAGAATGTATTTGGGATAATAGTGTAAAGAAATGTTTCTCTAATTAATGCATCGGTTACTGTGGAGATGGCATTGTTTCAAATAAGGATGAATAATGTGATGATGGTAATTATTTACCGTATGACGGTTGTTATAAATGCTTAGTATAATGCCCAATTGGTTGTAATATTTGTAATGGTTAACAGTGTAAAGAATGTTAGAAGATAGGATGGTATTTGATAGAAAGCGTATGTACCTCAAAATGTGGTGATGGACATGCAGTAGATAATGAATAATGCGATGATGGAAACAACATTTAATTTGATGGTTGTTATGAATGTTCTTATTCATGCCACGAGAAGTGCTTAAATTGTTTTCAAGGGCAATGCTTAGAATGTGAAAAAGGATTTCTTGAAAATGGACCATTCTGTCATCATATTTGCGGAGATGGATATGTAGTAAATTAATTAGAATAATGTGATGATGGAAACCTTAACAATCATGATGGATGTAACAATACTTGCTAAGTTGAATAGAATTGGAAATGCTAAACAGATAATTTTATAAGTTTTTGCTACTACGTCATTTTACCTAAAATTACACTGACCAAATTATCTAAAAAAGATGTAAATATTTAAGAAATCAAATTATCATTCTCAGAACCAGTACGTTTGAATGAAAAAGCAATTAGTGAGGAATAATTTCTTTAGTTGATTGTTATTGAAATAATAAATGCCAAGAATAATTAATATGACTTTGAAACCAAACCCATGATCCCAATTAATACTGAATTGGCTGATGTAGCCTATAAAATAATAGTCTATTTTAAAACTAATGTTAAAAACCCTGTTCTAAAAGTTGCAGTAAATAGTGATAACATTGTAAATTTATAAGAAAACTCCTTATTCTCAAAAGAAGCAAAACTAGAATTAAAATCTTCTTACAAGATCTCAACTGATCAATAGTCACTTATGTTTAAGACTTCCATGTTTAGTAGGATTGTTTTGTATTTAATATTTGTTACAAGTGGAATTTCTTGTTTATTTGGTAATTTAGAAATTTTATGGAATCTCCTTGATATGCTTTAATAATTATCATATATGAAGTTTCATAATCTTCAATTTCCTGATAACTTACAAGACTATTTTGAAATTTTTTCTATAGGCTCTTTTACTCCAATCATTGATAAATTATAAATAGATCTGTATTTATAAAATATATTCAATTTTTAAGCTCCAGTTATAAAAGCAAAATGGAAATTTGAATACTATTAAATAAATTGTTACTTTTTGTAAACCTTTGAAACACTTCTAATAATGATTCTGCTGGGATTTACTTATTTTATCCTCTCATATTTACTTTATAAATTACTTATTTTTAGCAAGTATAACAATTGGCCAGCAATCTTTTAATAAGATCATCCAAACTCTTCCTTCAAAGTGGTTAAATTTATTTTTTCCATTTAGCGGTATGCAAGAAAATATTATTAATATTTTATTTACTCTGGATTAATCAGAATTTTTACATCTAACTTTTACGAATTGACATTTGCAGCTATTTTGTAATTAGTAAATATTGATACGAAGACTACTTTAAATACAATTATATTCTTTTTAGCTCTAATTACATTGATATTTAATATAACTTTATTAATCAACTTTTTTATTTATTTAAGCTACAAAACTAAAGTAGCCAAAACTTTAAAAGTTTTAGTGGAGGGAATAAAAAACAAAGAAAATTAAGGACAAAAATAATATTTTACAATATTATTGATAAAAAAAACCTTATTCATTACAAATTTAGTTTTATTTTAAGGTCTTGCAGGAGCATAGAGCATAATTACTGCTTGCCTATCTGGAATATTCTCCTATTATGTTTTTCTATAAAAACCTTTTGAGAACAATTTTGAAAATATCAAAATTTATATTACAGAAATACTGATTATGCTTAATGTTATAATCTTTTCTTTATATGAAATGTTGAATTTAAATCAAGACTAAGAATCAGCTCAAGTATTAGGTTGGATTAATATAGGTGGTTTCACCTTGATTCTTATTTTAACTTTAGCAATTGATATCTATCAATAATTGTTAAAATGTTTGAAGTTGCTAAAAGGGAAGAGTTGCTTTAGAATTAATAGAAAAAAATAATTAAAATCAAGGATCCTATTTTTTTGACATTGAATAAAACACAATTATTTTTTAATTCTATTTTAATTATTTACTTTCACTTCTAAATTGAATAAATTACTTATTGTTATTTTACTTTTTTCCATTTTTACATAAGTGATTTATAAAGTTGAAATTGATATTAATTGTTACAATACAGAATAGGGAATAAGTTAACTTCTTAGATATTCTCGAAATAAGAATGCTCATCAATCATTAATATTAATTTTGAGCCTTCCAAACTCATCAAAGAACACCTTTTCTTTTGGATTTAAAAATGTTGATGTTTTGGATTTTGAAGAATTTTCTAAAAAGGTTTATAGATTCTTTTTGAAACTATCGATTAATTATTTTGTTATTCTTTTTTATAAACTCTTATCAAAATGTCCATTTTAATTTATTTTGCTTCTTTCAATCCACAGAAACCTCTTTAAATTATTTTTTTTTCATAACATAATATCTAAAAATATTTGTTGTTATTTCAGGTTCCTCTGATGATTTAATTATCCTTCTATTGTTTGATTCTTATTTTATGTTTCTTGAAATATATTCTTTTCCACTAAACCCTACAGCAAAATTTGGCCTAATTCTTTATAAATGAATCATATAATTCTAATAGTTATCGTTTTTTATTCTCTAAATTTATGACTATGGTCTATTTTGTGTCTATGAACTGAATGCATAATTTCTATTTTAACTAATGTTATTATTTATAGTGCAATAGGCTTTATTTTTTTTTAAACTAAGATTGTAATTTCAATCTTGCTTTGCTTAAAGGAGCATAGACTTTATTCTTCTTTTGATATTTTTCTTCAAAATTATTAATCCATCAATAAACTTGAAGGTGTATCTTTAAATTCTACTTTATCAATTAAATAATTAATGAGTTACTTAGTATGTGTATCTTTTTAATATTATTTTTAAATAAAATCCATTTTATTATTTGAGAAAATATAGGAAATTTGTTTTAGCCTATGAAGATCTTTATAATTAATGTTATATGCAAGAATTTCGTATTTGCCACTATTAAACGATTACGATTGTTAGCAAGAAATTATCCTATAATCCCTTTACTCCAAATTTGTTAGTGAATGGATTCTTTTTTCGGAACTTCTGGAAAAGCAAATTTAATGGGGTGGCATTTAATGATAGCAAATCGATCTTAATTGAATTAATAACAAGCCTTTATATTTTTATCTTCACCAGGAAAAAAAATTATAGAAAGTAACCGTAGTTTTTATTCCTTTTTTTTTTTTTAATATCATTATTGAGAGTTAAACAAGTTTTAAAATTATTGATAAAGTTTTTTATTCTCCAAAACATACCTCGTCCTTAATCATTTATAAGGGTTCACTATTTTTATATCATACAGATTATTCCATTTTCTTACCATTTCTCTCAATAGATACCAATAAATACTAAAATTTTTATGATTAATACTACTGATTCGATCATCTTAATCAGAAGATGCCTAAAATTTTTGAATATATTCTTTTTCTATACACAGATATTTATTTAAACCAAACTTTGAGTTTTCTCATAATTTTATACTTGCATATTCAATTAGAATTGATATTTATAATTATTAACTCCCATCAAGAGCAGTTTATCACATTTTCATCTATAACTTGAGAAGAGTTTATGCCAGAAAATCTACAAAATATTTGCTTGTTAATTAGCTTAATAAATTTCATTTTGATTCAAATTAATAATATTGATTACAATCAGCTGATTATAATGCTAAGAATTTTTTGTTATAAGAAAGATTTAAAGATGAATATTTTTATGAAAAATAATAATTCTGTTTAAAGAATGCTTACATTTATTGAGAAAACTACAAATAGAGATGATATAATTTATTATTATAAAAATGGGTCTTTTCACAGTAAATTCTTAATAATATTTAGTCGAGAGTCAATTAGAATAGAATATTAAGAAAATCAATAGAAAATTAATGATTTAGGTAAGAGTAAAATGGATAAAACGCATATAAGGCAAAGCAAGGTTTTAAAAAACTTTAAAGAATATGAGAATTAATATAATTTAACTTATTAATGTTTCTCTTCTCCCTGACAAAGTTAAGTAGAATAATAATTACAACCATCAAATAATTAAGACTCTATTTTTTTTAATATNTTCGGAACTTCTGGAAAAGCAAATTTAATGGGGTGGCATTTAATGATAGCAAATCGATCTTAATTGAATTAATAACAAGCCTTTATATTTTTATCTTCACCAGGAAAAAAAATTATAGAAAGTAACCGTAGTTTTTATTCCTTTTTTTTTTTTTAATATCATTATTGAGAGTTAAACAAGTTTTAAAATTATTGATAAAGTTTTTTATTCTCCAAAACATACCTCGTCCTTAATCATTTATAAGGGTTCACTATTTTTATATCATACAGATTATTCCATTTTCTTACCATTTCTCTCAATAGATACCAATAAATACTAAAATTTTTATGATTAATACTACTGATTCGATCATCTTAATCAGAAGATGCCTAAAATTTTTGAATATATTCTTTTTCTATACACAGATATTTATTTAAACCAAACTTTGAGTTTTCTCATAATTTTATACTTGCATATTCAATTAGAATTGATATTTATAATTATTAACTCCCATCAAGAGCAGTTTATCACATTTTCATCTATAACTTGAGAAGAGTTTATGCCAGAAAATCTACAAAATATTTGCTTGTTAATTAGCTTAATAAATTTCATTTTGATTCAAATTAATAATATTGATTACAATCAGCTGATTATAATGCTAAGAATTTTTTGTTATAAGAAAGATTTAAAGATGAATATTTTTATGAAAAATAATAATTCTGTTTAAAGAATGCTTACATTTATTGAGAAAACTACAAATAGAGATGATATAATTTATTATTATAAAAATGGGTCTTTTCACAGTAAATTCTTAATAATATTTAGTCGAGAGTCAATTAGAATAGAATATTAAGAAAATCAATAGAAAATTAATGATTTAGGTAAGAGTAAAATGGATAAAACGCATATAAGGCAAAGCAAGGTTTTAAAAAACTTTAAAGAATATGAGAATTAATATAATTTAACTTATTAATGTTTCTCTTCTCCCTGACAAAGTTAAGTAGAATAATAATTACAACCATCAAATAATTAAGACTCTATTTTTTTTAATATTTTATCAAATTAAATTAAATTGTATCAAAGTGTTACTTTCTAAATTACAAAATTTTAACTTCAGATGTACAAATAATATCTAATGCATTTAGTTGTTTTAAACTTGGATATTACAATAGAATTAGAAAAGATTATAGAATATTATCTCTAAACTTAACAACCTTGAAAATTACTGTTGAAATCCCTTTTTGATCATGCTACAATAATTATATTCTAATTTAAAGTTATATCACAAAATAAAAAATTGACAAGTTTTCCCGATAGGGAAATTAAAAAGCAGCTATATTGTTCTTTTTGGCTTTTTTCAAGTTATATCAATTTTTTGTGCTCTCATCACCTATTATTCAGTTAAATTATTGCCAATAGAATTTAGAATCTCAAAATTTAGAAAAAGATTTAAGTGTTGATTAAAACATTATATAATTTTTCGTTTTAATTTATGTTAGGATTTGTGAATTAGAAAAAAATCAGAAATTACTTTTGGAGCTAAAAATGAATAAATTTCAAATTTAATTTCTGGTGAAAAAAAAATCTTGCCCTTTTTACAATTTTGAGATTTTAATTTCTCTAAATTGTTCTTTTGTAAATGATTGAAATTAGTAATTTCTTTATATTATTGCCTGAAGAAGAAGAAGATTTGTGGAAACATCCAAAGAAACCCAATAGTGTATCTATTTTTCTCCAGTGTACAGACGCTAACAAGATAGAGATAGGGAAGGCCCCACTAACCCCTAAAGTGAGAGCCCCACAAACCCTTAAAGAGAAGATATTAGCATTTCAATTATTAATTCAGGTAAAATTTGTTACATATTGTAGGTGAAAAATAAAAATAAATGATGAAATTACAAGAATGAACTCTAAAAAACTCCATCAACCTTTTATTTTTATAATCGTATGCGTAAAATAATAATTTATTTTTGAATGTGATGTGATGTATCAAATCAAATTGACTGATTCTGATCTTCTTAAAATTTCAAATGTTAAAACTTGAATATGATAGGGTTCCAGTTTTTAGGTATTGAAGGTGATTTAGGTTTCTATCTTAATGAACTCTCTATGGAAAACTAGAAGAAATAGATTAAGGAGATAATTATTTTAGGAATATTCCAAAATTGTGATATTCAAACTCTTTTATATCCTTTCAGATATTTGAATTTAAAAGAAAATTAGATTAAATTATTATTAAAAAGTTATTAATCTATTTATCTTTTTATTTTAAGATTTTTAATAGTTGTTTTCTCTTAATTCTTTTATATACATTTACAATATCATTATAATAAACAAGAGAATTGGAAAATTCTAATTATAGATTAAAATTATTCAATTAATATTTAAAATTAAATTATTTTTTTGGATTTTTTCTTAAAATAAACCCACTAGTAATTTATAAAAATATCAATCAAATTTGTATCAAATAAATTGAATTGGCATAAATTTTGAATTTTTTTTCTCCTTGCCATTTAATTATTCATTCTATTAAATTATATATTTTACAATCATATAACATTATCATATATTATTAATTTGACAGAAAAATGTGATGTTTTATATCAATTATAATGATGATGAACTTCTTTTCTCAATTTTTGTTTAAAAAGATATTATTAAATTTGCTTCAAATAAATTATAAAAAACATCTATGCTACGTTCCCTTGTCATTTAGAAAATTGGAAAAGCTTTTTCGAATTGTTTTTCTACTACTTAACTAACAATAACTTATTATTAATCTAAAGATTGTAAATGTAGCTCCTATTAAATTCTTTAAAACAAAATCTCTTTTATTCTATTTGATTAATTCTTAATAATTTAATTTTATAAATATAGATATAGAGAAATATATGTATTCAAATAAATGTATTCAACTTGATAAATAGCAAAATATCCAAGAAATACCCGCCAATTTCTAAGGACTTCTATATTTGAGTTGCTAAGACTTACATTATGAAAGATGGGATTAGGCAATACAAGAGATGAATCTTGGTCTTGGTCATAGTTGTACTAAGCAGTCCATCTTATGTTGGGATAATTTATAATCAAAATTGAATGTGAGAATTAAATTGAAGTCCCTGTTTCTTCCAGGATATAGGGATGGTTGCACTGTGGGAATTGTGGCTGATATTTCACTAATAATTTCAAGAATAGTTCATCAGGAGGAATTGAGGATTATTCAATAAAATTACCATTAAGATTTAAATTCCGAAAAAATAGGGGATTTTGTGATGTTTATAAGACTATCATAAATAGACTATGATCTACTATGATCTGCACATCAAAATAGATGAAATTCTCAATTCACAACATTTCCATCAGGTTATATAGATAGTTGAAAAAAAATGTAAGATGTGAAGAATCAGTTTAAATTAGCAGAGTAGATCTAATCTTAACATAGTAAATTAATAAATTTAAGAATCTGTTAGAGGCCAACACTCTCAGAGCCTCGATACCAATAATTAGATTATGATATTGGACTTCAAAAAATCGTCCCCCATCTCATAATACCATTGTCGATGCTCTCTAGTTTTCTAATCTTTAGAGTTCTGATCAAAGTTTTAGTCTCTATTATCCTCAATACTGGATATTTAGGTCAAGAGAAGCGAGGGAACATTTTAGAAAATTCTGAATTAAAAAAAAAATTACATATGCTTTCTTTATAGAGATAGTTATAAAAGAGTAGATAGATATTTAGGTTCACAATCATTTCTTTCCAAACATAGCTCCAGAATTTTTTGGATCAGATGTTCTTAGAGGATTTGGATTCTTCAAAAAGCAATTTAAAATTTAAGAAAGCTTCGGATGCTTTAACGTAGTAATGATGAATTAACTTAAGTAATATAACAAACTTTAGCTCAAGTGGAAGAACATTGGATTATATTTTATGGAGAATATTTTAAAGAATGGATAGGTACATTAAGAATAAGAGGAACAATTATTTTTATGAAGAAGATCCTATGAATTGGCTTGAAGGGAAACAGGTACCTGAAGGTCAGTCAAAGAAATAAATTACGGTAAGCCAATCCAAAGAAGCTGAAATAACTAAACAAATTGTTTGAAGAAAAAGAACCTTAGACATCTTGCTAAGAGGTAAGATTAAGGTAAGTAAGTGGATAAATAAATAAAGATTGTATAGAAGTAGATCCTTTAAGAAGAAGAAATATAGAAAGAATCAAAAGGGAGCTTTGACATCTTAATTTATGATAATAATTTTAGATGAGAGGAATTCATAACTGAATCATTTTGATTTTTCTGCAATGTCTGTAAATCTGTTGAATCTAAGATGTTGTTACACAGATAAAAAGATTATCAATAATACAAAATAAAATAGTATTTGATGAGCTTTTGAAAAATCCAACTAGACCATTTCAGTATAGGAAAAAAAATTTGAAAATTAAAAAATAAATATTATAAAAAACTAATTGTTAAATTGGCTAATTGTGTTAAGTAAATAATTAATTAGCTGAAGAAATTTAATTTTGAATCGCTCAATACTAATACTTAGTATATGGATGAAAGGAAGATTAGCAAAAGATTTTAGCTTTTTCTAACTTAAGTTTGTATATATAATATTCGATCTAAGATAAAAGAAAGTCTCTGATGTAGTAAGAAGGATGATATATCTAAAAATGATAAATCCCTATCTCTATAAGACATAGATTGGAAATAATAAAACAATGTTATTAAAAATAAATATATAAAGAGAAATAACATGCAACAGACATATAATTAGAAACTATACAATACTAAATAGAGAAAAACATCAAAAAAAGAATATCAGATAATTAAGAAAAATTGAGTTCACTTATCATAACCAAACAATCTTATGTAAAATGTGGAAAAGAGATTAGTGTTATTAAAAAATCTTTTAATAATAAGGTCAAAAATACCTTTACACTTTAGTTAATTTAAAAAGTAGATATTAGAGGGATCATTTTAAAAGAAGCTTAAATAGAACTTTTACTCATATATGCATTAGCTTCTGGTAGTTATGATAACTCTATCCGTCGATGGGATGTCAAAACAGGATAATAAAAAGCCAAATTAGATGGTCATGATGATGCTGTCTTGTCAGTCTGTTTCTCTCCTGATGGAAATACATTAGCTTCTGGTATTTATGATAACTCTATCCGTCGATGGGATGTCAAAACAGGATAATAAAAAGCCAAATTAGATGGTCATA